GACGGCACTTTATTTTTGGTTAGTTTTGGTTTATACGAAAGTCAGCCGACGAAAACCGTCACAGTTCTTTAAAATGGCAACGGTACACATAGAAATGGAAATACGGAAAGAGGCTGAGCATCCCCACACTTTAAATTTGAACGGAAATGTATCTCATATTTCTATAGTGGAAGTAATGAGAGAATTTGGGGAGGAAACGAGGATTCACTCACAGGCACAAATCCATCACTCATCTGTGGCAGTTGCAGCTGTTTCACATGTGCAGGCTTGTATTGAGAAGTGTGTGTGTGTGTGTGTGTGTCCTACTAGCTTCCATTACTGCTGCCCCTTTCCTCTCCTTGACCCCGAGTTCCCTCTCATACCGATATTTCATGACAGAGGTCCCTTTGCCAGCTTCATCTTCATCTTCCAGTTGCTTTTCATCAAGCCTTACACAATAGTTAAACATCAGCAGTGGACATGCAACCTAGAACTCAGTGTTACTGATGCTGATTATATCACTGATTATGAAGACACCTCTCGATTGATGCTGTTTACGTTCAATGTAAACGCCATGGATGATTATAATCTTTGCCCGGATGCACAGATATAGTAAACTGTGGTTTCTTCTCTGCTATGTCCTTAGTGTGCAGACAGCAGGAGTGATAGAACGGGCCTCTTTCAAGGCTTGGCTCAGTAGTTACTGAGCTGTTGACATCACATATTTCAGATGCTGCCCTCCCCTTTTTAGAAGTCTGACTGTAGTTTTCTCACCTACAAAAAATGACAAAAATTCACCTGCAAGTATCTCCTCCTCTGCGTTTCGGTCACACTTACCCACTAATTTTCTTTACTACCTATCTGGATTCTGAAGTTCACAACATGCACATTGAAAGGTAATAGAAGGAGCAGCTAGCTATATTGAGCTGAGTCATGGTTTCAGTGGGCCTCTGTGCATCGCAAGCCCCTAATGTGTCATCTAACAAGGATCAACGGTTTAGCTGCAACATTTCAGGTTGCTGCTAATGACATTTTCACACCCGCCGAGCATCTCAGCATTGTTCCTGAGCTTTCTGTTTATTTGAGCATTTTTCATAAGTACCAGAAGTACACAAACGTGTTTTGTATGTCGTTCATCTTGATGGAGCGTTACCCTTTGATTACCCTCTCCGGGGTGCAGTAAACATTTTGGTTTTGCTTTTCATAATGCAGGGTTGGACATTACACTGCCGTGCACGACGACTTGTTTGGTTCCAGTGAAATGAAAGCTGTTCAGCAAGAATGTCCAGCAAGTCCTTGTCACAGACTGGAAGGTCGAGGTCTTTTCAGTTTAGTCATTCTCTCTGTTTAGATTTCCCTCCCATTGGAGGTCAAGAGGATTACTCAGGCTGGATTTTGATTGCAAGGACTTTTTCACTGCTCTGCTCATAATGTGAGGACATTTTAGGCATCCTGACGTAACATGATGCCAAAAGAGGTTCCCGACCCCCGTGCCAGGCATTCGGGTGCAAACAAGGATTTACCCGTTCTCTTGTTCAAAGAAGCTTAATGAACGTGTGCAGTGCTGAAGAGTCTTCTGCCGCTCTCTGTCCATGCAAGTAGTTTGCTAACTCACCATTCATGCAAACATACATCCACTGTCATGTCTTAAATCTGTACTTTATCAAGTATATCAAATCAATACTGGCCAAACTCATAACATCTAATAACCATTCCTTTTTTGGTTGGAAAAATAACATTCGTCAACCAAAACCAGAAGAGTAGGAAACAGACGTTAACCTCGTACTACAGAATGTGACTCTCAGCATTTAACGAATCAGTCATGTGTTTTTTGTACGTAAGGAACTGAAGGAAGTCACCTAAGTGGCACTGAATATGTTGTCTGCAGTTGCAGAGGCAGCATGGTTTAGGGTTGTAGATATTTATAGACATGCACATGTGCTTTGCCCAAGCCTACAAATAGGTTCTGTGCTATTAGAATGGTGTGGGGGGACTCAGACTGTACACAGGGTCCACAAAATGATTGGTTTGATATAAAACTTCAACTTCAAACTGACGTGAATTTAAAGTGAGAATATTAAAACACCATAAGACATTTGTGTGTTATTCCTTGAAGAACAGTTATTTTCTGAAGTGCTCTGACTTGTAAAAGTAATTTTAACAGCATATAAAGAACTTAAACCAAATATAAAATAATTGAAACCATTCCATACTTCCACACGTGCTTGTTATGTAATAATATTGGCAGAATTTTTTGGAGGTATTGGATATTTCATTTGGAGTAACAGGTATGTGTTTTCTGTTGAACTTGCAGTTAACTGACAGAGAACATGTTGTTCCCAAGAATGTTGTTATGGATAACTAGTGAAACTGGATCCATGTGGTGTGTTTGCGTGAGAAAAACGTCCAATTGCTATACTCACATACTTTATTGGCTGATGTGCAATATCAGGAGAACGAGCATATGAGGACATTGTTATTCTTACAAGGACCGATCTGGTTTGTTTGTATGATGCCTGATCTTTACTACTGCTTTCATGTCATGATGAAATAATGCTCAACTACGGTTTTAAAGTCCAGTTTGTGGAACAATGATAACAAGCTCAGTCTCTATTCTCATAAGAACCTCAAGAGGGCACCATACTATCAAACACGCGCTGATGTTTTTGAAAAGCACAGCATCAGAAATATCTAATCTTCTAGTATATTAACAGCTGCTCTGTAGGTCCGAGTCTATTAAGTAATTTATGTAACATATGTGCTGCTGATTGGGTCTGATTGCTGATTGACGATGAACTCTTTCAGCTCCCATCTGCTGCTTTGATCTGGAAAGCTTCCTGGAACGCTTAACCAATCAATATTGATGAGTTGATCAGGGAAGGTTTATATATTATGCAGCAGAGAGCTTAGATAGGTGTACTACAAACCCAATGTGTGTCCTACAGCGAGCAGCACTGCTTGATCCCTTCTGGGTCTCAGATGTGGAGTCACACGGCCGGTTACATCAGCAATTACACACCCAGCGCTGTCAGACTACTTTGCTCATTGTCTTTGTGTGATGCGATGCCTCCCTCATCAGAGGTTTGGCTCCACGTCACACTTTGATCCAGATTTGAAGACGCTCATAGACAATCGTTTTTACACCAACCCACTTTCCAATTCTCTGCAGCTTATACGTGTGCACTATTTTTAGATGAACTAAATGTAGGGATCTGCAGAGTACAGATATTACAGTCAGGGGCTATTCAGGTAACTGAGAAAGCATGTTTCATGTATTGAAACAAAAGCCTACATTATTGTTGCTATATATTTTTATTATATGACTTTATTATATTCATTGGCAGCTGCACAATACACAATAGTGTAATTATCTGAAAACATTAGCACTCTCAAAAGTCAGCTCCATGACATCATATTGCTCCCACTATTAGAGGTCTTTGCATTAATCAACTGATGCATGCTGTCATCAGAATTGATGGTACATCGCTTTTAAATAGCAGCTTGAATAAACCCGCTGTTGAATATACCATCCGCAAACCTTTCTTCCCAATTTTCTCTAAGAGGCACTCATTTCCTTCCCTGTGGTTTTGAGTGCCGCTGCTGGATAAACACTAAACTGGGTAGAACCTCAAAACGGTGTGAGTAGCCGTGGAAAACCTGACGTGACTCGTCCTGGATGCTTGATGAGAAAGGGAGAGCTCGGCTGCCCTAGAGGCAGACAGGCACTGTTTCTGCTTCCTCACTCGCCCGTCCTCATGGCATCCGTCTACCCGACCCGCGGTGCTCTCGACAGTCCTCAGGAACTAGTGCAGAAGATGAAGTACGTGCTTCAGGCTGAGAGGGAGCATAGCGCTCACCTGGTAACGCTCATGTGCTGCATGGGTCAGTATTTATCTTACTGCTTCTTCTTCTTGTCATTTCGTTGAAATGTTACTCGTGTCTAAGCCTGCCGATATTAATAGTAGGTACGTTATCCTTAATTGCCCGGGTTATGATTGCGTTAAGTCATGTGGGCAATGTTCAGAGACACAAGGATCCTCCACGGTGTTGTTGTCATTGGTGACGTTACCTAGACGGCAGATCTTTGTCAATGTTGTTGATGGTACATGTGAGTGTTTGGGTGTTTACCGAGGAGGATTTAGAGGAGTTGTGTCAGGCCGACTGGGAGCCGTGGAAGCAGTGCAGTGAGTCACAACGGTGGTGACTGGCTTGAATCCTGCTCTGCTTTGACACGGCAGAGAAGCCAATAAAGAAGATGGCAAACAAACACATTAACGCAAGTGTAGTTTTTATTTATGTTGTTGTTAGAATTCTGCTACTAAAATGGTTTTAATATTGGGAACATTTTTATATACAGGTTCCTTTTCCCTTTTAATACATTCATTTAGTTTCACACATGCCACTGGCACCGGGGCGGTCTGGTTGCTATGGTCATGGGAAACAACAAAAAAACACAACATAGTCAAGAGCATTTCTGGAGAGAGTGATGTCATTTTAGCCACAGGGAAATGACATCCTTCCTTTTAGCTTCTGAGACATGACACACTTCTTTTTAGCCACTGGAAAATGTTCTTTTTACCCACTGGGACTTGTGGTCTTCATATTACTTTCTACATCACCTTCACTGAAGTTATAAATCCAAAAATCATATGACACATTGGGTCTGTAAAGGAGGAAGCAAAGTATAAAGCTATATAGTATAAAGCAAAAATGGTCTATGCAATGTTTCTTCCCATCGTCAGCAGGCTCATTAATAGAGTACTGTTTAAAACACACAGTTGGACACTTTCGAATACACGTGTATATTATTTTCTATTATCTATATGCACTTTGTCTTTTTCATTCTATATTGAATATTATATTGTTAATTTACTTTAAATACGTATCTTTTGTTCCACGTACACCCCCCCCCATCATGACAATTTCTTTGTATGTCCAACATACATGGCAAATTAGTGTTTCTGATTCTCTAAAACCTAAATGTGTAGTTTAATGGTTTTATTTTTTCTCTCTTCCCTCAGATGAAAGAGACAGAGTGCAAAAGAAGACATTTACAAAATGGATAAACCAGCATCTGCTGAAGGTAAGAACAATATGTGCTGCCATGTCAAATTGAGAATGTCTTTGTGCAAAGGGTTCCATGGAAACTATAGTCCTTATTACAGAGGTGAAATCCCAAGAATCAGCAAACCATTTTCCTCCACCATGAAAACTACATCAGAGAAGACAATTGCCACTCTCCACGTTAGGTCCCAACACGCTGACATTCCTCTATTAAAGCTGGCTGAAAGTCACATAGCATGACATGTGACGTTGTTCTGCTACAGCAACACGTCTGTTGTTTTTTTGGCAGGAATCCGAACCGTTTACCGCGGCGCTCCGTGTGTGTGAAGCGTAATGAATCACTTTAGCAGAAGACAAGTACTGGCAAATCTGATCTAATCGCCTTTGAAAAAATGAATCACTACTCAATGTTATACTTTATAGGATGTATAGATCACGGGTGCTTTAAAACTAATGATATTCCCATCAGCCTTAAATGTACTTTGTCTTTAGTGCAAAGGTTAGCATAATAACTCAATAAACTAAGAGGGTGAACATAGTGAACATTAAACCTGCTTAACGTTAGCAGGTTTAAACAAAACGTATGATCAGGAATGCAAATGAACCGCTGCAGTTCGTTTACAGTCTATAACATGACATGATCGGCCACTTATTTCCCCCCAGCCAAAGATTTCTTTTCTGTTCTTTGATCATCATCTTTGTTGCGTGGCAGGGTCATAAACCTGCTCTCAGCGTTCACTTTAACGCTCGGCTCGAACTTGCCAAGGTTTGCAGCTCCTGTGAAACAGCGCTGCTGGCTGGTTAGACGGTCATTGGGTAATGTTTTCAAAGAGGAATACATTTAATACTTTCAATATGAAAATCATCAGAAGGGGTCACGAGGTCCTGGGAAGCTGCTGACTCCAGTTCTGCCTTAAGAAAATTTGTGAGGGACACATTATGTAAACATTTTCACAATCAAAAGAAAGAATGAAATTGCAATTCATGTCTATAATACAGCAAAGAAATATTACAAATTGTAGAGTCTGTTTCATCCATGAGAAATCATATCAGGTGCTGAGTAATAGTTGGGGGATCTGCTCTGTTGACCCAATGTGAGGGTGCCAGTCTAATTTTGGCCCCACAGCTGTGGCTGCTATCTGGGATTACAGTGCTGAAAGCCCTGTGTGAAAGCAGGTCAGCGGGCAGCAGGGTGATTTCAGAGGCGCGGTATTTAGGACGGGAAGGAGAGATGGGCCTGCTGGAAAGAGAAAGCCTCGGACAGGAGTTGTCAAGTGGTTAGTTCAAGTTTTTCGATAAGGATTCACAACGGCCTCCTCTGTGTTTTACGTTCCATTCATTTCAGTTTGTAACGAGCAATGAGGAAATAAACCCGAAGGACACGTTGATTCAGTTTCAAGAAAGGAAACATTAAAAGCAGAGTGATAGTTACACCAGCTGTTTGGATTACATCAGATGGTATAATCCTCCAAGATCTCCTCTCTAATAATTGAGATCACTATGATCAGGTGAACAGATTTTTGCACCAATTTGTATTCCATGTGTAGTAATTTGTTATAATGAAAAGATATAAATGAGCAGTTTTCTTTTTAAACTCATGCACACTCACGTTTTACTTTTCCCGCCTGTCCTCAGGTACGGAAGCATATAAATGACCTGTATGAAGACCTACGAGATGGACACAACCTGATCTCACTGCTGGAGGTTTTGTCTGGCGACACATTGGTGAGTTAACATTTATCTGTGGTTTTAATGTTCACGGTCAGCTACAAAGTTACGGATTATGTCTTGGCACATGTGGATGTATTCAGCGAAATGTAACCGGATACCAGTAAGCAAAGTGATACAGGTATTGCTCTTCCTGTCGAGCAGCTCAACATGACTTTGCATGACCGGTGTACTTGCACAGCGTCCTTCTCACTTATATAACTGAAGGCAGGAGGTGTAGTTGGTATTTGGTCTGTAATCAGATATGCTTTCACTCTGCGTTCCCCAAAATCCACTCAATGAAGTCACACTCTTTAGGACTTATGAACGTATCAACAACTGTTTTTTGTTTTCCCTTCCGCGATGTGTCCTATTAAACGGACTCCTGTGTTTGTGATTTGTTATGTTGAGCCGCTAGACGTTAGTAAAAAGAGCTACAGTATGTTTGGCTTTACTTTTCCTTTTTTTATACTCATCGATGGGTTGCTCAGGACGGTGCGCAACGTATTCGACATGTTGCTCAAGTAACCACTAACTTAAGTGGGATGTTAAACACGGCGATTAGCGGGAAAAGGCTGTTGTGTCTCAGTCGACAAAATATAAGCAAGGAAAAGCTATTAAGAAGGAAAACTATCGTTGTTTTGCACGCTGGGATTTCTGGCGCGTTCTTGGCAGCCGATAAATCAGTCATTAACAAAGCTAACAAGCCTTTTTAACGCACTAACTGCCAAAGGCTACCTTTGTTCCTTATTCTTCATGTGGGCCCTCATTCCCCAAGCAGGAGCTAACCATTAAATTTAAACTTGACAATATGAATACTTCTGACAATTATGGTTGTAAAATCCAAGCGGTTACTAGTCATTGAGAAATGGGTTTAAATGCCACAATTACATGAGCCATTATTTAAACTGCTGTATGTCAACTGCTGGTCATGAACTGCCATAACTTTTCAGCTTTTGGAGACAAACTTAATGAGAATTCCCTTTTGCAAAACATATTGGAACTGAGTTCCAGCATTACTGCACTGGATAATTAGCTAACATGAAAATTTGGTATCAATTGTGTTGTGATGTATTAATAATACAGTCATAACGAGGGTTACTGTGATTGTTGAAATCTGTGCTGTAATGATTAAAACACACCTGGAGTCATTGCTCAGTCAAAATTTGCAACAACTAGGAAATGAACTCTGAGTTGATGTCTTGGTGTTCAAACCTTTCACAGTAATGTAAGTAAAGGTCTAAATCTCGCATCGAGCCAACAGTGGGGAACGGCCTTTGGTTTGTTGCCTTCTTATAGTTAGAATAGTCTTACATTCCATCTAGTTCATAATGTTTCTGTCTTCTGTCGCTGACACGGAGCACATAGCGTAGCTGTAGCGGTCAGGTAGCTTTAGCGCTAGCTACTTAGGTGCCGTACGTTACTCAGCTTGCTATCAACATTATTAATTCATTTCTCTGTTTAGATGTCATTCTTTCATCTTATATCGAGGTAACACAGTCTCTGTGCTGTCCTTGGCTCCATGACGTTATCACGTTGTGTTTCTGTAATCCAACCTGTGCGAGGGGCCCCAGCAGTTACTCCTCCTCCAGTGTGACTAACTTTCATCCTCTTCAAGCTGTCTATTTTCTGTTTCCCTTTTTACTTTCCTTCTCTTCTGTTATCCACTCGTTGATTGTTTTCTGTCCATTGTCTAACTTCCTTTTCATTTGGCCGCTGTGTGTGTGTGTGTGTGTGTGTGTGTCCATGTCTTCCTTTCTCCCCCTCCCTCCATGTGTTGCCTTTTCGGTGATAAGCCAAGGGAGCGTGATTTTCTGAGGACGTTGCGGTTGGTGAGTGGGACAGAAGCATGTGCAGTTGAGCAGCATGGAGACGCGGTGGATGATGATCAGGGGGTACGTGTGCCTTGCCCCTGCACCTTTTAACAGACTAATTCAGAGTGGTGTAGTGGCCCGTTAACAGGAGTCTGGAGACGATCCCACCAAACCATTTGTCTTTTTGGAGACTTGGCGTTAGCAGATATTGTAGTTCTTGTGTTTTAGGGTTTCCCTTTTCCCAATTTGGGGTTTCTATGCAACATTGTTTCATAATGCCCCCTTTTTTTTTCGATCAGCGAACCACGTCGAAATCCTACGCGACCAGATGACAGTGATGATGTAGAGACTGTTGTGCACAAGATTTAAAGACCCAGGCCTCTTCACGCTCAAATGTCTTTTTGAACTTGCATCAACAATACATTTGTCCCGCTGACCACGAAAAGGCATTCAAAATATGCAATATATTGAAAGTAATGTCCCCGTACAGCTTGGGTCATTAAATCCAAATCCTCACCAGCTTTGCCCATGAGTGCGTCCTACAAACAAAGCGCTCCCAATCTTTGTGAGCATCAGGACATTTGTCATCTGCTGCTTTTGAGTATGCTTTCAAGTATTTTGACATAAAAGTATGAGAGCCATTGAAGAAAATCCCTAAGCGATGGGTTACTGTTGCTTTGCCATTGTGATGAGGCGGATCTTTCCCCAGCTTTGAACAACTTACAAATGCGGCTGAATGCGGCACACGTCCATTGCTGCTGCATCCCGGCTACAATGCATTTAATCATTTCATTCCTTCACGCTGTGGTCACTGAATGTCCACGAATGATCCACTCTATTTTTGATGAATCATTCTTTGATTATTTCAATAGCCAAATTTACCTGTTACTTGTTTTTAAATGTTACGGGCAAATTTGCAATAGGTGGAAAATGTTCTGTAAATGCACAGGTTTTTTGAGAAATGTATACTCCTGTTTTTCTTTGGTCTTTTCTCACCAGAGTAGCGGGTAAGAACCTGGAAGCATGTCTTGCGTCCAATATGCTACTAATTTCTTTTTTCTGTAGCCTCTGATGTGGAAAAGATCTGATTACCAAACATGGCCGATCTTCCCTCTTTATTTCCACAGCCTCGGGAGAGGGGGAGGATGCGCTTCCACAGACTCCAGAATGTACAAATAGCACTGGATTATTTAAAGAGGCGGCAGGTACTGATCAATCCGAGCACACTGTGAAACTCTTTGATTGAAAATAATTCTAGCCAATATTGTAATAAAAATACCTCCAAAAGATACGGTTGTTATAGCAATGTGTATTCAACAGTAAAACTAAAATCTGCGTAATTGATTTTCACATTATGATTAAATAAATAAAAACTTTCAGCCGGGTAAATGAAGCAGTTCATGTGTGCAGTTGCATCGTATTAAGATATGTTTCTTCACTTGTAACCACTGATGCAAACAAATGCAAGCAAAGGCCTACCTAGACATATTCTCCAACGTTTCGAAAAATCTAAACATCCGGAAAAATCTACGCCCAATTGCAGCATTTAAGGAGAGCTGACCACAAATCCCTGCAGGAGTGTTTCAGAGAGCTTTGATCGCCCCCCCCCCCTCACACACACACTCCCTCACAGGATATGATGAAGAAGAAAGCCCTGCTTGAGACAAAGGAATCATAGACGGTCACAAATGAGTTGATATATTGTTTGAACTCCAGATACTTCCGTTCATGTTCTGTAGTCTTTCAATTCAAAATCATCTGTTAATACTTATTTAAATCTCCCCCTTCTTTGCGGTAATAACACTATGTATGATCCACATGTTTTTGACAATTCTTCCCTCTGATATGTTAAGATGAAAAAAGTCCCTGATGCTTTATTGAACTTAATTAGTTTTAAGCGTTCATTTCCCTCCCTCAACTTCAGACCAACATTTTTACAAGGTAGAGAGTCTCCGACTTGATATGATAACTGTTGTGCCACCGTGTGGTGCTTTTTAAATAACAGGCACAAGTACAAATAGACAAAACACAGTTTCACTACAGTTCATCCAGGTGACTCAAGAGCAGGATTTATTTAACATTTGGTGATATTGTAAGTATGCTAATCATTTCTCTCCTGTCATCAGGTCAAACTTGTAAACATCCGGAATGATGACATCACAGACGGCAACCCAAAACTTACCCTGGGATTGATCTGGACCATAATTCTGCACTTTCAGGTCAGCGTTGTCATCTCATGGTTTACTCATTCATATAGTATTACTACCCAGGATATAAACATGAGGTCAACATTATAAGGGCTGATATTTTTAACCTTGTGTGTATGTTTACATCTTGCTTGATGTTGATCTTCATATTTAAACGCAGTGGGTTTTTAACAGAGTAACCTTTGTTGTTTTAAAATGTAAAGATATTTCACTGCAACAGAGCCGTTTTGACCACAAGGTGTCAAAGCTCTGCAGCATGCAGTGTTTCATGCCTCCTACTCCAACGTTTTCTCCCTCTGTCTTCCCGTCCCTTATTAATGTTGTTGCCACACGCATGACTGTGTGTGTGCCGCGGGACGGGAACATAATCTATTAGGCTTTCACATAGTTAGCACATTCTGTTAGAAAACATAAGCATCTTTCTGACTGACGCCTTTTTTGACAATATGGGTGTTTAAGTGGTTATTGGAAATTCTGTCTGGACTCGTGGACGGGGAGCGTCGGTGATGCTGCCAGCTGCTTTTTGTCTCACGCAAGCCCAGCAGCACCGGGCCTGTTTCTTCTTGATCTGCAGCGATTGCAGAGAAAAGTCACAGTGTTTTATTATATAAGCGCAGCTGACAGCAGATTGACAGCAGATTGACATGGATGAACTTTTTTTTTTACATCAGTTGATTCGGGGCCTCTATTTTCAATGAATTCCTCTTTATTGGGGTAGTGTATATTTAACCTCAATATGTTGTCTCATGGTTGGTTCACTGTTTCGCTGTTGAAATGTAATCTCGTTGTTTCAATGTCCATTGTGTGATCAGGTCTCCACAGATAAGAGGTTGATTTCATCACACAACGCCTCTGCCATCCTTTTTCTACCTGAAACCTGGTGTTTATTTTAGTGCACAGACGCTGACGATGCACCGCCATGACATTATCATATTGTCTTGTTTACCTTTGGTTTTGTTTGTTTCTACTGCTCTGATTTACACGTGATTCACTGTCTCTGTCTCTATACACAAACTCATAGTCATTATCAAACCATTTCATTAATTTACCGTCATAAAAGTCTGTGCTTAGCAACTATGTGAATCATAAAATGTTAGGAATTATTTATTTCACTGGAGGAAAACGTCTTCAAACATAATGGAATACTGTGGCAGCTGCAGTGTTTAACAGTCTGTCAATAAGCCACCGTGTGAGTCATCGGTCCATTGTAGTTTGAACTGTGCCGTGTGTCAGGTCCCTTTGACCTTTAGGAAAACGTCCGTAGTGGTTTTAGCTGAGCCGATATATATTTACCCTTGTTGACACTACTTAATTACCTTTTGTCATGTTGTAAAAGTATTGATAGGTCCCCCCACAGTGGACCGCGCTGTCGGGCCGGGTCATGCCATTGTACGTGGCTTGATTAATAGACAGTGAAAGCACGTTGTTGTCCTGTTGGATTTGCCTCAGCTGCTGTCGCTCTCGATGACCTACGCGGCTCTGTTTTTCAAAGCCTCTTCTCAGCGGACGGTCTCAACTTGCTGAGTCAAACTTTCTCACAGCATAATAGGCGGCCGTCAGCCGGCTGGCAGTTCGCACCATGTCCACCCTCCGCTCCTCGTGACACACACAGATATTAGGAGACATAAGAGGCAGCTGGGACTGTTTACTGTGTTGACTAAGCAGACTGGCGAGCACAAACCAGTCTGTCCACAAGTCCTTGCACAGCTGAAAAATGTAAGCACATGGGCCCCGTCTGTGTGTTTTGTGTGCGTAAGTGTGTGTGTGTGTGTGTGTGCATTTACAGCGTTAGCGCTGGATTAGTAAAGCCAGAGAAATGTTTCAAAGGTCAAAAAAGATTCCAGTGCCAGAGGAGTGAGCAGGCAGGAGTGCGATACAGAGAGGGGGAGAGAGAGAGAGAGAGAGAGAGAGAGAGAGAGAGGCTGACCAGTTTCAGCTGCGAGTCGACAAAAGGCAAAAGTCAACACTGCCAGAGTGGAGCGAGCTTTAGCCGGGCGGCTTCCGGCTCCTCGGTCACTATTTGCCCTTGTGCAAGTCGCACGGCGTGGAAAGGACTTCCTGTCAATGGGACAGTGGCTCTTCAGATCGAGTGGAACTCGCTGGATGGTGTGCCTGAAACCGAGCCCGCTGCTCACCGCTGTCGATGGGTGAGGGACCAGCTGACCGTCAGCCATGGGAAACACCTGCGGCTGCGTCCGAGCCCCCAGAGAGGAATGCTACCGCGACCCCAAGAAAGCTCCGCTGAGCCTTGGATCGAAAGAGCTTAAAGGGCGACGCTATTTTCAGAGAAAGAAGAGAAAATCTGAAGCCCTTCAGCCCGCTGGATCCCCCAGGAGACCTGCAAGTGATGATATAACAACCAAGGCCGTCTGTAGCAATTCAGAGCCTCAAGATGGCCCGGGTGGGAAATTGGAGGAGTCCAAGGCAGAGCTGGATAAACCATCAGAGGTAAAAAAACATCTATCCAGGCAGGAGAGCCTCGGCACAGCCGTCTGCGGTGATGAAGTACCGGCTTTAGTCCCCAGAAATCCCTGCAATCAATCAAACAAGGGGTCCGCTCGCAGGTTGGGAAGGTTTCCTCCAGAGCAGAAAGAAGACAACGGGAGCAGGTCCACCGCAGGAGGAAAGCTTGGGTGTATTAACGAGGATGGTCTGCTCGCGGAGAAGCTGCAGTTAAGGAGGGCCGTTAGCTTTGGAGCAGTGGAGCCCGTGCTGCAGACTCTGAGGGGTAATGACAGACCAGGGAGGGAGGAAACGTTTGCCCAGATTATATGTGGTGCTCAAGCACACGGGAGGAGGAGACGCAGGGCCTACACGTGCTCTGCTTACGTACAACATCCGGCAGGTCCTGCCAAATGTATTTCCACCCAAAACAAGGTAAACTGTAATCATTTAGACTTTAAAGCGCTCCATTGGGGTAAAATCCAACATGAACATAGACTGGCTGGTGTCTAAATCATTGAAGTTAATATCTATACTAGAGTGCGGATATAAAGTATGTCTTGACAGAGCACTTCTTGAGAACAATGCCAGTTATTCTTGATAAACTAGTTTTCTCATTACATCATCTGATGTAATCATAAGCGTGGCCAATTGTTGTCAGAGTATTATGGCATCACTGCGGTTTCTGGCTCTCAGTTATTCTGCCAACTAGTCACGGCTGATTTTTGCCTCTTCTTCTTGTACGTTGTACACTAAAAGCAGACAGGGTTTGTATGAACGGCGTATTACAGAGATTGTCTTATAATGTCATTCCTTGATATGTAAGTTGACAAATCAATGGACATCCTGGTCGTTGATTTCAGGCGGTCATTCAACGTCCTCTGTCCGACAGCGCTCTGAAATCATCCTGAAAGATCACTGCAGATGCATTATGGACTATGAAATGTTAAGTTTGTACTTCAGAAAAAGGCTTGCGGGTTAATGATGATGGGTCTTACAAGATTTCCTCTTCGGCATTATTCTTTTTGTGCCTGGTCGTCTTGTTCGATCTGTAGTGTGTCGTTACTATCTCTGTCTATCACTGTTGTTTTCATGATTAATGTCACCTAGCTACGCCCCCCCTCCCCCTCTTACATGTGCTACACACTTGTGTGTCAACAGCACTGCAGAGCCTTTGAGGTGGCATGGTTAGAGGTGATCGTAATCTTCAATAAAACACGTCGTTAAACAATTTAGAAATTTACGACACAACTCTGTAGCATCGCAATGAGCCAGAAAAGGGAGCTATTGCCTCTTTCACACTTGATTCTAATATGCAATGGATATTTTTGTCTCATAATATGAATTTTCTGCCCCATAACATCTGTGGGAAGATTAAAATGTTCAGTCTCACGAGGGTGTTAATTTAATGCAGCAGTATTTTGTAGACTGTAGCTTGTGTTGTTTTCACATTTATATACTGATGCAGTATATTTCAAGGTGGTTTGTTTCCACTCAGCAATGGAACATTTTTTACGGTCAAAGGTCTGTGGGTTACGTTTGTGTCTCTGCACGAAGCCCCGGCGGATTCACATTTAACATGTGCGCGTTCTGGACAGATCTCGGAGATCCATGTGACAGGGGAGTCGGAGGACATGACGGCCAAGGAGAGGCTTCTGTTCTGGTCCAGGCAGATGACAGATGGCTACGTAGGCGTCCGTTGTGACAACTTCACAACCTCCTGGAGGGATGGGAGGCTCTTTAATGCCATCATTCATAAATACAGGTACCGTAACACTGAAATAATTTCAGTTCTAACATTAAAGACATATAATGCACGCGGTGGGTTTCGTGGTCCTTGTTCTCTTCCGTTGTCTTTTCCTATTTTAGTTGGTGTGCTTTGTTTTTCTGAACTGCCTCTATGCGTCTCTATTTCAGGCCGGATCTGGTTGACATGAGCTATGTGTCGACACAGGCCAACCGATCAAATTTGGAGAATGCCTTTTGTGTTGCCGAGCGGCTGGGGGTGGCCAGACTGCTGGACCCCGAGGGTGAGATCCACACGCATCGAAACACTCCGAAACCCCTTGACACCTTTGTGCTGTTAATCACAAAGTTTGCATTTTTGGCTTGAGGGGTAATTAATCTGAACTCAATATCATGTCAATTTGTGAACACTCTTGTTTTTTTTTTTTAATTTCCCTCATCAGACGTAGACGTTCAGTCACCCGATGAAAAATCTGTCATCACATACGTCTCAACCCTGTACGATGCTTTCCCAAAAGTACCCGATGGAGTGGATGGAATCAATCCTAATGTGAGTGGATGACATCGTTTCACCACCCGAACCCAAGGGAATGCGCGGAAAAGGTCTTAATGGCTGATGATGCTATTTCCTCTGAACAGGATGTTGACATCAAATGGGTGGAGTACCAGAACATGATCAAATACCTCAGCCAGTGGATCAGACACAATGTGGGCATAATGTCAGATCGATCATTCCCAAACAACCCGGTTGAACTCAAGGTATTGAAGGTTTTAATCATTTTAGCTCCATCACTAGCTTTAGCTGTCTGATTTTAAAGATGCGTAGAATCTGGATATGGTGTCGGTGAGGGAAAACGAGGATCTTCTCCTGATCATGTAGCGTCTATCTGCTGTAACTGACTCTTAAACGATGTATCGATGGATATGAGAGAGCAGCAGCGTGCATTTGCTGTGAGACACCAATAGCTTCTAAGAGCAAAAGCACCTTAATGCAGTTGTCTTTAGGACAAAGAGATCATACAAAAAATGGATCTACCAGATAATATCTCATCTGATGCTGTATGGTACACTATGTTTATTATAATCCCTGCTCTTTTTACAGGCACTTTATACACAATATCTCCAGTTTAAAGAACAGGAAATCCCGCTGAAAGAGAATGACAAGACAAAAATCAAGAATCTCTATAAAATGCTTGAGGTATACACATGCAGAATAAATGACCATGTTACTTTCGATCACATACTGCAGTGCCTGCAGGGCTATGCACTGTATGGCTAAGACGTCTGTGTTTGTGGCGTATCTGACAGATGTGGATCGAGTTTGGACGTATTCAGTTACCCCCGGGTCATCACCCTAACGACGTGGAGAAGGAATGGGGTAAATTGATTGTCGCTATGCTGGAAAGAGAGAAGAGTCTGAGGCCTGAGGTGGAAAGGTACGTGGAGGCACTGCACGTTTTAATGCTTTGTGTTCCTGGATCAGCATAATGTCACATAAAGGTCTACTCTTTTTTTCTTTTATAACCTTGTATAATGGTTTACTTGTCATCGAAAAGTCACATTTTTGTAGCTGGTGTTTGTAAATGTTTTCCAAGATGTTGTGGTAATTTTGCTGCTTCTGTAAGTGAAAGAAAAAGTTTAGATAAAGGACAAATAAGTTACATGGGTCAGCATAATATTAGCTGGGGTTGGTGGGGGGACGGTGCTACAGCATCATACTGCAAGGCCACTAATGCCTCTGCTGCCGTGAGGCTTCATGTTATCTCAAAGATTAATTTTTATTAAAGTAAAAGTTCCCTTGAACCTTTGGACACTTCCAGATGATTTCTATCTGGAGATATATGATCTGTTCTTATGCAATATTTCTTGAACAGATTGACTGCAGGCAAGTTTGCATATCATGTGATTTATTTCTGCTCAGATGGTTGAGTGTAAAAAGGTTATTTCAGTACAGCAACATAATCATGACTGATCTCGTATCCAGTTACTTTAAATTGACAGAAAGATGCTAATTCTATGACTGCAAAGTGTGTCTGCTTCCTTATGGCACGTTCAGTTGATTTTTCGAACTTTATTTGGTCATCGTCAATGGTTGTTTTCAGAGTAGTTCTTATTTCTATGCAAACTCAACACAAGTCCAAAGACTCCGTTGACAAAATCTTAGACAAAATGACCTCTCCATTCCTGCCTTTATAATCTATAAACATATTAACAGCATTGATGTTGGGTGTGGTGAAAACTGGCTGAAATAGTTATAACCGCTTGGCTGCACTTTATGCACTCTCAGTTTGTATGAAAGGAAACTGTCTCAACCTGCTGTTTAATTGGAATCCCCTGAGGGCTGCACATTATTTCAGCGTAGGAGTCACTTTACACGCTCTGCACCTGGCTGCAGCACTATAAATACGAGCGGGTTGAAAGCCGCTCCGTCAGTCAGGTCTGCGAACGCTCTCAGTCAAGCTGCCGAGGCCGGGATCCTTGAAGAGGGATGATTGAGATGAGAAAATGTGACGGTGACTGTGACTGAGAGTCTGTTAGTAGCAGCAGTAAGAAGTAAGATGGACTGTTTGAGCGGGATCTCGTCCGTGAGCAACAGTAGCTTCAACAGTTACGGCTCCAGTGACACCATCCTCACCGAACCTTTAGTAATGAACAGCTCAGTCTTTCTCAATAACAGCATTGTTTATGGATCCAGGTGAGGTTCCAGCATGCATTGTCGATCTTCTCTCTGTTTTTATTAAAATGATAACTGTTAACTCACAATTGAATCTTTTTTTCTTTTTGTAGGCTTGAGATGTTGCAACAGATTGCCAACAGGGTCCAGCGGGACTGTGTCCATGGCGAGGACAAGCTGGCACTTGCAAGAACCGCTCTGCAGTCTGTACGTTTTGTTTAATCTCTGTTCACCTTGATGTCAGTCGTGCTAAAATGAGACACTGTGCACATTGTTTGTCTTGTGTTTTGAGTCCTGTTTGTTTTTACTCCGCTAAGGATGCAAAACGTCTCGAGTCTGGTATTCAGTTCCAGAATGAAGCTGAGGTTGCTGGCCACCTTTCGGAGTGTGAGAATATCCTCAGGCAACAAGTGGTGGACATCCAAATTCTTCTCGATGGGAAATTCCCTTTTGCAGATCACCTTGTCCAAAGGTAAAAGATATATCCTCTCTCAAAAATAACACATTGTGTTTTTATTTGTCTCATACATTAAGACATCTCATATTGTTCTTCCTTTTTGAATGCAGGGTGTCGAAACTCCGCGATGAACTTCTTGCCCTGAGAGCAGACAGTTCTTCTGTGTACAGCAAATGTCGCACACTGACGACAGAACAAACCAAAATGATGATCTCAGGCATCACGCAGAGCCTGAACTCTGGCTTCTCTCAGAACATCAACCCAAGCCTGACGCCAGGCCTGAACCCTGCACTCACCTCGGGGGGGTTAGGTACCCCTGGGCTCACATTCACCTCTAGCCTTACGCCGTGCCTGACCCCCGGTCTGCAGCCCGCTTCAGTCCAGAGCTACATGGGCGGCGGCGGTGGCATGGACCCGGGCAGCCTCCGGCATCTGAAAAGCATGCAGATCCGCAAGCCCTTACTGAAATCCTCACTGGCCGACTCCAACATGACAGAAGAGGAGGTCAACATGAAGTTTCTGCAGGACCTTCTGAGCTGGGTGGAAGAGATGCAGGTGAGTCGATGGCATCAGCGTGTTTGTCATGCGCTATAGCTTTAACTGAACTCGCCTAAAACAGAAACTGATTATTATATTTCTTTTTCTGTATTGCAGGTGCAGCTGGATCGTTCCGAGTGGGGATCTGATTTGCCAAGTGCGGAACTGCATTTAGAAAACCACAAAAGTGTACATAGTGCCATTGAAGAATTTCAAATGAGCCTTAAAGACGCAAAACTGAGTGAAGTAAGTGTTTTCTAGTTGGCCTCTTCCCAATTCTACCTACAACCTAAATGTGGGTCTGAAATGGTGCTGCACTTATCTTTTCTCAGATTCAGATGACCATCCCCATGAAAATAACATATTCAGACAAACTGAACCAACTAGAAAAGCAGTATGAACGGCTCTTGGTAGGTGATCTGTTCAGCTCAAAAGCAGCAATCAAACATCTTTGAAGCAATACATGCTAAAACTGTTTATGTGCTTTATGTGTGTTTTGTTGTAGTCTGACCATGAATATCTGCTCCTTTCAGAGCTGTTCACGGGAGCGACAGAGCCACCTGGAAAGCCTGCATGACTTTGTGTCACAAGCAACTCAGGAGCTCATCTGGCTGAATGAGAAGGAGGAAGAGGAAGTTGCCTTTGACTGGAGCGATCGCAACGGCAACATATCCAAGAAAAGAGACTACCATGCTGTAAGTTTTGTGTTGTTTTTATTTTGTGATTCAGTGTAAATGTTCCATGCAGACAGAATGATGAATGATTAACTTTATACTCAGCTGTGTGATATACATAGGACATGGGATTGTGTGAGAGGATGGATTGACTCGGTCCTCGCCATTGCTGGATGCCTGAGATGCTTAATCTCTTTACACAGGATCTGATGAGGGAGCTGGATGAACAGGAGGAAGTGATCAAGTCTGTGCAGAACAAGGCAGAGCGCCTAATGCTCAAGAACCACCCAGCCAGGCTCACTATTGAAGTATGCACTGTTTTCTCCCTGAATACTATGTATATGACAGTGGACTCCACTTGAAATCTTGCATTTTCTCAGCTGTAGCAACTGGATTTCATGTGATTCTCCTCCTCCAGGCGTATAGGGCTGCCATGCAGACACAGTGGAGCTGGATTTTACAGCTCTGCTCATGCGTAGAACAGCATCTCAAAGAGAATGCAGTTTATTTTGAGGTGAGTATCTGCCGGTTTTTACAGTCATTGCAGCAAAGTGCATTTGTTGGTCACATCTGATTTGTTGCTCTTCTTCCCTCGCAGTTTTTCCGGGATGCGAAAGAGTCCTTGGATTACCTTAAGAGCCTGCAAGATGCCATTCAACGAAAGTACAGCTGTGATCGATCGAGCAGCTTACACAGACTGGAGGATCTCCTCCAGGAGTCCATGGTGAACCGACAGGAAGAGAGAGTTTGTGTTGAGTTAGTGGCAAATAGAAATGAAAATAAAGTACCTTTTTGTGATCTGGTGTGTCTCTAGGACGAGAAGGAGCAGCTTCTTCAGTACCGCAGCACCGTGGCTGGGTTAGTGGGCAGTGCCAAGAATATCGTGCAGCTCAGGCCTAGAAACCCTGAAAGCCCAGTGAGATCCTCCATTCCCGTCAAAGCCATCTGCGACTATCGTCAGATAGAGGTACGCAGAGCTCCTCAACGTCAAATCGCCGCCTGGTTCATCTCAGTTCTTCTCATAGTGAACCAACGCTTTGACGTGACTGTTTTCAGATTACCATCTACAAAGAGGATGAGTGCGTACTGGCCAGTAACTCTCACCGGGCCAAGTGGAAAGTCATCAACCCAGCAGGCAACGAGGCCATGGTGCCCTCTGTTTGTTTCACTGTGCCTCCACCCAACAAAGAGGCTGTTGACATGGCTACAAGGTGAGATGCTAAGATGGAAGGATTTATTTTATGTTCCATACTTCAAAATAAAGCTTATTCTTCAGGTCGAAGCGCTGGTTACCTGCTTCTTGCTTTTTCCTGCAGAATTGAACAGCTATACCAGAACGTCCTGGCACTGTGGCACCATTCCCACATCAACATGAAGAGCGTGGTGTCTTGGCATCACCTGGTGGCTGACATACATGCCATCCGCAACTGGAACGTGGCTTCAGTATGTTTTGAATTATGATATTTTCCCTTTTAGACTCCGATCCAAGCGCATGTTTTGTTGTTATTCACGCTGTTCTTTCTCTATTCAGATAAAGACCATGTTACAAGGGGAGCATCAACAGGTCTTGAGCAACCTGCAGTCCCACTTTGAGGAGTTTCTCGAAGCCAGTGAGGAGTCCGAGGTGTTCACAGTGGCCGACTGTGGCCAGCTAGAGAGAGACGTCGCGGCCTGCAAAGAGTACTACGAGGAATTACTCAGATCTGCAGAAAGAGGCAAGAATCCGATTTCCCCTTTGTCCCTTAAGGAGTTGCTGCTGCATGTTGAACTAATCACACGAGGGAAACCCATGGTTCTTTAAGTATTTGAGCTTTAAGTTGATGCTTTCTGGATTTACGTTGTTTATGAGATTGGTTGGTTTAGCTGTGCACGAAAAGCAAACGCTGGAATGAAAAGTTAATGCACAGTTATGTTTTTTAAATACATACAGACTACTAACCAATGCATTTTACATGGAATGAAAAAAATTAAGTACAATTAAGTACTTACATAGAACACGTTCTCATCTTAGAAAAGATTATATTTCCATCCCCATTGTACAAAATGTCATTGATTTGGTTTCATCACACAGGTCTTGTGCTATGATAGTGATGCCACCTAGAGGCGCTTTTGTTTCCAGTATCAGTTGGCGTCTTTGGGACTATGTTTAGGTTAAACATTCAACCTATAAAATAAATTTTCCTAATTTTAGTAAAAGGTTTTGTTGGCCTGTTTTAGTTTTTCAAAAAGTAAAATATACATTTTCTACCACAGTTCCAAGCTATATTTATGCTTTTGTATAATTCATCTCGCACGTTATATTTTTCTGGCATAAAGAGGAACAGGAGGAGTCGGTTTATAATCATTACATCTCAGAGATGCGCAACTTCCGAATGCATCTGGAGGCCTATGAAGAACATCTCATCAGGCAACTTCGCACACCGCTGGAGAGAGACGACCTGGAGCAGAGTCTGCATCGCATCACAGAACACGAGGTACACGTCTGCAATAATCATTTCGCATTTTCAAGAACTATGTTATTTCACTCTCTTTTTATTGTTTAATTCATTCCCATATGATAAAGTTATGGCATTATAATTATTTCAATTATAGATTCAATTTCATCATTCCTTCCATGGTCATTTTTTATAATGTCTATAACATCTTAATGTCACGGATACTATTTTTTGCAGTTCTTTGTCATTATTTATTGGCGTTCACCCTCATATTCTGTGTGCCACTCTGCAGAAGAAGACAGCGGAGTTGAATAAACTGAAGGAGGACCTTGACGTTATGAAAGAGAAGTGTGAGCTGTTCCTCCAACAGGCTGCAGGTTCTCCTTCGGTACCAAAACTCTCCTCTGAACTCAGCGTCCTCATTCAGAGCATGAGCCAAGTGCACTCCATGTCTTCCATCTACATGGACAAGTAAGACACTACCTGCATTGGCCAGCAGTAATGCTGCATTTGCATATTTTATTTTACAAAATAGGTATTTGCATGGAGTTACTTGAATGACCCTTTTGTCTTGCAGACTGAAAACAGTGAGCTTAGTAGTGAGGCACAGCCAGAGTGCAGAGGCGCTAGTGAAGGCTTACGAATCCAAACTCTATGAGGAAGACGCTATGAACTCTGAGGTCAGGTCCATCGAGACCGTCATTTCAACACTTAAGGTAAGACACTGTGTTGCATCACAGCATACGTTGGCAGCATCCTTTAATGTCATTTTGAGTAACTCTCAACACTCTTTCCTTCTGGTCACAGCAATGGCGGACAGAGATCGATGAGAGGCAGGAGGTTTTCCATGACTTGGAGGATGGGCTGCACAGAGCACGGGTCGTCGGTGACCGCATGTTTAGGGCACATAACGAGCGTGACTTTGATCTGGATTGGCACAAAGAGAAAGCTGATCAGCTGAGCGAGAGATGGCAGAACATTCACTCCCAGATCGATGGCAGGTTAGTGAGGATTTACCTCCTTAAAAAAGATAATATATCCCATCTGTGCAAGCATCACAAGTCACTTATTGACCTTTCCATTCCAGGCTTAAGGACCTGGACGGCATCAGCAATTCTCTGAAACACTACAGAGAGTCCTACAGCAGTCTTGATCAATGGGTTAGAGAAATGGAAGCAGCACAGATAAAGGCCCAAGAAAACAAACCTGACGACAGCAAGGCCCTGTCTGAGCTGTTAAACCAACAGAAGGTAGGACAAGAGCTTGCTTCTCCACAAAATGATAGAGGCATTCACAGATGGGTACATGTAAGATGTCTGTGTTTTCAGGTCCTTGTTGGTGAAATTGAAAAAAAGCAGAGCAGAATTGATGAGTGTCAGAAGTACTCAGAGCAGTACTCATCCGCCATTAAGGTAAACTTATGTATCTTAAATGTTCTCATGGCTTCTCTGATATACAAGATTAACAATGAATGGCCGTCTTGTTCTGGCTTTGTTATAGCTAAACTTTGACATAAATCTCCATGCAGGATTATGAACTTCAGCTGATGACCTTCAGAGCAATGGTTGACTCTCAGCACAAGTCCCCTCTCAAGAAACGGAGGATGCAGAGTTCTTCTGATGCCATTCAGCAGGAGGTAAACCCTTTTATTTATTTTCGGTAAGAAAGAAAATGTTTTCTCTATGTAGAGTAAATATTAATGACATGCATGCTTCTCTTGTGTTTTGCACAGTTTATGGATCTTCGAACCCGCTACACTGCTCTTGTAACTCTCATGACACAGTATGTGAAGTTTGCCAGTGAAACACTGAGGAGAACCGAAGACGAAGAGGTAAGATTTCCATCCGTTCACAATACCTTTTTTTTCCTTCCTACATTTAAAGTATCGTCTGCTCGACACTCTAGACCTTTGGGTCTGTGGGATCGCTTACACCTCCAATGCCTTTACCTTCTTATCTTTGCATGATTGACAGGTTTTCTGTTTGTAGCAACGCACTGTATTTTCCTGCCTCACTAGGAAGTATTGAATGATACAATTATGTTGCAAACTCTATCCCCTGTGGGTTGTTTCTATTATCAAATATGGTCAGCTCATCACGAGTGAATACATTTGCTTCAAGCTGCAAAAGAAGCAAAGGAAACGTGTGGACGCGGTGCATGTCTGCATGTAGGGTAACTTCTTTTTGCAGGGAGGAGAGAGCTTTTTTATTCTTTGAACCAAAACCTTTCTCACATGGCCTTTCTGTGGGAAAATAAAGTCTCTCCAGGAGTTTGTGTAGAATTGTCTAAGTATTAATTATAACAAAGGTACACAGGTCAAGGCAGTGACACGTGCTGTCAAAATATACTTTTATAAATCAAACCCTGTTGGCAAATCATAAATCAAATCTTGTTGTTTGATTGGGCTTTAACCCTCCAAAATATTCTTGCCAATTAAAAAGTCCCACTGTGTTGAAGTTGCAAATTCCTGGAGAGATGGGTTTTCATGCCTTCAAGACTCTGGTAAGAACATTCATGTAATTTAAGATACAATTTCTAAATAGACGTGAAAAAGTGGATGACTTATTGTTTTGTATCGTAGAGCAGAGAGGCTTTTGAGAGAGCAGAAAAAACAAAAAGGACAGAGAACGCGGAGCTCCAAAAAGCTGCAGGGGAAGTAGAGAATAGTCGACTTAAGCAACGGGTCCAGGAACAGGAGGCTTTGCTGCTTGAAAGACGAGCACAGCTGGACAAGTTGGAAGGAGAAGTAGAGACGCAACAGAAGACAATTAATGATCTAAGTCTTCAGAAATCACAGCTGGAGAATGACATTAATCAGTATTGCACCAAGCTAGAAATAGCGGTAAAAGACAAAGCTGCCAGTGAGCAGGCATTGAGTCTAACAAAGCAGTTAATTGAGCAGTCAGAGACCAGGCTGTCTTTGGCTGAGAAGAAACTAGAAGACCTGTTAAAAACTACCGATGGCCAAGATCTTAAAAGGCAGAGCCCCGAACTCCAGAGAAAGAGAAGCGGAGGGGAAGGTACGTATGAACAGGTGCAAAGTCATGTCCAGGTCAGAGAGAGAGGGAGGGCTCAGCTGACTTTGTCATCTGACAGCCAGTCGATAGCCATCATTGAGCCCGAGTCACCTGCAAACGGAGAAAATGAAAGCATGATGAGCAAAGTCCTGCAGCAGAAACAGGAGGAACTAGTCCTAATCCACAAAAGAGCAGAAATAGCTGAGGAGGAAGCCCAAAGTTATAAAACGCTGTTGGATGACAGCAATAACAGACTGGAGAAACTTCAGAGGGACACGGAAGCTGAAAGGATCAACATGAGAAAGCAATTGGAGGATGTCCAACAGGAAGCCGTAAAGATGAAGAAATCCATCAACGAACTTCAGGAGGAAATCAGATCTCTTCAAAGAGCAAAGTCCTCATTGGAACAGAACATCTTCTTCCAGAGCACTGAAGTCGAGGGCCTTAAGGAGCAGTTGAAGACCAGCCATGGAGAACTGCATAAGAAAGGCTCCATGGAGCAAGAAAATATTTTCAAGATTAACAATTTAGAAGAAGAGGTAGCTTCCAAGCAGGCCTTATTTGATCATCTCAAGTTAAAATACAACGAGTTGACAAGGATAAATGTCTCATCTGACAGAGAGATTCGTGGTCTCAAGATCCAAATAGAGTCGCTTGAAAAAGAAAGGTTACTTTCTGAAGAAAAGATCAAGTTGTTAAACAGTGAGGTGGAGAGGTGGAGACTTCAGGTTCAAACAGCTAACCAACAAAACAACGTATTTAAGAGGACTGAGCAGGCGTCACAGCTTAAATGTAAAAACCTTGAAGCCGAACTTCAAAAAAAGGAATTAGTTGCTTCGAAATTGCAGAAAATGGTAGATGAGCTAAACCAGTTCAACTTGGAAATGGAAAATAATCTGAAGAACACAACAACTAAACTTGATCAGGTGACGATGGAAATTAACAGCAAGGATCAGCAAATTAAAATCTTCAAGTCTCAGGTAGAAAGCACCAAATCACAAGCTAGAATAATTGAGGAGGAACTAAAGAAGAAATCTCAGATATCACACGAGCTTCAAATTAAACTGCAGGATTGCAGTGAGGAGGGGAAGAACATGAATGAACTGCAGCAGAAAATCCACTTACTTCATTCAAAAATTGACAATTATGAAAAAGAAATAGCAATTTTGAAATCAGAGCTGAAGGCAGTGTTTGCTGATAATACTTCTGCAAACCAAAAGATCCGCATGAAAAATGCTGAATTGGATGATTTGACCATGATCTTAAAGAAAAGAAATGCAGAATTGCAAATAGAATCTGCTGAGAGTCAACGACATCTCAACAAAGTCAAAGCATTAGAAGATGAGCTTTTCAGAAATAAGCTCAGTGTTAAAGGCTTAACAGGCAGCTCAGAAAACCCAAAGCAGGAAATGTGTGTTCTTCAGAAAGACGAGAGAGCAGCAGACGGGAGCGTAGAGAACTTGAATGTTAAACTCTCAGAGCTCAGCTCGTCCCTGCAAAGAACCAAAGACGAATTGACAAAAGAGACCAGAGAGGGAAAAGTCAAAGAAACTAAATTATTGCAGATGGAGACTGAGCTTAAGAAAAATAAAGTAACAATGAAAGAATTAATGTCGAGTTTGGAAAAATCTCGATCAAATGTACAACATGAGAATTCCATCCTTAAGAGGGAGAAAGCCGAGGCCCTAGAGAAAAGCATTTCATTGGGGTCGGAAATTAGAAGGCTGAAAGACAACTTGCACAGCACCCAAAGAGAAGCAGAGCAAAAGCAGAAGGCAAACGCTGCCCTTCAGCTGAGGTCCCAGCAGATGGAGGAACAACTGGAAAAGTGCAAGGACATGCTAGAAGAGTTGAAAAGTAAACTACAACTCCAGAAAGAGGGCTACGAGAGGCAGCTGTTGCTAGTGCACACTGAAATACAGAACAAGCTCGCCGTGCTCCAATCTGAAATCTTAAGTGAAAGTGGGATGTCGCAACAGCGATCAAATAGGGAAGAATTATTAGAGATGCTAAACCGCTATTTTAAACAGGACGTGAAACAGATGAATTCGTTGCATCAAACAAATGTGGAAACAAAGCAACTGCAGATCCAAATGAACCAACTGCAGCGAGTAAATACGAAGCTGGAACAAGACCTCGCAAAGGCGGTCGGCCGGCGTGAGCAAGACAGACGTGCACCCGCTTTACAAGGCAAAGAGCAGTCGAGTGACACAGACAAGCTGACCGACGGTGAGAGGAAACTGACACCGAAGGAAGATGAAGCAGAATACCTGCGGGAACAAATAGATTTGTACGTCCAACAAGTGGAAAGTCTTCAGGAAAAGCTTTCGACGCTCGAGGTCCGGATGGAGACTGAAAACCAGATGAGGAACAAACGGGAAGTAATGGAAAGCGGCCGTGCACGCGTGAAAGAACCGCAGGCTGCTTTGATGAAGACAGAACGTCAGACTACAGAGTACGAGCCGGAGCACGAGATTCTAAAGATGGAAGTGTCCTCAGAGGTATGGATGAAGTTAGTTCAGCATTACCGCGTCACAGTATCATATTTAGAAGAAATACAGTATATTTGAAGATAATACAATTTTACATTTTGTTTACAATTTATTAAAATATCTCTTTACCAATTATAGTTCTACTAGAATACCTCTGTAACTTAAAAGTTCTTTTACTGTCACATCTACAGATGGCAACAATGGAAAACGGCCTGAAACAAGTCAAACAGGACGTAATGGAGGTCACTCATAGCCAAAGCCTTCGGCCATCAAAGAAAACATTCAATAGCAGTAGCAATCTACTTCAAAAAGACCTGCAAAAAAGCCAAATCAAACCCGATGAGCAGATGACTGTGACAACACATGGATACCCGGCGCTGTGTGGACTCCAAACACAGCACATGAGTAAGACAGCGACATATCGGATCCAAGAGACATGTGGAAACGCATCTCACAACGAGGGAAAACAGAGTGGGATTCATGCAACCTCCCAAAAGCTCCCGGAACTAAAAGGCAGCACAAGAGTTCAAAACACAATCGGGTTTAAGTTCTTGGATGAAGAGGTTGCGCGTGGGTTTCAGACGGGTCTCGTCACAGTGGAAGAATCGCCGGAATTTGCCGGCAAACCGACTACTATCGCCGGACTCTATGTGGAGTCAAGTAAGAAAAAGATCTCTTTCCTAGAAGCAGCCGAGAAGGGCTTCTTAGCAAAGACGTATGCTCTCGACTTCCTGGAGGCTCAGGCTGCGACGGGGAGCCTGACCGATCTGACCACGGGGCAAACACACTCGGTGGCCGAGGCTCTGGAGGGAGGCATCATCGACACGGGCCTGAAAGACAGACTGATGGAGGCCCAGAAGGCTGTCAGCGGCTACATCCACGCTGGCAAAAAGCTCTCCGTGTTTCAGGCGATGGAGGAAAGGATTCTAGACAGATACAAAGGCAAGAAGATCCTCGAGGTCCAGGTAGCCGCCGGAGGGCTGTTCGACCCGGAGGTCGGTGCCCGGGTGCTGGCTAGCGTTGCCGTCGACCGCGGGCTTTTGAGCGAGGAGACTCTACGGGGCCTGTGCGATCCGATCAGCAACCCAAAAGCTTTCCACAACCCTGACACCGGCCAGAAAGCATACTACTCTGAAATACTGAAGATGTGCCTCTACGACATCGACGGCGGCGTGTTTCTCTTCCCGTTCGGTGAGAAGCGTCTAACAAGCACCTCCCCCACACGCTCCCACCGAGTGTCTGTGGTCAGCAGCGGCTGTGGCGTCCAAATGTCAGCTCACGAAGCATTCAAGGGAAGGTACATCAACAGGAGCACGTATCTGTTTCTGTCACGGCAAGAAAGCGACTGGCAGGAAAAGTCTTTTGCTGGCGCCGGCGGAAGCCAACTTCACGTCCTCGCCGATGTCAAAGGCGGCCGTCAACTCTGCCTGGAGTCCGCTCTGAGTCAGAGGCTTCTGGAAGCCTGCGAGTTGGAAAGCTACCGCGGCGGCCTTCTGAGCACGAGTGAGATTGCGGACGTCATACTTTCAAGAATGGTGGTGGTGGAGGATGTCCACAGCCCCATCGCCGGCCTCTGGGACGTCACTCGGAGGAGCCGGCTTTCCGTTTTCCAGGGTTTTCAACAGGGCCTGACTGACAGGGCCACCGCCTCGCGGCTGCTGGAGGCACAGGCGTGCACTGCAGGCATCTGTGACCCCTCTTCAGGGGAGAAAGTTACTCTCTCGGAGGCTCTGGAAAGAGGTCTTTTAGACGAGTCATTGAGTCAGCAGCTCCAACAGTTTGAGCGGGCGTTCAACGGCATCGTTCACCCCGAGACCTCAAAGGCCGTGTCCATCCCTCAGGCCGTTCAGGAAAATCTCCTCCCCAAGGACGTCGGTTTTCGCTGCGTTGAATTCCAGCTGCTGACCGGAGGCTTGATAAACCCCGGCACTCGCGACAGAGTCTCCCTCCAGGAATTCATCCAGAGCGGCCTCGTCGACAAAATCACTGCCGCCGGTCTCAAAGATGAGAAGTTTCAGACCAAAAGCCTCACCTGCCCAAAGACCAAGAGGAGAATCACCTTCAGGGAGGCACTGGAAAGAAGTGTGTACGACTGCCACACGGGGTTGAGGTTACTGGAGGCCACAAAGGTTCATGGTTTTGGGGCCAAAACAATGTTTCACTATGTTCGGGCGTATAAGTAAAGTTAGGCTCGCTCACTGCATAAGAACAAAACCTAAAGTCTTTTCTTTGGTTGTGTGTTTGGATGTGAAGTTATTTTGACTTCACTGGATGTATTTTTTGGGGGGTGTTATATATAAATATTTGAGGGTTGTTGAGCTTTTGTGTTCGACGTGCATTTCAGCAGCCCCCGCCTTGAGGATTCCCAACGCAAATGTTTTTTGTTTGTGCCGTAAAAAAAGTTAACAATCTTCTCAAAACAACATGTGTTTTAATTGTAGAGGTCTGTTGACGAGGAGAAGAGAGAGCACGGTGATAAAGTTAGCAAACTGTTGCACTGGATGTCCAATGTGAAGCAGACCCCGAGCAATGACAGGAATGCTCTGACAGATAGCAATGCCAACACAGATGCTTCTAATGAGCCCCAGGTAAATGATGTGTACTGATTTGGTGTTTTCTGGTGTGTCCTGTTTTAACATGAGGTTTTACTGCAAGGAGTATTTTCTTAATCAAAATGATATCGCAGCCTTTCTGCTGTCACAGTGTATGGATTCTAATAAAAAAACACAGTTTGATTTCCGATTCATGTAATCCATAAATTTCCCTCTTTCGGTAGTGTAAGAGTGTGATTACCGTGTCATATATCTTGTACAGAGAAGAATGATTCATATTATGGATTTCATGATATATTTTATTATTTCAATCATCCCCAACTGGTTCAATAACACCAAAAGTTGCACAAGCACTCATATTCCAGAACAAACTCATTAAACCCAACAGGTCATTGAAATACATTTCAGATACTAATCCCAGTGTGACCAAGAAAACATGGATTATTATATTACTTTTAGTCCAAAGCTGACATTATTCATTGTAGGTTTATCACCATGACATTGTATTTGTGATGATGCTTAGAGGTAGTTTTACGTTCTTTGAGATTTTCTCTGATGGTTTGGCGGAACTCATTCTTTTCATTGTGTATGGAATAGAAGAACATATACACACACGGTAGTTTAGACCATTAATCATGTTCTATAATGAGTAACTTATATATTAAGAAAAGTTGACTTTTTGCTAAAAGTTGCTTTTCATCTTAGTGCCACGTTCAGATGTAAAACACAAACCATCCAGCTAATCCTGACTGTTTACTCTGTTCATTCCATATCCACATGTCCACTGTGCAGTCACTGATATTACCTGGACAAGGAGCACCAGACTCACACATTTCATTTGTAAACATTGCTACCACAGATGGTAAAATAAACAACAACAAAAAATAAAGTAGAAGCAATTCAATGCTTCGTTATTATTAGCAAGTATCTTTTTTTACATAATTCTTACACATATTTACATTTTTTTCCAATGATGTACACATATGTATATACATTTCCAATTGTAATATTAATAATGACAGCTTTGGTCCTACTTATTTGTGGTTTTCCTTTTCAAATGATATATTCTGTCCCTCCATGTAAATATATATAATGCACAAACAAGCAAATACCAAAACATCCCAAAGTCCCTGCCACGTTTTTGTTATGAATCAATTAAAATATATTTTAAATTAATAACTCAACTGAAAAATCTAAATCTGTCAAAACAGTTCTGGTGTGTGAGTCTTTGTGGGCTTTTGGTCCCTGTTTATTGATAGTACAGTATTGTTTAAAAACTGCTCAAAATGTAGTCCTGTAAATGTATAAGTTTTGTTTCACTGCGTATAGAGTCTTAATATGCCCCTGTTTGAGTTTCTAGGTGTCAGTTGAGGAAATGGTCACTAAGAAGGAACAAATCGCTGAAGCCCTGAGAGCCACACAAATGATGCTGAACAAACACAGCGACAAGTATGTTTAACTACTGGGACCGACAGGCACAATGCTTCACCCTCTGTTTAAAGTCCGTCGGCATCATTCTTTGTTTTTTGTTTTACAGAATGACAGAGGAGGAGAGAGAAAAGGCCCAGGAGCAGCTGAAGGCGCTTAATGAGGCCTACACTGATCTCTCCGATCAGACAACTTCTGCAGAAGAGGTTTGGGAACTGGTTTCTTCTTTGGTTTCCGATTGTGTCTCATTGTGTGTTCCAAAGCAGCGTCACCTGATGTCCGGCTGCATGACTAACGTTTCTCCTCTTCTCCTTAGTATAGCGTGAGCAGCTGTCTTTTTTGCATCTCTCTTTATTCTATCAAATTGGGTCAGAATCGAGATTTATGCTACCTCAGAAAAGTATGCTGTAAACATGCGTCGTTTGTGCCCGGCTTTGGTCCGAAACTCCAGCGTGGTTAATGTGCTTGATTTCAACAGGATAACAGATATGACACATAACCCCTCACCTACAGTATGTGATGTGATTAACAACCCTGTTTTTGCAAGATGCCGTGTACTGCATTCCCAGATGCATGACAGCTTTAAATGTATTATCCCACACTCTCCTGTTGCAACCCTGATGCAGTCTTGCCCTTGTGCACATGATCTTTTAACATGTCCATACGTGTCCGTCGGTGAGTAAGCCTTTTGTTTTGCTTCTGAATTATTTAACTGCAAATTTGACAAAAAAAAGAGAATACATGTTTTGATGATGGAAGCAGTTCTGTAATCTGTGGAATTGTCGTTCTCTTTAGGATTTGAAACCCAGTGGTGCAGCGCTTGGGATCGGACCCACGAGTGGCCTGATGGATCAGATTACCGGGGCCGCCCGACCCGCGACCTCCGACTTCCCTCACTCTGAGCAGTATGTGTGCCTGGATCGAGATGCTGCTTTCGACCAAGATCTCCTCTCTAAATCCACGCTGGATCACTTGCCAAGCCTGAACGAATCAAGCGAGTGCGCAGACGTCTCCTCTGTTTTGCTCTCTGACGTGGCAGCAGCTAGGGGAGCGGCCGGCTGTGAAGACCCGGTCATCAAGATGATAGAAGTCAAAGAAGTCCCTGATGGTTTGAATGCGCGCTACACGGGGGAAGCACTCACCCTGGAGAGTGCTTTTCGGTGCGGTTTAATATCTGCTTCTGTCTACTCGGAGATCATTCAGAGGCAAAAGACGATTCAGGTTAAGCTTAATCCCAGCGCTGCTGAAGACGTGTCACTCTTAGAGCCAGTGCAGGAAGTTAATAGACTTCTATTGCAGTGCCTCAGCAAAGATAAATCACTGACATCCGGGAGGGGTGTTAACACTTTGAGGTCTTTTTCTGATGGTGTAAGGGATCAGGAGACCATGTCAGAGGAAGTAATGAGTATTATTGAAGGCCTGAAGGTGGATGCAGCCATTCAGTGTGATTTGATGCGCTCTGGCAGCACGCTCGTTGTGCTTGAAAATCAGGAGCAGCTCGTGGGACTCGTGTTTCCCCGCGGGGAAATCCTGTCAGTGTCCACCTCTTCCCAGTGTGACCAACAAATCACCAGTGACGAGTTCACCAGCACGGTGTTTAGTAATCGGCAAAAGATAGCAGCTTTTTACATTCCAGAAAACTCAGAGGTAGTCGACATCAACTGCGCCGTACGGAATGGTTTCATTGACACTCACACGGCAGAGATTCTGAAATCTGTAGAAATCCCAGACGTGTTTCCTGAGGTCGATCACCTTAACGAGAAGTTTTCCTCTTGGCTAATGTACAAAAAACTCCGACTAGATGGATGCCATCACGCTGCAGATTGCTTGGAGGTCGACTGCATCCCGACTCCTGCGGAGGCAACTCAGCTATTCATCTCTTACCTGACGTTGAACAGTTACATTGATCCCGAGTCACGACAGAGGGTCCTCATACTTGATAGACAGCTCAGTGAAATGGTTAAGATTTTTCTTGAGGATTTGGTAATGTTTGAGAACAAAAATGCAACTTCATTGACTTTAAATGTTGGGGCGCTTTCAGAGCGGCTAGATTTAGAGGCCCCGCTGCACATCAGTGAGGAGACAGAGGAGTTGATGGAACACAGGCAACAAGCATTTGATGAGCAGAATTCTGATTGGTCGCTCAATGGAAGAATCAACATCGATGAAGAAAAATCTGCAAATGATGAGGCTCCAAAACCGGAAACTTTAGACGATGACCTTGGAATGGACACGTTACACAACAACCACACAAACGGGACAACGTCAGATGACTTGGATGAAAGAGGCTACCGAATTCACGATGAAGGTTCTGATAGTGAAGGCTTACGTCAAAGGTTTAGTCCGACTTCATGCTCTCCAAACCGAACAAATGGTGGCCCTCCGCCGACGATGGTCGACTCCGTCCGTCAAACGCTTCCACAAGAAGACACAGCGTCACTTTGCAGTGAATCACGAGGTACAGATATTACCCGCGATGAAATTTTACACTCCGGTTGCTTGTTGGAGCGCCAAAAAGAACAAGATTGTGCTATTAAACTTCTGAAAACACCAATGGGGGAACGTGGCCTTTTAGATGCCACCTGTGGCCGGCGTTGTGACCTCGAGGGAGCTCTTAGTGAGGGACTAGTTAATGAGACAACGCTGATAAAATTGCTTGACCTGCAGTTACATGAAAACAAAAGTGTTGTAGGAGACCAGGAGGACACTATGCATGTTTTAGAACAGCCCGTGTCGGATGCATCCATAGGCTCAAACATTGCTCTTAGTGTAATAGAGGAGACACTCGGTTTTATGTCTGGTTGCCCCATCAGCACCAGTGAGTCATTGCAGCCTGGAACACTTCAAGATGACTTAGACTCTGAAGCCAACAGCTTCCCGGAAGAAAGCTTCACTCACTCTATCTGTGATGATCAACATTTAAATCTTAATAGTGAGGCTGAAGGCCTTCAGACTGAGAGGATGGAGGGTGTTAAGGTGCTTGATATGTCTAATGAGGAGGATAATATTAAAGAAGGAGGGGAAGAAGAGGAAGAGGTAGATTGTCAAACAACAGGAGATGTAGATGAGGTGAGTAATTATCTCCATCATTCCTCACTCTCAGTCAGCGATCATGAGTCTCTGATGAGCTCACCCTCCCCGCGGAGTCGGTTTACTGCAGAGTGTCGTCACCTCAGTGACGATGCGCCTTTGCTATCTGAGGACAGTGACTCCCAGGTTGTAATCAACAGTCAGCCGACGGATATGCATGTTGTGATGGAAAACCTTGCTCCATCCCCACAGTCACGTCCATCTAGCGCTGCTCCAGAAAGCCAGACTCAATATTCAGTTTCTGATAACCACTCCAAATCTGACAGCTCACCTATTGATGAAGATTTTTTTCAAGTGGGAGTCAGGGAGGGTGAATTAGACATCCTCTCATCACGAAGCGGCTCTGAGAAATGCTCAGCACAGCCAACTCTGAGCGCAGATCCCTTATCGCCCAGAGATTTGGTCAAAAGTGCAGTCATCTCAGCGTCCAGGGGAAACATAGACAACGGTGATGACATCACAGGAGATGGCAGCAGAATGACATTACCTCAGCAAGCAGGACGTCATTCAGAAAGTGAGTTTAGTGTTGGATCTGAGCCCCGCCGCTCTCAAAATGGTCGGAGCGAGCTCGTTGGTGAGAGAGTAGAGTCACCCGTTGTTTCCAATGAGGTCGTCTCAGCAAATAATCTTAAACGCCTTAGTGGAGATGAAGAGTACTGTACTAAAACTACCAGCGGAATGTCTCTTGAAACAATATTGGCTGGCAAGGATTTAGGACGCAGTGCTGCAGAGGAGGTTGAGTCAAGTGCAGACGGCCTTTCCTCAGAGGGGCAGCGTGCGGACACCTTCACACTCACCACTGATACTGAGCAGATCTCCGTCTCCACATACCAACAGGCGGCGAATGTTTCCGCGTTAGAAATGAACTCGGGACACTCTGAAACTATCCCGGGATTAGGTTTAGGATCTCATATTGTCCAAGAGGAAAAACGATTACCTGCGTGTGCTTCTGAGCATGTCCAGGTCAAAAACACAGATCTCCTGTCAGAGAGCTGCGTTGCCTCTGATGGTTCCTCATCAGCGTTTTCTAATGATGTCCTGACCCATGTGGACGGGGGCGACGGGATTACAAAGGGGACTGATGTCAGAGATTTGCAAAACGCACGGTTTCGAGACACCGGAAGCTCTATTGCAGTATTTCCGAACACTCCACACCCTTTAGACGAAGGTCCTCCTCAGGAGAAAGACAGGCCCCGTGCACTTTTAGCGAGCAGTAACCCGGACCTTCTCATGGATGCGTTTGAGCAAAACGCCCTCAGTTCAAACAACAAAGACAGAGGAAACTTGCAACTGATAATGCAGGAAGAGAAAGTCACCGAAAAGACGGCGCAGTCCGACGGTCCAAACATCCAGCTGCAACTGCTGCAGGTCCTTCAGACCGTTTCCTCCAGCCAAGACCTTTCAATGCTTCAGGAGGTGATGGACACTTTAAACAGCGCTCTGGGGGGAGACTCTCTCGGGGGAGACTCCATGGGGGCAGGCTCTCAGGGGGAGCGGTGGCACACACTGGAGAGCATCAAGGAGGAGAGCTCAGAGGGAGAAGATGACTCGGGTCTCTGCCGCTCTGCTGCAGACAGTCAGCCACCGTCTCCTCAGTCGTCGGGCAGCTCAGATGTCTGCAGAGTTGAGGAGGTCAAAAATAAGGTACATAGTCGAGTCATTTCACTGTTAAGCCAAACCTCTCCCTTGGTTTTTTATACAAGTAACATCTGCTACTTGTTTATTTCCATGTCTTTCCTTCCCCCACAGCTCTTCTCCATCCAGGATTTTTTGGAGTGTGTGGGGAGACTGCAGGATCATGCAGATGTTTTAGAAGATGTCAGAAAAGACCTTCTAAATCAGGCACCCACTGGCGACAACATGGAAGAACTGCAGATTCAAAAGGATGAATTTCAGGTCAATACCACACAATCCACAAACGTCTATCTTATGTTTAGACATGTATGCATCAGTTCCTAACAAACTGTGCTTTTATTATCCAGTCTCTGGAGTCCCAATTCACTCGACTGGCTGGTGTTCTGACAGCAGACCAGAAGAAAGCCCAAAACCTCTTAAATTCCACTGATGAGGACATTCCCACACAGATCCACCAAGATTTGTCCTCGACATATCTGGATTTAGAGACAGATTTTACAGCTGTTTCCCAAATGTTTGGAGAAAGGAGTTGCTCCCTAATCCAGGCAATGGAAACTGGAAAGGTCAGTGCTCATTGCAAGTAATTATAAAAACGTAATACTTGCATCAGCTATTAACTTTAAATGTGATTTCTGTAGATTCATTTAGAGTCAACGTACCAGAAACATCTTAGTGACCTTGATGAACTGGCGGCTCTCGTCCAGAACAACCCAGGAATGTGTGACGTGGATTTAAAACCATGTGATGTGGACACACTGAAACATTTCATTCAGCTGAACAGGGTACCGTTAAATACATCTGACTGTAAACATCCGATTCCTAGATAAACTTCAGAAACTTAAGCCCGGACATTTCCGTCTTTTCCTCCAGGACTCAGAGAGCAACCTGCTTAAAGAAGCCAGGCTCAAGTTAGAGGACGTCACGTTCGATATCCAATGCTTTATTTCGGAGCACGCTCAGTTTCTGAGTCCAGCTCAGAGCAGCTACCTCCTCAAGTTCCTAAGCACAACTCAGCGAGCGTTCAGGAACCACACAGAGAGGCTTGTCACCCAGAGGAGTGCCTTGGATAGCCTTCTGGACACGAAGGAGAGGGAGAGCCAGGAGAAGGTCTGCCGGGGGAAAAAAATCACACATTTCTATATATACATGTTTGGTTTGTTGAATGCAAAACAGTTTCCCAGGATAAATAACTGACCATTTCACCATCTCAATGTGTTAAAGTGTTTTATTCTAAAGTGAATAATCAGGCTTTAGCTTCCGGGGAGGTTCTGCTGTGGATGCCTGACGTGTTCAGGAAAAATAACAACTTTGCATGCTTGATCGGTCTTGCAGACTAACTCTTTGTGATGGTTACATCCTACAGGCCTTCAAGACCGCAGTGAACATATAACAGTGGACAGAATGCACCATCTCTTTTGGAACACGTTCGCCCACAACAGGCCGAATAACATGCAGGACATATGACATATGTGCTCGTTACCATCTCGAGACCAAAGCGGCAAATGACGAAATAGCATGTTTACAGCATACTAGGTTTATACACTGGTGTTATGAAGGGAAATGCATACTGAAGCAGATTTTGCATCTTTGGATTGTTTCTCAACCCATGTTTTGTGCTTTGTGTTCCCAAATCTTGATTTGGACCATAGACATAATCCTGAACACTGTTTTCATGTGACTGCTGATGTGAATGTGTTTAGTCACAGCCTTTTGGGATATTAACCTGTGTTTTTTTTATTCTTGTTTGACAGTCTTTGTTGGAGAAACACAAGGACTTTGCTGAGAAGTTGGAGGAAGTGTGTGATAATCTCACCCTGACAGAAAACCATCTGATTGGTCATCAGCAACAGGCTGGAAATGCTGAGTGTGTCACAGACCTCCAGCAGTACCAACAGGAACACCAGGTTCGAAATACAGTTTCTGAAGCACAGCATGTGTCCACGTTTTCATCAGTTTTTAATTTGATCCCTTCATTCTCATCTCAAGGCTCTGCAAAAAGACGTGTCGACAAATGCCAGCGCCTTGAATGACGTCATCGCCGGTACGAAAAGGTTTCTGGAGGAAAACCGGAGCAAGCTGACGCCCGATCAAATTGCCGTCATTGAGGGCAAGTTGGAGGAGGCGAAAGGCAAAGTCAGAGTCATTAACCAGCGAGCTGAGGAGTCCAGGAAAGATTTGGAGAAGGTCGTTACCACAGCAATCAAACAGGAGAGCGAAAAGGTCCGAGTTCAGGTTACCGCTTGAGTTGTTTCTAAACACTATGTAATGCATTATATTTTAGATTGTTATTTCAGTTGTGTTATCATAACGCCAAACTTAATGTCAATGTTTTGCATTTGATTTTTCACTTTTCAGCCTGTTATTTATCTGTAATGCATCTGTATTTTCAGGCAGCAGCTGTTGAGCGGCTTGAAGAGAGTAAGAACAAAATCGAAGGTCTCCTCGACTGGATATCCAACATAGGGAATGAAAACAAGAGTGGTCTGGATCAAACTGACCATATAAGTAAAGAGAATGGAAACCTTCCAGAAGAAACCTCAGCCGCTCGACTGATTGGAGCGGATGACGATGCCAATGGAAACGCTTTACGGGCCATTGAAAATGATTTTGGCAGAGAAACCAGCGGGAAAAACGATGCCTCCCTGCAGCTCGATAAGCAGTACGACAGGGTCAAGGTATAGTTGTTTTGTGTTGTATCTGTTAAACACATTTCCAACAGATATACCAGCTGTAAAATTATATTTAATAAGAGAAGTAGTTCAACAGACTAAAAGGAAAAGTTGATACTGTCAACCAGCCTTTTAACACAGTAAAGACTGAATGAATGAATGTAAATAGGGATAATAATTACAGTCCTGCATGTATTGGTTTTGCTTTATCATTTCCACAGGCCCGTCATCAGGAGATTCTGTCCCAGCAGCAGGATCTGATTATGGCCACCCAGTCAGCTCAGGCTCTGCTCGACCAGCAGGCAAACGTCCTCTCACCGGAGGAGAAGGAGAAACTGCAGAAGAACATCCAGGAGCTGAAGGGACGCTACGAGGCCTCCCTGACGCAAGCCGAGCAGCAGATGAAGCGGGTGCAGTGTGTCCAGGAGGAGCTGAAGAAGTTCCAGAGTGACTGCGAGGAGTTTGTTGGCTGGTTAGACCAGGCCGATGTGCAGATTGAGCAACTGGGCGCCGCCGCGAGCTCCCTCAACGTCTTCACGGACAAGCTCCAGCGACAGAAAAGCTTCTCGGAAGATGTGATTTCCCACAAAGGGGACCTTCGCTTCATCACCATGTCCGGACAGAAAGTGCTGGACGTGGTTAACGCCTGTGGATCGGCTGACTCTGCGACGTCCAACGCCCTGTTGGATGTTGACACTTCAGCAGCCGGCTCTGCTGTGAAGGACAGGCTGGATTCAGCAGCCAGCAGATACAAAACACTACATTCACAGGTATTTTGTCACCAGCTGATCAGATGGATCTGGAGAGTTGCAGTTACTCGTTCTTGCCACTGGGGGGAAGCATTTGTCTTTTTTGAACATTGATGCGTCACGTTGTCTTCTCTGAGAATTTCAGTATAAGCGAAAGTGGCTGTTTTTTGCATTTTTGTATCACTTATTTTCCTCCGTTTCAGTGCAATCAGCTCGGCAACAACCTTAAAGATGTGGTTGATAAATACCAAAAATATGACAACTCGAGCGCCGGTCTGTTGAAGTGGCTCAACAGCTCAGAGGAGGAGGCGAGAAGTCAGCAATCCGAGGCCATAGCAGCTGACCCCAAAACCCTCCAGAAACAGCTGGAGGAGACCAAGGCAAGAACAACTGCAAACCACCACTGCAGATCTTAGGCCTCACCCTGATATCACATGTTCAGCCGTTTCTCAGATTGTGCTCTACTTTATCTGGATGTACATTTTCCTCATTTTTCTGTGACGCCTCTTAAATGTCTCTGCGGCCTCTCCAATTTTTGAACCAGTTAACGACGACCGTTCGGACATTTTGATAATTGGGTCTTTACGGTTAAAGTTAAGAAAGACTGGTGTTTATTTAGTAAATGCCTGAGGCAGACATCATGAAGATAACATCATATAACATCAAAAGCAACTTTTAGCCAGCGGTTTGATCACAAATTTTGGTCAAAGTGATGTGAATTTGAATAGACGTTTGGTTATGAGTAATTGGATGAAATAATTAAGACAAGCTTTATTAAGCAGTAACACATGCATAACTTGGGAGCATTGACGGGGTTATGAGGTCATGGCACAATAGACCTGTCTTACCATATACAGTGTTTCCACTGAGTGAACTACAACACAGTTATTTTTAACTCTGTGTTCAAATTTAAACCCACATGGCAATAGTTTAACTCTGGTTATGTGAAGCCCACAGGAGGATAAGAAACAATGCAGGGTTTTTTCTTTCAAAGCTTTCGCGAGTTTGCTTAAACATTTCTCTGTAGGGAGGTAGTGACTTACAGCAAAGACATGCCAAGATAAGAGGCGCCTGTCGGCCTGAGGAAAGGAAAAGTATTTTGGCTTTGGTTACAAATCACTGCAACTAATCCTCTGCCTTTCTCCAAGGGAAGGAGTCTAGGCAGATACATTGAAACACATCCGAGGAATCACTATAAATGTCCTTTTCACACTAGATAGTAACCAGACATCTCTTTTTTCAATCTTCAATCCACCACAAAAGTGAGATACATAATCTGCACAGTATGAATGTAGACAGCGGACATTTATGTAAGTGGATATTGTTAAATGTTTCTGTTCCTCTTTGATCCACAGGCCCTCCAAGGCCAGATGACAGGACATCAGACTGCCATTGACACACTTCGCAAAGCAGCCGAGTCTTTGTTGACATCTGAAGGAGACCTGCTGAGCAACTCAGACGACATCCAGGAGACAGTAGGTGAGAGAGATATCAAGGAAGGGATTGGCTTTGGCTTTGGAATGTTCCAAAACGCAGTTCAAAGTTCATACACAGTGAGAAAATGTTCAGTTTTCAACATGAGCTGGTCTGTTTACCTTCGCTGCAGATGACATAGTTGAGCGCTACGAAAACCTGTCCAAGTCTGTGAGTGATCGAAATGAGAAACTGCAGATCACGCTCACTCGCTCCATGAGCGTCCAGGATGGTTTGGATGAAATGATGGGATGGATGGAAGGAGTGGAGGCCAGCGTGAAAGACAGAGAGCAGATCCCCCTGGACTCTGCATCCATTGGAGATATCCTCAGCAAAGAAGTGGTATGCGCTGTCTCGTCATTTAAGCCGTCCTATAACCAGATACTCTTATCTATCATCAGATGCTGTCTGGGGCTGATTTGTGTCTTCTGCTCGCTCCATATTCACCGTGTTTAGTCATTAAACCGGTTTTTCATCCGATTAAGGCATTGGAGCAGGACATAGCAAGTCGCCAGAGCAGCATCACTGCAATGAAAGCCAAGGTGGAGAAGTTTGTGGAGACGGCGGATCCCTCTGCTGCTGCCCTTCTGCAGACCAGGATGGATGCTCTCTCCCAGCGCTTCTCTGATTCCTGTAACACGCATAAGGAAAAAGTGTCCCAGTTGGAGCAGCTGAAGGAAAAGGTGGAACAGTTTGAGAAGGTTACAGATAAAGTTCAGCAGTTTGTCATGAAACGTTCACAAGATCTGGATGAGACAGACGGACCGGGGAAAACTTTCAATGAACTTTCTCAGCTGATTCAGGTAACTATACAGCTGATATGATTTTATGCATAAATGGTCACATATGGTCATTTTCACCAAAAACGTATACTTACATATAATTGTGCTGCAGAGCACTAAAGCCGAGATGGCTGAACATGCCGGTGATTTGGAGAAGCTGCAGACTCTGACCGAGGAACTCTCTGAAATAAGCCCAGACGTAAACAAAGCCCAGATCCAGAACAAGATGGAAAAGCTCTCAAGTATTTTCAGCACCTTCACAGACACCGTCAATGCAAAGTAAGCCTGGTCCAAAAAAGGGATACACAAGGTTCCCGCGTGTCCACCTTAATCAAATATAACACCTGTCTATGGTTGTATAAGGTACAGATGGATACGTGATATGACTGATTCTTGTCTAAAACAGGACAGAAGAGGTGTCCTCATGTCAGGACCAGCTGGGAGACTTCAGATCTTCAGCCGGCGCTCTCACCAAGTGGCTGGAGCAGACCAATGAGAAAGTACCTGCGGTTCAGCCAAGTAGCAGTGTGAAAACTCTGGAGAAGGACCTGCAGATAGTCACTGTGAGTCAGGAGATTAATAAAATGTTTGTCTAACTGCACTCTAAGTGCTGGAATGGAAGCTGATGTTGTTGTTCTTTGTAATCTTTGTGTGTGTGTGTTTTGCAATAGATAGATAGATGTAAATATAAAAGGTTCTGGTCCTATTGTCCTAAAACTTCCCATCGTTTCAACCTCCTCTCACTCATGGCAGACGGACGGTATTTGTTTATAGGAGAGATCTAGGATGGAAACTATGCTGTCCAACAGAAAGACTATTTGCTTCACAATAAACCTGAATTAAATCCTAAAAAGCAAATAGAAAAGTTACCTCACAGAGAACCATAATGCTCTTTTTTTTCAGAAAATGTGTTTTTATAAATGCCATGCACCTGCAGTATATGCCATGTATATGTTTGATTAATCAGGAATTACTAGATGAGTGGACCTCCAAAGACGCTGCTGTCCAAGACCTGAACAGTAAAGGATTGGAGCTGTCTGGCCTCATGACTCTCCTTACATCCCCCGCCAAGACAAAGACTCCTAACAAGTCAGGTAAAAATCTCCAGACTTGACCTCAAGTTTCTCCTGTTTGAATCTATGAATCTAGTGGAATGGGGAGCACGGCGTTTGGGTGCACATCTGAGTGCTGTGGGTTTTCTAACCATTAATGATTGTGGGAAGATGTTCTAGATAGTCTGCCTGTCCTGTACTCAAGCTTTGTCTTGTGTCTTTTTGCATCAGTTCTTACTAATGGTGGTGTTCCAGCGAGCCATTCCTACCTAACAAATAAAGGTAATCAAGTGTGCGTGCTGCTGTGTAAATGCCTTGTTTCTGGTGTCATGTGCATTATGGCTGGTTGTCCAAATACTGCAACTGTGGAGGCTTTTTGCAAAACAAAGATCAATGCAACAGCAAACAGTATGTTCACATTATGAAAATTAGTCCAAGGGAATCTCTGTAGGGAGTTATTTCATCACTTTCCATCAAGATTTTTATTTTCTAAATGAATCAACATTTCAGAAATAATTGTGTGCTTGTCAACTTCCTCAATCATAGTTTGAACCTACGACCCCAAAAGTCTACTATATTATGTGTCCCCCACTGTTATCATACCCTATGATAACATACCCTGTTATCATACCCATACCCATGATTATATGTTAATTCCCGGTAAGGAAACTTACTAGAATATCTTTTGGTGTCCTCAGAGCTGATGGTAATTCAGCAGAACATGTCATTCGTCACCGAGGGATACGCGAGCCTCGGGGAGAAGCTGAAAGGCCGAGCAGTAGAGTTGAGAAGTTCGGTTCAGGAGGTCAAAGATGCCCAAGAAGAGACGAACAACATGTTGACATGGCTGAGGGACATGAAAAAGACTGCAGCATCCTGGAACAGTGCGGCCACAGAAAAAGATTCGGTGAAAACGCAACTTGAACAGCAGAGGGTACAAACATCTTGTTATGTATTGAATTGTCTGAATCATTATTGTGAATTATACACACAGTCCTTTTCTGACTTTGTTCTGCCGTGAATAAGATAAAGTTCAGAACATCACAAGATCCCGCGATTACATTTTGTTTCTTTTCTCTCAGGCATTTGAGGATGAAATGAAACAAAAGCAGGACCAGCTCCAGAAGCTCAGAGAGACGCTCCTCAACCTGATTGAGACTCATCCGAACTCCCCTGAGGCTGCAAAGTGGAAGCAGATGTTGTCAGAAATAGGTATGCAGCAATGTGTCGTCTCTTGATGGTCTCGGGTAATGTCATTGAAACTGGCAGGTCCACCGGTTTTAGACACATTTTATCATTCAACTCAATGAGAAAGTGTCCAAGCTTTTGATTGGTACTGTATGTGGAAACCTGTGTAATGGCTAAAACAAAATGAAAGATATGCAAAGTTAGAACCATCACCGGTGTTCATCTAGTATCTGCCCCACCACAGGCCTACAGAATGTGTCTCATCACCTTCTCTAAGCCACAACAGCCAAATTAACATGTTGGTAGTGCAATGTTCCACACAGGGGGAGGTTTCGCTGGGAGAACAGCAGGACAGCGGATAGAAACGTTATTTTATGCTGACTAATGCAGACTGGTGTGATATTGTTCCGCCTGCTCAGATGCTGCTTGGGAGGACGTCAGTGGCTCCGTAGAGGAGAGGAAGCAGCACCTGGAGCAGTCCAACAAAAACCTGGACATCTTCCAAACAACCGAGCTGCAGCTTGTCCAGTGGCTCTCAGAGAAAGAGTTGATGATGAGTGTCCTTGGACCCCTCTCCATTGACCCGAACATGCTGAAGATGCAGAAACAACAAGTTCAGGTAAGCATGGTGCACGCTGTTTGGAGAAACCTGAGGCTCGTACTCGTGCGTGTCGTTCTGATGAAGTCACGCTCATCCTGTATGATTTCCACCCTGCAGATCCTTCAGAATGAATTTAAGAGCCGTAAACCTCAATATGAGCAGTTTGAGGAAGCTGCCGCTGCCATCCTGAGCTCCTCAGCCAACCAGGACCCCTCCAGTGGCAAGCTGGTGAGGGAGGGGCTCACGGCCGTCACCCAGAAGTGGCAAGGCCTCACGGGGCAGCTGGACCAGCGAGACAGCCATATCGACCGGGCCGCGGTGAAGACGGGGCAGTTTCAGGAGCTGCTGAGGAGCGTCGGTCAGACCGCCACTCAACTGGAGACTGAGCTTGCCAACCATCAGGGCCACAGCACCCAGCCCGAAGCTGTCAAGAAGCAGTTGGAGGGTGTCCACGACATCTCGGCACAGCTGAGAGAGGAGAGGAAGAGGCTGAAGGAGGCTGAGGCCATCAACGCAGAGCTCACCGCGATGGTGACTGAGGATTATCTCAAAGCAGACTTGGCCAGGCAGCTGGAGAGTGTCAGCAAGCCTTTCAAACAACTGGAGGAGAAAGCAGGTTGGGGTTGTAACCTTAACCGTATGATGTAGTGTTGTAATGTTGGGAAAGAAAGAAGCATTCTATTTGTGTTGAGTCATACTAAGATATATTTATTCTATGACGGTAACCGGCTAAATGGTAGTAATCACTCTTGCTTGAGTATACAGACTTTTAATATGGCTCTAAAGTTATTTGAAATTTGGCCAGCAAGTATAAAGTATATCTAATATGTAGAACGGACAACTGCTTTTGGTTTCTAAAATTTTGCACGCAAGGTTTTGCTGCGTTGAATTCACTAATTGCCACATTTCTCTGTTGTAGAAAAACGCATCGAGCTGCTCAACTCAACCTTCGCCAGCTCACAGCAGTTCATTCAGACCTCCAAAGACCTCCAGTCGTGGCTGGGCGAGAAGCTCCAGGACCAATGTAAGCCCCAGCCCATCTCTGCCAAAGTGGAGGTACTGCAACAAACCCTGGAGGAGCACAGTAAACTCCAAAAGGCTCTGAGTGAACACGAGGACGCTTATAACACAATCACTGGGGAAGGGGAGATGCTTCTGCAGAACACCGACGGTGCAGAAAAGTTGGCTCTACAAGGGCAGCTCACGACACTCTCGTCCAACTGGGAGGAGGTGAAAAAGAGCTCCGTCGAACAGGCCGATAAACTCCAGGCTGCTCTGCAGAAATCTCTGAAGTATCAGGAGCATGCGGAGAAGCTCAGCTCCTGGATTCAAGAGATTGAAGCAAGCGAGGGCCGAGTGAAACTCACCGTGGATCCGGTCGCTGTTGAGAGCTTAATTTCTCAGGTGAAAACTCTCCAGAAGGATGTCGACAAGCACAGAGGGATGGCGGAGCAACTCAACGCGGACGCAGATAGCCTTCTTGAGGTGGCCAACGCCGACACAGACGCTATCAAGCTGGAGAAGGCTAGCATTGGTAAAAGAGTGGACAATGTGGTGGAAGGTCTGCAGACTAAAAGGGAGTCCCTGGAAAAGATCTCACACACAGTTAAGGAATTTAATGATGCCTACAAAGAGGCAACGGGTCAGCTTGAGGGGGCTAAGAAGCAGATGGATAGCTATGAGTCACAGGGAGTGCAGGCACACAGCAACAAGAACTTTACCAACATGAAAGCCCAACATAAGAGTCTGGAGGGAGTGCAGAACCAAGTAGAGCACCTTAAGACCTTGGCCAAGGACCTTGTGATTCAAGTCCCAGATGCTGATGGAGTAACTGACCTCTTACTGCAGGCTGACTGCATAGAAAAAGACTACACCACCCTAAACAAGAAACTAGAAGACACATGCCAAGTCCTGGAGGGTAAACTGCAAGGTATCGGGCAGTTCCAAAATCAAATCCGTGAGATGTTCACCCGTTTCACAGACCTGGATGACGAACTGGATGGCATGGCTCCAGTAGATCTGGACTTGGCCACTCTTAAGGAACAGCAGGACAGCATTCAGAACTTTGTGGTAAAGCTGCAAGAGGTGATGGCCAACACGGCCAATGCTGGAGACAGCTGTAAGAAGATGCTGCAGACCGAAACCTCACCTGACCTGTTAGGCCTCAAGAGAGATCTGGATGCCCTGAGTAAGCAATGTGGTAAACTGTTGGACAGGGCCAAAGGCAGAGAGCTGCAGGTGCAGAGCACTCTCACCAAACTGGAGGAGTTGTACACTAAAGTCCACCAAGCAGAAGAAAAACTGTGCAGTGCTGTGGGCAAGGAAGCATCGCAGGAAGCAGTCGGCATGGAGACAGACATCATCAACCAACAGCTGGAGGCCTTTAAGGTATGCTTTCTCCTATTAAACATTGATTTGGTTATTTTGGTTGACCATGGAGGTTCATAGAAATCAGTTGGTTGAAATATATGAGAAATGAGAGCAGCAGTTACTTTTGTTTTTACTTATTTTTTTCTAAATAAATTAAATTTATATTGAGCACAATGCAACGGCATACTGTATATGTGTTTATTAAACAAGAGAGATTGTGACCCTTTTGACAAATGTCCTATTAGGTATTCAAATAGGCAGTTACTGGCAAATGCTATTTCTTTGTTACTGTAAATTAATTCTCTTTCTAGTTTCACATTAAAATTACAATATTTTAGATGATTCCCATCCCAAAAACCTTGCACTAGGGCAGATTAGCAGAAGGCTCTCCACTGAGCCCTTGCTACACACAATCCTCCAGGGACTGTTGGTTCATTAAGGGCATCTGGTGTTAACAAAAGAGCTGTAGCCCATATGCAATGATGGTGCAGGAGGGACGGACTGTCACAACCAGGTGGTCGCCAGCAGGGTGTCACTTGATTCAGTGGTCCCCGTAATGAAGCTGGACCTGCATCCTGATCTCTTAACATTGACACTGTTGTTCTTTTTTTGTTTGAGGCTGTGGGCTTAGAGTGGCCTGGTGTTTATTTGACCATCTTGACATAGACACTAATTAGCAAAGTGATGGTTGGTTACCATTAAAACGTCCTGAAACCCCTAGTTTACTGCTGACCTGTGTCTTTTAAGACTTATAGTGATATGATGACACACAGTAGTAGCTGATTTTATAGCCTGAATGCTAATGAACATTATACTCCCAAATGCTGGAGATTATTTCTTTTCGAATTGTATTATCAATGTTTGAACAAATATCGGCATAACTTATGAAGTACAAAAATATACCACACACATTAATAAATGTCCCTATGGTTTGTTTTCAGTTATATTACTCTCCATATTGTCTATTAAATAGTGGGGGTCTTTGTTGTGTTCAGTGAGGGATAAAACTGGAGGTATCCATTAGCAAGATTTACAGACAGATGCAAAATATTTTAAAAGCCTATAGATTCCTGTGGAGGATTAACCTATATTTAGAGTTGACATTCTGAAACACTTCTTCACTCAGTAGTATTACAATAAAACAATGTAAACAGCCGAGGGAAGGCAAAGTCACAGATCTGTCTAAGATGTAGGTCAAAGGATTTCGTTTTTGTAATTACAGGGGGGGGGCATTCAAACCCCCAGTTGGGAAACATGGATTAAAATATCACCATTGGGGTGGTGGGGGTAGGGTTGCTGTGGGGGTCCGGGGGTTGTTGCGTGGAGTTTGGTTTAAAGGCCTCGCGGGGAAACTATTAAAGCAGTGATTGATTCAAATTGTTGCCGAGCAGCGTTGTCATGGTGCGTGTCTTCACCCCCTCTTTGTCCTGTCATCAGTCCGGGCTGAGGGGGCATACGCAGCCTCAGCTGCTGGTGGAAAAGCAATGCCTGGCATCAGGAGGAGAACTGCCAAAAGCAATATTGAAACTTGAGCTCTTTCTTTATTTAGTTGCAGCATGAAAACATGAAATAACTGTGTCGTATTCTGTTTTATGTTCAGTGGATCAGGCTCTTCTTTCTGTACCTAAGTGGGCTTTATTGGCAGCTGTTGAGAGAAAGAAATAAACATGGAAAGACAGTGCTCGGAATTGCCTCTGTCATGTGCTGTTACCATTTTAGGTCAAGTTTTGAAAGAGGCATACCTGACTTCATGTGTTTACTCTTGTTTTTCATGTAATATTTGTAGGAGCTCTGCTGAGGGAGTCCTGGTGTATGTGTGTATCTTTAAGTCCACCTTAAAGGGCAGCTCTAGTGACTCAATGCCACTGGGGGGTTGGTTTCCCCTATCCGGACTCAGTGTCAGTGTCTGACAATTTTGGGAAAGATCTGACTCATAATGTAGCCCGATCTGCTTCGTTGTAGTTAAAGTGTCATTGAGAGAACTTAACGTCACTGATTCTCTGCCACATAGCGATGCTAAACTCCTCTTACAGTGAAACACAAAACTTTAGTGGGACCGTTGCTCTAAAGGTAGAGTACACATTTTTCAGCTGTATAAGTTGAGATTTATTTTTATCGTAGGTTTCTATTATTTGTTTCTGATGCAGGCCTTCATCTCCAGTGTTACCGCAGTCTTTACCCTGAAGGCCAGGAGACGAGTTTGAAGACAATTCTCCCACAGCACATTTGTGACAATGACATGAAAACCCATTCATTAGCAGTTGCATATTGTTTCAGTTACTTAGTTCTTTATTCAATAGTATGAATGCAGTAGTTTGAAAGAATGGAGTCATCTTATTAACTTGTGTTATCCAAATGACAAAATAATTACATGACCATTTGTTGATCATAATATTTTCTAAGCAGAATTTCACAGCAAGTTGTGTCAACTTGACAGTCTTCTGTTTACATTTCTGCCGGCGTCCCTTTTTCCGTCTCCTCTCATGTGTCAGATTTGGACAATGAGGTTGGGATTGTTCCGCTTCTGACCGCTCAACTCTTGCAGAGACCATCCAGGAAACGAAATACATTCCCATTGTCTCCTCAATTTTGTTCTCCTCTTGCCCTGGTCACTGAACATAAAAAAGCGCCTTCATGCACTTGGCAGACCCGTCGGTGTTAAATTACCTGGGACCTGTGCCTCCCTCAGCATTCCAGAGTAATTAAGAATATCTGCAGGGTCCACAGCAACCGTCCACAGAAAAAAGAAAAAACAGAGGGAGAAAAAAGGGAAAATGTGTATCTATTTCAGCCTTGCGTGATGTCATCAGAGTGGGAGCTGCTGCTGCCTGCTGGTCTGTTTTTTTTTTTTTTGTGCGAAGTAGAAAAGCTGGTGCGTATTGCTTCCCCTCCCCATTCCCTCAGTCGTTGAATGAAAAAAAGAATAGTGAGTGATCGTGTCAGGATGCAGAAGATGGCTTAGAAGTGAAGTCATATGGGCCATGTCGACATAAGGGGGAATTAGAAAGAAGGGAAAAAAAGGGTCATGTGTCCACCAATCAACATGTGCCGCAGCGTATCTCTGCACAAATGGAGTTGTGGCAGATGTTGCCTGAATAATGAGCGGGGGCGGGGCATGAAATGCTCTGCCAGGAGGGTGTCTGTCATTGCGAGGGAGCGATGAGAGAGAAAGGGGCAGGCTTTTATGTTTATCCCGGAGTACCAGCTCTCCTCAGAACTGCCACAAAGCCCTGCCTGTGGATATTTTCACTTTGCACTGAAGAATTTCCTGAAGCTCGCAACGATGAGGCAAGGATATCACGAAAAAAGGAGCACTCTGGACCAGAAGAATAGTTTTTAAGTTTTGTCAATGCCGGGATAAGAGCCTCTGGGAATATTCTTTCCATGGAGGACTGGATTGAAAGACTGGATTTTCATTCCTAACACGGATTATTACGCTGCTATACTGTCCTAGCATTTGTTTAGGGTTGAGATTTTATATTGTTTGAATTTTTTTTAACATCAACTTAATTACGTTCATAATTTCTAAAAGAAAACCCGCACGAGTAATTGTATGTTTTTATATTAAAACACCAGTCGAAACATTTAATTTATTTCATAGCTTCTCATTTACAAAGGAGATATATGATTTTGCACGCAGTTGTTTCTCGTTTGAATTGGTCACATTGTCGCCCTTTTTGAATGACTCCTCGTGCACTAAAACAACATATACCTGAAAGGATTTCACTATGTCCTTAATCATTTCTTTGTAGTGAGTTGGGACAATTGTTTTAGCATGGGCAAACCGCTGAGCAGACCAGATTGCCTCAGACAAAACCCTTCCTGTGTGGGGAAGGGGGAGGAGGAGGACATGAACATTGACGACTGCTACGTGCCCCAGAGGTCCATTTATGACACCGTCCGGCTCAACGAGCAGATCGATTCAGGCTCCAAAGGCAGCCTTTCTTCACGGCACTTTACAGGCACCCTACCTTACACTCACCGCACGTTGGACCTCACCAGCCTTTGCGGAAATGGAGCGCTGTCTGCATCCAGCTCATTTGAGCTCCGAACCCGCAAACCCGCCGCCCTGGACGAACGCGCCGTCTTTGACGGACTTCGGCTTAACGGGCACGTGGGCAGGGCGAATGATGCGGTGCTGCCTAAGTTGCGTCATCAGGGAGGAGAGAAGAAGGATCATCCCCACCATCGCCGTTCATGGCGTACTTTCGCCCCAACTAACTTGGGCGAGTACGCGAGCCGCAGCGGGACCTTGTGCTCCAGGAGTGTCGAGAGGCCGGGGTTGGTCGACGGCAGGGGAGGGCCGAGCATGACCAGCTCGTTGACGTCTGAAGAGGACTCGGGTCTGTACAGCCCCACCGTGGAGCGGGAGCGCTGTGCCCACAGATCCCACAAAAGGGGAGGCCCTGGTACTAGAAGCCTCTCGTCTTCCGAGGCGATGCATATGTCCGGTGACCTGAGAACTGGCCGGTCGCTCAGCTCAGGGCAGGAGGAGTTCCCTTTCTCGCCGGCAAGGCACAATAGGTCTCTTTACCACAGCGGCAGCTTGGTCCGCGGGCTGCGGCAGACAGAATCCGGTGTGGTGGACGTACATGCAGAGGACACCCTCAGCAATGGGGAATACAAATACTCCACGGGGAGGTTATCCTCGGGATCGGCGTCCAGGACTCAAAACGACAGCTGTGGGTGGCGTTCTAGGACGTTAACAGGCTACGATGAGCTGTCCACCGCCGAGCTCTTAGAGGACGTGTCATGTCAGGACGACTGTGAGTTGGTCAGTGTGGTGGTGACGCAGCCTGAGACGCACGGAAACTCTGTAACTCAATCCATAGAGCGATGCCAGCAGACAGAACCATGTACCGTGCAACAAGGAGCGTCCAAGTACAACATGGAGGAGCTGGAGGAGTTTCTGCAATCAGTGGAGGCCTGTCTGCCTAAAAGCTTTCAGACGTTCCAGCATGTAGGAGAGCAGGAGATAGAGGCCTTACTGAATGCCATAGATGCATGTCCTGAAATGAACCCCATGGGTTTCTACTCTCCTCAGGTGCCCCAAAAAGTCTCTTTCTTCTGCTTGTTTTGTTCATTAGCTGGTTCACTAGATATCATGCCTCTCTAGATGATTTTTTTTTTGCTCTATCTGAATACACTCTGGGTGTAAGTAGATTCTGCTTGCTAGCGCAGCCTTAAAGTCTGTCTGTGTGATTGTTCACAGATGTGATTTAATTGTTAAATCCGCTTTTCTAGACGCTTCTTTCTGGTTAGCTTGATTTTATCGTGTCTTCGGATTCCGGATAATTATTGTCATGTTTTGTTAATTGATTCAGAGAAGAGGTTTTTGTCAAATTCAGCCACACAAAATGATTTCAGAAGACGTTAGATAGAGAGTAACATTGCAAACAAACTGGAAAAAGGGGGATTGTTCAGAAATAATGAAATATTCTATTAGTTCTATCTAAATGTAATTAAACCTCTGAATCTCGGGTCTTTGCGTTGTGACTGTAATCTACTCAGTTCAGGGATGACACTTTAATTACAACATTTAAAAGATACTTATTCTGATTTGTTCCATATGTCTTTAGGCTTTTCAGAAAGAGGACATTGAGCCGCTGCAGACGCAGCTTCAAGACATCAGCTCCCTCGGTCAGAGCCTGATCCAAAACGCTGCCAAAGGCACCAGCATCAAGAAGCTTGAGCATGACCTGGAGGAAGTCAACACAAAGTGGAATACCCTCAATAAGAAGGTTATTTGTTTTATACCACCGGTCTAACTGGTTTATATTTGCTTTTGAATAGTGGTCTTTAGAGTGGAAATCATAAAGAGCTGTTGTCAGTGCAATGAGTCATCTGTTCGTTGTATTTGTTATAGCTTCATCCTTTGATGAGTTACTGGGCGCAGTTCTAATTTGGCTTTAAATTGTGGCATCTCTGTGTACTGTGTGGTGTGCAGATTGCGGAGCGCTCAGCCCAGCTGCACGAAGCCCTGCTGCACTGCGGGAGGTTCCAGGATGCTCTGGAGTCATTGCTCAGCTGGTTGACGGACACAGAGGAGCTTATGGCCAATCAAAAACCCCCGTCTGCAGAATTCAAAGTGGTCAAGGCACAGATACAAGAGCAGAAAGTAAGCTGGTGTGAAATCTAGAAACACAAAGTAACAGGTTTATTTCAATTAGACAACTAAAGCTTGCGGTCAAATGAGGCCAACGACTCTCCTCCTTTGTTTGCCGTTGACAGCTCTTGCAGAGACTGCTGGATGACAGAAAGCCAACAGTGGAGCTGATCAAAAAAGAGGGCGAGAGGGTTGCAGAACTAGCAGAGTCCGTGGATAGAGACAAAGTTGCAAAAGAGATCGAATGCTTGGGCCAGAGGTGGGACACTCTGCTCAAGAAAGCTGAAAACAGGTCTGTATAAAACACTTCAAGGTTACGCGTCTTTCTGATGGCAATGCTCCTGTATGAGTCCAAATGAAATGCAGCTAATGAAAAGTCCTCCTCAGATTTCATTTTTTCCCTGAATTGAATAAGTGTTTTTGCCTAGATTTGTATCTGGCTATATCGACCATTTAGAAAAAATGTATTTAAATACTAAGTTAGGAATGTAAAACTCTCAAATCCACTTACACTTTAGTCCAACTAAAGACAGGAGATTTTCCAAATAGAACAAATAAACTTGAAATTAACTTTCTCTCTCCATAACTGTCCTCTGCTTCCTATCCGCATGAACAAATCAGGCAAAAGCAACTGGAGGTCATCCTCGCGGTCTCTCAGCAGTTCCACGAAACACTGGAGCCCCTCAGCGAGTGGCTCGCTGCTACAGAGAAGCACCTGGCCAACTCCGAACCCATCGGCACCGAGACGTCCAAGCTGGAAGATCAGATTTCTCGGCATAAGGTAATATCCATCAGTTTACATCCCGTATGTATTCATTTTGCTCGTCATTTTAAGTCTGTGCTATTTTTTATTATTTCTCATTCTGTTTTTCATTCAATTTCAGTTTTCATATTTTGCTCGTGTGTGTGTGTGTTTTTTTTTTTTGTTTGTCCCATTTCCTTGGTTCGTTTCCATCCCCTGGGGGTCAGGCTTTAGAGGAGGAGATTATGAATCACAGTAAAGACCTGTTACAGGCCGTCAGTTTCGGTCAGATGCTCAAGACGGTGAGCTCGGGGGAGGAAAAGGAGTCGGTGCAGTCAAAACTGGACTCTGCCCAGGCGGGTTACATAGAGCTCCAGGAGCGATGCAGGAGGAGAGCCGAGATGCTGCGGCAGGCTCTCGCCAACGCCCAGGTGTTTGGCGAGGACGAAGTGGCCCTCATGAACTGGCTCAACGAGGTGCACTCGAGGCTGGGCGAGGTGTCCGTGGAGGACTACAAAATAGAAGTTCTTGAAAAGCAGCTGGCAGAACAATGGGTATACACTCCTCCGCGGGCCGCGCTGTTTTCCCTTTCATCACAGTGTCATCAATTATGTTCCCCTTGATTTGATTAATTTGTGCATCACGGCTTCTTTTACAGTGGGACGTTTCACTTTCACTCGCAATGACTTTGGGGATGTGTTTTCCTTTCAGGAGCTACAAAGTGATGTTGTGTTGAGAAAGAAGAATGTGGATCAAGCCGTATCTAACGGGATGGAGCTTCTGAAGCAAACTACAGGCACGTCTGACTTCATGACATGAACTAACAGATCTGTCTCTTTAATACACGTCATAAGGCTTCTGACCTTATTCAGAGAGCAGTTTAACAGTAGACAAAGTATTGTTCCCTAACCAAAATCTCACATCGTATCAATATATAATCACTCTTTATAGGTGATGAGGTTGTTGTCATCCAAGGCAAACTGGACGGAATAAAAGCGAAGTACGCAGAGATCAACTCTTTGAGCGACAGCGTTTTGAAGACGCTGGAGCGGGTTTTGGGTCTCTCTACTAAGCTAAATCAGACCCATGAGGACCTTAGCTCCTGGCTGGAAAAAGTAGAGGATGAGATCAGCGCTTTTGCTGATCAGCAGCCAGCAGGCGAGCAGCTCATTCATGCACAAAGCAGGCAGAAGGTATGAGTTACAAAATTATCATAAAATATGTCTTCTTTACGAATACATGTAATGAATTATGCTAACTTTGGTGTTTCACGTGTTCTACGTGGCCAGGCCTTGTTGAAGGAGAGCAAAGACCAAAAACCTGTGATGGACAAGCTGAACGAGCTGAGCAGCTCTCTGCTGGATCTGATCCCCTGGCACACGCGTGTGGGTCTGGAAAAGCTAGTGGCTGAGGATAATGAGCGCTACGCCGCCGCGCGCGACACCTGCACCCAGCAGGTCGAACAGATCAACGCCGATATACTCAGGTCCCAGCAGGTAACAGCGCATTTGGCTTTTCTCGTTTCTTTCAAGTTTTCTTCATCCAAATATCCATTTGTCGTCCATTCGAGTCGAAACATTTACCGCCGGTGTAAAAAGGATTTTCGTCTGGTTCCAGTTTGAGCAGGCTTCAGACGCTGAACTCTCCTGGCTGACTGAAGCTGAGGGGAAGTTGCTGTCGATGGGAGAGATCAGGCTGGAGCAGGACCAGACCGCAGCGCAGCTCCAGGCCCAGAAGGTCAGCCTATCATACTGTGTGTGTGTGTGTGTGTGTGTGTGTGTGTGTGCCGATTAATAGTAGTCAGCAGAGCTTTTGTTTTGCAACATCAAGCAAAACTCAGTCTACCTGTTTTTCCTAGATTTTCTCCATGGACATTATGAGGCACAAAGATGCTGTGGATCATATTGCGAAAACAGGAAAGGCCATCATGAACAGCAAAAACCCAGGCGAGAAGGAAATCTTGGAGGTAAAAACAGTTTATTTCCAATTTTGAAAGGGGAGCGGGGGGTGATTCATTAAGAATTCATTAAGAACATGAACAGAGGTTAAAGGCTCTTGTTGTTTTTCAATCAGGCCAGGATCCAGACTCTCTTGGAGAAGTACAGCACGGTCAGTCAGCTGAACTCGGAGCGCTGTCTGCAGCTGGAGCGCGCCCAGTCTCTGGCCAGTCAGTTCTGGGAGACCTACGAGGAGATGTGGCCGTGGATTCAGGAAACCCTGAGCGCCTTCAGCCAGCTGCCGCCCCCCTCCATCGAGTACGAGACACTCAAGCTGCAGCAAGAGGAGCTCAGGGTACGAAGCCAACCGGAAAAAACGTTCAGCACAACATTATGTCAGCGATGATGATGTTAATAAATGCAATATCCTCTCCAGCAAATGCGAGAGCTGATTGCAGAGCACAAGCCTCACATCGACAAGATGAATAAGACCGGGCCTCAGCTCCTTGAACTGAGCCCAGTGGAGGGACTCCCCATCAGAGAGAAGTACACGGCCACCGACCGACTTTACACCAAACTCAAGGCCGATGTCAAGCAGCGAGCTGCTACTCTGGATGATTCCATCTCCAAATCCACCCAGGTGAGCAGCGTTTCATACTAGTACGTTTGTGTATGTACACATATAAGCCTCCCAGGCCTTTTTGCTATGTTTTGGAAATGGACGATTATACTATGGATTTCAAATAGAGGTCATAAGCAGTGCTTTTTGTTTAATGTCATTCATGTATTATTACTTCTTTTTTGATTTTCTATTCTATGAATTATCCATCATTTTTAAAGAAATGTCCATTTTCCAGAACACAAGTGAAGTCTTGAAATGTGTGTTTTTTTTCTCTCATAGGTTATAAACACTGTTCGGGCATATTTCTGTAAACAGGAGAGCCAAACATTTGTCTGTGTGTCCATATTAAATTATGAAATATATCTCTCTTCTTTCTCCGTCAGTTCCACGATAAAATTGACCCGATGCTGGAATCCCTGGAACGGATCGCTGAACGCCTGCGGCAGCCGCCGTCCATCTCTGTGGAAGTGGAGAAGATCAGGGAGCAGATTACTGAAAATAAAGCCGTGTCTGTGGATCTGGAGAAGCTGCAGCCCTCTTATGAGACACTGAGGCAGCGAGGCGAGGAGATGATCGCCCGATCTGAAGGATCAGACAAGGACATGTCGGCCAAAGGTATCCTAAACCACCATTTAGGTTTTTATACTGTATAAATACAGTATAAAGTATAAGTGTAAGTGTAAGTAAGTGTTTATAAATATTTTTTTCTCCCACAAGTTGTACAGGACAAACTGGACCAGATGGTGTTCCTCTGGAACGACATCCAGGCTTTGCTGGAGGAGCGGGAGGCGAAGCTGCTGGACGTGATGGACATGGCCGACAAGTACTGGTGCGACCACTGCGCCCTCATCGTCACCATCAAAGACAGCCAGGACCTGCTGAGAGAGCTGGAGGAGCCCGGAGTCGACCCGTCGGTCGTCAAACAGCAGCAGGAGTTTGTCGAGGTAAACAGCTCCTGAAGAAGAAAAGACAGTATCCACCTGTGGATGAAGAATTGTGTTTGAGCGCCGCTTTGTTTTGACAACTGCTCTTTTGTTGCTACAGGGTTTTAAGGAGGAGATCGATGGGCTGCAGGAGGAGCTCGATGTGGTTCAAAACCAGGGTGCAGAGCTCATGACGGCCTGCGGGGAACCCGATAAACCCGTCATAAAGAAAAGTCTAGACGAGGTAATAGATAACATTCAAGGACAAATGTGTTTGTCTTCACTTGCTGTGTCCATGCGGTTTTCTTTGCCTGCATATGGTTTTGGTTGATCTACTCGTGTAATTCTTTTCAGGTGAACTCAGCATGGGAAAATCTCAATAAGGCTTGGAAGGAAAGAGTGGAGCGGCTGGAAGAAGCCATGCAGGCTGCTGTCCAGTTTCAGGATGGCCTGCAGGTACTTTGATTACTCCTCCATTGTATTTGAAGTGAATGATCTGAAACAATCCTAATGATAATACCATTGTCACATTTCAGATCATATTTGGTCTAAATCTCGATGCTGCTCATCATACTGTTTCATTGCTCTTGCTTGTCTTCACTGGAGGACTAATTATAGAATAGAATTGCCTGCGGACACATGCACATACATTGGAACGTTAAACACAGACAGGGAGCCGGATAGTTTTTAGTGAAACCAAATATTTCAGAGCTTTTTTATAGCACAGGTTATTTTATGAGAGACTTATTCATTTTGAAATAACTAAACACCATCCAGTGCTTTACTATATTTGGCCCAGAGTTGAACCTGTGTGAATAAAGTTAGTAAAGTTATTGATATGTTTTAACGGGACAGAATTTAGGTTCAGGTCTGGTTTTATTAGGTTTATTTACCTAATTTTCACCATACAGATTGACTACAGACCAACTGTGAGATGTAGTGCATAACACGAGCCTAGATGTGAAACCTGACTACGCTGCTTTCTCCCAGTAACAATGGTTTCCCTCCTCGCACACAGGGTATGTTTGACTGGGTGGATATTCTCGAGAGCAAACTGGATTCAATGTCACCCGTGGGCACGGACCTGGAAACCGTCAAGCAGCAGATTTCAGAACTCAAGGTACAATCGTGCATTAGTCGTTTTTTTAGGGTATGAACTCTGTGTTAACAAGTAGAGAACCTTGTTACTTGTTAAGCTCTGTACTCTCTGTCAACAGCCTTGTTTATTTTGCTTTTATGTTCAAAAAAAGCTTGATAAATATCTTTTCCTGAAAAGACTGAGCCTGTAGGGTCAAGTGTATTTGTGCCTGTGTTGACTGAATGGGTTGGACCACTGTGTGTTTTAGGATTTCAAAGGAGAGGCGTACCAGCTGCAGATCGAGATGGAGCGGCTCAACCACCAGGCAGGCCTCCTGCTGAAGCAGGTGACGGAGGAGGCCGATCGATGTGCCATTCAGGAGCCAATGTCTGAGCTCAAAATGCTCTGGGAAAGTCTGGACGAGAAGATCATCAGCCGGCAGGTCGGAGAGAAAAAAACAGAATCGTCTTTATAGACAATAAGAAACTCACCAATGGATGAAAGGCAGTGGAATATGTTGTGCTGTCTGCAGTGCACGTGCAACATCTAATGGCTTAATCTGTCTCTAATTCAGCACAAACTGGAGGGAGGCCTTCTGGCGCTGGGACAGTTCCAGCATGCACTGGACGAGCTGCTGGCCTGGATGAGCCACACCGAGGAGCTGCTCAATGACCAGAGGAAGGCGGGGGGAGACCCCAAAGCTGTCGAGATAGAGCTCGCCAAGCATCATGTACGACAACGCCCTTTGGTTTTTGTCCGAATTTCAAATTCAAACACGTTTGCAGAAGTTGCCGGTGCATTTGTATGGCCGAGGGATTTGCATCTAAAAAGAAAGGAATCGGTAGATGCATCATGCTGCCCCAAAAATTAACTTTCAAACCCCCCCCCCCCCAATATATCTCTATGCCTTATCTCTACAGGTTCTACAGAATGATGTGTCGGCTCACAAGGCAACAGTGGAGACGGTCAACAAGGCCGGTAATGATCTGGTGGAGTCGAGTGCTGGTGAGGAAGCTTCTGGTTTGCAGAGCAAACTGGAGAACCTGAACCAGCGGTGGAAAGCCATCCAGGAGAAGACAGGACAGAGGAAGCAGCAACTACAGAGTGCTCTGCTTCAAGTATGAACATTATCATCACTTAAGAGTCCTTAATCATCATTTTTTAGGTTTCATAATTTGTGATTAAAGTCCTATTTGGAGGAGGGATAATTGTTCTGCCTACTTGTCTCCCCCTTTCTTCTTTCTATTTATAACTTTTAACTATAGAGGGGTGCTTTGATACGAGGGGGAATATGAGGAAGAGAAATGTGTCCTGGATTTTCTTCAGCAGATAAACTTTAATAGCACATAATCTGTCTCAAATTAACAGGCTTTTGGTAGATAGGAGTATTAATCAAAAAGAAGTGCCCAAAAATCCAATCAAAGCAGGTTTCTAGTTATTTTACAAAAGACAACTCAACAGTTAATTTTAAAGATTAAAGACTTTTGATCAAAGGCTTCATTTCATTACACTTCAGCCATATTAATTCACACTACTGAGTATCAACTTTTGGTAGCTGAATGAATCCAAGGTATTAATAACTCAGACGCCCTCCTCTCTGAGCCATAGTCTGCTAAAAGTGAGTGTGTGTGTGACACCTTTTGTCCTCCTGACTCCGGTTGTTTTGTGTTGTAGGCCCAGGGTTTCCATGGTGAGATAGAAGATATGCAGCAATGGCTGAAAGACACAGAACGTCAGCTGTTGGCATCAAAGGCTGTGGGAGGCTTACCAGACACGGCGCGGGAGCAGCTTAACGCCCATCTGGTACGTGTTTAACAATACGAAAGCCCGCATGCAGATGGCAGGCTCGTAAATGAGACGACGGTGTCCTTTCTCTGTTTTATCTGAAGTGTGAAAATTAAATGACGTTGCGAATTACACCACTTGCATCTCCTATGTGGAAGAAACCCCCCCAAAAAGTGTGTGAAATTGACCCAGCCGTGTCTGACTGTAAGGAATTTAGGAATGTGTCTCCTCTTTGTTCTCCCTTTCTTTAATGGGGGAGCACAGTCGCAACACCCCCCCCCCCCCTCCCCGAAGAAGCATAGTAGAGACAGTTTATGGAGCCAATATCACTGTTGGGAACAGGCCTCAGAGTCTTTTCCTCCCCCCCTTTTGGACTAGAATTGTATTAACATAAAAACCACATACGCTTCAGACGCTGCAGACTCTCGCGTTGTTTTTCCAAAACTAACACGGAGCGATGCGAACGCGCCCTTGCGTCTACTGCTTTCTTGCAGGAGTTGTGTTCTACCTTTGAGGTGAAAGAGGAGCTGTATCAGGAGCTGATGAACAAGGGTCACCAGATGCTCGCAATCACGCCCGAGGGTCCGGACAGCAACACGGAACAGGACCTCGCCAACCTGAAGGACAAGTGGGAAGCTGTGCAGGGGAAGTCCGCTGAGAGAACGGTATGGACTTCACCACCAAGGAGCTATCGATGACATACATTTGAGCAATGAGACTGTGCTTCTAAGCCTCTAATCCCGGTGCCGGTAATGAGCGCTGTATGGACGCCGTGTTAGCAGAGACACATGGGATGTGGTCACACTCAAGATCACGGCAGGCAACTGTTTTCGTTTCTCACATGCTGCAACTCTTGCGTTACCATACATTCCATGCATGCCATGAATAGTAAATCTAAGCTTACATTTGAGCCAAGATAAAGACTTATAAATCACCCTGTTAACCTTTCTGACATCGTTTTTAATGGGTTATTCCTTTGGGACGTGTTCTCCATTTTTTTCACATTAAATCAACATAATTTAACTTGACAAAAAAGATAAATCTCCCCCATTACTTGTCTCCCTCCAGATATGGAGCCCCTTAAAAGTTTGCGGGAACATTTTGCTTTGGTTTCCCCATTTGCTTTGGTCCCGTTCCCGGGAATTCAAAGGCGGGTAAATCAGTCAGCCGCTGGCAAAACTCCCAGCAATGTGCCACTTGCCACATTGTCTGCCGGGCTGAATTTCATGCAAAGAAGACTTCAAGTAATCAAATGAGTATGGTCTATTGAATTTGAATTCCACATATAACAAAACTCTAAATAACCCAGAAAACAAAGACATCTTATTACCCGTGACTGTCATCAGGTTTCTTTAACGTAGTGGACACAGCAGTTACAGCCATGTGATGAGCCTGCGCCAGTGGAGGTTTTCCAGCGGCCCAGTCACTGCGGATGTTTCTTTCATTGAATTAAAAGCTCATCATTCCCTTTCGGCTCCACCATCAGCCTCTCCAGAGATGTTTACTTCCTCTTGTTAGGCTCATGAGACAAATTGGAAATGTATTTGTTCTTCTCCTCCTCTTCATCTCGTGTTGTGGCAACCGAAATGTTTGTTTTTAGCAGGAGGGTAGAGGTCATGATCAGGCTCTCTGTTTAGAGGATTATTTCCATCTCTATGCGTGGAGCCTGATGATGTCTTATGTCTACAGGTGAAACTAGAAGAAGCCTTGGCGCTGGCCACGGATTTCCACAACTCTCTGCAGGACTTCATCAACTGGCTGACCACAGCGGAGCAGACGCTGCACATGGTTTCCCCTGCCTCCCTAATACTGGACACCATCATGTTTCAGATCGATGAGCATAAGGTAATGTTTGTACGGAGAAGGTCGTTGATGACAAACAACTGTTTTGTTTTGTTTGTGACTGTTGTATCTTATGTAGAAGCGGTTTAATGGAGCCACATGCTTTAATCCCTCTGCTGTGACGCCAGTGAAAATGATGAATTATGTTGGCATCATACTCAAAATAGAAGTTCAGAACTAATTCCCCGTTCGGCTTTCCCATACCGCCAATTAAATGACCTCCGCTCTCAATTAAAAAGCCTGTACACCCTTCTGATGTTAAAACACCTGACCTAAACGTCTCTCCCCCTCTGCACTGTGCAGATGTTCGTGACAGAGGTGAACTCCTACAGGGATCACATCATTGAACTGGACAAGACAGGAACACATTTGAAGTACTTCAGCCAGAAACAGGATGTGGTCCTGATCAAGAACCTGCTGCTCAGCGTGCAGGGCCGCTGGGAGAAGCTGGTGCAGCGGTCTGTGGAGCGAGGTCGTTTGTTGGATGACGCAAGGAAGAGGGCAAAACAGGTTAGAGGGCTTTGTTGCAGCGCAGTTAAGATATTTCATCATCAGTGGAAAGCTCTGGAAATAGTACATTAAGCCTGTTCTGTAAGCTGCAGTTTATTGCTCCGATTTCATTACAATGGGCCGTAATCTGAATATTTAACAGGACATAAATCAAGTGAAATCAAATATTTTGTTTCTTTATCCTTCATTAGTTCCATGAAAGTTGGAATAAACTGATGGAGTGGTTGGACGAGTCTGAGAAGACTCTGGACTCAGAAGTGGAGATTGCCAACGATCCAGACAAGATCAAGACGCAGCTGGCTTTACACAAGGTGACTGAGCAGCGTCTCATCGCACTTCACCGGGGAAATGATGAAAGTTTTATTTATATATTATATATATATTTAACAGAAACAACATTTTTATTATACAATATGGAGACGTCTGTGTTTAAAACGTGATGTGTGTGAGTGTTAGAAACCGATGCATCCAACAATAAAAGGCATTTATGGAAATTACAGTATGAATGGAATACATTAGCCGTGCCTTTGCTAGCGTGACGGACTAGCCAGCCGTATCGTGTTGTTACTGCAGTGTTACGGGCTGATACTGTGCTAATCCTATCATAATCCCGGGAGGGACCGAATGTATTAGGAGCCGCTGTGTTCGGATACTTTTAATCTCCGTGGACCAGCGGCTCTTGAGGTTTGACCCCCTTTTTAGTTCCCTCAGAGAAAATGCTCCCCTAATCACAAATCACACGGCCATATTAGAAAAAGCTCAGTGTAACCCCGTGCATTTTAAAATACACTTCAAAGAATCCGCTATCGGATAGTTTCTGCTCTTTCAATCTCTTCATGACGCGAAACATCTTCACCGTTTGATGACGTTTTTTTTCCTCATACACAGGAGTTCCAAAAGGCTGTGGGCAGTAAACACTCAGTGTACGACACCACCACTCGAACAGGACGGGCCCTGAAAGACAAGACCTCCCTCCAGGACGACAATCAGAAGCTGGACGACATGCTGAGTGAACTTAGGGACAAATGGGACACCGTCTGTGGCAAGTCAGTTGAAAGGTAAAGATACTTCTTTGCACATTTGTTTCAACTACCAGCCAAACAACAACAAATCACACATTTTTGCGGTGGGATTCTTCCCTGTTGATGATTTGTCTTCTTCTCCTGCAGACAAAACAAGCTTGAGGAGGCCCTGTTGTTCTCCGGCCAGTTTACAGATGCTCTGCAGGCTCTCATTGACTGGCTGTACAGAGTGGAACCCCAGCTGGCGGAGGACCAGCCCGTACACGGAGACATTGACCTGGTTCTCAACCTGATAGACAACCACAAGGTAGGAAACCACACCAGGCTAAATCTAAACCAGAGCTCTCTTGATCTGGTTAAGACATCAGAAGCATAAAGGTTCCACTGCTGTATTAATATCACCCTTTTCTTTTCACCATTGGTTGTTGCTCATCACAATACTAACAAAGGACACTAAAACCACACTTGGGTTGGGCTGCAATTCAACACAAAGGGCTCGCATTTTAGTGTCTTTCTACTGAGAGTCTCTGTTGTTAACTCACCTGCGCAACAAAGATGTCAAAATAACTCGTGCAGTGTTTGGTCATTCAAAATGTTGTTAGTAATATTTTACTGCACTACATGAGAAGGTTTATTCAATCATGTTTGTACCATTTTGCCTCAGTAATTTTTCATTGAAATTATAAATAGCAGAAATATGCTGTTAAGCAAATCCTATATTAGCGAATGCGCTGTTTGACTGAGTCGTCCTCCTGTTGGTCGCTGCAGGTGTTCCAGAAGGAGCTGGGAAAGAGGACAGTGACCGTCCAGGCCCTCAAGCGCTCAGCTAAGGAGCTGATTGAAAGCAGCCACGATGACTCGTCCTGGGTCAAAGCCCAGATGCAGGAGCTGAGCACTCGCTGGGACACGGTGTGCAACCTCTCGGTGTCCAAACAGGCCCGGCTGGAGCAGGCCCTGTGTCAGGTAATGTGGAGCCCCGACGGTCCTCAGATGGACGCTTAACTGACTCTGGGAGCCTCACTGATCTGTTTCCTCTGGCTGCAGGCGGAGGAGTTCCACTCCACGGTTCATATCCTGCTGGAGTGGCTGGCTGAGGCAGAGCAGAGTCTGCGTTTCCATGGCAGCCTGCCTGACGATGAGGAGGCTGTGGAGACGCTTATCGAACAACACAAGGCAAGCATTGAGAAAAAATGATTATGTTTTATCTTGTGTAGCATTTTAGGTATGTATTTGACATTTGGATGGTTTTGGCTGTTTCAATCAATAAAGGGAATGTGCTTTTTTTTGTCTTTCACTTTAGTTAAAACCCGACCCGATTCGGTTATTGCGAGATCTCGTGCTATATTTCATTCCAAACACGCAGTGTTGCATATTAGAGGCAGATATTTTCTGAGGTATGATTCCATCTGAATCCAGAGGAAGATCTAATATTATTTATTTATTATTTTGAAGGAGTTCATGAAGAAACTGGAGGAAAAGCGAGTGGCTCTGAATAAAGCAACCAGTATGGGGGAGGCTATTCTCATCATCTGCCATCCAGACTCTATCACAACCATCAAACACTGGAACACCATCATTAAAGCCCGACTTGAAGAGGTCAGTTCACAGCTGCATACAAGCCTTTCATACTCATAGGTGTGACACAATTATACAATTGGGTTCAGTTTTTTTTTTTTGCAGAAACCATTAAATCCACATTTTCTGGTGGCATGTGTGTTTGCCTCATCACACAAAAGCTATTTACTGTGAGTAATATGTGTGATGTTGCTGGTACAGGTGCAGGCTTGGGCCAGACAGCACCAGCAGCGACTGGCCTCGGCCCTCACTGAGCTGTTAGCCACTCAGGACCTGCTGGAGAATCTGCTCACCTGGCTTCAGTGGGCTGAGTCCAACCTGGACGATAAGGACAAGGAGCAGCTGCCGCAGGAGCTCGAAGAGATCAAAAGCCTCATAGAAGAACACCAGGTTACAATTATTTAAATGCTTTGATTTCTTTTTTTTTCTTTCTTCAAGAAGTTGGCTGTAAGTGTACATGAACCACACTGGAACATGTTTTTTTGCTTTTCCCTACAGGCATTCATGGAGGAAATGACCAGGAAGCAACCAGATGTTGACAAAATCACCAAGACACACAAAAGGAAGGCTGCTCTGGAGCCGCCGGTCCAGTCTCACATCCCTGTGCTCGACAAGGGAAAACCCGGGAGTATGTATGCCACTGATACCCCTCACAGAGCGTGACCTCAGCCATCTGGCCCGGTGTTTAGCTTACCGCCGGGCGAATGGACTTCCTCGTTTTGTCCATTTTAACACCTGGGATGATGTCACTGCTAACCTCATCTTCCTGATTACAAGGTGAGAACACCGTCACTATGAAGGTTTTTTTCTTCTTTCACCTGCAGGAAAACGCTCTCCCACACAAACAATGTATGCGTCAGCAACACAAGCTCCCATTGAAACCAAGAACCCGCGGGTCAACCTACTGGTCACTAAGTGGCAGCACGTGTGGCTGCTGGCGTTGGACAGACGGAGGAAACTCAACGATGCCATGGACAGACTGGAGGAGGTAATCATGCACTCATGTTTTACACACAACGCCCCTCAGTGAACATACAAGCATGTTTTTTCCTGCAAATCTCTGCTCACATGACCCTCCTCTATGTTTCTGTGCAGGTAAAGGAATTCGCCAACTTCGACTTTGACGTGTGGCGGAAGCGCTACATGCGCTGGATGAACCACAAAAAGTCCCGTGTCATGGACTTCTTCCGGCGCATTGACAAAGACCAAGATGGCAAGGTGACCCGACAGGAGTTCATAGAGGGCATCCTCTCCTCCAGTAAGTGTCACTCGACGTACAAACCCACGACTGAACGGCATGTAGCGTAGCCGGCTAAACGCTCACTTCGCGCCACTCCAACAGAATTCCCCACCAGTCGTCTGGAGATGAGCGCTGTGGCGGACAGATTTGACAGAGACGGGGACGGCTACATTGACTACTATGAGTTTGTGGCGGCTCTTCATCCGAACAAGGACGCTTACAAACCGCTGACAGATGCTGACAAAATTGAAGATGAGGTGATGCGACTACGAATTCTGAATGTAAATTGAGAGACGTGTTCAGGGAATTGTGTTTGAATAGAATGTCCTCTGGTTTCAGGTTACGAGACAAGTGGCCAAATGTAAATGTACAAAACGATTTCAAGTGGAGCAAATTGGTGCAAACAAATATCGGGTAAGCAGATTTGAATCAAATGTTTTATTAAGAAAATTGTTCCAACAAACATGAGCAAGGCCATGGCTGTGAAATGTTTTAAATTGTAGTGGCTCAGAAAGGTAAGAGATGCAAAAAGTGCCAATAAAAAACAATAGATGGTAAAAAATGTAACCGTTGCATATTTCTTTTGTTCCCCTCATCACCAGTTCTACCTTGGAAACCAGGTACATATGAAAGGCCTCTTCTCCTCTAAACCCTTTGTTCTGTGCCTTATCGAGCCTCTTTCATTTACCACGTCTGCTTTTCAATGAACTCGCTGATGTTTACAGACTGAAACTCAGAAGTAGAAATAAAGATCTACGGCCATCTGATCTACTCCTTAAGGAAATCTGGCCCGTGAAGTCTTTTCAGTCCATTTTGACATCTTGCTTTAAGTCAGTAATGAAAGAAGAATTTAAATGTGTTTAGGTTTTATGTGATTCTTGCACTTTTCAGATTTTTCTGATGTTGTTGTTTGATTGAAAAGTAGGCCAATCCAGCTGAAACATAGTCTAGTATACTGTAGATATTTAACCACACATCTGCTTTTGAGTTTCAGAAAATGCAATATTAAAAGCCAAAACCATTTCAGCCCATATCTTGTATTAGTCCATGGGCATAAATTCATCTGCTGGGCAGTGTGGAAAATAATGCTTTCTGTGTGCTTGCCTTTGGCTTTTCATGGGAATGATTTATCTCCACTTTGGCTGACACACTTTAGGGGAACCGACACGGTTTTATTCATGTACTTTCATAGTTGGGTTGACCTTGACCATTTTAATGAATACTTTTCTTTTCTTTTGAATCAATGAGTTAACATGTCTCAACAAATTGCATGCTGCGGTTTGAAATCCATTACTTGAAATTCTTCAAATGCTTCGTGAGGCTTGTCTGGATTGGGATGAATAATGGGAGCTGTTAGCAAGATGGGGAAGGGGCTTTAGTGTTGTATGAACTAAGTTGTATTGTGTCAAACAACAATGAATTGACTTAATTCTTTTGACAGTTTGGTCTGGTTCACTGCTTACATGACTCCCTAATCGGCGAAGAGATATTAGCAAACAGGGAAAATCAAAATCTTACTCCTCACCTACACGTTGCAGTTTTGGAAAGCTGTATTCTGGTAAATGGTTATTCTTAAGATGTTTCTTGTGCCTCTTTTTCCTCCAGATCATCATCACGTTTAATGTATTTGATCACAATAAAAATCACCAGTGGCATTAAATCATTATAATAATCATACAGGATCGTTTTTACTAGTTGAAAATAGACGTCATAAGATAACAAGCACTTAGCAGAGGCTCATCATGTCTGCGTGTCACATTGTGGTGGATTAGGCGGAAATGATTTGAACCATTCCTCATGTTGTCCTTGGTGCTGCATTGGATTTGCATCTTTGTCAATGCACCCCGAGCATTTGCGTCGCTGTCGTAGAAAGTGCAACAAAGTGCTGGATTGCAGGCGGTGGCTGTTTGTTGGCTTGTTCATGTTGTGGAATTGTTTTGTTTTCTTTGTGACAGGAAGCATGCGGCTGTGATTGTCCCGTGTAAATTAAGTCTTTGGGCTCATATCCAACTGGCTGACTTCTGTCCATCAACGCATACACCATGAACCATTCACATCCATTACCTGCTTCTCGTTCTTGTTCTGTATGTGTGGTTGGTGCGATGAGGGCAAAGTTTTGTACGCTAGCGCCTTCCGGTGGTAAAATAATGTGCCTTCAGTTAACATTTCTTCACAGGGTCAGATGCTGTCAGACATTACAAAGTCAGACATTACAGCTAGAAACCACACATCAGCTTTCAAGTTTCATTAAAATAGATCCACTGCTGTATCATTAAGTTTTCAGTTTGCAATAAACTGTAGTTCTGTTGATGGCACTGTTACTAACGATAGTCAGGCTTAACTTCGATTGATGGTACGCATGAGTAAATGTCAGGCATGAGAAAAGCAAACAGCAAATTTAGTGTGACCTCATTTAGAATTGGACTCATGTTGTAATTTACAAACACTACATTAAAATCACACCCACCAGCACGCAATACTAGAAGAAAACCAGTTGGATTGACCTTTGTGTAATCTGTGTCTTTAAGAATGTTAATGATTTCTTCTCTTTGTGTAAATCTGTTCAACATGAAAAGGAAATCAGAGTGAATTGGACAAAAAAGCCTCTTTGACGGCTGTTTGATTTTTGAATGGACAATTTAGATTTCATTTGTCTAATTAAAAAAAAAACCTCAAGATCTTTTTTCTTCTTTTGGAATAAATGTGATTCTCCAAACCAGTCTGGTTTCCAGTGTTGGATGGCATTCAGCCTGCAGTGAGTGTTCAAACAAAGGTCATACAAAGGTTTTCACACATCTCTCGTTCCCCCCCTTCCTTCCCTCCCGCTGTAGTTTGGAGACTCTCAGCAGCTGCGCTTGGTACGAATCTTACGCAGTACTGTGATGGTGCGTGTCGGAGGGGGCTGGATGGCTCTGGATGAGTTCCTGGTGAAGAATGACCCCTGTAGAGGTGAGATCAAAAGTTCACCACAACAAGTCACAATGCAGGATATTCATTTATCTAAAAAAAATCTCATTAGGAAGGTGATAATCTTCGGGTCTTTATCGATCAGGTTTTGATTGTCTGCCTTCTGATTAAAAAATATACATATATCGTTGTGGACTACTGCTGTATGAATAGTTGCCACTGATAAAGAGTACTATTATTACATTTTGAATAATATTACAGATACAGAGTTAAGATATGTTCTCCACTACACCATTACAGCCGCAGTGATCTGTCATCACTATTTAATGTGAACTGATTTTAAATCAGTTCATGTTGAGGATTGATTATACCATACATTACTTACATGATTCAATTCAGCTAATCCATTTCTCAATAAAAATGATCTTATAAATATTTTTACCAAACTGACATAGTACCAGTGTTTCATTAGTTAATCAATTAATTCAGAAACACCCAACTGTGAAGGGATTAGTATTTTCTTGGTTTCAGATTCATCAAGTTTAAGAGTTTAGTCGTTAATTTCAATGCAAGTGGAAATAACCACAGTGACGGCTTTTTATTTTTGTGCTGATTTACGTCATATTTAGGAATCAAGAATTTCTCATTCTTTTTTGTCACAACACTGAGCTCCACCATCAAATATTAGCAAGTGGAGTGAAATAACACATCACTGTAGCAAAGTGCAATGAGTAACGCAGTTAGAGACAATCCTCCCCGTGTTAACGTCTGGTGCAAACGCTCTCAGTACTTTGCTTCTTTCTGCTGTCTTCTGTATTAATGATACATTTCTGTATTTCCCTGCCAAACCCTCCTCCGGCCCAACGTGGTATCATTTCTTCTAGTCCATCACCACGGAAGCAAAATGTTGCGCTCGGAATCAAACTCTTCGATTACTCAGTCTCCTATAGGTTGGCAAATCTCAAACCTTCTCACCATGCTTCATGAACCCACCTGTGGTATGTGTGTCTGCACATCCGAGTGTGCGCTGCCTGTGTTGTTGCTGTACCATTAGCTGTGTGTGAGTGCTCACCGTGAATGGGATTCGCATACGCCAGCTTCACTCACAATCCGGCCGTCTTTCAGCTGCGGCTGGTTTTCATGCATGCAGGTAGTTTTGTGTGAGTTGCATCACCCGATGGCATTTTCTTAACGTCGATATTTTGGGACATAATGAGGTCTTTGACAATCAAACGGACACTATGATGTTGTCTATGTGTAAGACAAACAACAAAAGCAAAGCAGTATTTCTGCACTGCTGACTTTGTGTGTCAGTGTGATTTTAATCTGCATGTAAGACAGTTTTTTTTAATGCAGGTCTGTTTGTTTTCCATTTGTGTGGATTATGTAACCTCGGTTTACATAATCTACTGATGTGGGAATGTTTGGCCACACTTTGATTTGTTTGAATCTTTTCCCCATTTGTTTAGCAGTGAAGCAAACAAAAACGTTTTGCTGGTTTGGAGACAAAGTTTTTTCCGCTTCTGTTGCGGAGTTATGGATGAGATGTGACGTCTTGTGTTTTTCTTTTTTTGTACAGTAGTTTTTTCTTTGTCTTCATTTCAAATATTTTGCTTTATATAAAAACACATTATGGTAACACTTTATTTTATATATTTTCCTTATACAATCATTTTTTTGTTACCTCAAACTGCACCATGTGACTGTGTTGATCACGAGGTTAGAACGGTTGGTTCAACAGTTTAATGGAAATGTAAATCAAAACAACTTAACAACTTTTATTGTAATAGTTTCCATTATTATTTAGAGGCTAAATTGAATTACTTATATGTCCTCAACTTCCACCATTGCACAAGAGTATTTTGAGTTGAGGATGTGCAGCAAGCTTATGTCGCATCTTGCAAATGTGACCAACATCCGTTATTTCTTATGTGCACATTCTGTGCAGTTGGAACACACTAAACTAAATGTTCAATTATATTTAGTATGAATAGTTGGTTATTATGGCATTTAAAACATAGACAGTATTCTATGTATACATTTTTAATTAATTATTATTATATTTATTATTTCCTACACCAGGAAGAAATTTGGGGAAATTTAATTTGTAGACAAGCATACAATTAAAAAACACAAGAATAATACATACATAAACAATCAATCTTTCCCTTAGTGTAAATAACGCAGTTCTTTCAAGGACATATTTTATATTTTTTTATATTTTAATCATAATTGATACCAAACTATATATTTACCCATGGGAAATGGGGGTATACAAAGAGAAAATAAAGTGTTAACTCTCATCACCATTCATACAAAATCAAAAGTAAATATGATTCCAGTTGTATTTATTTAATATGGCTCATTTGGAATGTCACTTCATAGCTAAAGGGAGGACAAACGTGGAGCTGCGAGAGAAGTTCATCCTCCCAGAGGGAACCACTCAGGTGATGGCGAGCTTCCGTTACAGAGGTCGGAGATCGCGCCCGTCATCTAGAGGAGCTTCTCCCAACAGATCCACCTCCAGTCAGAGCTGTGCGGTCCCATCAGCGCCAGCAGTGACCAGTACGCCAAAGGTAGGAGGCTCTGCTCTGCTGTGAGAGACCGTTACCTTGTTGTGTTTCACACTGTGATTGTGATTGACTGTTCACTTCCCCACCATGATCTCCCTCTTATTTCTATACCTTATTCCATTTGTATTCCCATTTTTTGATCAAGTTCCTGTTCACTTTTTGTGTTTCTTCCATCTCGTCTTTCTGGTAGTTTTTGATTTGTGAATCCATATTTGTGTTTTTTGATTTGCCATTGTTTCCCAGACTCCCCAACACATAACCCGCAATTATGATAAGCCCTGGCTCACAAACAGCAAACCCTCCACTCCTCTTAAATCATCAGACTCCTTTGGGAGCCAAGGTTCATCCTCAGAGGTATAATCATACATTATAGTCATTTACAGCACATGATGTGGGACGCTTCCCATTTATGACCCAACTGAAATCTGCTGCTATTAACACAGAGATGAAAATCTATGTATCACCAGTAAGGCTGGTTTGTAAAAGCCTTATTTGTTAGAGTTATATAATTCTTGATTTTGCTGTTATCACATTGTATTCTACAGTGGGAAAAAAAAGGCCATAGAGACTTCATTTGGGTCAATAAACTCTTAACACGCTTGATTACTAATGGACTGAATATTTAATTCTTGTTTGAAAAAATTTCCACCTCATTTTAACATTCATATAATATGAATAACATTCAACTATCAATATGCAATGTAAGCATGTGTGATGATTTTATAACCAAAGGTTTGAACTAATTCAAAAACTGAACTACTGAAAAAATGAGATTGGCTAAAAGATTTCTTTTTTTAATCAAATTTAAAACTAACTCAACAACATATATTCTGGAACAACTATTCATGCATTCGATAAGGACTATTTTCTCTAACGCTGTTGTTTACTTCCATTGATTACAAACCTAAGCAGTTCCTGTTCTATCTTTTGCAGGGAACACCAGTTCAAGGAAGCAAGTTACGTCTTCCTGGGTACTTGTCAGGCAAAGGATTTCAGACCGCTGAGGAGGGAACCTTGATCAGCGCTGCGGTACTCAAAGCTCGGACACAGACAATAGGTGGTGAGTAGAGAGCAAATTTAGTGACTCTTTTTGACATTATGAATGTATTTTTGTTGGTTGGGCTGTTAGCTCCTTCAATATGATTTGAGACAATGGAAACAATGCAGCCGCTGATGAAGTGTTGCAATGACTTTTTTAGGGGTCATTTAAAAGTTGCTTTACAAGAACAAGTCATTTTGCCGTTCGAAAGGCTACAAAATGAACGAATGTCTTATGAAATGAAGCTAACACATTGGCCTCTTTGTCTTTCTAGAGTCAAGAAAAAATCCGAGCCGGCCCGGAAGTAAAGCAGGGAGCCGAGGCAGCAGCCGCCGAGGAAGTGACGCCTCTGACTTTGACATCTCAGACATCCAGTCTGTGTGCTCGGACGTTTCTGAAACAGTGGGCGACTCGACCAGAGCGACGTCGCGTTCTGCGTCCCGACAGCATGGAGGAAAACCCTCCAAGATCCCCACTCCGCAGAGAAGAACCACTCCCACGAGCAAACTGGCTAAGGGGCTCAAGCGATAGTCAGTGGCCTTGGAAAAAACAACAAAACAAAAACGGGAGCTAGTTGCACCTTAAACGGACACTGGAGACATCTAACTTAAAAGACTGAAAATTATGTTGTTATTTAAATCATTGCGAAGATGTAAAATATTCTGTTGTGAGGCAATATGGTTTAATATTATGTGAGAATGAAATGTTAATGGCCTTGCATTTTAGTTTTTAATGTATTTTACTTTTTGTGAAATGTTTAAAATTGTTTTTATTGTATTTAATTTTATTCTATTGATGAGAAAACCTGTAGAGGTTTGATGGACACTAGAAAACCTTGGAATGTTGTATGGTTAGCTAACATTTCTAAAAACACTAATGAAGGGCAACACGCGGGTTAGCGCTCTGAGAGTTACTGAATGTACTGTGATTTATGTTTGCTGATGTTTGGAGAAGATGGTGCATTATGTTACCATTGAGGCACTGCAATTATACATTTAATTGATATGATATACTGCCAACATGCATTTAAAGGGCAATGCAATATACGTCAATAAACCCCAGTAAGCACTGCAGAAACCTTCGAACACACTATTTAAGGCAAGTAGCAGAAACATCCTAACCATAAAGCTTTTACGTCCTGTTTGTTGGTGTCAGTGCAGTCCCAGTTTCATTTGAGGGGGGGGGGGCACTCCATGTAGACATTTTCTTGTGCATCCATGTCAATGTATGGTTCATTTCGGTAGAGCTGAAATTGTCACTGTAACATTACTTTGTAATAAACCTGCTTGCAGAAAGGCACCAGAGGCTAATGTACACCAAAGAATCCTCTCCTTTTTTACTGATTTTAGCTCATTTCATTAGCCATGCTAGCAATGCGCTGTTGATTAAGGGGTGATATCAGGAAAGGCATGCCTTGTTCATTGTGTAATCACAGTTGTGAGCAAAGAACGGTGTTCAGTTTTGGAATCAGGCGTAACAATATTATGTCTAATATCCATCTATAATTGTATGAAAATCTGTATATTTATACACATTCATATTTATTTATACAGGCCAAACAGAAATTTAAAACATAATCCCAAAGTAAGCTGACATGCCGTTACTAAAATACCAATTTAAACTTTACCAAAGACTAACTGATGCTGAAAATGTTTTACACTACAAAATGAATTTCCATCACCATGATTTTGGCGGCCCCTGTGGACAAAAGTAGTAGTGTTTCATAGACCCAGATTGTTTTTCGAAACCTTTCATTTTACTGCAGCAGGGTGTGACACAGGTTGCTCCGCACAGTCTTGTTTCTGGTTCTCCAGTTGCTCCCTTGGCTCCAGAAGGCCCAGCGGTGCAGCTAAAGACCCTACAGGTGAAGGTGTCTGTGTCAGCAGCAGGAACTGTCGATGCAAAGAGGGGAACGCCTTGGTTTGGTGGGTGAGGGCGGCTTTACAGATAAGTAGAATCATTTTAAACGACCCTTCAAAACCAAACTAGGCTGTTTTCAGTTGTAATGTCGGTATCTTCTCTACCATTGATTTGCTGTTAGTGGTATTGGTGACGGCCCAGCATTTGGTTTGCTTATTTTGAGGACATTAAACTCTTGAAGTGCAGGATATCTTTGTTTCTGAAAGGTATCCCCATTTGTGTGACATGAAAGTGACATTTAAACCAATTTTTGCAAGTGAAGGGTAATTTGTACAGCAACATTTCAATCTCACAACCTTTGAATTGAACAACAAATAGATGGATTGTTCACGTATTTTTGCATCATATGAGAATGGTGTGCAATATAACCATTATAATTTTAGGCTTTATGGTTATTCTATAAATTGTTAACGTTGCACTGGGAAGATGGTAAAATCAAGCATATGATCCAAAAAAAGTCAGTTAAGTACAATTAAAAGAATATAGTATTTATTCTAACATGCTCTTGTTAATTTGATAAAGAATAATCCATAATTTAAGCCATTGGTGTAAAATACTTTTACACTGACGATATATTTCATAATATATGAAAATGAATGCTTTTGGGGAAGTGGATTTTGAGAATCCTTTTGCAATTTGCCCCTCGCCTTCTTAAGTTCTGACAGTGGGAGCAGCTATAAACTGTATATCTTTGTTATTCCATAGTTTTCTGCAATGTCCCTGCAGCCTGGTTGTTCGATGCAGTGTGGAGGTTCAGATTGGAGGTGGGGTCTACTCCGGCTGGCATGTTTGCAGAGCGTCTTGTGTTTATCTGTGACATACTACATCTTTCTCTCACTGAGACCGAAATGGTAAAACATTTTGTCTTAAATGAACATACACTACATTTTGGGGACTGTTTTTTATTGAAGTTTTATTGAAGTTTACAGCCCCAACAAGAGTTTTTTTTTATTGTATCCATGTATTTGGAAGACACATACAGAAGCTATTCACACTTTGATTTATGAGAGCAACATTGTGCACAACTTGGCTGAAGCAGAGGCTTATTCTTCAACATTTCTGTTACTTTTCTCCTTCCAACAGCTACACAAAGGCCTCAATATGTTCATCTGCATCTCCTGAATTTGATGACACTGTTTACGTGAATCGTCGTGACTGTCGGCGTGACTGGCCTATGAGAATCCACAGATCCCCCGGGGACCAAAGGTGGAGTGGAGCTCAGGGATGATGCTTGTTTGAGATCCAGAGCTTCCAGTTTGAACGGTTCCTCCTGTTCAGCTCAAACACTGGGCCGTGGGATACATCCTCACGCAGGGAACTAGAAAAGACCCCTCTGCAGGAGCCCTGGGACTTTCTTTGTGGGTAATATGTGAGTAATGAAACATTTATCTTAAATTATTTCTTCATTATTTTATTATCATACATTTTGACATAAATAAGTTAAATTGTATATGATTTTGGGTTGCTATTCAAAAGTATGAGTATTTCTCTATTTTGTTAAATCTTGAGAAAGAAAGCACTTCAATTCAGTGGACACACTACAATCCAATATGGTCGTTAACCCGACTAAACTAAGACATTTAAATATTTCATTTAAAAAAGAAAAACATTGAATTACAGTTTCACTTGTTTGCATCTGATATACAACAAGGTTATGCTGAGAAATGTGACGCAACATTTTTCCGTTTTATTCATATTCATAGAAATACTATGATTTAAATTTACTACACACTATATACTCATATATAATCTAATCCGACTTCTGAAATTACTGATTTATTTAATTGTTTTGTTTTACTGCAGGCACTTCTAGCCCCTGACTTCAAATCATTTAAAATGCCAGCCTACAAAGAAACGCTGCTCTTTGCAGCATTCTTTGCCTTCCTTGGACTGACCCAGTGCAAAAAGTTGCCAAGTAAGTCTACATTTATTTTCCATTTGAATTTGATGACAGCAACACCTATTTCCACGGTAAAAGAAGTAACGCTCACACTTGTATTGTTAGACTTGCTAAACACGCTGCTGCAATCCATGCCAGCATTCCCTTATTAAGCATTTCCTTGTTTGATCGTATAAAACAGAGTTGACATTATTCTGAGACATCATTTTAGTGACCCGCACGTTTTCCATAATGATCAGTGTACTACGGCACCGTGACCAGCAGATGTCAGCGTTTATCAGTTCAGAAGCCCTTTGTTTGCCTCCACAGCAATCAATGTGGACACTGAGAGGTCAAAAGACCATCCCGGGGTTAAACTTTGTGGACAAAACTTTGAAGCTCTTTCTCACTTACCATAACGAATCAACCCGATCTCTGGTGTCCGACTCACAGATAAAACGGTGAGAAATAGTAAACGCTTCACCGAGCAGTTGTGATCTCAGTAATAAACTTTTCTTAAGGTAAACTGTCTTTTGATATTCGTTTTTTGTTATGCTGGTCTATTGATTGTAATACATGGCAGTGAAAAAAATCAAATTAGTCTACAGACAATTTCAAAATCAAAAGGGTGAATTCTTAACATGCAACTGTAATAGGCATATATTTTTTCTTTTTTATTCTACTTACAAATATTCTACTTGAATGTTTGTCATCACAATCTTTCGACAGCTCTCACGTGCATATTTTTACTTTACAGGAAAAAACACCACAGCCAAACTGATCTCCTTTAAACTACAGCACAACTTTCTTGTGGTTAAAATTCAAAAGCCAAATCCACTAAATACAATGAAGAGCCTCTTCCTGTTACTGGGTTTCATAAATTTCCTCAGTCTGCCTGTGAAGAGACGGCATTCTCAATGACAATGAGTTATGCGTTCGTTAAAAAAGAATCAGTGACATCAGCGATTCAGAAGCAGCACCTTTGATGCTGAACGGTTTTGATGTCAAACTAAGCTACGTGTTTTTGCTGCGAGGCTTTGATCTGCTGAAGGACTTCCATGTGCCCGACTCGAGAGGAGTGAGGATCGTGAACGGTTCTCAGCCTCAGACGGTGGCCTACCGCGTCAACCCCTCCGTCCATCTCCGGAGGACCATGAGGTACAGATGGACGGCCTGGGGCCTGTTAGTGTGTGGTCAGAGAATTGAAACGTTTGAGATGAATGTAAATGCTTTTCAGAAAGCTGAAGCTAAATTGCAACATGCTAGCATTGTATTGTAAAACATTCTTATATAATATATTATGTAACCCCCCCCCCCCCCCGCCCTCAGCTCTTTAAACCCGTCATGTGTCTGCCACAGCAATGTGTATCCAGACGGACTTCCCTCCGACTACTCCGTCATTGCAACATTTAAGGTGACAAAGGACGCTGCCAAGAAGTCCTGGGACCTGTGGCAGGTCAGTGACCCCGGGGGTCAGGAGCAAGTTGGCCTGCGTTTCCAGGGTGACACGCGCTCTTTGGCCTTCTTCTACACCGGCCCCCGCGGGAGCCACATGCTGAGAACCTTTTACGGCGTGGAGCAGCTGTTTGATGGAGAGTGGCACAAGTTGGCGCTGAGTGTGAAGGGCAGCCGGGTGAAGCTGCTGATCGATTGTGAAGAGGTCAGCGTGGAGTCCATTGACGAGCCGAGGCCGGTCCTCTACCGAGGGTACACCTCCATCGTCAAGAGGGCTGCAGGAGATCGCTCTATGTCTGTGCGTTCACAGCGTGGATTTATATACATATTTGTATATATATATATTCTAAGCAATATGGGATTTGGGATGAAACTGTTTTTTCCACGTTATCTCCCGGCTCTTTCCAGGTGGACCTCCAGCAGATGGAAGTGTCATGTGACCCGGAGCAGGCTTATTCAGAGGGCTGCTGTGAGCTTTCCAGCGTGGTTAGTCAGCCCCCGTTCAACACCATTTCATTCTCTCTGTCGGAGCAGTGTTTTTGGTCTTAATACCTTTGCCTTGCCTTTTTATTTATGGCAGTGCGGAGGATACGCAGAGATCGGCCTAACGGCTGGAAGAGCGTCTTGCAAATGCATGCACGGACAACCTGGTATTCAGGGAGCTCCGGGACCAAAGGTCAACATACCTACATACGTACAGTGAGTTGTGGCTGACCATCCTTAATTTAAATCTCCGTTGATATATTCTTTTGTTCTCCTGCAGGGACACAGAGGTCTTCCAGGAAAAGCCGGAGACCAAGGAAGACAAGGAAACTGGGTAATGAAAATAATGAAATGCCTCTCAGTCATGAATTATCAACCCTAGTTTTACACTGAACTTAGTTGTTGCTTTAGCGTCAGCAGCATCCCCTTCCTATAAAGAGTTAAACTGGACTGGGGTGAGGGACGTAGTAGACAGAGTGACATTTCTTTGTAAGACAGCAACAAAACTGTGGAAAAAGGGAACAGACGTCCAACTGAGAAGCAAGAGGATGGAAACAGATCTGGAAGGAGAAGCGCTTGGTGATAGCAAACATAGAGGCTCCCTTCATAGTTTAAAAACTCACGTCCGATTTACGTCAAAGCCAAGGTAAACACACGCAAATAAGGATTTAATCATACATTGTTTTTTGTCCTTCCGAAATTGCCATTTGTCTCTTAAAACAAAGAGCCTGCCGGTTTAGAAGACAGGATCTAACTCAAATTGGAAAGAGATCATAGGATTCTAAATAGCTTTGCCTTTTCCATTTGGTGGACATTGAGCCAAATGTAATGAATCCCACACACACGAGAAAACCAGTTGAGCAACAAGCCTCCCGTGTCTGCTAATGAGTAGCATCACTAGTGTGTGAAATTTGTCTTTTCTTCATCCATCTTCATTTTTGCGGATGAGGCTAATTATTGCCCCACAGGAAGATCAAACTGCGAAAGTAATGAGATGTTTGAGAAAAACGATAATGAACAAAGTAGTCTGCTGCAGGAGCCAGTTAATAAAGCATCGACAAATGAACAAATACACATTGTGTCCTTCAGGGAGCCGCAGATTATTTCCACTTTAAATTTATGACTTGTTAATCCCTTCATGCTTAACAGTCGGTGTTATGTTGGAACAGATCTGAGAGCCATTTGAAGAAAAAAAGAAACAGTCTGGAGAACATGTGTTTAAAGAAGGAGGATTATTTGTTATAGCTATGTGATCGTTGGGCATTTAACATGCCCTTTGCACTCAAGGAAATCCCCCACGCTGCTTGAGCAAACACACGTATGCCTCCAGAACCCACGTACATTCACAGCACATTTCCAGGGCTGTACACGCTACATATTCATGTCCAGAGTAGCAGCTGTTGCTCATCTGGGAGTAAACATCTGTCTTGTGTAACTCGTTAGGATTTTGACCTCCCGCCAGCTCGTGAATCACAGAGCCCAAACATGTTTATCTCCTCCCCTGCTGGCATCCAAGGAGGGCATTTCCTGGCACACATGTATGAACTCTCCGTGTTGGGTGGTGGGTGGTCCCTGGTTGGTCGGAGCTATACTGCCTTACAAAGCGCTGTTAAGTTCACGGTTCTGCCTCACGCCGAACCGTCGGCCATGTCTGAGGTCGTCCGTCGTCGGGGGCCAGCTCGGCTTGAAGTTAGGTGAGATGCTCAAATAAACTGACGACGCAAAGGCATCCTGGAACTTGTTTAATCTGTTTGTTGACTCAGCGAAATGCTGCCAACTGGGAAACACTTTTCCTTGTACAACCGAGGAAGTCAGCATCTGTATAAACAATAGGCCGGCCCACTTTGTTATATTTCTGACTTGTGTTTCTTAAATCCTGCTGAACATTCTTGGGTGTAGTTTCCACTAATGTTAGAGCGCCGGAAACTTTACCATAGCCGGTTCGCCTTTATCTTCGTTTTTTACAACTTTTACAAAACGGTTTTTATTTTGAATACCCTCATTTTCTGTGCCGATAGTAAGAGCAATGAGATAATCAGCAGCACTCTCTTATTTGTGCTGGCTACGGCCATGAGATGGTTAGCTAGCTGGATCAAATGCCCCCTGCTTCCAGTCTCTATCCTAAACTAAATAAATCATTTCAAACTCTATTTAGTATTTTACGGTCTTATTTCCCAAGATGGTTGATTCACAAATAGCTGCTTAAGATTGTGTAATACTTACTTTCTTGCAGGGAATCCGGGGAAACACAGGAGACTACGGAAACATCGGCGAGTCCGGCCAAAAGGTGAGAGCGTCCATCATGCTCCTACCAGGCTTACGCGTCAGGTTGGTTTGAACTCCAAAAGCATTAATGAGACTTCACGCACGTCCTCAGGGTGAAGAAGGAATCAAGGGCGAGAAAGGAACGAGAGGACTCTGGGGCCAAGTGGTAATTCGTCACAATCAAACGTAATCCCTTCTTTCTCCTGACGTGTCCCAAACCTGTGTTGATGATAATGTTGTGTTAACAGGGGGGCAGAGGTCCTAAGGGGCTGAAAGGATTAAGAGGGGCAGCCGGCTTTAAGGTAAACTCCTGCTCCGTTTCAGGCCTTTTATTAAACGTCTTTCATATTGCAGCCAGCTGATGGAATTACACACTTTTCATTGGAATTCTGTTCAGTTCGCAGTTAAAGTTGCGCAACATCTTTTCTGACTAATTAAAGGGAGTTCGTGGACCACCTGGAGACATCGGAGAGACAGGAAACCTGGGAGAAATTGTGAGTTGTGCTTTCACACACACACACACACACACACACACACACACACACACACACACACACACACACACACACACACACACAGCCCCTTTGCAATGTTATTATTGTATTATTAACATTGTTGCCTCTTTGAAGGGTGCGAAAGGCGTCAAAGGACACGAAGGGATTCCCGGATTTCAAGGCGTTAAGGTATAAATGTCCTTCCTTTCAGTCTTTTTCTTTCATCTAGATATTGTGATTGAATTCCATCATGCTTGGATTCCTGCAGGGAGAAATGGGGACCAGTGGTGCAGCAGGGCGTGCCGGGCCCAAAGGAAAACAGGTGGGTTGTTATCTGTTCAACAATCAATGATGAGACACTTAACTCTTCCCACTTCAACTCCCACTACAGAGAATCATTTATAATCTAGTAAAACTGATGGAATGGAGATGTCTTTTGGTTTAGAAAATTAGCTCAAGTGGCTGGAGTTGGCAGAGACACGAGGATTTGAACTGTCAGCTGGTGATTCACTGAAAGAATAATGACCTACTCTGTGGTATAAAGAAGGCCGGCGTCCTGCCTCAACATGCAGCTCGCTGAAGGAAATGTGCTGCATATAATTCATCATTCATGATGCTTGAAATGATGATTTGACAGGGTATTGTGGGAGATCCTGGAGAGAGGGGAGTGCCTGGATTGAAGGGACAGCCTGTATGTATCAACATTTACAAAAGGATGTTCCTTTTTGTTCAATTTAGCTTTTCATAAATATTTTTAAAATTGCTTCACATTGAAGGATTTGTTTTTCGGTCTGAACTTGTGAAACTAGGGGATCCTTGGACCAAAGGGCCGAGGTGGCTCCATCGGGCCGAAGGTGATTCACCGCTGACACAATTAAGTGCCGTCTCACACCCCCAAAATCCTGTGACTTGTTTTACGATAACATTATTGTCTACCCAGGGCATTGTTGGAGATCCGGGCTTACCGGGTAGAGATGGGGATCCAGGAATACAGGTATTATATTCTGCTGATAATGATATCGTAATGATGCAGGTCAGGAGCAGCGCAGGTGTGTTATGTTGTGTGTTATCTTTTTCCTCTCAGGCGTATCAAGGACCACAAGGCGGCAGCGGAAAATTTGGACGAATCGGAACAAAGGTGGGTTGTCGTTGTTGTTTGTTTTTAGGAATAAATAGGTACAAGTGAGTTGTTTTTGGTTGATGCATTTGTGGTGGGCTGCGTCTTTCACAGGGAGAAAAGGGAACCCTCGGGCCAGCCGGTGAAATGGGTCCCCAAGGCCGAACCGTAAGTCACTTTTTCAGAAGACAAGCACGTGATGCATTTTGTACGTGAAGTAGTTTGCTTTCTTAAAAGGAAAATGACAAACAGTCCCTTAGGTTGGTTTGATAAATGTTTTATTCTCGAGGGCCCAAGAGGTTACAAGGGCTCTGCTGGGAAGCCAGGAAGACCTGGATTTATTGGCCCACCGGGACCTGCTGTAAGTGCTCCAGATTCATCTTTGGGACGGTTCCACACACTAGTTGATTGTCCTCAGGCCATTGAACCCTGCCATCTTTTCACAGGGACACGTGGGTGTGCCTGGAAAACCAGGGTCCAAGGTAATAGATCCTCATCCATTACTACTAAAAAATAATATACAAGAAATATTTACTAGTTGACTTAAATGCAATCTTATCAGGATTTAATAGTTATATAGTGTCCTGACTGGAACCTTAAAATTACTTAACCAGTGCATTTCAGATATATCTGAGAGTTGCAAGTTTTAATACTACTACTTTACTTTTGATGTGCCTTGTTCAGGGTGACACAGGAAAACAAGGAATCCAAGGAGTTAAAGGTCAACAGGTACTACGTGAAAATATTTCATCCTCTTTGCTCATCATTACATCCACTTTGAAGTTGCCTTTTATTGAGACCAAACCAAATGTTCTATTTTTTTTAAGGGGGAAAGAGGAGTTAAGGGACCAAAAGGAAAGGTGAGTTGGGAGTTTTTTGTCAGGGCCTTGTTGAAAAATATAATAATATTTCACTCAAAATATCACTTTTCCCCACATCCTGTTTACTTCCCTGAAGCAATGTGCTAAGTGAAGTTAAATGAGTTAAGAGAATATAATTTGGCTCTGCGTTGGGTCACTACATACAGCAGTCGTGTGGGTTTTGGTGTTTTGTAATACTAGAATATTCCTGCCAGACACTGGCACACAATTCATGCTCAATTCAATCCACATCTACGGAGCATCTGCAGATGTGACGAGGCCACACAATTGCACCAAAATGAATATCTCACGTTGATCTGTTTCCTCTACCAGATTTGCTTTGTTTTACAAGAACATGTGCAATTAGTTTATGAATTTAGGTATTGTTCTGCAATTGCCGCTTTTCCATTTTTCATTTCATGTTTGCACTTCTCCTCTCCGGAATTTACTTTCACGATTGAGATTCTGTTACCTACGAGTTTGCCTCACTATGTGTCTCCGTTAGTTACTAGGCTTCGTTATTCATACTTGTATGGCATGAAAATCCGTTTAAGCTGCTTTCAATAAGGTTTGCGTCCAGGCAACACATATCTCATTGTGCTCTGATGGACGCGCTGGCTCTAGGTTGGAGAACAGGGCGAGCTGGGTCCTCAGGGAGGACGGGGGAAGCGCGGCCCGGCGGGCCCACCTGGGCGATCGGGTCCCGTTGGAATCAAGGGCATTCGGGGTGAAGGAGGACCAGATGGCTTTCAAGGACCCGCGGGTCCACCGGTAAGTTAGAAACAAGTGTTGACTCATCACGTCGCTACTGTCTACTAGATCTGACACTTCATCCATCTGAAAAAGAGCGGAGCACTAAATTGCACCAGCAGTTACACTGACTGGCACACACGTGGTGTTTCGTAACAGCTTTGGTCTCAAAAACTCAGCGAGGGTTTAATTTAGTGTAATAAATCCATAATGAGCCTGAGGAAATATTGTTGGCTTCGGCTCTGAGAGGCAGCCATTGCTTCAGCGTGCCCCATCCTGCAATACTGCTTGCTGCTTGTGCTTATTACATGTCCCACCGTTGGGTCCCTTCCAGTGACTGATGTGGTAACGATTTGTTACGCAGGGCCCGACACTCCCGGCGCAACACGTGATCGAGGTTTGTAAGAAAGTGATCCTGGAGCAGATGTCCAGCTTTGCCAACTCGGTGAAGAGGACTTGTGCTGCCGTTTGTCCTCTGTACGGGGACGTGCCAATGGGCGCACCGGGTCCCACCGGACAGAAAGGAGCCCCCGGACCTGCCGTAAGTTTTGACAGTTTTGGTGTTCCTTGTTCAAAGTGAACGAGCCTGCAGCGTTCATTGCATACGTTCTATACGCATCGCTTGCTTCTGTCTCCCTGGCTGAACTAAGGGGGCTGAAGTATTTGGCTGAAAAGTGAAATCATTACGGTTTTCCACGTCTCCATAGGGACAAATAAGGAGTCACAGACTAGACACTTGGTCTGTGTTACATTTTCTTGGAGAGCATGAATGCTGTCGGCGGATTGGAAAGCCTTTTCCACATTACTATTTGGAGAAGAAACGTTTGATGTTCCTACAACTTCTTAAATCACGTTGACACTCAGGCTGATAATGCAAGCAAGGCAATTATTCAACTACATTAAGTTGGGACAGATAGCCATACCCAGAACATTGATTTATTAGTAGTATACAAGGTTATCCCAACAATGTGTTATGTAATCAGCCAATGCGTCTTTTCAGTTTTTAAAAAAGATTTTCAAAGACTACCTGCGAAGAAAAAAAACATTGCATGATTTATACAGTAAACACAAAAGATTAACGATGTATTTTCCTATGGATGTTATCAGGGTGACCCTGGTAATGATGGTGTTGATGGAGAAGTGGGCCTGCCGGGATTCTACGGAGAAGTCGGGGAACTAGGCCGGAAAGGAGAAACAGGTATGTGTGACACACCTGACTGATTTATTTTAGGAACGAAAATTGGTGGAAAAACCTGTATTAAGTGATGGTTGTTTTCCACTTAGTGGCAGGACAACAAAAAAAACATAACACTAAATAAACATATCACTAACAAATTATAAAGTTGAACAAACCGGGCAAAGTCGTGGCTCCGGGGTGTTGCACTTCTGCCCGTCGTGACCCACGTGTCTCCGTGTGTGCGTCTGGCTCGCAGGTGACCGAGGAGAGAAAGGCGATAAAGGACCCAGGGGTCATGGTCTACCTGGCTACTTTGGAGACCAGGGACCAAAAGGTAAATGAGTATTGCAATGCCGAATACAAGACTGCACTATTGTTTGATGACTTGGCTCTAAGGAGGCCTCCAGTAGATGTCCACATCTGGGCATGTGGGTCATTTCATAAACTATAATCAACCAAGCCTCTGCTTCAAATCCGAGGAAGCTGGGGGAGGAGAGCTGTTACTGTAAGACGAGCGGGATGTTTGCCAAAGAAGAAGAGAAGAAAATCTGTTAACAATCTGTTGTTGGAACCTGTGAAATAGTCACAGTCAGCTAACTGAGCAGAAATAAATGCCTAAACAAAATGTTTGCCTCAATCACAGGCCAGCGTGGGCGTCCTGGCAGAGCCTTCAACGGGCAGCCGGGGAAGCAGGGTGAGAGGGGACACCTGGGCCGGCCTGGACTCAGGGGCCACGCAGGCCTCAGGGGACCTCCAGGTGTTTGTGTCACCTCTGGGTGTGCTCAGCTGAACTCCACCAGCGGGACCCCTCAACCAGCAACACGCAGGTTGAGGAACCGTTCGTAGAGGAAGAGATTGTGGACGGTTGATTGAATGTCGAGCTTAGGGGAGGAAAACGTGGTTCATTGTTTTTTGTTAATATGTATGTTGCTTCACGTAAATTAAAATATTCATGTAAATATGCATCCCAGCTGAACTTATGGGAATGGTTTGATCTACAAAGAACACCTATGCGATTGGAAAAGTGGGAACAAATGTATTTGTATAAAAAGGCTGGCAGCGTTTTTTTTGTCTTTGAACATCTGTTCTTACATCTGTTCTTACATTTAAACATCTAAATTTAAACTCATGATCACAGTTGGGTCTCTGATTGAATAAATCACAAGTTTCTAAAATTGTTAATGTAAAACTATAGAATATATAAAGATATATAGATATAGATATATAAAGAGTTTGTGTTTCCCTGTCATGAGTGATTAGCAAATTAATCAAAACTCTGAAGAAGAGTGCAGCCAAAAGTGAACTATTTTCATGCAAATGTTCTTCAGCTGTTGTTAGAAATAGTCGTATATAGAGTGCCTATAGACTAAACCTTCCCTTGGTTTATTTAACTCAGTGCATATAGACTAAACTCTCACATTCAGCCCCCACATATTATATGCATTTGATATATAATATATACAACAATAAATTGTGCGCTTTGGCAGACAGTGTCACATGATGGATACTGGCACAGAAAACTTTCTTTAGGTAACAGTCATCTGGAATGGCTTTTTAAAAAATGACTTTGTATTATCAGAAAAATAGACATTTGCTACAATAAAAGTGCAATAAAAGTGGTCACTATATATATATATATATATGTATATTTTTTAAAGTTGGCTAGTAGGTCAAGAAGCTTGGTCACAAAGAAGTACAATGTAAACGCTGTAAACAAGCTCTTCAAGCTCACTGTTGGTCCCAGAACCCCACATTCTGAGATTGCTGAGGCAATGAGGCTTTATATAATGTAATCAGCAACAGTAAATATGTGGAAGGTTTATAGTATATAATTTGGAGGATTTGTCGTCTTCTTAATTATTATACATTACAGAGTTACACTTTAGTCGACGGTAAACATTATGACCTAAAACCTGTCCTTACTCTTTTATAAGACGTTGTTGTAGCAATGAAAAACAAACAAGGACACTTGCATCAGTGTTTTTCCCACACGGGGGCTCAGCAGACACTGTTGTAGCGCCGTTGCTTTACAGCAACACAGAGCTGGTTTTATTTCCTGGCCCATTGCAACTTTCCAGCTAATAAACCTGCCGGTCAAGTGGAATGGAGACTCTGAATTGCTTGAGTTGTGGCGTCCGTCTATCTGTGGCAGTCGTGCAATGGAGCGATTCCCTGTCGGGGGGCTTTTTCCTGCGCTGGGATCAATGTATTCTGAGAGTGAAAGATCAGCAGAAAATAATGATCGCTTTCCACATCTCCAGTCTAATGGGGAAACACCTCTGCAGGCGGAGGTCCGCATGTGGCTCTTCTCCGTGTCTTTCCTGGCTCAAGTTAGTTTCCCCTGAGAATCCCTCAGAGTGCAGGTCGTCATCCGCCACCCCCCCTCTGTGACTGCAGCATCATGTGTGCCATGCTGGTCTGGATGCTCCGATCACCTCTGTCATGGAAACTATTGCTAATCCACGACAATCCACTGAGTCGTTTCTCGGTGCTCAACCACTATTGGTTCTGAGACGCTGACTATTTATCTTTGCAAGCAAACCATACGACTGATCAACGGACGGTTAAGCTTCAAGGGGATGGCACGGGGCCGGGGGTTATTACGGAGAGGTTTCGTGTGGCCCTCAGGCAGTTCTTTGTAACGTATCAGAGCAGCTGCCAGACACTGTAAATGTTAGTTGATCTAAAAATGTGTTTTCTAGAAGTGAGAGTGAGTTCAGACGCTGTTGTGCCCAACTGCAGCTTTAACCAAATATCCCGACACAACTTTTTGAACACGTACACGTTTCAACATATTGGCAGAAACGAGATGCTGCTCTGTGTGGGGAGACCGCAGGCTTTCTGCTTAATTTGATTATTCAGTATTTTAAGGCAAAATGTTCTTGTTTGTGCAAAACAATTGCATATTTGTTCACTCATTCGATTTGGGACGTTCGATTTCTCAGTAATAAAAACTCCTGGGGTTGAGTTGTGAACAAAAATGTTCTTTCATGATCATATGAAAAATATTTAAAGGTCAGTGCAAGAATCTGTGAAAAGGCCTATTTTCATTTTGTCCGAGGCCATATGATGCGAACAGTTACCCCACATGACTGCTTGAGGGCAAATGTGTAATAAGTTACATAATGATTATATAATTAGAAAATCCCACTACATAATATGGCTACCACTGGATCACAAGGTAACGGAGCCTGTAGCAATAAAGAAGAAAATATTTTTGAGGCTGTAATTCTGCTTAAGAGGACGTTATCTGGCCATTGAACTGATATAGTTAGGATTTCATTGAACAACTTTGTTCTCTTTTGGTAGTTCTTATACTTTCATAACTTTTGCAAAGAAACTAAATTAGTTCGTTCAAGCTAATCAGATTGAATTGTGTCTAATTGGCAAGTGTCAAAACTGTCTTTGCACGTGTTTAATTTACTCAATCATACTTAGTTTCAATTTTGCGGCTGATTTGGTGCAGTTTTTCTTCGAATCAGAAAAGTTGCAATACAATCAGTGTCCTGTTCTCCTTGCATGGGTCTAACTAGTCAAACATATTTACTATGCAATCTTGATTGGCTACCTACTAAAGGCAATCGTTGTCCCATTTCTGAACACGAACAGAGGCCACAGTCATATTGAGCTGAAGGCTTTGGAAGACAACCGAGTAACTTAATGTAGTAAAATGAGCAAACAGACATTCTGGGTTTCTTTCATGTTGGTCAACCGGAGACGGGGACATGGAGACAGAATCTGAGTAAGCATTGGAAAGTCCATTTTTACCAACAGCTTTGGCCACCCTGCGGCTCCCAACACCAACTCAGTATTTGCCCAGATGATCCAGCAGAGTGTGCTGAGGCTCAAGGTCCACAAGGGCGTCATAACCAAACCACTGCTGATCAATTGGCATGAGATGACGTCTGATGGCGTCGTCAGCACTTCTTGTCCGACAAGCTCTGTTATAACAAATCACTGTTTGATGATTTGTTTTTTTTATTTGTGAAAAGAAAAACATTTTCTTCAAGGTGAAGGAAGCAATAATCCATTTGGGTGTCGGCAGTTTCAACATTTAAGCCTTACACAAAATTTTAAGCTTGTAAAAGAAAAATGTTTTATCATGGAGAATAACCAGATGTATTATGTAATTTATGTATTATTGATCTAATTCCTCTGATTCAACCCTCTGAATTCCCAAACTGCCGGCGTCATGGAAAAGCACTTTTCTTCTTGCCGCAAATTGGCTAAATTGCTTGCTTCTATCGTCGGCATTATTCCAACAGTCTTTGAACAATATGTCAAACAAAATTGACATTAACTCTGTGACCCTGCGCTACACATTAGTGATTTGGATTGAGAGGGATTCATTTGCACTGAATAAAACCGTATTGTACAGAGCCTGCATACAATGAGGCTGCTTCAGTTAATGCAGAACAGGATGTCAGTGAGCACAAACATGATACAACTTGTTAGAGTGGATCAAATGGAGATCTGACTCCTCTACAGATACAGAGGTTTCAGTTCTCCCTTTGCAGCTGTAGTAGCAGAAACAAGCAATGTAGTAGCTGTTCACACCTTGTTCATAGCTGCCTGGTAAGAACGTAATCTGCTGTCCATTCAGGTGATGAAGCACAATTCAAAAAGCAGTAGTGTAATACTTTGCTGCGGACCAGCTGAAGGAATAATGAGCAGCACAGTATTTCTGTCTCAGTACTAAAGCTTGTTTACTGATCCGGTGCTTGTACTGCATCCAGAAAACTCCATGTTCTCTGGTTATGCCCCTAGCAACCCATTCATGGTCCAAACCCTCAACGCTTGGAAGGAGGCAGCGCTCATTACTACTATTTTCCTTTTGGACTGTCAGAGATGGGCTGTCTGCTTCACTATTGCCTGCGCTCCTTATCTGCTTCTCTTTCCACCCATTGGTAATTGAGGGTGGCCGCATGCCAGTAACAGTCCGGAGTGAGGGCGGAGGGGGTGGAGAGGAAGAAGCACAGAAACAGAGGAGACAGAGAGCCTGCTGGAAGGGGGCAAGCGTTCATTCAGCAGAGAAACATGTGCCCTTCTCCCAAAATGTTGTTTCTGCAAACCCAGGACAGTGAGCAGTATTGATCACCAGCCATCAATGACAGGATTTATAGGAACTCACACAACGGATTGGACGCTTACTGGTAATGTTTTGCTGACTTTCTTGTATTTTTGTTTGGAAGCGTATTGTATTTCAGTGTATTACACAATCTACTTTAAAGTTCGAGGTTTTGCGTGTGTTTAATTGCATGGTGATGTAACTATGTTTGTTTTATCAACAGAGATTTACATTCAAAGTATTAATATCAACGGAGGCAGGATTTGATCGTTAAAGTGATCTTTGTGTATTTCTTTTTTTTTTTATTGTGTCCATTTTTTTACGATGTGTCCAGATCGGTATCAGGTTTTGCACAACATCAACTTTTACTTTAGTGTGCTTCACTCTGTGCTGCCACAGTTGCATATTGAAGACATTATGTTCAGTTATCATTCCCTTGTCTGTGCTACTGTCGTGCAAAGAATGAATGGAATCAGGATGGAAGATTTTTTTTCCCGGCCATTTCACTTCTCATAAAAAAAGTGTCTTTCACATTTCTTGAATCTGTGCAAGCATACTGCACAGTGCACCAACGTATTGCATGTACTTTATTCATATTGTTCTTTTCACACATCAGAAGAGCATATACCCATAAATGGACAGTGAGAAGAACTATTTTATGAGACGTTATTTAAGCGTATGAGTTGAGCAGCTTTCTACGGAGAGCATGAGATAGGGCTTGGCCTTCCCTTGTTGCTTGAAGAATTTGGCAGGAATTAATCCCCCTTATCTTGGCAACTGTTCAGCATGAACAGCATATGTTGATTTAGAAGTTTTTTAGAAGAGCAGCTTCCTCTTGCTTAATTCACTGTGGACAAGTATAACCTCAGCAGGTCAAGTGGAGTTAAAGCATGCAGACGTTTTCAAAGTACATAAAGTACTGGGACCAAACAAGGAGAAAATATGGATTTCATTCTTTCGGAGCTCCATAACACATCATTATGATTTCATGCAAAGTGTAAAAATGTTACATTTGAGAGACAGAGGCACAAGATCTGTGTTGCAGTATTTAATGTATGTGTGATGACTCAGTGTCGCCCACCCTAAATGTAAATGTTATCTAGAGAATTTTGAGCAATGATTTGTTCAGCAGCTTCCTGAATGACATTTCCAGCTGGAACTACACTGTGAATAAGTCTCACATGAATCTTATTAAGTTTGCAAAGAATTGCAAAAAAACACCGGCTGAAACTAGAATGAACGCCACGTTGTAGTTGTAGTAACCGAGTTACAGTTCTGCCATTCAAATAGGAACAGCTAAAACATGTCATAGATCAGTGGAGTCAACACTGGGACACCTGTTTCTGCTTCATTATGCATGCATTCAAACTCCAAGCATCATATCACAGCACGTGTAATGTAATTGTCTTCCTGGACAATCGTTGTTTGTGGTTAAACTCCACAGCCGGAATTTCACTGTCTGACGGTGTAAATTAATTCCATGTGGCTCGAGCAGACGCGTAGAAGCACTTCGTTTGGGGGAAGTCGGTCGAGGAGAAAGTCATCCTGACGGGACCCTGCCAATGGGGCGGTTTTCCAACAACCTCCTCCAGCTCTCTAGCGGGGAAAGATTCTAGAGAAAGGAATAAAAGCTTTTGAGAGGCCAAGGGTCGAGTCCTAGCCACTGTTTCGTTGACCTTCATAATCAGAAATAGCAATGCATAAGGAGTACATTCAGTTCCTTCCTATCGTGATCCTTCCACGAGTCCTACCTCTTTTCCTGGATGTAGAATATCTAGTCTTTATTTGAAACTCCCTCCTTCTATGATGTCAGCACTTTCTTACTCACATTTATTGTTTTATACGTTTATTGTTTTATGTGGTTTTTAATACTTCAGTTATTTTATTGTTATACTTCCCAATGGTACTGCATGATTTTTGACACAGATGCAGTGGTTTTATTGTTCACTGAATATTTGCCAAGGCATATTGAAAACGGTTATCATCAGAAACAGAACAGATGCGGCAGTTTGTTGAAATGACAAAAATGCACAATTTTTTTGTTTGGCAGATAAGCCTGATGGCGTTTCATTTTTAAAATACTGCAATTTTTATTATTAAACAAAAAGTAAACCTGGCTGAAAAGGATGTTATTCATTTTGCAGGCATTTCCTCATGAAGCTACCAACACATTTTGACCAGATGATGCTGCAAGTTTAGTAAGTCATAGGATATAGGGATTAGTACATATGGATTGATGCAAAATTCCATTACCTTGAAGGTGCAAGATCTGAGACTGGGAGCATTTCGATCAGCTGTTAATGGCTGTGCGCATATCAGTAGAGAGCAGGAGTCTCACAGCTAGATGGCAACTGGTGTAAACTACAGCGACGGAGCTAACAATGTTTACCTGAGGGTGGGTGCTACGCTTCCGTTTTGACGATTTTGGTTCGGGTCGACCAAGCTGCAACTGCTGCATGAGAGCAATGCAGTGCAAGAATAAACAACTATAACTTATCAGATAATCACTCAACATCAAGGTTATATTGGTACATTGGTCATGGTGCATGAATGAATCAACAGTCAGCAGTCAGCCAAACAGCCAGAATGTTGAATGTTGTGCAGGTGTAGAGTGAGAAGCCTTTAGTGAGTGAATCAAATAAAGGTAAAGAATGACTCTAGCAAAACATCAGCACAAGGGAGCGGATAAACAAGCAATATAGAAGAAGAGCTGTAGGGAGTTGAAAGGTATTGCTGCAAATTGATTTCCCGCATGTTCTCGAAATTTACTACGATACGTTCTTAGCAGCATCTCAAGGTAACTCGATGCTGAAGGGATGTATTGCAATTGGTGTATGTCCATTAGGGAGGAAAGTTCCGGGTGTGAAGCCTTTTTTATGCACTGCTGTTATACTGGTTTCTGTGGGCAGAAATTGGCAAATTAGCAGCAGCTTTGAGGAAACAGTTGATAATCCCACAGGAAACCGGGACCACTGCCTTCATGGAAGTTTTGGTCAGAGGTTCGGTGTGTTGTTTATCTTGTAAAGCCAACAGTGCCATGTGGGGGGATGAGGCTTGAAAGGAAAATGCTTCGGCTTACTGTGGCTGTGCAGCAGGAGTGGAAAGATGAAGTGCACCGCAAGGAGGTTGGGTGGACAGCAAAGAGTATACATTTGTGGTTGAAGTAAGTGAATTAGAGATCTGTGGGTAGTACAACACAGCCGGAGAGGTAGGAAGAGAATATCCCTTCAGAGAAAGCAAACAACGGGCTGATGAGATTTGCACGTGATGGTCTTAGTGATAACTGCCCACAGCTGTTTTCAGCATCAACTCATTGTGCTTTTCCGGCTCTGCACCAGAAAGCAGAAGTTAGCCTCTAGTTGGTAATCATAGTGGAGCACTAATTGGCGAAAGAGCAAGATATCTTTTCCCGTCGTTGGTAGAGACCAAAAATGGAGCTAAAAGTAAATAGTACTGACTCGCCTACACAGAAATGACTTGACTGACAATTCTGTGCCTTACGTGTGATCAGATTACAATATGAATGTATGCATGATCTTCCCGCTGCCACGCTTGAGTCATACAAATTCATACAAAGCCATAAAATTCAAGTAAGATATACAAGGCTTGTACAATTTCACGTTTGAATACAAAATTGTCATGTTCCTCAAGGTATCACACCGGCTTTTTAATCACATACTGTAATTGACAGGTAATGGAACAGTTTTGTGATTAAAGCCTGTGGAAAAGAGGAGGAGCTAGACTAAACGGCGGTTCAACGTCTCAATAATAGAAAGAAGGAAACTGAGCCATTTTCTCTCACAAATGCTTGCATTATCCTATTTCTATTTCGTTGCATCACAAAGCATGTTTTTCATTTTCTCTGCAGGTGTACAGTTGGAACTTGGTACAGCTGCATAATGGCTTACAAAGCAACATCCATGCATTGTGTCTTGAGATGCCTCTGCTTCATGCTTCTGGCTTTGTTTAATGCAGCTCAAGATGAAGATATAAGAAGTAAGAATGCTTCTGTCTTCGTTGTCTTACTTGCTTCGTTGCTTGATGTCCATACATTAAAAATGAACACATAAATACAACTGGCTAAATATATTTAATTCACTCTAAATGCGTTTACTTCAAGTATTACATCAAAATGAATGGAATTTTTTTAATCATTGTTTTAAACTGCTGACTATTTATTTCCTGTCTGCTTCAGGTTGTAGGACCGCACCATGTGATTTGGTCTTTATTCTAGACGGCTCGTGGAGTGTTGAAGATGTCAATTTTGAACTTGTAAAGCGTTGGCTTGTCAACATGACAACAAGCTTCAACATTGGACAGAAGTTTACCCAGGTTGGAGTCGTCCAATACAGCGACGACCCAGTTTTAGAAATACCTCTGGGGAAGCATTTCTCCACCAAAGAGCTCATCAAAGCAATGGAGTCCATTGAGTACATGGGGGGAAACACAAGGACAGGCACAGCCATTGAGTTTGCAACTAAGAAACTGTTTGGCCTGTCTGAACGCGGCCCCGCAGGCATCTCCAGAATTGCTGTCGTCCTCACAGACGGGAAATCTCAAGATGAGGTTTTGAAAGCGGCGGAGGCAGCAAGGAAAAAAGGAATAATTCTGTTTGCAATCGGCGTTGGGCCAGAGACAGAAGTCTTACAGTTGCAAAACATTGCAAACAAGCCATTTTCAACGTATGTCTTCTCTGTTGAGGACTACAAAGGTATCTCCAGGATCATACAGGTCATACGACAGAAACTGTGCGAAGGTAAGGTGATACTGTATTACTTACAAAGCGTTCTCAGAGTGGTATCTCTTCACCTAATTTTCTGTCGCTCCATTATTCACCATTTGTCGATTATGTTTGATTATCTTTCCATTTAACTGTGTTTGTCTGTTGCAGAGACTGTTTGTCCAGCTAGAATTTCCATAGATTCCCGCGACGAGAAAGGATTTGATATCCTGTTACATTTAAATTTGGCTAAGAAAGCAAAGAAAATACCGGGAACATATTACGGCACCAAGGCCTATGAAGTGACATCTCGTGTCGACTTGAGTACAGCTACCCGGTAACTACCTTGCTTTCATTCTTTTCTTCATCATCATCAGTCTGTTCACGTGTTGACTGGCTTTTGGATTCCTCCCTCCAGGACCCTTTTCCCCGATGGCCTGCCTCCATCGTATGTTTTTGTGGCCACGCTGAGGTATAAAGGAACCGTGGCAATAGAGGAGTGGGACGTGTGGAGAATACAGACGCGCGATGGGAAACCTCAGATGGCGGTCACTCTGAATGGATTGGAACGCACCGTCATGTTCACCACAACCAGCAGCGCATCAAGTGGAACTCAGACAGTTACGTTTTCACAGTCCACAGCAAGGGTACGATAAACACAAACTGTGTGTTGTGTGGTGATTTGAAACGGTTTAAACAGGTTAAACAGTTTGAGCTGGAGAGGTTTAAAATGCCACAATGTTTCTCTTGGTCAGATCTTGAAATGACTTATTTCCTTTGCTTTCTGCTCTGAACAACAATTACAGCAACGTAAACTCTCCCTTCAGTGGGTATATCGTCTTTTGAAAGTCTTCATCGGCACACATCCAGCACGTACCGTAATATTGACAACGTTTTTCCTGTTCCTTTTCTTCGGCGAAAGAAGCTGTTTGATGAGAAATGGCACCAGCTTCGCCTGCTGGTCACTGAGGAGGACGTTACTCTTTATGTTGATGACCTGGAGATTGAAACCCAATCCTTGGAGCCCCCTGTCGGTATTTTCATCAACGGAAAAACCCAAGTGGGAAAGTATGTCAGAAAGGAAACAACCGTGCCAGTAAGTTTATCGACGTCAATCAACCTATTTTCATAAAATACATGTTTGGTTCCCAGAAAAAGAATCCAGAAATGCGACTATAATGACTATAGAAAGAGGGAACAGTTGGTCTAATAACGAGTAGTTAAGCAAACTCAACAAACTCAACTCGTTTTAAGCTACATCACAATGTTTATTGCTGTCTCCCGAGAGAAATGCTAAAATCAGAGGCTATCAAGTGATTTTCTCTCCACTAAGTCTTATCAATCTTTGTTTTATGTCTTTCGATTGCAAAGTTTGGTGCCACAATGCTGCGTTTGCAATAATACAAATCACATGTCGGGATCGTCTCTCGGCTCACATGGTAACTGGAGGGAAACGGTCTATGGGACATTCCGGAGCCATTTTATCACCCACATCAACAAAATACCAAATAATGGAAGAAAAGTGTAACGTTGCTGCAGAACCCTTCCAACACAGAGGGAGGTCTGGCAACATGTATCTGCTTAATGCCCGCTGAGGGCGATTTAGCAGTTGTACAATGGTAGTTTCAATTAACTAGTCGCAAAGCACTGATAAAACCAAACTCAACGTTGCAAATGTTTGTTTTGTTAGCTTGTTTGGAGGCTCCAGCAGTGGAGGTTGTGCATTTAACAAGAGTTTCTTCTCTTTTTCGAATGATGTTCAGTTTGAAATCCAGAAACTTCGCATTTACTGTGACCCGGAGCAGAGCAACCGAGAGACGGCGTGTGAAATACCTGGAGTTGTAAGTGTGAGACTTGCTTGGAGCAGAACTTGTTTTTCAGTCCAAGAGCAACAAAGATAACTTTTTCTCACCTACTTCTCACCTTGTTTCAACCACATCTGCTTCTAATTTTTTTTTTAAACAATTTCACCCTCAGTAAACTCCACACCTCATTCTGAATGGCATAAAAAATCTGACATGATTTATATTCCGTCAGCTCAGTGTATTCAAGTTTTGTGGAGGAAAAGTGTAAACTCAGCACATTCATTTCCAGTCACATCTGTTCATACATCCAACAATTCATTGAAGGAGGACGCTGGGCTCTGCTTCAAACACGATGGGCTCAGTAAATTGTCCACCGGCTATAACCCGGGTTTTGGGAAGCAGCGGCTCTCTCTTATGTTGGCTTCAAAACTTCTATAACCACGGAGCCAGTGCCAAGTTCATGTTTTTAAAGTGCGAATGAAAATATCTAAAAGAAACAAGATGAGTAGCCAAGAAATACAAACGCTTGCCAAGTTTAACACTAAATAGGATCAGATACCTTTCTGTCAAAATGTTGATTTAAAACCATTTTTTTTTTTAAATCAATAGATGAGAAAAACTTCTGCCTACTGACTATTTAATATGTATCCTTCTGCATCGACGCTCAATGTCTAGTCTGTGTTCATTACAGTGCGCCAACAGTCCTGATTACACAGAACCAACTCCAGAACCTTGTGTTTGTCCTCCTGGCGCCCCAGGACTTCCAGGAATGAAGGTCAGTTATTAAAAATATCTCGTGTGGACCTCCACACTGAAAAAAATGCAAAATTGGCCTGCAGAAAAAAATGCAAAAAAGCACACACATTACTGTGCGATATCAGAGAATGGAGTCCATTCCTCGTTTTACACAGAGCTCAACCACATCCTCAGTGCTCAGACGGTTGGTTAAATATTTACTTCGAACAGTGGTATTCTGTTGACATGAAATGAGAGAAGAATAATTTGGGATGTCGGTTTTTGTGTAAACTCCCTTCTGTTCTCGCTAAGTATTGTTGGATAAGCAATAAGCACAAGAGGTTGCACTTTACCAAATGGTTAAATCCGTCATTACAGCCTATAAACACAGATTTTATTTGTGGCAGCAAAAGTGCTGCGTAGAAAGGTTTTAGTTCCTTAATCTCTTAAATACATAGTTATCTGCTGAAAACGACACATTATGGACCCGCACCAAGTGATCCATTCTCCTATTAGGAAAATCACGGCTTGCTGTTGTGAGAAAGCTGCAGCATAGTTAGCCTTGTACGGTCCTGTTGTAACGTACTGTTTCATTTAAGCAAACCAGACCACTGTTTAAGATTAACATTGGTAAGAATGTAAAATGAGCAAAATACGGATTCAAACCTACACTCGTCCTTTTAATTGATCACAGGGTATCAACGGAATGATTGCAGCCCCGGTCGTAAAAGCCTTTAACGCACAGACCTCGGAGAGACATTACTCTGGCAACAAGACTCTCTGTTAATAAAACCCGCAGGCGTGTTTGTGTTTACAACATCAGATCTTTTCTTTCACTGCATTTATTAATAGACTCAAAATGCTGGGACCATTGCAGGCTGCAGATGTTCGTTACAACCCCAGAGGCATCTCACATTTGATAAACTAAAGCAGCTGGATACATCGAATCCACATTACCTCCCTCTATGATCAATTTACGCTGCGTTGAGGTCGATTGATGGATAAAGACGGTCAAAGAACCTTTTTTATCATCAGTAAATAACCTCATTTCACTCTCTTCAGGGAGAAGAAGGGAACACTGGCAGATCTGGTCAGCCTGGACCTGCTGGTGCTGATGGTAAGCCTGTGAGTACTACATAGTTCAATATACAATTATAAAGACTTTAATTGCTAACAACACTGTCACAGCAGAATCCACAACCACATCTGAGAAAAGACCAGAACCAATTGAGTTAATGTTCGCATTAAGTCATGACAGTTGCAGCTTGTTAATTCAATGTGGTCAGAAACGCTTCAGTGGTAAATGTACTTATTTACTTATTTTTCCAATGGATACATAGAAAAACCCCTCTGAATATGCCACTGGTGGCAGTACGGCCCTGATTTGGTTGATGAAAAACATTCAAAAGTAAACCACATGTTCTACCACATGATCAAGAACTCACCCTGCGGCCTGGACTCACTTAGAGATCATGCACACAGTTGAGTGGGTTCAAATGTTTAACCAAATATGTGTATCTCTCATCTTTTTTTTGTTATAAGGGTATCCCTGGCATTAGAGGTAGTCCAGGCCTAACAGGTCCACCAGGAGTAGAGGTAAAGCTCATTTTGATTGATTTATCATAACATTAAGTTTGACCATTTAGAATAGAAGATTTAAAGCTGTGTCCTTTTTCCCGTCAGGGTCCACGTGGGACGGATGGGTTCAAAGGCGAACAAGGGAGGCCTGGTGTTTCGGTAGGAAGGTCAAAAAAACTAAACGGCTTCATTTTCATGCGGTTGTACTGGTTTGTGAACAATTTTCTAACATAAGTCTGTTATTCCAGGGTGAAAAGGGTTTGCCTGGATTACCAGGACCACCTGGAAAGCAAGGAGAGAAGGTGGTGATGTTAATTATTCAAATACTACCTGATAACACTATCCAGATGTTGGTCCATGTTCATCTAAAATGCCATAAGTAGGTCAAATTGTTGAATGTGCTGATCAAAACAGGATATTTCAAAAAGCGCATCTTAGATTGTCAAGGGGGATGAACTTTTTATGATGACAAATGTAGGAAGAAACAGGAAATCCCTGCTGGAGACATTAACCTGAACCGTTTGAACACCATCACATCAATCACGCTACAAAACATATGTTATGAAGATAAAGCCTGTTCCCCAGCGGGAGCAAAACGCATACAACTTCTGTACTGTCTGACAAGAGGATGTTGCAGACACAGCGTCACAGTTGGTGCTGTACGTTTCAATTCTATGATGCACGAAGGCAAAATAAAACCTCCATACAAAGGCGAGACGCGCTGGGAAATAAAAGCAAGCAGTTAGTTCTCATAGGATCCTATAAAGGCTTCACCGACAGTCACTGCAGACTGGAGCAAAAACTCAAGCTTCATCCAGGACTTTTTTTTGTTGGTCTGATCACTCTGAACGATGAGTAATGCCATCTTTCTAGACCGCATCACCTCTGTCATCTCATCCTACCTTGTAATACGTGTGACCACGAGGGGTTGATGCCAGTTGGCTGAAGCGGAAAACAATTCAGGCAGTTAGTGTCATTTAAAATAGATGTCTCAGCTGTTTGCACTTTAAACAAATCCTCCTGTGCCATCCGTCACATTATTAGAGATTCCCACACAGATCCAGATTCATCAAATTGAGTTATTTCTAGTGTTTTGGACCGCCATCTTAAAATACTTTGATTAATAGGGGAAATACTTCCCCTATCCCACACAAACAAACTGCTGCTCTGCTGCAGATCATCTGGATTTTCTGTCTTTTTCCCAGTAATGCTATCTGGATGAAAGGATCAACGTTTACTGGATTGTGAAAGTGGTCTTTTAAAACCCCATGATTGCAAACACCTGATTAGTGTAATGGTCTGAGGCACCACGCATGATGAGATGAGCAACTTGAGGTGATTTTCCATCACTTGTTACACGGCAATAAAGTACAGCTGCTAGACATGTGGATTATAAAGTGTGGAAAAACTCTTCACTCTTCAAATAGATTATACCAATTTACGCAAAAACACAATATACTTCAGTCTGACAAAACACATTTTTGCTCTGAAATTGAACGTAGTTACAGTGTTACTTTACCGTAACATAACATCAACGTGCTGACATGATTACCCAGCTCTGTCTTACTAAACCGTGCATGACTGACACAATGATTACTAAGTCATTTAACATTGTACATCATAGAGCCTTAATGCCACTTTGGCACAACAAAAAGCATCCTCCTCCGTGTGAGACACTAAAGAGCTCAGTAACCTTTGACCTTGTGCCTTTGGCTCCTCCAAAATCCAAACTCCAGCCATTTGGCATTCTTCTTGAAAACTATTTTCCTAGAGGAGTGAGAACATCTTTACGTCTGAGTCTAGGGAACAAAATACCCTGTATGTCTCTGTCAGGAGATGGTTTCCCCCTGGGACGACATAATATGGTTGATCAGAACAGTCTCTCCAAAACGATCTGTCTTCAACCAGCAGGGAGCGTCTCAAACTTCATTATAGGATGAATAATCATTTTGTTCGGTCTATAGTTTTCTACCGATGTCAACGCATTTGAATCTACATTTCCATATTGTTCCCATATTGTACGACCACCCAAGGGTGTAGTTTCATTTTCCTGGCATAGGATCTATCCAACGGAAACATTCCTTTGTTATAGCTCTGAAACTAAACAGCTGGAGACATTTTTGTATATTTATATCAATAAAACATGCACACCCACTCCTGGTTAGGGGTTTGTTCAATGAATTCAGCCCACCTTTGTGGAAAACCAATAACCTTATGTCTCGTCTTGTTTCACAATCTAGTTTTTTGTTCTGAAAATACAGTGATATCGTTCCACGTGTGTATCAGCAGGTACTTGACTAAAATCTAATACTAGGAGTTTTTAAAATGCCTGAAACGGTGCAGGTCGTCGTGGCGCAGGCCTAACCCCTAATTGCTCCCTGGCCAAAAATGTGAAAAAGCCATGGGTTTAAAGTGTAATGTAAGTCGCTTTGGATAAAAGCGTCTGCTAAATGACCTGTAATGTAAAGTAAACAACATCACAACGTTCATTCTAACTGAAACCATTACTCACTAAAGTCAAACGTGTATTGCATATTTGTGACCATGTAGATGTCAGAATGGCTTTATGAAGTGATCCGTCCCTCCTGATCCGACTAATGATGAACTCCCTCTAACACAAAAATGGATGATGCCTTCAAATTAGTGGCATTTTTGTCAATGTCTTAAAGTTTAGATGAGGGAGGCCAGACAAGACGAATAAAGATTAGAACCTTTATCACATCACATGTAATGATGATCTAACATATTGTCTTTTTTCAGGGCTCAATCGGATTGAGCGGAATTGCAGGTTTGCCTGGGAAAGCTGGTCAAGTGGTAAGGATGCAGACAATACTCATGGCTTATGAATTATTATTATTATGAATCCTAACTGGATGGCATGGTTTTTCCAGGGAGAAAAGGGAGGTTTGGGACCTCCTGGGCCACCGGGTTATCCAGGAGACCCAGTAAGTAAAACACCTTTCTTATTCAAAGTAGGCATTGTGTGCCATTATTGCAGTGTATGAAAATATTGTTCCCTGGTTGCAGGGCCTACCCGGGAGAGATGGAAATGTTGGATTTCCAGGCAGAACTGGTCAAAAGGTCTGTTTTGTTTTTACAGCGCCGTAAACGACGTTTGAAAGCTCATTCGGGGATTAGGAGAATAACAGACAAATGAGCTTGGCTCAGCGTGCAGATTGGTTTTTAAAAATCGCTGCTCGCTGAGTTCTGTTGTTGTTGTTCTGTTGTTCTGTGTCTCCCTTGGTTGTTCCTGAGCCCCATTTGACATTCCAGAAGATTTTGCGTCAATGTTGGAATGATTGATGATGCTTTTGTTTCCCCAATGTATAAAGGGAGAATCTGGGGACAGTGGTCCTCCCGGCATTGACGGAAGGGAAGGCCATCCTGTGAGTAGCAGACACAGACATTACTCATTGTGCTTGTTTATCATTTTGTGTGTTGTTTGAGCTGTCACATCTTTATTTGCAAAATATGCATGAAATATGCAGTTAACTGTATCCATCATTGGGTTCAGATTGGAAAGAAAGAAGCGGTCAGGTGTATTCATGTTGCAGTTTAAGTTGACGACAGGATAGCAACAGGCAAACACTGAACTGATTTTATGGATTACTCAGATTGCACGTCCATGTTTTCCCGTTGAAAGTCTGTTAACATACTGTCAGCAGTACTGAGAATACTCCTGACAGCCAGTACATCAGGGGTATTTCCCCTGTAGTTCATTCTAGGATAACCCTGTTACGTAACCAGCTTAATTTAAGGCAGTAAAAAGTCGGAGAGGGAATTCTGTGGCGCTTTCGGAAATCTTTGAGGAAGAAAGTGTTTCAGCCGGGCAGCCACCCCGCTGATCATGATTAGAAGTGTTGTCCGGCACTTTGTGACGGGTCTACAAAGGATGAGTCAGTTGCTCCACAAGGCTGTAAGCCATTTTCTCCAAGCAGAACAATAGAGCGAGCGTTGAATCCAGGGAGCCAGGATTAGTACCATACTTCCTTAAGTTAAAACATGATAGAGTTAGGGCTTGGATGTTGGCCCGGGGACGGGGATTTCTCTTATGAGTACAGTGTGAGTGGCTGTAACTGTGTATTCTGATTCTCTGCCCACCTGTCAAATATATCATTAAGAATATATCGTACTTAAGCTTTAGTCTGAGACAACCACTGAGCGCCTGCAAGCATTTATCTCAGAAGAAAATAACGTCAAAACAAGAAACTAACGAAGCTTTCCAGGATAGTTTTGCTTCATGCGTTGAATGTCATGCACATTCGATGTGTCAAGCCGTTTTTTTGTAAATTTGACTGACTTTCCACCCTTTTTCTTTGTGCAATTGAAATAGCTATTTCTTTCTTTATTGCAACATGGCATATTCAGTCAAAACAGGTCAAATGTAGCAGATAGTTTGAGTTCCTGTCTATGAGCAACTGGCTACAGTAGTTGCTGAAGTAATTATTAGTAATTACAGCAACTACTAATGATTTCACTTTGAAAAGGACGTAGACTGGAACCTGTAATTCAGCAGGCTGGTTTTAATATCATTTTAGAGACATTGCATTTGAAAACATGCAGTTTTACTCAAATTTGTTAGACCACACCCCTTTTGGCATCAGCTAAACAGTATAATGTGCTTCCTTGCTCCCAGGGTATGCCTGGGTTGCCAGGGATTGCAGGCCTGACCGGACAAAAGGTGAGCTGCTGCTCCTAACCTACGTTCAGAATAATCTGATCAATGGTGTTTGCATCCTTCCTTGTGACCACGTTTGCCTGATATCATTCAAGGGGGAAGCTGGTTCGCCTGGACCCAGAGGCTTCACGGGATTGGCTGGACCATCTGTAAGTTAACGGCTGGTATGGACAGTTCATGTTAATATTCAATATTCAATCTAAATTGTCTCCAAAACTATTTATTTTCCCCTCCTGCAGGGTGAAATGGGTTTACCCGGTGCACCAGGTATAAAAGGACCAATTGGACTCAAGGTACGGCCTTTCGAGCTTCTTCAAGCAGCTACATTGTCAGTGATGAAAAGTGACCATGATAAGTGCTAAAAATGAAAAATCCATTTTCGTCTGACTTACTGTCATCGAAAACGGTGCACTAAATATAATGTGAGTGCACTGGTCCAACTTGTGACGAGGGAAATCTGCAGATCAATCCCCACCAGCTGGCGTCAGAGCGGCAGGCCGCCTAGCCGTGTTGTGATTTAATTCGAGTCTAGTCAAAGTGTCGTACAGTTCCACGGCTGCCAAAAAACGACGTGTGTTCACAGTGGCTTCACATGACGTAAAAAAACATTCCCGAGGCCCCCATCATGGCGCTCACAGTGTCGTCAGTTTAGGTTAAATTTATGAAGCTGTCTGACCAACGAGCCGAACGTCATAGTGCCGCGAAGGTGGGCAGCATTGCATGTTTTGTTTGGTCACTGTTTTTATAAAATACTCTTGAGCTCAAATAAGGATCTCCTGGCCACACCGGCAGTGGTGAATTAAGGGATGATCTCGCTCTACTGCTTTCGTCAGTGGAATTTTAGTGGATATGGAAGCAATCTGGGTTGTTTGGTCTGGACGCCTTGTCTCCTGATCACTTTTCATTAGCTGATCTGCCTTTAACAAGCCAATGTGTAATTGGTAAATGGCACACGAGTGAAAAGCTAGTTTATGTACAGGCAAGCAATATTTTTGATTTCATGGCTGACCTACAGACTGCAATTACAGAGGCTTGTTGAACTGGAAAAGTAAGCACACGATTGGAGGTTACAAAACAGCGAGCTGCGCCAAGACCTTGTGAAAGTGCTCAGACTTTTCCATACATCAATGAAAGTGAGGGATGATAAGGCCTCAAAAATACCAGCTGCCGTCCAGCAGGCAGCGGTATGATGCGGGTTTGGATGCTTCTGTAAAATAAGATGTGCTTTACTTCTTATTAAAGGGGAATAAAGGTGAAAGTGGAAGTCCAGGTACACAAGGAACACCGGGGCCTGCGGTATGTTTCAATTCAAATGTTCTTAAAGGCCATATTCCAATATGAGCAAGGCATGTGCTTTTTTAACTGTAGGACAAGTTGTATATGAATAAGGAGGGTTGTGTATAATGCTTGGTGTTAATCTGGTTACTTTTGAAGGGGAGTTCGGGAGTACCGGGGACAGTAGGTCAGCCGGGACACACGGGCATGCCAGGCCTGAAGGGCAGCAAGGTATTTCCTCTTACACTCTGTGCGAGTGTTGATTCGTGGTTCATGTGAATGACAGTTAAGAATTTGCAGTTGTTTAGTGTTCAAGGGGAACACAGTCTTGTCAAACATATAATAAATGTCAAATGTTCGAATTCTTTGATTTTGTTTCCCTGCCAATAATCATAATATATGAATATGTAATCCATGTCTATGTTGGTTTGTTTGTCAGGGACAAAGAGGAAATCCAGGGGAAAGAGGAGAGGCGGTAAGATTGGAGACAAATCTAAACTGCAGACAAGCAGATCATAATATAATTATGTTAAACCAGAAAGCTAGAATGAGAAACTAAAATAATAATTACAATTGAGAGTTAACAGCAAATTAAAAGCTTTGAATTAATGTGAGTCTAATGGATCGTCACTAGATGTCTTTTTAAGACTTTGGTCTAAAATACCTCTATTTGTTAATGAACATATTCTCTTTGATTGAAAATCAAGATTGATTAAGGGTTTGGAAAATAATGATGTTAATTAAGGTTTGAAAGTATAACCGGATATTTGTTTTATCTATCTGTGGTAGTATTATTTGCTGCACTTGCTTGCAGAGCAAAGGCCGTAACTCGGTTAAGTCATTTTCTCAACAGGGAATGAAAGGGGAAAAAGGGGGTAATGGTCGGCAAGGGGAACACGTGAGTATCTCTGATCAGCTTTTCAGTTTAAAGTATTGAAAATTGAATCATCAAATCAAAACATTTGGTAAAATATTCAACTGTAACTTATGATGTAACTCGGTACCTGAATTACACCCTTCATGGACGCTTCATGTATTTCTCTGTTATAGATAACAGGAACACTAAAAACTCATTTATAGTTTGAGGACAGCGCCATCGTGTGGCCATTTGTTTAGAAATTAAAATATTAACTCATAACTCCTGAACGATGACGTTTAGCAACATGTAGTAGTGTCATAGTAATATGTCATATGTACGTATACGTAGGCCATACCCAAATAGGGATTTTTATATATTTTTTATTTTGTTTTGCACAACTCTTCATTCAAACCATGTTTGGCTTATATTTGCATGACTAAGTTTGATTCTTGAAGGCATGACCTATTTGACATAACTTTTAAAATCACATTGGCACATATCAGAATGATGCTGCATCCCCAATTTGATGCTATTCATCCTATGGTTATTGCTACAATACAGATCCACAACCACTCATTGGTGATGAGTTTGACTTTGACATTTTTATTGATATAAGGACCCTTTTATTTAAAGATCTAGGCTTTCTCCATTAATTAAAAGGGTTGTCTGTTGCTGAGCATGTTAAGGTATAACAAACATTGAGGGCTGTACAGCCTTGTTGATGTTGTGTCTTTCTAAACGTTATCCTTAATTTCATTGACAGGGCTCCACTGGTCCAATGGGACTAAAGGGAGCGGTATGTTAAACTAAATGCTTTATTAACTGTACCTCTATCCAAATCTAATACATTGTCGTGTCAACGGCTAACCATGGGATCGCATTTCTTTGCCAGAAAGGAACAGCGGGAGATCCGGGGCCGAGAGGTCAGGAGGGTCATGTGGGCCGGCCTGGACAATCGGGTCAGTCCGGCCCCCCCGGAGCCCGAGGGCTGCAGGGGGACAGTGGTGTTCCTGGCCCACCGGGACCAGAAGGAAGACCAGTACGTGCGACGCATTGCGCTAACTTCACTGTTTTTTATTTCTTGACTAGCGTAGTGGAATGGAAGGATTGTTAATATCCATCATTTTTCATTCCAGGCCAGTCAAATGTCTGACAGTCACATTCAGCAAATCTGCAGAGAGTTGCTTCAGTGTGAGTATTGTTACAAAATGATGATACGTTTCTGTGTTATTTCCACAAACAGCAGAAATAATTGTACTGTCGATCATCCTAGCTGAGCTGCATTTGTTGTTGCTGAGCAACCAGCAGAGTAGCTGTGCCACGTGTCACAGCCGGCCTGGATCTCCTGGTCCTCCAGGTCCAACTGGGCTCCAGGGACTCAGGGGCCTTCCAGGACTCAGTGGTTCCAGGGGAACGCCGGGCCGCCCAGGTCGGCCAGGGCGCCCTGGTATTAACGGGCTGAAAGGTAAAACCAAGGTTAAAGTTCACAGTATACTAAAGCTGTTTTGCAGGGAACTCAAACAGGTAGACTTGTGTTTGCAGGAGAACCGGGTTCTATGGGTGAGAAAGGGAGCCCTGGCCGGACAACAGCTGGAGACCAGGGGCCACCAGGGCCTCCAGGTAAATCCTGTGGCTTCTTATTCATGTTCACGAATCCTTTACAAAGACATGTGGAAGCTAATTTCCTAAAGACGACCTCATCCTTTCGGCAAAGTTGACCGTTCCTTTCAACCGATCGGGGCTTTTTATCTCTACAGGTCCAATGGGGCCCCACGGGTACAGTAAGCCGGGTCCTCCAGGTAGGCCTGGATCACCTGGTCTAAACGGAGTGGAGGGTAAAAGTGGCCGTGCTGGCAGCCCTGGTCAGCCTGGGGTGTGTGATCCGTCCATGTGTTACAGCAGCATTATGAGGCGGGATCCTTACAGCAAAGGGCCAAACTATTGACGCACGCGGCGTCACTGCAGGCACAAGTCTAGAGCTGATGTGGAACAAACGGACATTCTCAGGAAGATCTCATCTTTATATTTTCACTCTGTCGTGAAAACAAAACGGACCTCCTCTATCACCAGTTACGTGATCTCAGACAACAGAACTATCACGTTTTTCTCTGTCGTTGTTTTGCATCACTATTCACCGTCTTTGAACATACTTTAAGGTTTTAATGGTGTTACGTAAAAGAGTTAATGGTGCGCTCCATTTATTAGCTCTCTTCGAGCGGTGTGGGTGGTGAATTTTCTCGTATTGCCCCTTGGTGTTTCTTCATTCAACGTCACTCTCTAAATTTTCAACACACATTGGATTAGTGGTATATTTTCTGTTAAAAAAACACACACACCATGATCTATAAATTCCATGTTCAATGAATAGTTGAACCACATATTATGTGTTACATTTGCATGTTTCAATACAAGACTGTGATTTCCTGTAGCTGATTGTGATCTGCTGTAAGCCTGTGTGTTCCCAAAGCATTTAGTTTGACTGTTGAGCTATTAACTCTTAAAACATTTTTAGACAGATAATATTGTGTATCACGCTAAATATATAATTTAACTCTTATCAGAATCGTTCACGTGTCATTTTATTGCAAGCAGGAAGAAAAATGTTTCACCGTCTAAAACATACTGAGATTTCACTTTGAATTATGTCATTTATGTTCCCATGGATTACCTTTCATTACTGTAGCAGGTATTTTAATGTTATTTATAGTTGTAACTGTGTATTTCAGAGGTGACATCTCTTAAAGAGTTTTTGTAATTGTATAATTTTGTTAAAGGTGACTTTTGTATGAATCTTTCTCCTCTTTTTGTATTAGAATAAAAACATCATAATGATTTGTGATCTCTGTTTGTTTGGGTCATTAAGTTTATTGCAGGAGGAGCAGCACAAAATCAACCTCTTGGACTTTTTAATCCTTTTTTGTTTTGCTTTGTAACGTTAACATTTCACCGAAGCATCGAAGAGGATTTATGTAAGAAGTAGAAAGCATCCTCACCCGGTGCACCTGTAAGAATGTGTGAAACCTCCAGAAATAAACGGTTTACGTGCTGCGTACACTAGGTGGCGCTGTGTGGCCAGATCCCTGCATGTCGGGGAGTTTTCTCCATTTCGCACAGCGATCACCTTCAGTATTTATGTTTTGAATGATCCCAACCATCCAGCTTCAACAATTCATACTTTTCTAAACTACTATTTTGAATATTTGTTTCATATTTATGAAGATGCAAATCCTTGTTTACTGCAGATACCTGAGGCTATTAACATACAATGTGCTGTGTTCTTATCCATCTTCCTGTCACTAGTATATATTCCACGATTTGTCCGTGTGAGATCGTTTTTTTAATGCAAATAATAAAGTCACTTTTACTTTCTGGTGCATTTAATGAAATGGTATTTTAGCCTCCCGGTGCATCAACAACAGGAGCCTTGATGATGGAGCCCTCTCCCATAAACAAGTGCACTTCAATAAGTCGAGGTGATTAAAAAGGGGTCCGTCATTATTTGTCCACTCGTTAAGACCCACTTCTCGGATTTCAAGTGTCTCCTTTTTTCCCTCCTTGAGCCGCCACATTCATCGCGGGACCGGGCTGAGGTTTATCGCTGGAGATGGATGCAGAAAAAAGAAAAGAAAAGTTCAGTGTGGGATGGACTCAGAGGGCAACCAGCCCTCTCGAGGGTTAAGGTGGGGGTTGGGAGGGGGGATTTGGAAAAACGCCATTCGGAACACGACTCTTGTTCTTCTCTCCTCATTCTGGACACAATTTCAACAAATCTCATCCAGTGGAAACGCCGGGTTACCCCTCGCCGCGATGGGCGTAGCTACGTGATGAGTGAGCGGAGAGGGGACAGGGGCCATAAATACTTGGTGCGGCAGAAGGACTTGGATGGACCCCAGAGGAGAAAACCACAGCTGGAGGAAGCTCGCGCACTGGAAAGGACCTGCAACTTTTCTGCAAGTTAAAACATCTCACTTGGGGGGAAAAAAAGAAGAAAAAGTGAAAAGTGAAAGTTGCGGTGCCGCCGTCTAACATGGGGAGTCAATGAGTCCTTAATTGGCGGAGGGCAAAACTTGTGTTGTATCTTCCCTCCCGGAGCGCGATGGAGTTCAGCTTGTCAAAGTGACGTGTTTTGCGCGTCGAGATGCGGGCGCTCACCCCGCTGGCTCGGGCCGTCCTCGGACTCGCGTGGAGCTGCCTGAGCTTCCTGTCGTGCGCTCACTGCGGGTTAAGCGACAACCATGTGCACTCGAGCTTCATTTACAGGCGGTTGCGCAATCACGAACGCAGGGAGATCCAGAGAGAGATCCTCTCCATCCTGGGCCTGCCGCACCGCCCGAGGCCCTTCTCTCCCGGGAAGCAGGCGTCCTCCGCGCCCCTCTTCATGCTCGACCTGTACAACGCCATGGCCGTGGAGGAGGAGGAGGAGGAGGAGGTGCTGGTGGTGGAGGGGACGCGGCGGCAGCAGCAGCAGCAGCTGGGTGCCGGGAAGGGCTTCAGTGGCAAGGCTCAAGGGCACGGCAGGAAAGCGCACCACGGCCCCCAGCACGCCGGCTACTCGCGCGCGGCGCAGCCGTACCGCGCGGCCCCGCTGATGGGCCACAGCCCCGCGCTCGGCACGGTGCAAGACACCAACTTCCTCAATGACGCCGACATGGTTATGAGTTTTGTCAATCTAGGTAAGTGGCGTTTACGTGGGATTTAATTCATCGAAATAAGAGCGTTTTAATCTCATTAAGTGTTAAAAGACTCCTTCAGCTTATCTTCATCTCAATTTCCATACTCCATACTAAAGATAAAATAAGGATGTGTAGGCCGTATTTACGAAAATTTCCAACTTTACTTTATCTGTGATTGAAATAATAATTGTTTATGCGACACGTGTCCAATGCACTCAACAGCAACACAAACGTCTTCATCAAGAGAGAATCAAAGCCTGATTGCTGTTGAAATTCACACATAAGACATGTCATAAAAATACCTATATTATTAAATTGTATATATACAATTTTGCTTAAACAACTTGAGCTACATTGTCAGACGTATACATCTCAACTTTTACAGTTCCTCTCACTCTTCTCCTCCAGACGCAGTTTTTCTCTCTGATGTCTCCATAAATGTCACCATGTACCTTCAGACATCAGTTCAGTTGATTTAGTCTTTTGTGAAATATTTAGTGTTTAACAGAATTACGTCCAACGTTTTGACCTTTTCGGGATTTGTGCTGCTTTCTATTAAAAAGCATCTGATCTGAATAATGATTATGTTTGTTCAGTAGCAGCGACCCTTAACCCAGCAGTTCACAGCACCTTATCAGATGACTGTCTGACCTTGACAAAATTGGTCTAAATGATTTCCTGTTGCTTAAATGGGAGTGAGATTGACTGATGTCTTTATTTCAAGCGTTTCAGTCACAAAGATTAAGCATTATTCTCATCATATTTGTCTTAAACGTAGCATTTATGGTTCTTTAATTGAAAATGCAAACTTATTAAAAAAATAAACAAACATGTAGCACACAAGAAGCCAAATAAAACCTTTAAAATATCACGGTAAAGAATTTTCAGATAATGCTGGTATTATAATATCAGGAATTGTGTTTCATTCAATATAGAGCAAAACATGCCAAGTGAATTTGTGTAGTCCTGGAAGTATAATCCCTCACTTTGGCCCGGGCCCATCTGGTTCCACTTACCACTATACCAGGGCATGTACACCGTCAGCCTTCAAGGCTCTGCTCTCGTCCGGGGGACTGTCAGGGAAGTGTTCAATGGGGCTCTGTCTTTATTACAGTACGCTGAAATGTAGCTACTGACCTCAACTGTTTGAGAAATCTCTATGTGGCTTTACATTCAGTTTTAATATGCTTACAGGAACCATTGCAACGTCCAGCGTTTGAATAAAAAGGCAGGTATTGAAATTTCAATAGACATGCGTGCGATTGTATGCAAGAGGAGTAAAGATGAAACACACCAGTGACGTATTAAATACTGTGAGCGCAAGCTGAATACAATTACTGTGCAAAACACCAAGAATGCTCACGGCTGTACCTTACCATAGAGGGACTTCATTATTATGCAATCTAGATTTTAAACGTAAATGCTCTCAGTGGCAACTCTGCTCCAGATTACTGCGTGTGGCTAATATAATGGAGCACACTCAGTGGGTAAAAGTCCGACCTGCCCTCTGACCTGTTTGTGCTAAGTAACCACAGGCGTCCTCTCTCGATAGAATATCAGGGAAAAGCACGGCACGATACCTCTACGGGTGTCCGAAAATCCACTGACCTCGGCCACATGCCACTTTTTATGCTGCTGGGCTGTGAGAGAGTCAGGGGTGTTAAAGTATCTTTTGTCTGCATATTGATACACTAAAAGTCTTTGAATGTTGGAGTAATTTCTTTTATCCACAAAAAAAAATAGATGCAGCCTCCTGAAAAATGAAAACGGTTCATTTATCTCCATGCCACAAAATATAAGATAATCATATGTGTTGGACGTTTTCAAACATTCTTAGGCTAACCGTTATATCAGAAATATTTAGTTTCACAGGTTAAGGGTCGTAAAATATTCCTAGCACATTGCCTAAAACCTACAGGAGGTCAGCATGAGGTCAGAAATTCGGTCGGAGTAGACGCTGATATGACATTGACGAATCCTGTCTTTTCTCTCCATGAGGAGCGGACGAAAGTGTCTTTAATTGAAATCAGGCTGTTTTTCTTAACTGACAGCCCATTCATCATGGCCAGAGAATGCAGCTAGCACACAGTAGAGGGCCTGTCTGGGAACTGCTACCTGTATTCAGTTGACTGATTTAATGAACTGGAAAGTGCTTTTGTTGGTAGTCAAAATGTTTGGATAGGAACAGGAATGTAAAAGAAGATGTCATAAATTACACTTTTTCTGTGAATTAAAGCTTCGTATTTTCTCTTCAGAAAAAAAAACCCACGGAGCGGCTCGGTTGAAGTCATATTTTTTTTTATCAGTGTGAGCTTTGCTGGCCGTGAAAATGAAATTCAAAATAAAATATTTTCTTTCCCAGTGGAGAAGGACAAAGATTTTTCTCACCAACGAAGACACTACAAGGAATTCCGTTTTGATCTGACTCAGATCCCGGAGGGAGAGGCGGTGACTGCTGCAGAGTTTCGGATCTATAAGGACCGCAGTCATGCTCGCTACGACAATGTTTCCCTGAAGGTTACTATATATCAGGTCCTCAAGGAATATCAGAACAAGTAAGTAACTTATCACTTAAACAAACTATGCTGGTGGATATAAAAGTAGATTTACTTTTGCACATTTCAATTTTTTTCTATTTGACAAGTTCAACTACAGGTATTTTTTCATCTCTATCACAGAAACAGAAGTTTTTCAGACTTTACTTTCAAAAGACGATGTATATTACAGATTAAACTGCCAAAAAATAGAAAAAGTAGTTAAATTAGCTCAAGCACTACTAGCTAAAACATCACAATGACATTTTAGTGAGGGTGCGCTCGAACAGCGGCCCGATGAGTAGTTTTAACCCATAAAGTTATTTCACAGTTAAAAAGGCAAAACGGTCCAACAGCAAGCGTGTTGCACTAGTTAAAACTTTCCACTCGCGGCACAACGTCCGTTCTATCTCCAACTCTGTTCTCCTTCATCCACACCGTGTCTGCCACACAAATATAGTTCCCGGATAAAGAGAAGTCCATTAGCAAGTTGGCCACTTATGAAGCTTGGAAGGTTCATCAGTTATCACTCGTCTTGTGTTGCCTGCCAAGCCCGCCGAGTCCCAGATGAAACCATGAGGGCCAAACGATAGGGGGGGACGGGGGGGCTCCCGGGGTTGCTGCTGTGGTCACTGTTATGCTCACCACCTGCCTGTCTTAACAATATTCCGGAAGTTTAAGCCACGACATAGCTGAATACACAGGGGAGTACTTAAAAGTGGGCCCACATTTGCTTGCCAGAAATGTGTGTGGGTGATTGAAGGGGAGATATGGGCCTCCTGGGCTTTGAAAAGGTCCAAGTCAATGGACTCTGCCATCTTAGAGGGAAACGCTGCTCAGTCGGAGTTTTCACAAACGTTTTGATGGGAAATGGGTTTTTCTTTTGAGTTAGCGTTCACAAAATAGAGTAACCATTTCCCACTGCAAGCAGTCTTAGAAACAGTTCCGGAGTATTTGACTTGAAATCCTCTCCGCTCACGTTGTTTGTTAACTTTTAAAAACTAAATAAAATCATATTACTTGTGCAGTATTACTTTTTAATGTTATTCTACCTCTGTCCACTCCACCACATCATCGCCACACTGCGCTCTGCACTGAAACTGAACTCTTCTAACTGAGATGCGTTGCTGATGGAGAAAAGTATAGCACATCATTTGCAAAAGAAAGACTGAAATAGTTGTTTTTATTCCTGGTATCCATTCAGTTTTAACTCCCTGTTTGGGAACATTACATCCACTAATTATAGATAAAGGAGCAGAATAAGCATTTTCCTCTTTGATACAGCTCTGGGAATGGTGACGTCCTACCTACACAAACTAAATCATCACAGGATATGAGCTGGATACTGTGTGTGTCCAAGAGGAAGTTCACTATTGTGTCAATCATAACAGCTGGCAATTCCACAGAAGGTTTACGTTTTTTTCTACACCTGTAATAAACACATGAAGTATTCTTCGGCTGGCTCTATGCAACCACAGAAACTAAACAGGCGCTGCCTTATCCGATCTGCCATTTGAAAGGAACCCAAAACAGATCACAAAGCAGAGCTTTTTCAACTCTGGGTTGATTAAAGCCTTGTGTTACAAATGCACACGGGCAGATATACTTAATTCATGACTCCAAAAATATTGTGCTCATCAAATAGCCAACATGTTGGCACACGTTAGACCACACAACTCTTTAGTTTATTAGTTACAGCTTTTTAATTAAAGGGTTTTTAGAAAGCGAAGGTTGGTTTCAAAAGGATGTACAAATAACAAAACTACAATAAAACTATAATAGAAAAAAACCTCAGATTCTTGGCCCCTGCTTCAGCGTTTGGGCTCAAGCTTCCATTTATAATGTGTCAGTGATCCCTCTTGTTTTTTCATTCAAACTGGTAACAACCTGTTGGACCCAGTTTAAATGCTGGTGAAGAAGCAAATGGTTGTTCTTTTTTTTCTTGAAGCACTGAAGAAGCAGTGGTGAAATCCAAGTTACCCATAGAGAATGAAAATACATCTTCAGTTGATTTTGATGTATTTTAATTAATTGGAAGATATACTTTGTGACGTTTTTTGTAGCATAACAGCAATAGCTGCTCACATACGGGCTGTTTGAGTTTGAGTTTAATTTAACGCAGATGTTCGTGTCCTTGTTTTTCTTTTACCTTCAGCGATGCAGAGACGTTCTTGCTTGATTCTAAAAAGGTCCGGGCATCGGATGGAGGCTGGTTAGTGTTCGACCTCACAGCCACCAGTAACCACTGGGTGATGAACCCACTGCAGAACTTAGGCCTGCAGCTCTGTGTGGAGACTGCAGATGGCAAGTGAAGTTCAGGTTTTCTTTACATCACTTTGTTTTACCGCTTTATGTTGACTTCTAATAAATGGTACACACAAATCAATCTTTGGACCGAGTATTCAGACAGATTCGATGGACTAATCTTAAAGGAAGTCATAAAAAGGTCTTTTGAATTGAACATTTACATTTACCTTTTGTTTTTTAAAGGTCGAAGTATCAACATGAAATCCGCTGGAATCATTGGGAGGAATGGGCCTCAGTCCAAACAGCCTTTCCTGGTTGCTTTCTTCAAGGCCAGTGGGGTGTTGCTTCGCTCGGTCAGAGCTGCTGGTGGTAAAAAAAAGAACCACAATCGCAATAAATCTATCAATCAGCAAGAATCATCTCAGGCACCAAAAGCTGGAGGTAAATGAACTCTTATGCTGGAGTCAAGATGATATAATAGTTTATTAAAATAGATTTCAATGCCGCTGTTGTGATAACCTTTTCTATACTTAAGACAAAAAACTATTCATTTACATTACTTTTTGTGGTAATTAATAGCCTTTTATTGTCCTTAATTGGATCAGATTACAACACAAGTGAACAGAAGCAAGCCTGCAAGAAGCATGAACTTTACGTCAGTTTTCGAGATTTGGGCTGGCAGGTAAGACAAAACATGTATAACATTAACAAAAGTCAGCAAAACAATGAACAGTGCCTTTTGAATAAAATTATAAGGTGTCCTAAATACAGAAAACTCTTTCTTCAAGGATTGGATCATTGCACCTGAGGGGTATGCTGCTTTTTATTGTGATGGCGAATGCTCTTTTCCACTCAACGCACACATGAATGCAACAAATCATGCCATTGTGCAAACGCTGGTAAGTATTCTACAGAGTGCATTGCATACATGTAAAGTAGTAAAAATCATGTTGTAAGCTACCATAATCTTCACTGCAATTCCTTTAAAAACCCTCTCTTTTACCTACTTTTTCATTTATAGGTGCATCTAATGTTCCCTGACAACGTGCCAAAGCCGTGCTGTGCCCCGACCAAGCTCAACGCAATATCAGTGCTTTACTTTGATGACAGCTCAAACGTTATCCTGAAGAAATACAGAAATATGGTAGTTAGGTCTTGTGGGTGCCATTAGTGGCCGGGCTATCTTCAATTTTTTATTTATGTGTCTGGTACGGGAATTGCTGGAAAACACTTCTGTTGCAGGTGCGATGTCATGTACAGTATTATGTATATAAAGTTGTATTACCTAATTTATTTTCCTTTCTTCTAAAATAGCACTGAATATTGTGATATTTAAAGGATTTGGACAAAATATTGATTTTACATTATGTAATTTTTCAGTTCATGTTTTAGTCCATCGGCATATACTCTTTCAGTTACGTCTGTATGATAACTTCTATGAGTTTACTATTCACTGGAGTCATCGTGATGCATAACGTTGCCTCCCCCTCAGCCTATTTATTTTTTCCTATTTACAAAATATACTTGCTATAACTACGATTAAACAAGGCTGTCATTCTTTGGTGATTTTCTTCAATGTTAATTTGTCTCTTAGTTTCATTGTATTCCCACATTTATAATGACACATACAGAAGAATGTAGCATCACAGGTTAACTGGATGAATCGCGGAGTCAACAAGAGGATGCCATTAGCCCTAACATCAAAGCTTCAACCGACCCGCGGAAATTTTGGAAATCAAATTGGAAATCCGGGAAGAAAAAATAGCGGATGTTCTCTAATGTGAACCAACCCGCCCAAAGCTATTTTCAAGCCTCCACTCTCCTTCAGCACTGATGCTGTTTCACCTTTTCCAAGCCAGGTTTTTTTTTTTTTTTTCATAAGAGAGTGTGTTCACAGACAAATTGCACTTGCAACGTTGAGTGTTCACTCATGAATGCTTTACAAATAATGTCATTTTTAAAACATGGTTATGTAAATGTCTTCCATAAACACAGTTTTCTCCTTCCTCGGACGAGCTGCAAACGCCGCTCTAATTCAACCTTGTGTTTGGGGAAAGTATATCTTAATGTAGAGTGTTGTGTATTTTAATAAATGTACCACTTGAGAACTCAAACATTTGCTTTGCCTTTACTTGACCTCAGAGCTTTTCTCGCTCCAAACTGTACGCAGTCCTGCGTTTCATCTGGGGGCTTTTTTCCACTGCAGCACTTACAATTCAAGTTGTCCCTTTAGGGTTTCTGTTTAGAGATGTGCAGATATTTCACTGTTGTTTGACTGATTGTTGTCTTAAATGATATTCGTAAAAAAGCGCAACTGCTAATCGGGTTCTACCCACAAGGCCTGTTGCCATGAGGGCTGTGACCTAGACAGCTGACAAAGGGTGGTTAGAGTGAGGCCTATTATTTATTTAGTAATCCCCTCCGGATTATAGGAAAAGACACCATCCATTACATGTGTAATGTGTGTACGGCAAACGTCCGCTTGCCTCCATTCATCTGCTCAGAGAGCCTTGAGTCACCTCTGGAAACTAAGTTGTGACCTTAAACTAAACCCAGTGTGTCCGCATTCCTTCCTCATTCAGGATAAGCAGAGTTTCCAGAAATTTGCGAGCAAACGAGCAATTTCCAGAGAAGCCGCCTGGTTGCACGGAGGTTTTCAATGGTCTTTTAAATCTAGGGATTTAGGTTAAGGATTAACAATTATTTACACAACTGTGTTGACCTTTACTGAACACAGGATGTGTAATGCTGCCCCTTTTCTCCCTTTACCCTCCCACTTTTAGAAAAAAAAGAATCTCTGACATGGCAGAACATTGAGTGACTGTATTTCACTTAATTAAAAGCAGTGGCTGGCCTGCCCAGATGTTATGTGGACTCCATCTAAAAGGAGTGTTGACATTCAGTGAATAGAAGAGGCCACCTGCTAACCCAACTCTTGGCTTGAGGGCTGATTTGCATTCCTGCGGCCTGTTGCCCGGCATGATTACTCCTAGCACTCCACAATCCCATCTACTGTTTGCTATTATGGATTATTTCCAATACAGCTACATGTCTTCCTTTTCTGTTACGCAGGAGCAGCTATGAATGAGCTCCTATTTGAGTTCCCCCAGAATTACGCAGCCCCCCTCATGACAGCAGCCTCCTGACCACATGAAAGGAAAGGGCAACAATTGCCGTACTCAGGGTAGATTATTATAGTGCCCTTCTCCTTCGAGACCCCCTCGGACAAAAAACAGACTGCAGTGAAAAGTTTATTAGAAGGGATTCTTGTGAATTATTCATTGATCATGCTCTCTGGTGCACGGTGTCTCTCACGACCTACGGTGAGCTTTTCATAAACGCAGTCAAATAATGTCAGGATGTGGGGATGTTGAGATGATTTCCCCCCCCCCCCCCCGTGTTTATTCTCTTAAACTGATTGAGAGAACGGGCTTGTCCAAATCAGCGGCCGTGAGGAACGTGTTCTTTTGTTTGGCAAATGCGATGCACTCGGTGAGGAGAGATCATCTTGAAGCGCTTAGCAGGCAGAAGCCGGCTGGTCTTCATAAGTTGCAAACGCTTGATGATTCAGGTCTTTTTTAACAATCTAACCAAAACCATCACAAGCAGGAAATATGTTGACATATACCGGAAAACAAAAAGGTAAAATAACAAGCCGACGGGGGTGTTTCTGCTGGAGGCTTCTCAAAGATGCCCTCATAGATCACACCACAGAGCATGCAACGTTTTTAGTGTGTTTTCTTCTTAAAAATAATGATTCAGGCCTCGTTAAGCGTGAGAATGCCGCAGTCATGCATATTAAACTGTCTTTAAACGGTCTTCAAAGAAATAGCTCAAGTTTGTTTGCAGATTCGGATTCTAAGTTAGCAAAAGCAAAGCATGCAACAACAAAATCATATTGAAAGGAAATGTATGTTTTACTTATTATCTATGGTAAACCAAAAGTGAAAATTCCACTTCGTATAATGAATTGTGTATTTTTCTTTCTTAAACCTTGAGTGCGTTCTATGTATTTTGAGTAGCTAATCCTTTTTTTAAACAAATGTTCTGAATCCAGACACAAGGAATTGAATGAAGTTCAAATGTGCTCAGTAGTCCATGGAAGACAAGTTGTATTTTACATTAACATACTCACAACTGTATGTAAACTAAACATTAGCTCACTGTCTTCAAGTTCAATGTGCCATTTATTATAAAGGCACACTGGCAATTGGCTCTAATGCAGGCCAGTGAAGTGATTGACATGATGCTCATTTTAATCACATTTTGGTCAATCTAACACAAGTAAAGACATAACAGTTATTGATCACTTGGTTTAGTATTTCCATGTTTCACGGATTTACCCTCAGGGGACTTTTTCTTTCCGAGGCTCAACGTTTATTTTTAAAGTGTCACCTTGCAGTCCATCCGCAAGTCAAGTGAAATTGTATCTAATAAAAATGTTGTGCAGTTTACCTAATTTATCCCCCGCATATGGTTCTCCTTATTTGTATTCAGTGGGTGGGCTAGGACTTGCATACAGCTCAATCAGTCCCTCTTGAAGAAGGAGACCATATGGGTCGCATTTTTACATGGTGTTTGGTATGACAAGGCTGCAGCGGGACCAGCGAGGAATGTGTCCCGCCAAAAGCACCGCGGGAGCACTGCTACGTTTGCTTGTTATTCACATTTGCACATTAGCTTCCCCGGCCAGAGAAGAGATGGTTTTGGGGAGTTTACAACGGCCTGTTTGTAAAGTAGACTGTCACTTCCCATTAGCTCTACAGGTAGCACCTGGGCTTTTAAACCGTTTTATGTTTTGACATCTTGTATCTTTTGGCGGGATTTAACACATGAAGCGTGGCTTGTTTTCATCATTTTACATGAGCAGTGTTTTGCTAAGAATTCTTTTATAAATAAAGAAAAAACATTCATCCAAACCGTCATTATAAAACTCTACCAATTCTATGTCAAGGCAGTTGGTTTTAAAGTGACGCTTTTCTACTGCACTGCAGTGTTTATGAAACATATTTTCCATGAGAATAAAAAAAAAAAGAGATTTAAAGATTCTTTTGTGTGGTTGTCTCAGCAGAAAATAAAAACCTTTGACATAATACGCTAACAATGTCTGTTCTCTTTTTTCGTGCAGCACAGTAATGTCCTCCTGTCAGCCATATATTGTCAATTTATGGCTAAAATCACATGGAAAATGAAAACCAAAGCAGATGCACAGGATATTAACCTGCAGCTGAGGCCAAAGATGTATCGATACAGCACTAATGGTGCTGATATACTGCATCACCGAGCTTCCAAACCACTGTTTAAAATGATGCCAAAACGGGATAATCAAAAAAGCCTGGTAATATCTCTGCACGATAATGAACCAACAAAATATAAAGAACTAAACAAAATGTCAGGTAAAACCTTTCCATTAAAATCTGTATCTCCCTTATTTATAAAATCTAAGGCAGAGAGTCAACCATTGTTCATTTGAAGGGCTCTAGTGTTCATACTTTAGATTGGACGTTAGGTTGCAACCTTTACTAACTTCAATTTGTGGCTCTATCTGAAGGTTGTCTTTCAGATATTTTTCCTAGAAAACACTTGTCATTTCTCCAAAAAGTAAGGTCTCAAAAAACATGTTGGCATCCGCACAGAAACTATTGACTTGTATTAGAAAACAATGATCTTCGGCTCGGGTGATGTGCTGGTTAGCACCGTCGCCTCACAGCGAGAAGGTACTGGGCATGTTCTCCCCGCCTCGGCCTGGTTGCTCCCCGGGTACTCCGGCCCCCACAGTCCAAAGACATGCTCTGGGGGTTCGGTTGATTTGTGACTCTAAATTGCTCGTAGGTGTGTGAATGTGGCTATGAATGATTGCTCGTGTCCATGTGAGCCCTGTGATTGACTGGCGACCGGTTCGGTGTGCACGCCTTCAGTCCAGGGTGTCCTCCTTCGCTCGGTCGATCTCAGCTGGGATTGACTTCAGCCCTCCCCATGAGGCCTCTCTTGATAAGTAGTATTAAAGATGACTGATGTGCTGCCCTGGACCAAAATAATTGTCACTTTACCATGTTTATCTGACCTTTCGTCGTCTTGTGCCTCCATGAGAATAACGGACTGCTGTTGCAGCAAGTTAGAGAACGAATAGTTCCGGCCGTTGTGAATTTTGCTGTGACCAGTGATAGTGATAAACTGAAAGAAATCTCTAGACTTTATGATCCAGTCAAGCAGTAATCCAGCCATGAAGTCCTGGGCGATATAATATAAAAATCTGCATAGTAAATATCTGCAGGCTGCTTAGAAACATCCGCTTGAAGTTATCTGTGACAAAGTGGTTCCTTTTTGAAGATTGTAGCAGAACGAATGCATGATACTGTTATATTACAGCCAATTTGTTTTTTCTGCACTCTCTTCTTAGTGGTAATAGTCTTATTTCTCAACAGGCAGGTGCTACAGGATTACATTCTGTACAGAGCCAGGCATGTTGCTTTTCATCGCTCTATGCTCAACAGGCTGGATTGTACATAGACACAACACACAGGTCAGTGGCTTCTGTGACTGAAAGCTACAGGGCGCTCTGTGGTGTGATTACTGCGAGGATAATCTTTAACACACATGCTGTCTCTGAGGGGAGCTGTGGAAAGTTGGCCCAGAATGTCAAGCCTTCCTGAAGGAACTCTAAGGTAGGCTATTTTTAACAAGGCTTTACATGTTATTTTACAAAAAAAGAAAGTAGTTGTGGCCGTCTTTGTTCTCTTGCTGCATATTTTAATATGTATGGAAATGAAAAAGGGTGGTAAATGCTTTTCCTTCCACATGAGCAAACATATTTAAAAACGTTTATTCTTTGCTCTTTTATACAAATAAATTCTTATATATGATTCAGATTACAAATATACACAATCAAGTGGTCTGTTTTTGTGGGACTGGGTGTAATTATTCTAACCATACACCCATCAAACCCTATCATCTTCTCTGGGTAAGAACGACTGTGTCATCCTGATTATTGCTTTCAGGGTGATGTTCGTGAGCTATTCCCTCGGCACCAAGGCTCTTGTGTTGTTAAATCTATGATTTAGAAATTGAAGACGGATGGAGGATGAAAATTGATTTAATCTGGATCCTGTTTTCTTTCACCCACATTGTTTTCAGTATATATCTGAGAGCTTAAAGTCTCTTCCAAGAGCCGCCGAAACCTGTAATATATAAAGTGCCGTTTTTCCACATCTGTTTCTTTCTTAGTCCAAAAAAGTCCCGTTAATGCTGTTTTTTCAGGAACACGTTGCGATATTTGCACCGTTTGATTTTAATCTAACGTTTTGAGGGATTCATCATGTGCTTGCTCTCCCACATCCTCATGTGTAAAATGAGAATATTTTTCTCAAGAGGAAGCTTAAAAAATCAGACATCCTTTTTCCTGCCGAGCCGTATCTGTTTGCCCCAGCCATGCAAACCTAAAGAGTAGTGTACCTTTACACTGTTAACATGGTAGGAAAGATCTTCAAGTTTGTGCAGCTGTTTTATTTGTTAGCCTGACAATTACGATGAACGGCCATTTTGTTTAACTTCATTTCTCTTTTCTACTCTATTTCTCTGAACAAACCAGACATGTGGGCGGTGATTACAGAGGTCTGGAACTATGTTAATTTGTTATTGCTGCTGTAATACAAATATCCTCCATTTGATAAGAATACCACATTTCAAATCCTCCACATCCATCCTTTGTGCACTAAAGAAATTATCAAAGGGGATCCATGTTCTACAACTGTAAAAAAAAAAAGGCCAAAATACATGTTATTCTAACGTATCAATGTATGTACTACAGAAAAATATTATTATTGACGTTTCACAAGATAGTGTTAATTTCGTTTTCAAGGGTTTTTTTTTGTTCTGTCGTGCGTTTTTTTTTTTTTTGTAAAATGTCAAATCTTCCTCTCCATACCATCTCAGACTTTGAAGTATCCACTCACCTGCATTACATTGACTCTGACAGGCAGGAAAGACCCTGAAGGCCTGAAAGCAAACCTCCACAGCTGGCATTTGTCAAGATAAACCGTAGCTGCCGAGTTTCCTTGAAAGTAGAAATCTTTGAAGGCCATTTAGGGTTAATTGGTTGATGCAGTTATCATTGATTGAAAAAGAGCCGTTCAGAAACTGACCTTTTCTGAAAATAGACATCAAATGCAAATGATGAATTTCATTTGTTACAGGAAAAATTACTAAAGATAATTCTTGTTATTTTACATTATGTCTATTGGATCCCGACATATTTGTCTAAAAGATTAGAGATAACCAATCCAATCTGGTAGGCTACTTATCAGAGGCTCTGATGCATTGAAAGCACATCATTTTCACGATGTGGGTTCATGTCCTGTTTTATTTTGTAGTTTCCTGCCTCGTGTCCCTGGGTTAAATCCACTTGCTGCCCTGGTGTGTTTTCCCCTGTGAGTGTCTGCCGTGTCCCTGGTTGTTTTCTCCTGTGTCCAATCTCCTGCACGCTCCCAGTGTATTGAAATGCGTTTCTCTTGTCTCTTGATAGGTTCATTATTAATGAATGTTGGTGAGATGTCGCTGACTTTGTCGATGGTGGTGTTGTTTTGGAGAGAGTTTGGGATTACTTTGTGTTTTGGTTTGCCTGTAAAACTTTTCTAATGAAGTTGTTTTTTGTTTCCGTAAAACCACGAGTCTGAGTTTGGGTCCTACTTCGACCACTCCCCGGCGACATGTGTTCTAACATCTGAAAATAATGAATCCCGAAAAACGTAAATACGTAAATAGTGATAAATGCTGATTTAATTTAAAAAGCAGAATTTTTGTTTTTATTTTGTTTGATATACTAAAAATCCAACCATTTAAGTGAGCTGGACAGTGTTTCTCTAAGAGGACCATTAATCAGTGATTAGAAGAAATACAACAGATTTTAGGAGGTGGTAACTGATAGACGTCCTTGAAGCTTCCTACAAAAAATCCTTTTTAAGGGCTGATTATATCGCCGTACTACTCTGAGTAGATGTCTCTCATCAGGGCAGTTCAGCGTGGTGAGATGGTTGAATTCTAGGACTTCATTAAGCCCCTCTATTGTTAACATCTGGGTGGAGAAGAATGGCTCTTTCTCTGGTAAATGTTGCCCCGACTTTACAAGGGATTTTATTACAACATGCAGTTTACATTGGCAGCAGTGGCACGTCTGGCAATGGAAACCCTTCAACTGTTCAGGTCACAAGAGATCAATCAAAACAGCCTGTTTCCCTGACACCTTCCATTCTCACTAGAACAGGGAGTTGAATGTGTATCTAATCTTGTTGAACCAAGATATCAAACATCAACTGTCAGACTGTTGTGAAAAGAAATACTGGTAACAATGCTGGCGCAGTAAAGCAGTACTCCATTCTTATACTATTTATTCATCATTTGGAACCAAACTGCCATTGTCTAAAGTCTTCTTTCCTGAAAATATATTTTCACTATGCTTTATGGATACACATATTATATTGCTCCTCAAAATGCTTCCACGTATTCCCAGTCGTGCAAAACTTATCTCCCATATTGCTCCATTTGCCACTTCTGCTCACCATTCCCTCTCTCTCTCTCTCTCTCTCTCTCTCTCTCTCTCTCTCTCTCTCTCTCTCTCTCTCTCTCTCTCACTCCCCATCCCCCTCTGTTTGGATCGACCTCCCTGGTACAGTAATGTGGCTGCCATGGCAACTGCTGATTCACCGTCTGCAGCCGCCCTCATGCAGCCAGGCCCTCAGCCAGCATTGGTAGGCCTCTGCATTAGCATATCGGCGCTTCAATTTGCTATCTTGGTTGCAGCAGTCTGTGCAGGTCTTGAGGACACGGAGGTACAGCCGGCTAAAGAGCAGCCATTCGGATGGGCAACGTACCCACTGCGGTGAAGCACTGCCTGAGCTACGAGCAACTCATCCAGGACTACCCGTGGCTGAAACGCCTGCTTCTGGAGGAGAAGGTGAGCATTGATTTTCTTGTTTCCGATCTGCTGCACATGCTCTGCGGCGTCACTCGGTGATGACAGAGAGGATACAGAGCAGCAGGCCACAGTGTTCAAGTTGCAGTGCATGCTGCTTCAATGGACATGTTGCTTTATTTATTGCCTTTTTAAGGATGCTTTGCTCTCAATAAAATAGGTAGATTGTTTTTACAGAATATTTCTCAATCTGCCAATGTTGAAAAAGTATACAGGCAAGATTCTTCTTTTTTTGTGTTGCTTAACCTTATTGGGTTTCCTACAGGATTATTTGATGATAATTTGACAAGAATAATTGCCTATTAGTTTATTGCAAGTGGAAAAACCGGTTGCCCATAGCGATTGTTTACATTCAAATACCACTGATCATAAAATTAAGCTTCTATTTATTAATAGATTGATATGTATACCTATCAAATACCTCAAGAAGCATCCTCACTACAATACTCATGAATTAGCCTCCCATAGCACATTATCTGTGTAATATGCTGCAAATTTCTTGAATGGAGTCTGAGCTGTTCTAATGAAAAACTTTTTTTTTGTTACCCGCAAAAACTACTAATTAAAAAATGTTACAGAATAAGTAAAAGCTTGCATTAATCTCACTGAAAAAGCATGTATGTATATAGATCTTAGTATCAATATTGCTGATGTGGCAGAAGGAGCATTTTATGTTTTGGTTGCTACATTTTCGTGAGTTAGTTTAAAATGTAAATGTAGAGAATGTTGGGCGACTTTTAATCACTGCCAACATAGGCAAAGGAAGTGTTGCTATTTGACATAAAAACCACTCCAGATGAATGCTGCTCCATGTCTGCCGAGTGTGAAAGCCGGCCCTCTTTGCTAACGCGTTAGCCATTATAGCATATTTAGCTGGCTGCCATTTCTGCTTGTTTTTTTACTCTTGTCCCTAGTGGACAACAATGGATGGAAGACAACTTGTTTGTATGTGTATGTTTAAATGTCCTTTGGTTAAAGAAGCTCACTTAAGCCATATCTTCTTATAAACTTAAATATCTGGTAGGGTTGCCATCCAAGTTACAAAATAAATTCCCCTTTTGGGTTGTTTGGAGTTGCCCTCACCTTGTGTCCCAGTCTTCCCTCTATGAGACATTCCTGGGTTTGCACCCTAGTGTCATGACAGGCTTTGGTTCCAGGGTTTCATCTGGCTTTGAGGTAGACAGTTGTTCTCGTTGGAAACCGCCTCCCTGACCCTGCTTGTGTTCTGTGTGCACTTCTCCTTCTTCTCTTCTCTGTTTCTCTTTAATATTGTTCCAGAACATTACTGGACATGAGTATCCAGAGTTTGTCAGAATAGTTGAAGTTGGACCAAGAGACGGACTTCAAAATGAAAAGGTCAATTATACACTGTTAAGATTGTATCTTCCTTCATAAATATGTACTATTTTTATTACTATGGATGATCATCCCGGGAAAACCCAATTTTTTTTATTGATAAAACCATAACAGATGGGATGTGTCCCATAATTGCCAGGAGCATATGTTTCACGTTTTCTTTGAAATCTAATAGGAAAGATGACACGACTTCTGGCTCTGCATCCTCTGCCTAGCGTGTCACTGCTTTATCATTCACTTATTACACACATGCAGTGTTACATATTGCTGGGGATGCGGGGATAATTTCATCTCTAACAATGTGTTATAAGAAATATAGAGACATCTCAAAGTGTTCTGCAAGTACTCAAGACTGTGCATGTGAACACAAACAGCAATGTGATTGGCAAGCAAAGTAGCAAGAAATGGAGAAGAAAATCAGCCAGATATTTGCTTGTTCTACCGCCCATCTTGAGAGGAATCAAATCCAGAAAGAGCTGTTTCAATTTCATTGTTCCCCAGGAAATTGTCCCGACGGGGGTGAAAATCCAGCTGATAGACATGCTTTCGGGAACAGGCCTCCCTGTGATCGAGGCCACCAGCTTTGTCTCTTCAAAGTGGGTACCGCAGGTAATAACTCTTCTTTGTGCACAGCAAAAGAGTGCTGAGTGATTTATTAGGCTCTCTTTCTTGTCTGCATAACTACTGAGGAAACTCTGCTCCCTCTGCATCCTTCTGGACCCACATACGCTTTGGAAAAGAATGTTTTAAGATTCCCTTTATTTACTCCCTTTCATAAATTATACCACTATTTACCTCCGGAAAAAGAGCAAATATTAACCATTTTAAACACATTTTACTTAAGTAATTCTGTCCATTATGAAATGTCTGCTGGGCAAACCTAGGAAAACATTTGTGCAATATAATGTATACTCAGGTGGGCATAAAGGTTTATTTTCCTACATCATATGTTTTCCCCCTTGATTTAGATGGCAGACCACACTGATGTACTCAGAGGAATCCACAGGGAACCTCATGTTCGGTACCCTGTTTTGACACCTAACCTCCAAGGTTTTCATGATGCTGTAAGCATTCATTTTCTATTGAGTGTGATGATTTCTGCTGGGAACCAGCTGTTTGCACTGCCATGCCATGTAATTGCAGCTGACTGTTGGCATTACTTTAGATTCTTTCTCCATATAATGCCTGCACTTGTAAAATAGAGATCAAAACATCTTTGCAAGTTGTTTTTTCTCTCCTGTTCAAAGGTTGCAGCTGGTGCTACTGAAGTGGCGGTGTTTGGCTCAGCGTCTGAAACCTTTAGTAAAAAAAACATTAACTGCTCTATTGATGAAAGCATGCTGAGGTTCGAGGAAGTCATTAAAGCTGCCAAAGAGCGACAAATTCCAGTCCGTGGGTTAGTATTCTGGGTATCTGTTGTTTAACAAATCACATCAAGTCTAATCATGACAACATCTTAAGTAAATATATTTGTGTATGCCATCGCAACATCTCACTAAATACGATAATGAACAGACGAACTCTTCAGAATCAACAGCAATCTTCTTATCAATCGGGAATACAAAAAAACACAATGTCAACAGCTGGAAATTCTTTTATGTTTCATGAAATTATTGTTAAATCCACAATTGTTCTTTATTTTTTTTCAAATGATTGCAAAAATTACATTAAAATTTTTATAATGCTTTCCAACGTGTTCTTGCAGATATGTTTCCTGTGCCCTTGGATGCCCCTACGAGGGCCACATTGAACCTTCCAAAGTCAGTGAGGTGAGATATCTGTTTTGCATTGTTATACTTCAATCCTTACTGCAACATTCAGTATATTGAAAATCTGAATGAAACACATCACATTTACAAAATACAGTTGGATTCTATGTGACACATATGATGTGTGAAGTGGACGTTTACCTTGCTTAAGCTTAGTCATTTTCCATGACTCCCCTGTCAGTGAAGGAATTCCTCCACTCGTTCACTCTCCTTTAGGTGGCAAAGAGGTTGTATGAAATGGGCTGCTATGAGATTTCCTTGGGGGACACCATCGGTGTTGGCACGCCGGGTTCCATGTTTAAGATGCTGCAGAGTGTGATGGCCGAGGTGCCGACCAACGCTCTGGCGGTTCACTGCCACGACACATACGGCCAAGCGCTGCCCAACATCCTGATTGCACTTCAGGTAAGGCCTCAAAATGCTGCTCCTACTACTTTTGATCTTTAATACAAGTATTGTATGTAGTAGCAGAACATGTAATGTTTTGACTAATTATATATCAGTACCGTATTGTGCAAAAATCAACTTATTAAGCTGTGGCCGTACCTCCATTTCAATGGCAGAAGTTTGGTTATATAAAAAGGATTATTATAAAAACTAATATGAACACAAGCAAAAATGTCCTTTTTAAACGTAGTCTTTGTAAAGCCTTTGTAAGTCTCATTTGCAAGTGGGCCCTGAGACACAAAATACACAAACATCAACAATGAAAGCAAAATGAAATTGAAATTTTCAGAATTAATGTAAGAAATACGAAAAATGTCTTCAGCTCTCTCACAAGAAAGGGAAGAAAGTCATGAATTCTTTTATGAGAAGAAAGGTATGAAAAGATTTCCTGATCTTTACGGGGGGATGTGAAAAATCCTTGTTCTTTGTTTTCCAAATACTGGCACAGTTAGAAGGCGCATTTCCCGCACAAGCAAAAGACAGATGCATCATCCTCATGAGTCATTCCCATGATGAGTTTTTTTGACAGTTTCTTTTTTCTGCAGTGGCTTGGCAGGGATTATCTGGACATCTTCTCCTTCATGTGCACATCTTTCTCTTTCATGATGATTATGACCACTATTGAGGAGAACCACAAGATGATTTGGGATAAATGCTCAGCCGTTACATAAATCCATATTCTTACTCATTCTGACATCAAGAGCAGCAACCAGATGTGGAGGGAAAGTTGAGGTGGTGATTCTGGTTCCAGGGTATCTTTCAACTTCCTTAAGTCATTCCCATCCATCTTATTAGACAGTTTTTGAAGAAGTTCAACAGTGCAGCCTCGTCTCTCCATTGTCTTAATTCTTAAGAGATGCGAACCCGAATTAGCAAAAAGCAAAAGCTAAGTAAGGATTATTTTCCACTGGTGTCAGTCTAAATTAGGTTATATTATAGTCAAAATGTTTAATTAGACTGAATCATTCTGTCCATTTAAAAGGAAATGTAAGTATTTTGGAGATCACACATAAAAGTGTTCTTGTCAACAGCAACACTACTTTTCTCTTCTGAAGCAAATTCTGTAATTATTAGTCTTTTAAAGCAAAATATCCTCATCCAAATATTTATGAAACTCACTGTAAACCAGAATCTTCCTTGAGCTTTAATGACAAAATGTCAGTTTACCAAATTATGAATGCACCCACTGTTTTGGGGAGTATCCAAAACGCACAAGACAAATGTGTAAGTTACAATGGGACACACAGAAACACAGGAGCCATCAGTCAACAGGAAAGAGGGGCATCAAGAAACATGATCTAACCCTTCCCACAATGCAAGACTTTTCACAAACTGCACTGAGAAAAAAATCCCAGAATCTTAATGAACATGAGATATTTCCAATGGGCCCTTCTGTCACAGTGCAAGCGTTGTAGGGAAGACAAAAAAAAAAAAAAAACATTGTGAACCATTACGGTAATAAACTCTGTTTCTATACCGCTCACAAAAAATGTAATGAGGTTCTAAGTCCCTGTGGAAGAATTCTAGACGGCGTCGTATTCACCGATTTGCCGGTAGCGAGTGTAAAACTGACATGAATCCACACATAAAACAGAGGTAACGCAGATATGGCTGTATCAGTTCTCTGCAGAACATTGTCATTGCAGAGGAGGAAGCTCATTGGGGGCTGGGTGGGTCAACAGATGTGAGGGGGGGGGGGGGTGGGTTGGGGTCAGCACAAAGGCTCACCTATTCGGTGTCTGTTGGACAAAGCAACTGGGAGCTGGGTGGATGGAAGGGCCCTGGGGGGCTCCTAACTCATCTGTCGCTTGCCTGTTGAACCCTTTGACAATGCTGTGCTTAAAGGCCGGTGCAAGATGATCCTTTCATTTGCTCGCCGCTGAGCACGAGATGAATGGCGCTGTAGGGACACAACTCTCAAAGCCAGAAAATGATTTTTATTTTGATTATGACTCCTGTCTTAAAGACCTGGAAACATTTAATTAACAAGAGGCCCACTGAAGGAAGAGAAACATTTTTACCACATACGGTGTCGCCCACTGATCATAACTGTTAATCTGCTTCATCATATCAGAGTCGTCCCAATATAAACTGTACAAAAACATGGCAGTTCATACATAGCAGATAGAGGTAGCAGGTACCTAAAAAATGTCTTGAAAAGAAAAAAATGAACTAAATTAAGAAATATTTTCTGCACCGAAACCTTACTTTGTAAAATATTGAAAAAGTATTCATATTGATTTCTTACAGGACAAAAAGAGACAGTAAAGTATTTACAGTGCTTTTCATCTGTAGCCCTGCAGCAACATTGTGCCAAGGAAAAGATGGTCGTGTGTGAAGTAGGATTCATCAATACAATTAGCCTTGATTTTGAATGGCACGGTTAAAAGCGGTTGAATCCCTTTTGTGAATCCTATTCACAATGATTCATCGCAGCTGCCTCATGGCCACAGAAAATAACAGCAGCCGGGGATATTTTGCTTACCATTTGCTCGCCCATAAGCAAGATGGAAATGAAAGATTTTATCAAAGCTTTTCATTAGTGGGCCAGAAGTCCCCACTACCAACTGGGAGAGGAATAAATTCCCCCAGCGCTGTCAGCCCTGAGTCACCTCTTTTGTTCTTGATAAAGACATTCCTCAGTCTTTGTACCTCTTCTCTTTTTTTTCGAAGATGGTTCGAAGGGGAAGCTTTGTTGCCAACCTACTCCTGGCAGGTCGCACAACGACAACGCGTGTACTTAGATTTCATAGGCTTGGCCAAAAAATGATTTATTCCTACCTGCAATTTTAGAGTATTGCGTCCCGTTGCATCCTTCAAAAACAGTGTGACCTGTTTGCGCTCACACTGGAGCTCTCTGCCAGCAGTAACATTCATCGTCAGTATTTTCTCTTTTATCTCTTCCCATGAGGCACCGTTCATCCATGATGGGCTGTGCAAGGTCAAGGATTTTGTTTGACTAACAAGCAAAGAGCTACTAGAACAGCGTAGCTTCATGTTGCATTTCCTTCATTAATCATTGGCAGACGTTCATATGATGATGTCATAATTAGGATTAGTAAGAAATCACTTCTTTATAATCATTATAAATGTTGTCTCCTGTCAGTGGCGTGTGAATGAAGTGAAAGAATCAAATTCCATGAAGTAAAAAAGAATATTGAAAAAAACTAACACATTTAATTTATTAACATTTACACAGTTAGTCACATTAACCGAATAATAAAAGAAAGCCAAAAAACACCATTCAAGAGACGACTGTTATTGTTTTACAGTTGAGGGAATACTGATGGTTAAGATTTAATTCACTTTATTTATTAATACATTAAGGTCAACAGTGTAGAATTGGTCTTAAAGTTAATTTCTTAGTATTATTCTTACTACGACACTTGGGTACAACAGGTGCAATCAACAAATACTCAGGTTTGTATGATATTTGATTGTCTCTAGATTACTTAAGTTAAATACGGTTTGATTTGATAATGTTCTGTATGGGTTACCTGTCCATAGAAGACCAACCACTCTTCTATACTGAGACTGATTGTCGTGGTTATCGGTCGCTGTGCTTTCATGGACCCAGGTAACCCGGTAAGAGTTTGAATTTGAAGGAAAATTATGTGATTGTATAGTATAGAATTATTTGCTCAAATAAATCATGTAAAAGTAAAAATATCATTTATTTTTTCTAGCTACCCTCAAATATTCAGCGGCAAGCTTATTTATGTCTTCCTGGAAAGAGGTGATGTACGTGTCAGCAGTGGATCTGTGACACTTTCTTTCAGGCTCTCAGTTTCTGTGGTGGGCAAAGCATCAGCGCTTCATATCTTTCAGTGAATGCCCGCTCTCTCTCTCTCTCTCTCTCTCTCTCTCTCTCTCTCTTCCACAGTCATAAAACCAAAAAATGGGAGCTTGTCCATCTTCAGCCTCGTCCACTTGGAGTGCACAATGTCAACAAGCTTATCCCGAATCATGCGAGTTAAGAAACGCACCGTGTCCTTACCCAGGAATGTATTGTTTTCATATGGCTGCAGCGCACCGAATATGGCTTGTTTAACATTGAGTGCACATCTGGTTTCTGGGCAGCGTACTGAAGCGTTGGCAAGCTCCAGCTGCTTACCACCAATTCCAGCGCGATTAGCGTCCGGAGGAATAGGGCGAGCTGCTGAAAGGTCCGTTTTGTTCCTCTCTGAAACAGTACGCGTAGGACCCCTGGCCTTACAAGGTCAGCGGCTGAAAGCGAGAGGATTGGCACAGTAGATAACAACATCAAATCTGCCTCGTACAATATCCTGCTGTGGCCTTGCCCAAGGTCTGGAAATCTCGTGCACCGCTCACACCGGAGTAGTTCTCCTCCTCCTTCCACCCCACCTCCTCCTCCTCCTCCTCCTCCTCCTCCTGCCAACACAAACAGCAATTACGGCTGACTCAGACGGCCCCTCGAAGAAGTAGGTTCTTGTCTGGAGAAAAAGCCACCAATTAGCAGCATTGTTAAAAAGGGCAATACGTATTGCTTTCATCTTGCCTGGTTCTGCTCAGTGGCATTGGGAGCGTTTGTCACTGAGAGGATGATGGTGTTAATCTGGTGTCACTGTGGGCTCCTCTGACATCTGGCTGGAGAACTGGAGAAAACATCCTGACACCCTGAGAAAAACTTAGGGTCTGGCTTCATCATTTGTTTGGTGTTAAAATAAAGAAAGGTTACACACTTGAATGGCAAGAACTGTAGTTTTGTCTTAATGTTAAATTGTAAAAATAATCCATATGAATGAATTCTATTTGAAGTGTTAACACCAAAAAAAGATCTTCATATAATTCATCCAACAAAAGTATACAGTCAACTCTACCAATGTATTTTTACTCATTTGTTTTCAGTGAAGAAGCAAACGGTTTCCCACAAAATATAACAGTGTTGATTGTTGATTGACAGCAGCCAATGAGCCAAAAAATCTCAACATCCTTAAAATGTATATTTTGCAGGAACATCCACCAGTGAACAGACACAAAGAGAAATCTTTCATGCCATTTATGATTATTTGCATGCCGTTGTATATTATTTTAAATCCTACAATTCCTGTTTGGTTGGCACCGTGTAAGAGCACACCGCCTAGCCGTGCAAAAAAAAAAAAATGTATTTTCAATGTGGCAAGTGGAGAGTGAATCCGCATGACTGAAGGCAGGGCCGCGCTGTGCAAACATGAGTAACCTGGAGCATCAGAAACACGGGCCGTAATTATGTGTAGCTGGTGGTTTGTGCTGACAAAGAGGATGACTCAGTCGTGCTGCGGGACGTTCTGTGCCCACTCGTCCTCAAGACACGAGCCCACCGTTCCTCAGCTGAGCGGCTGTAAAACACGACCGCAGCCTGGCGGCAGAGGCGCTCTGCAGCAGGGGCGGAACAATCCGGGAGAACAAGGACCTTTGTTCCCAGGTTCTACCTGAGGTGACGCCTGCGTGCGTGCAGGGGCTGAATGTCTCCGTTGTGTGTCCTTTTGCAGATGGGGGTCTGTGTGGTGGATTCTGCGGTAGCCGGCCTTGGCGGTTGCCCGTATGCTCAGGGTTCGTCTGGCAATGTGTCAACAGAGGACGTCCTCTACATGCTCCATGGCGTGGGCGTCGAAACCGTGAGTGGTGTCTTCACAGTGCACTTTGTATTTTAGGGTCGCTGCGAGCCCAACGGATCAACTGAACCCAACAATCTTTCAGAGCATATTTACATAAACAAATCACTCTGCAAACATGCTGCCTGGTAAATGTTTATTTTATAATATCATTGGTTTTACGCAACTTGCACAGGCCCACAGCTTTGCATGCCTCTGTCAGGGACAATTTGTATAACAACCCTTACCCCTGCTGGTGGGATGTTTCACTACACTTTAGTTTTCATCTATTGCACACATTCTTTCAAATGAATGAACAGCATTCATACAAAGACACCTTGAAGACATTTTATTTGAACTAATCCAGCAAAATGTTTTCTCCGTAGGGGGTGAACCTCGCCAAAGTTTTAGAGGCTGGAGACTTCATCTGCGAGGCTTTAGGTCGCCAGACGAACTCAAGGGTTGCCCGGGCAAGAGGCAGAACCCTGTAATGTGTTTCTTTAAAGGAATATATATCAAGATGTTTGACTCCCTGGGAACCGCTTCCCTTGTTGTTGCTGCCTTCAGATGCTGCCTTTGCTTTTTGTTGTCGAAGTACATTTCTCCTCGCAAAAGTGTCAGAGGCGTCTCCATCCGAGTAATCTCCAGAAAGACCAAAGGATGTTCAGGACATTCTTCAGTTCAGTTCCATTTTCATATCCGCAAATTGAGTGTTACTTGAAGGCTGAATGACACAAAGACCCCATTATGATCAACAGAAAAATCTTGTTTTGGGCCATTGTTTTGCTCTGAATGGATAAATATTACAATAGCTGACAATAAAGGGGGTTATTAATTTGTGATGAATGTCCACATACTTAAAATACGTAATAGCCTTTTAAAAGCTTAATTATTCACTTCTTTATCACATTGATAGACAAATACAGTAAATCCAGTAAATGTGAGTTACTTTCATTACTTTGTAAAGGTAAGCGACCTTATAAAGTCAAAGAATAAGAATTTAGTCTGTTTTGAAAACCAGCTGGACTGTTAGTTTATTACTAACGTGGATGTTAATAAATAGAATAACAAACAGCAAAAAGAAAACATGAACTTCTCTTTTCGCACTTTACTTCTCTGAAATACCTTTTGAGATGCTCTTGCTGGAGTCAGATCACGTATGAATAATAACCAGAAACTAGACCTCTTAAGTACCTTAAAATAACAATATAAAAGCCGTCTCAGAACAGTGTTTGCCCTCAGGTTTGCCAAAGATTGTTTAAAAAGTGCCCGGTTATCGTTTCTTGACACTAAAAAAGCTTTTACCGTGACATAAGTGATACTATAAGAGGATCCTTTGTGTGAGTATTGAATGTGATTTTATATCCTGTGACATATAATGAAATATGAATATTGAAATGGAATGGGACAGTATTGTAGTATGGTGGCAAAAAAGCAATGCTGTATGTTTCTGATTATCAGGTAATTGTCTTTTCATGTAAGCATCTGCTGGAGGATTAAGACGATCCAAATAAAGAAAAAATAATGGATGTGGGTGTCTGTCCAGGCCAATAATATTTAGTTTATCCCTTGTTTTTCTTTCTGGCTTCTTTAATGGATCAAAGTCCAATTAAAAACCACCAGATTAAAAATCAACTTTTCTCAAAGGTTCCTTTCTGCTGGCAAGTTCGTTTGATGCAATGGTTAAAGATAATAAAAAAGCGAAGGGCTTTCAAAAAATCAAATGTACAATTTTTAGCTTCGGCATCCAAGATGTGCAACTTAACAACGTACATGAGGCTGAATGTGACTGACACCTGTGTTAACCTAACATTCAAAGCAGTATTTGCAACATCTTTAACAAGACTAAAGCTATGTTTATTGTGTCATTCTCATCCATAAAACCTCTCAATTGATCATTTCTTAACTCGGCAAGTGTAGCACTTTGATTTACTTTGGGACCAAACACGATCTGTTTATTTCTGCCTTGCAGCCAAAGGCCATGAGATTAAAATAGTTTCACTTTCTGCTTTCACACACAGGTTTAAGGCAGGACATAAGAAGAGAAAACTCTACCCGGCCCCCTTTAATGTCCATCCATCTCTTTGTCTCCTATGTATAGGAGGTTTTGGTTGACTCTGTGCTCAGCACTGCTGCCAAACAGCAGGAATGTTCTGGCCTCGGCATGCGGTTGTGTTACACTCATAATCTCTCCCTTGGGTTTCTTCGGGTGAAGCTTCCTCTCAAAGTCCAGACATGTTGGTCAGACGAGGCATTGAATCTAAACCGTCCGTAACGTTGGATCCGGTCCTGCTTCACCTCACTTCTCTAAGATATGCTGAGCGTAGTAGCACACAGTGATGGTGATAATCATCATAAAAGGTAGTTTAATGTCTGACGCCGTTCATTACTATAATGTAACCCTCCGATTCGGTCCTTTCTTTTCTTTGTTTGGATAGTTGCACAAAACATTGTCATTATGCAAGTTGATGTCTTAGAGAAGAAAAGCACAGGAAGAGCAGATTTCTAAATGTTAAGCTGGTGACAGCCAGAGTTTCTTATGTACCTCGGGAGTCTAATAATTAACTAACAGACCATATAACTGTCTCCACGAATATGGATGATGAAAACATTTCTTAAGCAGAATTAGCAAAAGCTCATGTTCTACATTGATTAATATTCTTACAAACTTACGGCTATTATGGTAAACGTACGTTTTTTTTATTTAACAGCCTGTTAAAGGGACAACTCATTTTCTATTATTTGTGTGTGCTGTGATTGCAGTAGTGCATCATGAAGGCCAGAGCGGGAATAACTCATGACAAAAAGTACTGATGAAATTGAAACGTATAACATCAATAACTGTTACATATTCGATTTTTAACAATTCCTTTAAATAGATGTACTTTTAGCTGAATTTTCACTGATTAGGCCTCCTTTCAACATTCCATTGGGTTACAAAGACCACTTGTTATGTCTCACAATGCCACCATAATGAAGTATCTGTGTATGATATTGAATTTATTAATTAACAGATCAACGAGTATTAGAGACCAAGAACACAGTTACTTTTCTGGTGAGGCTGATATTTAGTTTTTTCTTTTTTTGTCAACATCCTACAAAACAAAAAATATAATTATATATTAGTAAAAAATAATTTCTATAAGCATTATACAATAGAGATTTTTTAAATGTTGATTTACTCACTCACCATATTTTACTGGCAACAGCCAGAGGGATCAATACAGCAACGCCGACAAGGAGCACAGTTGCAAAAGCATACAGAACATAATCTGAAACACAAAACATACATTACACATTCAATATTTTAACAGCAGTATTAATATCCACCCCTCCTTTGTTATCTATGATTGTCCACGAGCGTCGCCGACGGGAGCCAATCTGAGCGCACGTTGTGCGCGAGGCAGATTGTACCTTTCAAAGGTCGCCAGACAATCTCAAGACACTGAGAGAAGGTCAGCCAATATCGAGTCTCCATTAAATCTAATATGAATGTCTATGGACTGAGCTGCACTCAGTAATGATGTTTTAGATTTTACAGTTATCACAACCAGTATAGTGCTGAATTTCACATGCACATTTACCGTGTGGCCATGAGGGATCTTGCTCAGATTCATTGATTTCATGAGGTTTAGTAGGACCACTGACGCTTTTCAAAGGTGTCACTAGAATAGACATAAAATACGTTAAAATGTTTTCGATAAATAAAATGCCTGGTACATAACCAAGAACCTACTCACTGAAGTGTGATCTATTGTGCAGCACATCATGAACCGTGTTGCATGACAGTAGATCGTCGTGGCGCATTCCTTTGCATGCGCAAGGATAGTGCAGAGAAGTGCCCAACGTTTTCAGGAAGGCAATTTTACATTCGGCGTCCGCACCATGGATGCGAGCTGGATCCATCCGGGTGATACACTCATCAGTCTGGAGGTCACTGTCCCTGCATTGGCCGTCTTCGGGGCCCCAGCATTTCTCTCGAAAGGACTTTAATAGCTCTCTGGCGAAACACAAAGAAGTATTTGTAGGTGTGGTTTTTTGGCGCTTTTCTTTATGGCTGTTTAGGGAAAATAAATAATTGAGTTAAATACATTTTTATCAAATTAATAAATATGTACAAAGTGCAGAAAGCCTGTGTGTTGGTTTAAGATATAAAGGGGTGCATGGAGTTGTTTATGCCTTTTGTAAATGTCCATTTAACGTAATTTTCTGTTCTTTGATTTAACAGTAAAACTATTTATCAACTGTCACAGTGACAAAAACTGACTTACTTTTAACTTTTAATTATATTTATTTTTATGTATTTTACCTAACTTTTCATTGATGAAACAGGGCTTTAATAATTATTTTAGTAATTTACGTCCCGATCTATATCGCCCGAAGTTGGCTGGGATGGACTCCAGCCCCCCCGCGACCCTGTGTGCAGGATAAGCGGTTTGAAAATGGATGGATGGATGGACGTCCCGATCTATACAAGCCATGGTCCAGACTTGGTCAGTTGTGTGTTTACCAGGTAAAGAATACTAATGACTGATGATCCTCCCACTTCTCCCCTTGTACCAACACCAGGGCTGAAATCTGGTGCAGACATTTTGCGTCATGCAATCTAAAGTTCTAGACCGTGTAGAGAGAAAATCAGCAGCATACCTGCAGCCAGTGTCCTGGACACACTGGTTTACAGTATCCTGGCAGATCCTGGTCTGGGCTCCACATGTACCACTGTGCAGAGCACTTGTCATTTCCCAACAGGCGTGATCTGAAGGGTCACACTTGCACATGACCAGCATCTCTGCAACGTTGTGGGGCATGTCGGCGTAGAACTGCTGAGTCACTAGCTGACAGCGGTCCCGGTCGCATTGTGCCATGCATGCCTGAAGCACAGGTGCTAGGTACCTGTTACAAACTGTATCACTGACGCAAACGGTTATTTGGGCCAGACAGGATGCAGAATTGTCGTATACTGCCAAAAAAGAAAGGTGCAAGTGAGTTTTCACATTAGATATATGGAGGGCAATGTTTTTCAAAACGTTCACAAATGTGTGTTTGATGATCTTCAAATAAATATACAGTATATTTTTTCCAATGATATTTCCCATCACATTCATCACAACTTGCATATTTATTAGTATTTTATGTGCATGATTTTTAATTCATAGATCTGACTATTTACGCCTTGACAAAGCTACCTGCATAATACATTGATCAGAAGTTCACGGCAAACTGTGTTCCTGGAGACACCTACTGTAGAGGGAACTTACTACCACAGGAGGGGTTGTCAGTACTTTGCCATGTGTTAATCTTTCATCCAGCGACTGGTGCAGGATGCAGTCACAACACTTCTACAGAACAGAGGTTGAGATAAAAATGAAGGTTCATTTTGAAGATGGGTCTGGTCCAACTCCGATCGAGGGGCCGATGGGCACATTGCCCCCCCTTCTCCGCTCTTTCTTACACTCCTGCCTCGGTCCAATGATTGGCACCTGTAGTGCAGCGTAGTGTAACTACTGCATCTTGCACGGTTGTGATGCTCTTGTGTTGACAGAAACTGTCTACAGACATATTTCCACCTGGTAACGTGCTTAAAACCGCCTCAGTGGTTGGAGTCTCGAGGTACCCATAATGCTGTGATGATGCACACAGACTCAGGAGTTATAAACAGCAGATGGTGAATAATTACCATAGTCTATTAAACTGCTTGACTGCCAGTCCATCACTGAGCTTTTCCTCTGCTGAGCTGCTGTAAGAAGAATGGGAAACATGATTATCTGTTCTCCAACAAATGCACGGTAAAGCCAGCCTCTTGTTCATTTATCAGCACAATAGTGTTCATTCAAACCGTATATTAGATCGCCTTAGGTAAATAAAAAAGCCAATTCCACCAACAAATGCTTATGACAGAGACTACTGAGAATACTGCACCTGGCTTGTGCTGGCATTGTGTGGCCAGCGCTTGTATAGAGTCACAAAGCTCCTCCTCCCAGGCACACACACAGCCGTGCAGAGAGGGAAATCGGTCTAGTGCAGCCTGGACGGTCAAGTTACAGACCTCTAAGCCTTTCATCGGGCACCCTTCATCTTGAATAACACAAATAACAAAAGGGAGGCAGAAAAATAGGATTTACCGTAAACAGGTGAGGTATTGTTTGAGCAACAAGTGTTTGCTCTTCTGATTTTACATGGTGACAACATCAAAATGAACTATCATCATACAGGATTCTAATCTTAAAACCGATATATTTTAAAGGCACGCATTCACTATCATCCATTCACTTATTTACATGGACTTTGCTGCAGGCTATTGCCTTATTATTACATTTAAGCAATACTCCAAGAAGTACAATTGAATTAGATAGCCTTGTGCCCTGAGGCTACTGAGGAAATTATATTACTTTTATAATGCCACAAAAAAACCTGATGATAACACCATGTCGCAACAGCCTGCAGCAGAAATGGTAAATTTGGCATTTGTCACTTTTACCCTCGCAGACATCGTCGTAAAGTGCCTCTTCTTCCCTCTTGCATAGATTTGACATGCAGGTGTCCAAAGCAGCCAAACACTCAGAGGGTGGAGATGAATTGCTCAGGCTGAAAATCTGAGGAATAATAAACCCTGAAACACAAGCACATGCTGATGATCTATTTGTCTTTAAAAAGTGTTTTTGTAAATCTATTGTATTAAATAAACCTTTAAACCTATATACCTATAAACCTAATAAACCGGTATTTAGAAATTTTTACAGTGCAAATACTCCCGCAGGTTTAAAGATCACCGAATGTACACACACTTTGGTTGGCTGCTCCCTGAAATCCTTAATTTGAGTTAGATCCAATGAAAACACGTAATAGCTTTAAAATACCCCTTATTTCACAGGGATCATTGACTCACCAAGTATCACCGCGGCTTGCAGATGAATCAGTAGCATGGTAGCTGCTGTGAAGTTGTCCGTGGACAACTGAAGCGCTGCTTCTGCTGATCCGTGCACGTTAATGTCGCCGGTACTTAAACTGGGAAACACCCCTCACAGTGAACAGGATGTAACATGTTTACTGGAGGTGGCACTGTGCACCATGTAATACATGCAGTTCAAGAACAACAAAAATATATAGATTTTTGAATAATTATTATCCACAGATTGCTTTTTTTCTAATCTTTACAGGTGAGAATAAACTGGGGATTTGGTTGTTGTTCAAATCAAAATACTTTTTTCAACTATAACAATACATCATTAAGGTGTGATTTTTAGTATGGAGCTCTCTAACATAATAAAGCTATTAAAATCAATTTGCTCATGACCCAATGGAGACCAAGAACTGCTTGAATGGAGGGTGAATTATACAGTACATCCGGAAAGTATTCACAGCGCTTCACTTTTTCCACATTTTGTTATGTTGCAGCCTTATTCAAAAATGGATGAAATTTATTATTCTCCTCAACATTCTACACACAACAACCCATAATGACAAAGTGAAAACTGTTTTTTGCAAATTTTTGCAAATCTGTTAAAAATAAAGAACGAAAACATAACATGTACATAAGTATTCACAGCCTTTGCCATGACACTCAAAATTTAGCTGAGGTGCATCCTGTTTCCACTGATCATCCTTCAGATGTTTCTACAACTTCATTGGAGTCCACCTGTGCTAAATTCAGTTGATTGGACATGATTGAGAAAGGCACACACCTGTCTATATAAGGTCTCACAGTTTACAGTGCATATCTGAGCATAAACCAAGCCATGAAGTCCAAGGAATTCTCTGTAGACCGCCGAGACAGAATTGTATCGAGGCACAGATCTGGCGAAGGGTACAGAAAGATTTCTGCAGCATTGAAAGTCCCAATGAGCACAGTGGTCTCCATCATCCGGAAATGGAAGAAGTTTGGAACACTAGGACTCTTGCTAGAGTTGGCCGCCCAGCCAGGCTGAGCGATTGGGGGAGAAGGGCCTTAGTCATGGAGGTGACCAGGAACCCGATGGTCACTCTGACAGAGCTCCAGCGTTGTTCTATGAAGAGAGGAGAACCTTCCAGAAGGACAACCATCTCTGCAGCACTCCACAAATCAGGCCTGTTTGGTAGAGTGGCCAGAAGGAAGTCACTCCTCAGTAAAAAGCACATGACAGCCCACCTGAAGGACTCTCAGACCATGAGAAACAAAATTCTCTGGTCTGATGAAACAAAGATTGAACTCTTTGGCCTCAATGCCAAGCGTCATGTCTGGAGGAAACCAGGCGCTGCTCATCACCTGGCCAATACCTTCCCTACAGTGAAGCATGGTGGGGGCAGCATCATGCTGTGGGGATGTTTTTCAGCGGGAGGAACTGGGAGACTAGTCAGGATTGAGGGAAAGATGAATGCAGCAATGTACGGAGACATCCTCGATGAAAACATGCTCCGAAGCGCTCTGGACCTCAGACTGGGGCGACGGTTCATCTTCAAACAGGACAACGACCCGAAGCACACAGCCAAGATAACAAAGGAGTGGCTTCGGCACAACTCTGTGAATGTCCTTGAGTAGCCCAGCCAGAGCCATGACTTGAACCCGATTTGAACATCTCTGGAGAGATCTCTGATGGAACTTGAAAGGTTCTGCAAAGAAGAATGGGAGAAACTGCCAAGAAATAGGTGTGCCACGCTTGTGGACTCATACCCAAGACGACTTTAATTGCTGCCAAAGGTGCTTCAACAAAGTATTGAGCAAAGGCTGTGAATACTTACTGTATGTACATGTTATGTTTTGTTCTTTATTTTTAACAGATTTTCAAAAATGTGTTAAAAATAGTTTTCCATTTGTCATTATGGGTCCTTGTGTGTAGAATGTTGAGGGAAAATAATGCATTTAATCCATTTTGGAGTAAGGCTATAACATAACAAAATGTGGAAAAAGTGAAGCGCTGTGAATACTTTCCGGATGCACTGTATCTGCATGATCGTCAGAGCCCGACTCTAGGTGAATGCTAATGTGTCTGCTGATAGCAGAAAGCCTGCACAGCTTCCAACTAAAGACGCACCTCCACCGACTTTACCTGGAATAGATAGCACTTTGTTAGCACTTACGATCGCACCTACATATAGGACTTTGTAGTTTGGCTTCCTTGAAGAAAACCTTCTTGATTCCAGCTATTCTTGGTCTGTGCCCTCTTGATTGAATGCTCTAATTGTAAGTCGCTTTGGATAAAAGCGTCAGCTGGATGAAAAACATAATAGAAAAACGTTTCCATAGTAGGCCTAAAAAAGACAAATAATTACACAATGAAAGCATACACGTGTTGTTCTATTCATTATTCAATAAAGTGCGACTGGATGCTACATACAGACACTGAATAACTGGATTACGCAACTTCCTCAAAGATGCATTATCAGTTATGAAAGTCTTGTTTTCTCTATAATCCCAGTCTCTCAACTGGTGAAATAACAGTAAAAATAATGTATTTAACCTTTGGTTCAATACTTGATATGCACTAAAAAGCTACTGGTACATTGGTGGTGTTTTTTCTTTTATCTGTGAGAGTTTAGACACAAGGATAACAGAGAGCAGAAGACATGTACTATATATACTTTATTAATAAAATATGGGCAGAAATACAGTGTGAGGAATAAACAACTAAGAAATACATTTTGAACATTCACAAGAATAGAAACAAGTCAAGGAACTAAAAAAGTCTAAAAATATTAAGTTGAGGCCACATGATGAAGGAGGTGGATGACACTGTGCCTGTAAACTGTTACGTAGATGCACTCATTTACTGTCTGATGTTATGCACCAAACCCATGACAAATTCCTTGTATGTCTAACATACTTTGGCAATAAATGTTGGCTTTTGTCTTAATTTAATTTAGACCGTTTAGAGCGGACCAAAGCCTCAGGCCACAACAACAGTTTCTTCCTGACTGCATCTCGCAAAATCAACAAGGAATTTCATTGATGGTAAAAAAATTACAATTGGCAAGCTGTTCATGAACTAATTGAAAGATCAATGAAAGTCCTTTTTTGAATGTGTCAGACATTCACACGCAAAAACAAACAAATCCGAATTCCAAATAAAAAGGGATACCTGCAAAATCAGCAAAATTAGCTAAATCTGCTGCTTAAACAAAAACACCATATGGATTTGCAATTTGCAAGCTACTTATTTATCAACATTTGAACATCAACAATTTGTAAAAATCCAAAGCCGTATCATTTTTATTAATATGCAGCAATATATGATCTTTTATCAACAAATTCACAAATAAATATACAGTAACTTTTAGATGATGAGATACAATAAGGTTTGTCTTCAGAAATGACAAACATCACAAGCCAATGACATAGAGAGGAAATTTTACTTAAATCCATTTTCATCCAAAAATATACATTTACATTACTGAATATTTTGAACACTCAGATTTTTGATGCAATATATTATTTTAGTGACATCAACTTTCGTTCTGCCCACAGGTCACTGAAAATAAATTTCCTATTATATCTTTCCTTTTTTGTGCAATTCCTTCATGTAATCCTGTTTTCTTCCTCATTGCTTTTCAATTCTATTGATTTGTTCAATTAACTTAATTTGACTAGAGATCTCACTCCATACGAGAAGAGGTGTTTTAACAAAGTCACTGTTGCTGAATGCAATGATGATTAATACTAGTTTTCTTAAGTAATACTTTTTTAACATTTGCATGAATTTGCTCTTTTTGATATGTTGTGTGTGTGAGTTTCTCTGTTTAAAAGTCCGTCATGGTGTTCGCAACAGCAATGTTATTTTCTTTGTGTGCACTGGGATTTGCATTAATCATCGCGGAGAAGCTGCTTTAATGTTGACTCTTATTTGGTGGTTTTAAACCTGCCTCCACAAACTGCTGTCATATAAAGTTTGACTGTAATCTGATTCTGAGGCTAGTGTTTGAATATGCAAACAGGATAAATTGTGCATGGGCACCTTTGTTTTAGACTCATTTTTAAAAATGAACTTTACTTCCCCTTAAGGTTGCACCCAGATGCTGTTGCATAGGACGCCATTACAAACGTTTACTCAACAATTAAGCATGTATGTACTAGTTGTAAATATTCATGAGGTTGATGCATGTTGAGTATCCGTACACACGTGTGGTGCGTTTATCTTCTAAGGGAACATTTCAGTATGCCTCGTACAGCCGAGAACCAAACTCAACCAACCAAAGTGTGCTTGAATTTCACAATCCTTTTTCTTATGAGTAACAATTATAAAGAAAGAGAAACATGTTCCTGAATGAATGTTGAAGGATGATTTGAAAAAGCATTGCTTGTTACGTATTCTAGAAAGAACTTCAACCCCCAGCTGCTTCCTGGCAGTTAACTGACTGACTTTGGTTGTCCTCAGGAGCTTAAAGAAGTTGGTCAAGATTCACAGCAGGATTTTTTTAGCAACTGTGAAAGTTAATCTTTTATTCTAAGAGATTAATATGTTAGGTTTTTGCTAAGCATAGATGTATTAAGGTCATGGCGTGACCACGCATCCTGTGGGGGGGTCCCCCCCAATATTGAGAAAATACCAATCTGTCCTCCCCCCCAATATACAGCAGAAAATATGTAAAACGTATATTTCCTTCCTCTTATGAACCGTTTGTTAAGCGCTCCGCTCTCCGGGGCCGTACTGTTCCGCCCCCTGCCCCCTCCTGTCGGCCTTTTTTTTAACACAAAAAGCCTCTAACTTGATTAAGACCAGAACTTTATAGTCCTCACGTGTCATTGGCAAGATTCAATTTTGCGCAGGTGGATGAATATCCAAACATATTCTGGAGTTCTGTTAAATTCCATCGGTTAACGTGACGCAAAATAACTTTTTTTTTACTTTTCTTGAAGATGTTTAGTGTAGTCTGATATTATTATACAAATTATTGGTCGTCATGACTACCAATATCTTTGCGACAGGACTGAGGCCTGGGCTCTGAAGCGGTCCGGAGACGTGACTGCACATTTCAAAGAAAACTTTTGAATGGACCATTTTGGTTTGGACCTACAGACTGACTGCTGGACTGTTAATGAGGTAGACAGACTTGAAATAGGATTAGTTAATAAAACAGATCAGCTTCTGCACCCCCCCGCCCCCCTTTTCGTTGTAAAGTAAATAACAACAAAAACAGAAAATCACCACATATATACTGTACATGAATAAATATCAAAGTCATACAGACAAAATATATAATTTACAATACAAGAAATGTTTTCATGTGCAGCCAAAATGATCTCACTTAACCTAAAATCAATTCATATCAGCTATTTAATCCTACCATTCATCTGGTGTCATTAGATAATGAATAAATGTCTCTGTGAATGACGTGATTGCTACGTCCTGGGTGGACGATTGGTTCTCAAGAGCTCAGAGTGAAATCCAACATAAAACTCTAATTTTGAGATGTTTCCTCAAATTTATTTTGTCATAGTTTTAAACATTTTAATGTCCACCTTAATGATTAATGTGTAGGTTCAACGCCCCACGTAGATGATGTGATTAGACAATCTGATCGGATATGCGTGAGACGTTGTCCATGTTGACTTGAGTTGACAGTGACTTCCGACTGTCTGTACTCGCTCTCGGCCTCTTCCTCTCAGTTTGGTTTTCTCCGTGGCAGGAAAAGGCTGCTTTGAACTCCCCACGGAACTTCCCTGGTAAAAAAACACATAGAGACAAATTTTGCCTCGTTTGGTATCACAGGGTTTCGCGAGAGAAATCCACAATATCTTTTATACATCGTTTTGACACTTTTGTATCCTTTTCTGAGAAGAAACTGCTGAAAAAATGTATACATGCGATACAATATATGATCAAGATTTTCAATTTAAGCCAATAAACTGCATTGTTGAGGCCAGCCGTCCACCAGACGGGCCCACATTAAGACACACGTACCACTGAGGAAGTTGTAGATGATGGGATTTGCTGCACTGTTGGCGTAGATGAGCCAATGTGAGAAGGTGAACCATGCATACACTGTTTCTCTGTCATCTGTTTTCTTGAAAGTCCCAAAGACTCTGCAGGAAAAGTGTAAGATATTTGTTTTAGTATTCAAATTAATTCACATTATTTAAATTGAGCATTACTAAAACAAGAAAATATTCAGCACTAAATACAGCCATTATTGAACATGGAACTGCCACAGTAAGCTTCTAACATAACAAATAAATAGAAAATGTAAATCCCGTCTATCATTTTAATTTGACTAGCTTTTGATCCTTGGATCAGCCGAGCTTGAGATGTTTTTACCTTTTCATGACGTTGAGCACGCTGATTGGCAGGTAGCACACGGCGAAAACAAAGAGCACCACCATCAGCATGCGGGCGGTCTTGCGTCTGGCTCTGACCTGTTTGATCTCAGCACACACCGTGCTGGTTCTGACCCTCGCGGCCTCTCCCACAGCCGGAGCTGAGCATTGAATGGACCTCCACTTTCTCTGCAAAACTGATGTGTTTCCGGGAATCTGTCGATTAAACGGGGACCTGCATCACTCGCTGAAAACTTGGCTTTGTGAGAGCCGACGTTCAAATTGTGAAGCGCTGGAATACCTACCGGTTGACACCACAGCTTGTGACATATCTGGATGTACGCCAGGACCATGAGGCATAAGGGTGCAATGTACGTGACAATGAAGAAACAGGTGTGATACACCTTCGGGTAGATCTCAGCTGTCAAAAGAAAGAAGAAATTTGATTGAAAATTGGAAAGTGATCGAGATTCACGACCCTCAGTTATTGTTGCTTTGCCTGACGTGGCGGTAGATGTGCCACTCACACATTTATTCAGAGCACACCATGCAGTGATTATTGATGGGAATCATATTCTATATTTTCGTCATTACCTGCAGCGGTTAACACATATTTACAACTCAGTTTATGCTTTAGTTTATTTGGGAAAGTTGTTCACAGAAAATATTTTGCAATCAGAAGCTGGCCTACAGTGACAAAAGATTGATAAACCGTGAATAGAATACAATGAATAAAATATAGGAGATGTTATTCAATAAGTTTAGTTTAGTTTTTTGAAAGTTTCTCAAACTGTTAACTGACTGCCTGCTGCATTCTGCATGCCCTCAAAAAGCAATCTACAATTCATAAAAGAAGTCTGTAACAAGTACAGAAAGTGAAATGGGTAAAAAAAAAAAGTGACATAATATAATTATATTGATTTTATACCTCCACTTGCCATTCACCATCTCTCAACAAGCTCTGCTGGCACGAACAAGCTTGCAAGCAAATCGACTTTAACAAATTAACAAAACAATTTATCATTATTAACGGTTTGAAACCATGTAATTTAAAGTCCTCCAACCTGGATGTGCTACCATGTGACATAGTTGAGAGCAGCTAGAAGAAAATATATGCCCGAATCCAAACCATTGATTCTGTCTACTTCACAAGGAAAATAAAATAAGAGAATGAATAATTTTATCTTATGAAAGGTCACAGTATACAAAGTCTTTGTATGTTTTAAAAGGACATTGAAAAGCATTAGTAAGTGATAAAATGTCATGAGGGGTCATATTATCATAAATGTAGGTTGGTTTAAAACATTCATAAATCAATGAATGTCATGAGAACATCTTAAACGTTCTCATGACATTCATTGTCGTAAGAACGTCAAAGGAAATGATAATAGTGAGATAAAAAAGAACAAGCTTTACATGTTAAAAAAAGACTAAAATTGTGTAATTTACTAATACCAATGAACCGGAGAGGACAGGACAGTTTAATTTGCTCTTGTGATTTTGATTTGAGCGTTGATAAAAACTCCTCCTTCCCATAATCTCTGTATTAAATATCACTCTTACTGCAGCACAGCTACATTTCAGGATTTTTTCTTGGTGCTCTGCTCCCATAATTTGGATTTAAAAAAAGAGGCTAAATGGCATTAAACACAAACAAAGCTTTCAGGTCACAGGGTAAATAATATGCCATTGAGAGTCGCATCCCTGTGAAAAACAAAAAGCTAATTTAAGTGAAAGTCTACTTTTCGGTCTTAGTTCAAGCTTTGTTAATTTGTGAGAACTAACCTCCCCAATGTTCATCACAGACTGTGAACAGGCTGGTCTTGTTTACTAATTGTGGCACCAGGCTGCTGCACTCCATCACAACGGCCTGAGGGATCATGATGATGCACGATACGACCCAGATGACAACTATACTCTTGCGAGCCCTCTTGGCTGTGCTCTTGAACATCAGCGGGTGGCAGATAGCGTACCAACGGTCTTGGGCAATGCAACTCAGCGTTAGGACTGATACAGAAACAGAGATAGTCTGGAAAGAAAGAAATACATGACACACCGGTTAGATAGAGACGAAAACATTATTTCCAATACTTTCAGAGAAAAGCATAAATGAAAAAGCATCCTTCATCAATCTTTGCAATACAACATATTCAATAATCTCAATTAAGACCAATCTCCAAGCACAATGTGATAAGTCCCTTTGTACATCTGATGGTATCATTCATTATACGTTGTATATATTTATTGATGGATTTATACCAACATTTAACCACAGCCTCTTCAGAGTTAATATGCCGTCCTTTACGTTGTATGTTATATTGAAAAACTGGTCAGATAATAAAGAAAATTCAGGCACAGTGTGATCACAAGCAACACACTGCACGTCCATCTCCACAATGCAATTTAAAAGATTGTGTTTACTACAATATTGAATTATGTGCATCTACGAAAAGACTGCTAAATTCACGTGTTTGTCATTTGCCTCGCGAATCAGTTATGTCATGATCCTCCAGAGGAAATACTTTGCTAGGCTACTTTCTCTGGTGTGCGAGTCCGAGTGTGCAAGAAGCCCAGCAATCAACCAGCCCCTGTGGAAACGTACGTGGTGTAATAACAAGCATAAAAAGTGATTGCATCCTGAAATAACAGTTGGCAGTGGTGGTTGGTCAAACACACACAGGACTTTTACCCACTGCGCCACGATGTGCAGCAGTACGTGTCTTTATTACTCAAACCAAAATCTAATGTGAAAACGAAAAAAATTGTGTTCTGTAACTTGTCATTGAACATGAACTGTTTCTGGTCAGGCCTTCTTCCATTGGTTGTACTGTTCAAAATTAGCAGATTATTTTTTCCTGTTTCAAGACTGTGGTTCTTACAAATAAGGGCTCAATTGGGAAATATGACAAAGGAAAGCAAAGTTCATTACATTTTTCAGATAAGTAAGAGAATTTCCCAATCTCTGAAGGGTTTGCTATGAGTGAATTTTGATGGAACTATGATGAAACAGAAGTGTGCTTTGAGTTTGAGTGCGTCAGTGTGCATCCGGTCCCATATATTTGAGAGAGAAATCAAACTGCGTGGATGCTGTTAATTGTCATGGGTCGCATCTATGAAATCCTTATTACTACATTGTGCATTGAGTCCGTGTAAGACTTAAGAATAAGAACAATCAATTGAATACCACTGGTGCAGGAGTTGGGAGGTTGTGCAGCATAGTGCATTGGTCCTCTGTTTACATGAATGAGGCATACAGTTGTTTCTGACAGCTGTTTCAGCACAGGGTGGACGATGCTTCAATGGAATAAAAAAAATCCCAGAGCATTAAATCTCTTTGGGATGACATCAAATGTCTCACTCAGTGCACCTCTCATGGGATTTGAAACAAGATCTATTATTACATCCGCTTACAGAGAAAGAATTATGTAAAACAACACAAATGGAGTCTTGGCTTGTGTTGTTCCCCAGCCAGCTCTGCTTAGTTTCCTCAATCAGGTCTTTTCTCCTCACTATTTAGAGCTGGTCTGAATGTCCCTAATTTGCATGTTTCTTTTTTTTATGACTAAAGTGCTTTAGATTGCGTCAATATTTTCATTATAATATTTGATCTCTTACCTGCAGATACGGCACAACTTTGCAAAGAGTGTTTCCAAAGAACCACGACTCTGTGATGTCAACCACGAGACTGGCAGGCAGGCAGATGATGGTGACCAAGACGTCGGCGAAGGAGAGATTCACTATGAAGTAGTTTGTCACCGTGCGCATGTGGCGGTTTTTCCCCACTGCAAAACAAACTGAAAATAATGCACCATCAAAGACCGCTTAAGGACTCAATAAAGATGAATATTCATTTTACTCTTCATCAGCCAGGCTGTCAATTATAACTTTTAATTAGAAATGTATGTTAGTTTTGTTGACATATTTGTTCCTGTTGGCTAAATATGAATTATTCAGAAATACATACAGACAATTACATATTAATGTGTAACCGTATATAGTGAGACTGTCACTATAAAGCGTCTCATTCGTAGAGGAGAATTATCAACAGTTCTGCAGCTCCATCACAAATGTTACAGGAAATATATGTAGTCCAGTGTCCAGGTATAATTTAAAAAAAAGTTAATATCTATCATATCATATCATGGGAGAGGATGTTGAGATACATCCAATGTGCTTTGATAAAGTAAATACAATAAAACCAATACATCATTTTCTTTTCGTTAAAATATTTGCTGTTCTAAAATTCAAGCTCTTGAAAAATAGTGTAAACGGTTGTTATGTGGCTGAAACAGTGTAATCAGTCTATTATACAGTGTATGTATAATCCATGCTCTGAAAATAGACTGTTCAGATGACTGAGGATGTTCAGTTGAATCTCATCTGCACACATTGCACGTGCACTGCTGTGTCAAGTGATTACAAGAATGAAATGCTGGTTCGACTGATAAGACATTTCACTAAAATTGGTGAGAATAAAGATACTCAATTTGTTAAAAATAAAATCTATTGTTTTCAAGAATATAATTATAGATTTTTCAATAAATGTTTTTAAAAGCATTTTACGTTCTTTTTTTAAGTTGACCAAGGTGAAATTGTCAATTTCCTTCGCAATTCCCGATGACTATAAAATATATCAGCATCTTCCAACCGTGATAAATGTATCGTTAAGATATTATATAGCGTTGCTTTTTATGCGTTCTTATCTATACTTGAGTCCTGTGTGCAGTTGAGTAAAATTTTGTCTAAGCTCTAACCTGACAGGCACCACAAGACTTACCGTTAAAATATATAATCCCTAAGAGCTAAAAAAAAGGACGTAGAGCAGAGTGTGCTGTCAGGAGACAAAAGAGTCTAATTGGGGTAAGAAGGTGGGTAAAGTGTCTCTCTACCAATCATTGACCCGCATGACTCAGATAATTCTTCACCCTACAGGTGGCATTTCAGAGACGGGCCTGTGCTCCCTTTAGCCCAGCTGATGTGTGCTGGTTTTTATAGAATGCGCGCAGTGGTCAAGAGCTACTGTACGTCAAAGAGCCCTTTTCTTCTGCATCCAGCCGTTACGAGGCGTGTCAACCGTGTCTTTATTAATCTGTATCGTTACTATGTTCTTGGTAGCCGCTGTGTTTCCTTTCTACTTGCTGCACAAGGCATCAATAAAATTGGCATATGCGAATGGAAGTGGAAACTCAAGCAACATCGGATTCAGGAATATAACCCTGCTAATAAATAAATAATGATGGGAGTCAATTCTCATAATGATGGGAGTCAATTCTCATAAGAATGAATGAGGAGAAAGATATGATTTGATCAAAGGACCAAAAGGAAAGGGAGAGAGAGTGTGTGTTAATAGGTGGAGCAGGCGAGTGAGGAAAATGTCCATGCACCAATCCTGCCCCCTTTAATCAACCTGTCAGTGGACTCTTTAGTGGGTCTCTGGGTATTTTGTTCTGTGTGTTCACTAATACTCATTGACGCCTGTCAGATTTAGTTTTACTAATGTTTGTTTTTTGGGGGGTTTTCAAGCCCCAAATGTGATAGCATCACATCAACACGCTGAGGGGATACTGTGGACCAGCAGTGGGTTATATAAACACAGTGAAAAGGCCAGACTGTGACTGTAATACTACATCAAAAGGCAAGATAACGTCAGTAGAAATGATTTTTTTTCAGAGCATACTGTTATCTGATCAGCGCTGGCAACTTTCTACAATGCCAAGATTCAATCACTAAGTCTGCAATGTTCGTCTGTCTCTTCTTCGTAGCTCCCCGCGCTGCCTGAAGCACCGAGCTGCTGCAGGCGTTTTCACAACAACACAGTTTTAGAACAAATCTCAACTTTCAGAACCACAGATTTAAAAAAAAACACACATCACTGTCATCCCCGGATGACGGATGGAATCTCCAGTAGGCTGTTGTTTCAACGCAATCTTTCCTGGATGCATTTTCTGGAATTTGTGTATACGTATTATGCCATCTTACTTAAGCCTATAGGATTTTATTTTTACTGTGACTAAGAAGTAGGACTATCGTGTACATGCACAGGTGTGCTATCGTCTGGTATTGTTGACTTAACGAAATTACTGTGCGACTGTGTCCTTCATCGCTATTTAGCCTGCGCACTACAAAGTGTTCATTCAATATAGTTTAGACACGTACAGTTTAAATTTACGTTTCAGCGACGAGTGCAGATTCGAATCAAACGGCAATTGGTTTAAAAGGTCAAAGTGTGGAGAAGATGCGCAGAACGCCACACTGATTGCTGCACCCAACATTTTGGAGGAGGCAGTGTGATGACGAGGGGAGGAAATGAAATACTGCAACCAGTTACAATCTCACATTGCCACAGTCTGGGATCAAACTCTATCCCCCCAAGACGCCAACGCTCGCCCCCCACAGAGTGGCGCTTATCAGAGATATACAGGTCTGCCAGCAGCCATGACCTTAACCCCATTGGACACTTTCGGGATCAGCCTGGGTGACAAATGCTTTTGGAAAAACAGGATGCAATTCCACCAGCATGAGGAGGAGGTACCAGGCTGCTACGGCTGCGAATCGTTCCTCCACAGACTACTGAGGCTCCTGTTTGTTAAATAAATAAATTGTTAAATTTCCAATGTGTCTTGTTTCCCTGAGACTTCAATCATCCAATCTATCAAACAAAACCAAGCAGGAGTCAATTGCAGAATAAGCGGAGACAATTTACATCAACGGCTTCATTTAAAAAGGGAAATAAACAGGTTTTTCCAACGGTGTGACTTTTATTGCTAAGTAGCATTGTTACAACAATGAAATAATCTACCAAACGCAAATGTCCTTACTTTTTGCGCCATGTTCATTAAGAAAAGAAGTCCTTGGGCTTCAAGGTTGCAGATGCATGCTGTTGTTTTAATTGTCAAATCCACTTAGCAACAGTAAAGACAATCATCTCAATGCAGGTGGCATTAGTCATTCCAATGGTGGATAGTTGATTGCATCATGTCGTACAAGAGCAGGTCAGAGTGTTATGCATAAAGAAAACAAAGATGTGCAGATGTGTTTTCTTTCAGTAAAGTGCAACAAAGGTTTGTTGGTTGGAGATTTGTTTTCCGCTTTCATGAACCTGCAGGTTTTCCAAGCTTACTCCCACTAAATTGGCTGTGTTGTTGAAGTTGATATCTGAGTGGTGGTTTGTAATAAGATTGCCAACCACTGCTGCCAAACACTGCTGCCAAACCTTCAAATATCTAAATCTAAAAACTACGTTCAAAGATGTTCATCAAACAATGTGACTGATGCTGGAACGGCGGACCTTCTGATCTGTTCAGTAGAAAGTTCACTAAAATATGAGCAGCTCACTGAATGAGCTTCGGAGTCTTTTGAAAACAGTTAAATGGATGATCTTCAACAGAATCACTCGCCTTTGTTCTATTTTCTACAGTGACCTGTAGTGAGTCTGGGGTACGGCCAATCACCGAGCAAGCTTTTCTGACCATCTCATTGATCCGATCTCCAGTGAAGCAGCGGAATAAAGTTCTTGACTGAGCCTTTAAATATGGCACCGGCGTTCTTTTCACAGTTTAATTTTCTGTCCAGGTAGACCGCAAGATATCTGCTGATCCTTAATGTCCTTGGTTGCTGTGGAGACCATCTCCTTCTTTCTCCTGAAATACATAACCAACTCTTTCAACATTTAGTTAAAAGAGATGCTGAAAAAAAGATTTAATCAGACATCAAGTCATCGCCTGCAATAGCGTCGTCTGAAAGCTTTGGATTTTAGAGGACACCTGGTGATGTAAACCCTTGATTTACATAGTAATTAATCAACCCAGTCTCACAGCAAAACGTGTGATACCTACGTTGTGGACCGTCGTATTCTCACGCTTAATCCCCAAAATCGTGACAATACTACGTTTTATTTCAGCCCATTCAATTTAAAAGTTGATAGTCACATGACCTAGTTGCAACTAAAACGTTGTATTCTCACGCTTTCTCCCCAAAAGTGTGAGATTACCACAACGTAGCGATTACACGTTTTGCTGTGAGACTGGGTTGAATTAATAGAAGGGGTCATTTTGTAAGAGACGGAGTCTAGATCCTCGTCAACAGTTCCATCAATGCAAAAACCCCTCGTAAAACTGACGTCTGTCATTGAGCAGTGACTTAAGACTGTATCTTACTGAATGGCTTTGCAAACAGGTACAAATAGGGAACGAATTAAAGATTCTGACAAATGTTTCTTTAGAATAATACCCAAAAGATTTTCCCACTCAATATATACACTTTTTATTATCGCAATTGTTTGGATTACAAATACTTTTTGGATAATCAGCAAATGTTAAACCGTTAACTGTGAATCATTTTCAAGATCTATTCTGCAGTGCTGCGGACTTTAAAGCTTTATTTTATATGGTCAGAAATTAGATGTGTTGATAATATGCATGCTGTTTAGAAAAAGAAAACAATTTAACATTATATAGTACGTTTTTTTCGCATTTTTAAATCTGATGTTTTTTTTAATTAACAAATAGTATATAATTTGGGTTAGCTATGTTGATCATATCCAAATGGTTTACACAATATAAGTAGGGTAGGGAATCCAAATGAGTATTCATAAATATCTAACAGAACCCAATACAGCTTTCTCATCTGAAACGTCACTATTCCTGTCATCATAAACGCACATCACTGAATTTCTCTGTGATTTCTCTCCTCACAGATGTCTGTGGGTGGAGGTTATATTTGGAAGGTGGTTGCTCCTGCAGTGGTCCTGCCTGACAGCTGCTGCTGTCATTATTAGTAGTAGTCACATTACTATTGCTGACACGTTTACTAGCGTTGTTGACTTTGTTGGTCCACTACATCTACTACAGCTGTCATTGTAAGTAGTAATTTTGAATAATTAGTTGGCTTCCTACTACCAATATTTGAATAATTTCTGATATATGCATTGAACGTATTGTACATCTTCTATGTTGTCTACGCATCTATTCGCACTCTGTCCATCCCAGTTCTTCCTGTGCCCATGTGAGGCTTCCAGGCCAGAGGATGTTGCATGTGTAAAGAATGTAAAGCCTTCTAAAGCAAATTTATGAATTTTGGGCTATACAAAAGAGGTGGATAGAAATAGAATTAGAACACAAATTCATTATTGCGGTCCATATGTTTAAGTCTTCACCCACCTGTACAAAAGGATGGGCAGCGACTCCAGTTCTCTCATAACTGGTGTGCACTTTGAGCACACCAACATCATTGATGTAATGATGACTGTGCTTTAAGGCAGATGTATTCAATTAATACACACGTCCAGAATATCAAAATAGGGTCTATCTGCCACACAATTACATTCAATTATTTCCTTAATTGCTTGGTTGATTAACATGTTAGGATTATAATTGATTGATCACATTGGACTCTGAGATTGTCTATTGTTTGTGCCTTCATTTAAGTTACATTTCGCTACGCTGCGATCAATTTCTTGAACAATTGGCCTTTTTGAGAATAACACTTGAGCCAATTTTCCCACAGGATCAAATAAAATATCTATTCCCTCCCAAATGTTGGGTGGACCCGCTGTAGCTCATCACACTAATTTGGCTTCCATTACAAGCCATGCAAGTAACTTTCTTTGCTGTTAAAACATGGAAAAGCATTCTGACGCCATTGTCAGAGACATCATATCAGTCAGCGTTTAAGAAGTTAATGAATAAATGCCTCCTCAGCGTGAGACTGCATCCCTAAAGCTCGAACGCTTCAGAGTGCTGCATGGAATCTCTCACATGTATTGGAAATGTAATCAATGGTCAAGGTCAATGCAAATACATCAGAATATAAAACAGAGTAGATGAAATTGAGACAGAAATGACAGCATTGTGAATTACGACGCCAATCTGTGCCCCACAATTGTTTCCACCAATTTATTGCTCAGAGAGCCTTTTCCACCACTCCACAGTGAGAAATAAGTGATCCATCATTTCCACAATCTGTATCTTCAAACACGTCCGTGGTTTTCCAATCCGGAGTATTCGAGCTGCGCTTAGACGCGCACGCGCTCCAATGCATCTTCCTTCAAATTCTGCAGCCGCATTGATGTTCAAGAGAACATCAAAAGAAAATCTGGACTACTTTTTTTTTTTTTCCATTGTGGCATCACGCTATTTTAACCCCGAAGCACAATCCTCGTGCACATTCAAAAAAAAAGTTGTGGAAAGTGTAAGAAGCGCAAAGATTACGCGAGAACAGAATACATTTTAAATATGAGCTAAAACTCACCCAAGGAGTTTCCGATGAGTGAGACGCAAAAGACAAGGATGTAAGCCACGATGAGGACCCATTCATACTGCTTGGGGTGTAAGTACTCCGTCCAGATGTATCTCAGAAGTTCATCGTCATCGTCCACCACGGGGTGCGGTTGTGACTCCGCGCTGTCGGCCACTTGTGCCGAAGACAAACACTCCTCGCAATCCAAATTCCCAGTTGCCCCAGACATCCTCCGAGCTGCTGGAAATGAGAGTGCCTTCACCCGCGGGGTTGCAGATGGAAGAAGAAGAGACGCGGTGGCTCACGGACCTCGTCGGGGAGACGCTGGTTTCTGCTGCGTCCTCCTGCGCGTCCACATGTTCCACACGGCGGATTGCGGTGATCTGTGAGCCACTCACCTCAGTGATCCACCCCTCTCAATGAAATGGGAGAAACACATCGGATTGGATGAAGCCTAAAGGCAGATTACAATGCGGATATTAGCTATTTTCTCATGCCATATTCATACTGTTTATCAAACGCTCTGGAGATTTTATTTTTGGGGATTTCTTTTGTATCAAAATACATTTTGATGTGTTTTTCCCATCACCGTTTGTATTAAAGTCAAGCTCAAATTTAGTTCTCTAGGGCAATTAGATAAATAAATAGCGAGGAAGATAATGAGCTGCAACTTTCTCTATTTTGAATTCAGTGGACAACAACTCGGGGCCATATCACATACACCCTTTTAACCTGTATGATCAAATTGTTTGAGCTGTCAACACAGCAGGGTTGTTGAATTCAAAAACATGCAAAATGATGTTAAATTGACAGACGGTTGTGTATACCGTGATGGGCCCTGCCTAGTACAAATACATGAGTTTTACCTCTCATTTGTCCCCGTGTCACTGAATGTGTCACAGGGACAGCTGGGGCAGAATACTATTTCACTGTTGATACTGTAACTGCTTTTAATTCACCATGACCACATGCGTCCTTTCCCTATTTGTCATGGCCGATGACCTGGTTTCTGTCAATAACTTCGGGCTCATCTGCATTTTTTCCCATTCGTCGTATAAAAAAAGGCCAGTACAGAGACCCAAGTGCAAAACGACAGCGGAGTCCAGGTGTCAGGAGCAGACAAACAATGGACAGCAGGAGGTCATGCACGTGTGATCAAGTCCGACAGGGAGAAAGGCAACAGGCAACAATTAAAGATCCAGAAAAACAGGAAAGGTCCAGAATACAAGGGGAGGGGCCTCTAAAAGTGAGTACCCTGCGAATCAAACACTTGATCCACAGAGTACTCAGAGGGTTTGACAGAGGGAAACACCAGAGGCTGGAGATTGGAGACAGGGGAGAAAAATTAGTAATCAGGAAAACACCCCAGGCAAACTAGACGTTACACATGGTAAGATTTGGGAAGTTGTAGTTTGGCTATTTGGGGAATTTGGTAGCTAGCTGTGTGGTTTTGAAATGTGTTTGGCCGCAGTGTTTGGGTCAACTAAACGGAAATGCATTCATGTTCAGTTTGAGGGGACGTTTGAAAGGTGCTCCGTGTGTCATTGCAGCGTTGTGACGGCGGTGAACGCAGATTAGTTCGGTTGGTCGTCATGACAAATAGTTGAGATGTCTGAGGTGGAAGCGTTTGAAAACAAAGATGTGCAGATGTGTTATCAACACAAGCGTCACTCCCTCCCAGAAGATTCCCCAGAAACATTCACAAAAGAGCAGTTGCTTCTGATTGCTGATCATTATTCGGTGGTGGTGGTGGGAGATGAAGGATCATTTTAAAGATTGTATCAAATAAAAAATGACCGAGAAGGGAATAGTGCCTGTGGGTATAAACGTGTCTACCATTATGCTGTATCTTTTCAGACTCACGGTCTGACGTTTGAGCAACAGAAGGAAATCATGCTGTTGCAGATGGAAGATGACAAAAGCAAACAGGAATTGAAAATGTAATAGCAATACCGATCCCAAGCGACACAGGGGACATCTGATAGAATGCAAAAATGTCAGTAGTTGGTGTTCGCCCAAATCAACCCTCCTGTTCCCACATACAATCTCAAATATTGTTAGGGCACAAATAAGATATGAATAAAGTAATCCTCATTCTCAACAACGTATTTGTTTCTCTGATCATTCAATTTAATGAATCCACTGAAGCAAGACTGCAACTGCTCCCACCTGGATTCTACTTGGTGCTCAAAACAAGGAGCAGCGAGCAGAGGAGAAGACAATAACAGAGACTTTAAATGATCAAATATCAAAAAGACCACCTATGAAATGCAACCGTGGCCTTAGGCAGTTCAGTGGGATTTGATGATAATTTCTTTTTATTTTTGGTGTGGGCCTCTCTGCCTTTTCTTTGTCACTTGGTGACTGCAAAAGACTCCATTTTGTATTCACCTCTCATGTCTTGACGAGCCCGTCTTTGTTTGTTTGTGTTTGTGCAGGAATGCTAGATAACAAGGAAAAATGAGAATCCCCTGAAGCTCACATGATTGGGGGGAGGACCGGGCCGTCCAGTGTGTTGGCTGACAGTGCACTTATGATTTCAGTTTTGGCTCTGATTATTATAACCGGTCAAAACCAGTTTTAATTTTCATCTTTATTTGACAGGATTGAGTTAGTTTTAAATATTTTACAGTAATATTCCGTCTGTTATGTGTGATAAGACACAAAATCTCTCTGAATGTTTGTGCCAAATGATGCAGTTTTAGAGGAAGGCTAAAGAAAAGCCCGGCTACTCTATATTTCACTGCCCTTGTCTTTGAACACTGCGGGTTAAACCTCTTTCAGCCTTTTGATGGTGATTGTCATTTTTCATTTCATATTTTATATGAATGTTATCAGGACTCCATTTCTCATGATTATCTGTTTGTCGAATTAGTTTGACCATCCCATCGCCCAGCGAATTCATTTCCTGCAGTGCTTTTGTGTTTGTTCTTGCAACAATTATCAGTGATTGAAGCTTGTCACATAAAAGTTATTACTCCATCTACTACTTCTCCTTTGTTAGCCATTAATTAATACTTCTTGGTTAAAATCGGACATGAACGCAATACTGAGTTCAAAGTGTTTCTACAGCAACAATTTCACAGCAAAATTACATTTGGATTTTCTCCTTGTCCTATCATCGTTGTTGTTCATAACTGCAAGCGCTTCTAGACTGCTGCATGGACTAGAAAAGTGCTACACAAGTAGAAATGAATCAATTACCATTACTCAACTGCACTTCAGCAGTTGTTTCTACACAGAAAGGCAAGTGAAGCAGTTTTGTCATCAATCAGAAAATCACAAAAAAGGATAGTTGTCAAGATCTCCACACTATAAACAGTTTAAATCAGGGTCAGGAATCAGGTAACATTTATTACAAAAATAAAAGAAATACAAGGAATTTGACTTGGTGGTTGGTGAATAACAGCAGACAGTTAGACAATGGACAACAAGACAGATAAGACAACATTGTGCAAGATGAATAAGATCAAATGTAACAAAAATAAGACTGTGGCTTAGTTTAAAAATAAAGGAATTAAAAGTTAAAAATAAAAAAGTTAAAAAAGAAGGTGCACCAGCGAACAGCCATATACTTTACACAAGTGTGCTGTGAGTGTATGTGAAAGTGACAAGTGACAGAAGTATGCGGAGGTGGAGAAAGTAAAAGGTGCGGCTGAGATCACGTTACGAAATCTGCTTTGAATATTTCACATTTTTTATCAGAAATGATAATGCAAAGGTTATAGCAAAACATAGAGATCTCCAGTCGTTGACTACGAGTTCAGCCTGTGTTATTAGTTAGAAAGTTATTATCATGAGATTTTTTTGTGGTGCCATTGAGAAACATTTTGTTAATATCCCTGAATGCTAATCTGGACCGGTAATTCTAGGCAAATGTCATCGAGGTTGGATCGACTTTGTGGAGTTATACAACTCAGAATGTCATCAAGTTTTAGGAGAACATCAGAAATAGACAAAATGTGTGTAATATATTAACATTAATAAAATACATGTGAGGTAAGAAGCATGGCTTGAGAATAGATACCTGACTTTTGGTACCATACATATTTGAGAACATTTAAAACTTTGTATTCTTATCAACAGATGCTCTCTAAGTCCTTTCGAAATAATCTCTACTGCAGAAACAGCCGCCCGCCTGCTACACTTTCAGAGGCAGACAACGTGTTACTGGCAGCTACTTTACTATACGTGCAATCACATGTTTTTACCACTGTGCTGAACTGAGCTGCATTTCAATGAGCCCGATTTCAATGGCTCACTGGAATGCCCGCAGCGGTGTCGAGATTAGTATCGGGGTGTGAAAGATGTGCTTTAGGTGTATCAAAGAAGTTCAGTCTCACAATTTGCACACTGCTCCAACGCGCCATCAAAGCGAGAGCGTCTGCAGCTGCCCGGGCGGAGGCGGAGGAGGACGTCTTGTTGCTGCATTGCATCACACAATACTTAGAAATATTGCCAGTGAATAAATGGTAATGTTTCTCCTCCTCGCACTAAGATTGGATTCAATGGGACAGCGACAGAAAAGGCGAGTGATTTATTGCTTCATCAAAAGCCCAAAAAATGAACAAAAGCACCATTAATGTTGCGTGACTGTTCATCTGATGTTGATACATAGTGCATCACTTATGTGAAGGCTCAGCAGCGAAGCTCTGTTACAGCAAGCGAATCGCCCCGACACAGCTTCACATAGAGGTGGGTTACCTGTCGTCTTGTTGAGGATACCACCATCCTTTCATCTTCTGTTAATAAATTCGCTCGAAGGAGCTCTGATTACACTGTGCAGATTATTTGTTATTTTCTCCTTAAATAATAAACACATTTTTATTTGTTTTTTTATTTTATTTTCCAGGAACATGTTGTGATTTGTAGAATAGATTTAGGCCTCTGTGAAGATCATCCAAAGAACTTTGTCTCCTCTTTATCCGTGCTTCCAATTTTAATATAATCTCCATTATTCAAACTTTATTCAAGCATTGTTGGACAAAACTCTCCTAGATTTAATGTACATGATTCATCAGTATATTGCAGACAGGAAGAAACACAAAAAGGATCATCGACCCTTTTCAGCACCATTTTATCAGGATTATTAAGCGATAAAAATAATATCACCTGCTGTAAATCAAAAATCCCAGACTTTCCCAGCATAAATACCACTGAGACAAAACCCAGAGAAGCGACGTGGGAATGACTGGCAGGCACAATTAAAGTGGCAGGTTAAAAAAGATTTGAATATAAGCGTAATACTAAGTACCTCATTGTAAAGAATGAATATTTATAAACCTCTAGATAAATTCTTCTTCTTGCATATGTTTTAGTCCAGAGGCCATGTTGATTTTTGCTTACCCACAAACCGCCTTGAGTGAAGAATGAAATATGAAATAATTAAATTCTTTTGGCCACTGAGTTTGGGTACTGCCTTTTTCATGTTGCTTGTAGTTTGGATTGAGTATCGCCTTAAGAGAGGACACTGCCGAGGTGAAGAGGGCGATTAGGAAACTAAAAAGTGTGCAGCTTCCCCCACTTGAATACTGAACTTTGTGTTGGGGAGCTGTTCAATGCAATACTTTGGTAATCTTTGGAGAATTCCGCAGTCACAAATAGACAGTGTGTAGCAAAATCAGCACCTGCAGATTTTTAATGTTTTCCTTCCAGAAAAAGAATAAGTTACAAAGCTAAATAGCCCACAGAATTGATCAGTGCAAAACAAATGAGGCTTTATCCGTCCATAAAACCAACCTTCCAGGAACCTTGTCTGTCAAAGAGAAGAAAGTCTCCTTGATTCTGCCATTTTGATGCTTTTGAATGCTTCCATGACATTCAACCTGTCTGAGGTTGTGGGGTTCTGGTTAGCTCGTTTGCTGATTGTATTTGCGACGCCTTGCGAGTATTTCTCTTTATGTACCATACAGCAGCCACGCGTTTGTACTAAGTACTCAAACACAGCTACAGTTGCTGCAAAGCAATTATATCTTTCTCTATTACCATTTGATACGGTTGTTACTTGAAGCTTCTGCAGCATTTCTCATTTTAATTTATTGCTTCAGGTGATATAAAACATTATTCATCAGTGCATCTGTATGCAATAAAATAAGCAGAGGTCAAAGTGCATACAAAAACAAAGACTAACTGTATACAATATTTACTTAATGAGTCAAAATTCCCATTATTAAGAAGTGACGTGTGAAGATTCACTACTTGTTCTTGTGTTTCAGTCCCATCCGTTGAAGGAATTTCTCCAGCTTATTTTCTTGGTGCCCCCTTCCAGCTCGGGTGATGTTATGTTCAATGTCCGCCTCAGCTTTAGGAAGGCTTTTGGTTTTCTCCTGAGACTTTCCAAAGCCATGTGCGGAGCGTTTCTTGTCAATCGACTCGTATCTGCTGTAAAGGCAAGTCTCGGGACCTCGACCTGGGACGGGCCTTGTGCTTCTGTCGAAAATGCTGAGCTTCTTTTGGGCCGCAGGTTTAGGTAGAGAGACTTCTGGTGGATCTTGGAGCTCTTTGCTCCCGAATCGAGGTTTTGAAGAGGTTAGATCGGTACCACCTATCCGCTTCATCTGGTGCCCTGGGGAGGACCTGACAGAGTTGGTTGTGCTTTGGGGAAGTTTCGCTCCACTATATGACATCCTCCTCTCGTCATCGGCTGTCAAGGTGTCTGTGCTGCAACTTGACTTCAGACTCAGTGTGTCGGCGGCTCCTACTGAATCTTCTTTCTTCTCTGGTATGTTCAGAAACGATTTGATTTTTTTGCCACTGTTGATTGGAAAATGTGGTGAGCTCATGCTGTTGGATTTATTTGTTGGATCCTTGCTATTAACTTCCAGGGCTGCCGTGGACACTGTCCTGGATGGCGGCTCCTGCCAGTTTGGAGTACCGTGGCTCTTTGTGTCTGCGACACTCTTGACGTCATAATGAGAAGCAGACCTCTGATCTTCTTTCAGATATGACCTGTATCCTCCACTCTGTGCGTTGATCCCCGCTGTACTTCTGTTAACTTGCGTCCCTGCTAAATCTCCATACATGTGACTTGATGATTCATGCTTGTACTCTGGGTTTGGCCTTGGATCTGCTAAGCTGCGTCTTTTGTGCCAATTGTCAGACATGATGTCTGGGTTTGGGATCATGTGTCTACCTGCTGATCTGCCTAAGCTGGCATAGACAGCGGGGTAGGAGCCTCTACCTGGACCGTAGTTTGCGTTGTTCCGATTGTCATCCAAAACTTGCAAATTATTCCTATTGAACATGTACTCGTCGTTACTTATCGTATTTTCAGCTGCTGCAGTTGGATTCCAGTGCATGGAGGAGTAGTGTGCAGGAGTGGTTGGGGCTGCTAAGGAGTTGACACAAGTGGAGGAGTTGTTAAGGTATCGGTTCGGCTCCACTTGCTCCGCTACGGTGGACCTGAAAACGAGGGAAGACCTCATCCTTCCCTGCATGAAGGAGCTCCCTTTGTCCTGTGGTTCAAACTGGTCCAAATAGTCACAAGAGTCTCCGAACGGAACCTCGGGGCGTTTGAGGTAAGACTCGATCCTAAATGTGCGCATGAAGGACTTGGATGTATTCTCTAGCGTTGGCATGTTCTGCTGCATGGAAATAACTTGTTTGTCGTTGCCACTGTAAGACTGCCGCATGTTATGACCTCTTTGTATTTGTGGCGCCTGTAAATAACTGTCCACTGGAAAGTGATTGGTTCCACTTCCTGTTTCTTTTGAAATATTCCAGTTGCTCGCTCTGGGCCTGAAGTTCTGTGGAATACATTCATCTTGTCTCTCTCCAGCATAGCTGTGCCTTTTAATGAAGTTAATCGACTCTGTTGAGGGAAATTGGGGCATGTGGTTGTTAGCAGCGATCCCATTTTCCTTTAAGAGCCCAAAATGTTGAGGTTGCTCTTCAAAGAGCTTCCTCTCTAGATCTCTCACTCCTTGATTCCTCTCGCAGGTCTTCCGATAGACTGTGTCCAGCGTATGCCTCAACTGGTCCCTGCGCTCAACTTTATGGGTGTCTTGGGGCAAAATCTGTCGTCCGTTGCGTTGGGACAAACCTTCCGAAGGGCAGAGCTCAGACGGCACAGTCGAGCGGGCATAAAGTGTTCGAAACTCCTCGTCGTAGGACTTCACCAGGTGGCCCGTGATCAGCTGCACCATGCTCAGATGAATCTTCTCAAATGACCACGTGAAGCTGCAACACACACCAAAAACACAATTATTTATCATCAAAAAACTAGAAAACAGACAGTTGTATAACACTCACCGGAGAATTTGAGTTAAATTTAGGTTTACGTGTCACGGGGTGGACGATTGGGGACAATTGATTGCATGCTTAATTGATTACATATTTTATTGATTGCATATTTTATTGATTTATGATTGCATGTTTTACGACTTGTTGATTTGTGATTGCATGTTGGACAATCTATCGTGTGCTTTGGGTTTTGTTGAATTGTGTCCTCAATTGACAATCGTCCCCAACAAATTAGCAATTAGTGGCATATGGTCAATGGACCAATGGGGAAAGGCCAGGGGCGGAACTTTGTCTTCTTAAGGAGGAAGACGGGACAATGGCAAGAAAAAAAAGAGGAGAAACGAGAGAAGAAGAAGAAGAAGGGAGGGAAGGAGCAGGGAAAGAAAGGCAGAAGCAGAGCCAGCAGCAGCAGCAGCAGCAGCAGCAGCAGCAGCAGCAGCAGCAGGCGCCGAGGGCAACTGGCAGTCAGAGGTCCGAACCAGTGGACCAGGGACGCGCAGGAATTCGCTCCTCCTGTGGTGATGAGCCTGGATGGACTATTTTAGCTCCCTTTTATATATTTTAATCTTTTGTATTAAAATAAATATTTTTTTAGTCGTATTTCCGCCCCTGTCACCTCTTTTACCTAGGTGGGTTTGTTGGCAACACACTTTTAGTTTTTAAGAAGCGCCTCGGCCGCTGACATACGCAACAACAAAAAATAAGCTAAAGCCGCTAAAGCAACCCGGGAAAAAACTATTTTCCAAGGTTTAATTCGGCTGCCACATTTGACAGAAAGTTCAATTAACGTCTTCAAAACAGCTTCGTTCACAAAGGATGACAGCGACTTTGTGGAGGGTGTCAGTAAATGTGTTTTGTGCTTTGCGTCATGAGTGCATTTAGCTTCTGCCTCAGCAGTCTCAACCACTGAAATAATATTTACCCATAAGAACCATAAATTGCTGTGAGGCAGTCGACTAAAAGAAACTTCTGCTCCATTGCTCCATGAAATTTCGCTCCCGATCGGCAGACGTAATCCGGGCCCTTCACGGTGCGCACCCTCATGTTCTGTGGTCAGAGCAGAGGAGGGACATTTTCAGAAAATATTTTTCATGGTTAAATCGTCCAGCAGAAGATAATAAGCATGTCAATCAACACCATAACAAACAATAATGAAGTAGTCGCCAGGTTTCTCTACCGGTTTGAAAAGATGCGCAGTGCACAAAAAATGTTACTAGTCCCTGAGTACCAAGGAGGGTGCAGCAGTTTGATTGGGAGGTAACAACAGAAACCTTAACGAATGTTTTATAAGCCCTAGTGTTGAGTCTCATTGAACTATTGAATCATGGTGATCAAATAATTCACAAGCCGTCTAATGAAAAATAATTTCCATGTTACTCGCAATCCACCACCACAAATATTTGTATTTCTGCTCTAACTATTGAAAAATATTTGCTTTAGGTTAAATTGATTTGAATTAATTAGTTTCAGAATGTCTCAAAATATCCTTAAAATGTAGCTTCTTGAGGTGCTTTATTAAAAGCAAATAAAACCATACAAACTTTTCAAAACATAGCCACAATGGAAGTTACAATCGGCTAAGTTGATAAAAATTAAGAAGATTTCTTGTACCTACCCGTAGTTGATTTATTTTGACATTTTGATTTTCAGCCATGGCGAGAAAACCATTCAAATGGAAATCATCCAAAAGCACGTAGACTGGCACTCCTCGTATGGAGGCATCGACAGCTTCTTTGAATATATCTACATCCGTAAACTCGTCCATCGCAATGGCAATGACCTGCAAGTACAAAGTGAATTAATCATGCTCTGTTCAGCGTGCCAGAGGCAAGAGTGCATTTAACCAGTTTACCTTTGTGAAATCCACAAATGACCCATTTAACAACACATGAATAATAAATGTGAATCCAACAGCTATAAACTGCCAAAAAACCTTAAAGTGATGCAAATGATAAAAACTTAACTTAACTAAAGTAGAAAACTAAACTTGGCGAGATCTAACACAATGTTTGTTGGTCCCAAATCCATTTCTATCACTGCTGGAGAAGTTTATATCCGTATTCAAAGTACAAATTAAAGACTTTTTATATCTTTTTTCACTAAGATTAAACTGCAATGGAAGTCCATCAAGAGAGTATACGGTTTGAAATGTAATGTTACAAAGCAGCAGCGTCATACTTTGATTTAGTAACATTCTTTAATGAAATCAGTCCAAACTGATTTTTGTAGGCTATTTTGAGTTGTTTCTTTCACTTAATTTCCTGTGTGGGAGTTTTCTGACCCTCAGAAGGGTGAGTCATTATTAATCTTATCTGCTACTTCCAAACAATGGGAACATTTAAATCAATACAGAGAGGTTCCAGCAGCTGCAGCATCCGATAAAATATTCATCTACGTTTCATTTTGATTACTTTTCCCTGTACTGGTTGTAATTAGTTGGAAAAGTGACAAGGATTCAATTTTTTCTTTATAAGCTGAAAAGTTCCCTCGAGACGTTCCAGTCAGTCTTTTGCTGTCAAAGTTGGTTTAATTAAGAGCAGCAGCGCAGCAGTAACAAGTACAGATGCAATAGAATAGTAATTATCTACTAACCACAATTTTGAGCTACAACACCAGGTTTTGATTCATTAAGACACAATTTGATAACTGGCTGAAGCGTCGACTGTGAAATGGATATTGTCTCATAATGGAATCCTCCGTTTGGTTCCCACACTTTCTCGTCATGGTTGTGAGTTTCAAAACTCGATTTTTCAACTTCAACAACCACAGCCAACACTCCTTACAACTGAAAATTGAGAGCAACAAAGGTCTGTGGACATTCCCCGAGGAGGAAGTGAACAGAAGAAACAGTAGTCTGAGTCAATTTGCTGCTCTGAAATGAAGTGTTATCAGCCTGAACACCAGACATTAAACCTTTGTACTTGTGATGCTTCTTAGCATATTGCTCACTGCAGCTCTGATTACCTGTCTCGCATCTTGTATGTGCTTCCGAACCACCTCTTTGATGGTCGGTTTGTTCTGTCTCGGCGGGTGAAACAGCAGATCGATGTTCGTCTGTAGTTTTTCTAGCAGGACATCCGGCCAACCCAACTCCAGGTCTGGCGCGTCCCCCTCCGAGTGGACGGGCCAGTACGTCCCCGAGGATGAGTGGCTGTCCAGAGGGCCGACGGTTTCCTCCGTATCGTTTTTAGGCGGGATGTTTTCGGCCTTTTCGGTGATGAACAGAAGCTCGTTCTCTGAGAGGAAGCTCCCGAGACGTTCTCCCTTCAGGAACTCCTGGTAACTTTCTCTGCCGCCACTTGCCAGGCAATCGATGGCCAGGCGATAGGACTCCTTGTAGTGAGGTTGGATGAACTCCTCCAGTTTCAACTCACCCCTCAGGGACGACAGCATGGAAAAATCCTGAGTCTCCATTGCTGCAGGAGGTTTCACTTGGACCTGTCATCACAGATGAGAGAGATCGGTGACATGACGTAAAAGAATCAGAGAACAAACATCATGACAGTGGAAAAGGCTCAGAGTCTGTTGAACGTAAAGAGGCAAAATAACCGGAAAGGTTGTGTATATCGAATCGTAGTGTAAATATCAAGAAGCTGTAAAAAATTAAATAAAAGTACAACCCCGCCTGTGTTTTTCATTCTATGTCCCCTCAGTAACACTGAATCAGACTTTAAGGTCCCTTGTAAGTCATTATAAGTAACTTATACTATACTACTACTATACTTCTATAAGAACAGAGCAGATAAATAATGTTATGAGTATTTGAACCGGTGTCTCATCTTTAGATGTTTGCACAAGATTTAAATAAAGTTTTTGAGGTTGTTCAGAAACAACTTGTCTATAACCTGCTGGCTGATTAGACACTCACTTGTTTCTCCGTATCTGAACAGGACGTTGTCTTTGTTTTTGTAAAGTTAACACTGCTTGTTTACATTAGGACTGTGGCAACAAGTATTTTTTCAGTATGTTGACTATTTCCATGTGCAAGAAATTCTTCACAATGTTACAGAGCACATTATATGTTGTTATTGTGGATCTTTCTTTTTAATTACATTGTTTCTTACATGTCTCATCATGAACGCTGACTCATCACTATCAAACACTTAACCTGTTCAGTCTGGATGTAAAAGCAGCAAATTCCCAAAGATGAAACATGAATGCTGCACCTGTAAATTAGTGCACCTCAATTTAAAAGTGTAAACTAAGAACAGTTTAAATAAATGTTGCATATTCTTTACCACGTTCTGCAAAACATTTTAGCGATTATTAGGCAATAATTAAACATCTTTTTTACCATCTTTAGTATAATAATATATCATTTGTTAACAATCTTGATAAACCCTAATCTAGCTTTTACAGAATGTTACACCTCTTGAAATGATATGATTCTTGACATTATATATTACATTACATTACAGGTCATTTAGCAGACGCTTTTATCCAAAGCGACTTACATTACACTTTAAACCCATGGTGGCTTTTTCACATTTTTGCCCGGGGAGCAATTAGGGGTTCGGTGTCTTGCTCAGGGACACTTCGACATGGAACATGGGGCAGCCTGGACTCGAACCACCAACCTTGTGCTTCCCAGCACACCTTCTCTAACCCCTGCGCCACAACGACCCATTATATATGTCTATATCCATCCTCATTGGATGAAATCATTTACGCTTAGATTATAAGGATGCAAGTATTTCACTTTGATAGAGATTTACTGTTGTATAACATGCATCATTTGTCTGAATGTTAAGACAGTGAAACAAGTCGATCATTGCAGCTAAACAACTTAGACACTGACTTACTGTAGGAAAATGTAACATGTAACTGTAACTTTTACTTCTGAGTTAGTGTTACAGCCGGTATTAAGACGAGTACAGTCTTCCTTTCCTCTTCTGTGCTTTGTCTTTATGGATGTACTTTATAATAAATATAGAGAGCCGTTATTGCAGCATGTTAAATTTGAACCTACAACGCAGGCTTGCAAGAACATCATATCTACCTAAACGTTTTACCTCAAACCTCCCACTGTTCAGAACATTTATTTAAAAGCTGAGCCGCTTGACATTCTTACAGATTCTTACGCTGCTTCCTGCTGAACAATATAAAAAACTCTTCTATGCTCAACAACAGGGACTTACATTTGTATCGTGACCTTTGTGAAAATCCTCTTGACTGCTCCCACAAAGTTCCTCTTGGATTTATGATCACATTATGTTCAATATTCGGAGGGACTGCTAGCTGGGAGAAACAAAGAAAAAGGAGGTGTCTCAACATGATAAGCAGTCGTCAGGAAGAGGGTGTGGATTCCAGTTTTTACATGCAAATGGCCTGGCCTGAAACCTGCTCACAGGTAGCCTGTAAACCTGTTTGAGACATTTGGCCACTCCCTCCTTTCAGGGACAAAGTGCACATTGACGAAAATCAAGATAATGGAAAACATAAAGAGGCTTTGATGAATACTTAAGGTTTAATGGTGCAGGGCCTCATAAAGATGTTCTGTCCAGGGCTGCTAAAATTGAACAATATTTTAGGGCTTGACTTGAAGGTGACCATTTCAAATGACACACTTTCACGCAGATATTTTTCAAGGAGGAGACATCCACAAATCCAAATAAGCTTGAATAAACCAGGGATCATTAGTCTTTTTCATCTCGCTTCAGATGGGGCTGAGTCTGCAGGGAGCAAAGAAGCACTTCTGATGTCCTTGTAAATGTTGGAGGAAAACAGAAGAAAGGAGATTTTATGATGCCTTTTCTTTGATTCATAAAATGCAATAACATAAAACATGTTTGTGTTCATGAATTTATACGTGGGACATTTGGCATGCTCCACCCTGTCTGGTCAGCTTTTTTTCTTGAGAAACTGGCTCATTGTGTAACATCTGACTTCATACAAAAATAGGTTCATCTTTTCCTCGTTCAACGGAACAGCACATTTGGAAAATGATTCATTGCTGGGGTTTTCTTTTTTTCATCGTGTGAAAGCTTTTTAACAGTTCGAGCAAAACTGAAATAGTATTGCTTAAAAGAAGGCACCAGAATGACGTAGATAATGCTTTAACCTTTTGGTGTATTTGGGTGTTGTCCAGCTTCAGATTATCCCTTCAATTAGCCCCGAAGCATTTCTCTGGTCAGTGCATGTTTGTGCCTGGATAACACACTCTGCATGTGATTTTGTTTCCCAGTTGTAGGTTGAGAGAGAGCTAAAATATTTAGTTTAATCATTAAAAGAGAATATTTAAAGCGATAGGCTGGCATTCTGACAAACATGTGCATGCCTTTTGTTGGTTCAGAGGAAGATCAAAAGATCAGTTCAACTTATTTCTGCATGCTGAATATGAAGCTACTAGGATTAACTAAATAGACCATCAATTAGAAAGGGAGAAAAGAAAACTATTCTATGACTTTGTTAGAACCCAGCTTGACGTTTACCAGATGTTCAGCCGACCAGGAGCTGATGGCAGCTCATATTTATGGTGAAAAGTGAAATAAAAATGTAAAGATCTTTCTTCAAACCTCCTATAGAGTACATTTAACTACAGGGAGCTGAATAACAAAATACCTTAAACTGACTAAACTGTTTAAAGACAGCCGAGAGATAATCATTTTTAATTTCGCATATTTATCTTCTTTTTTATCAACAATTAAATCCAGCCACAGCATGTCAATTTAATTAATGTGAGCAAGGAAGCTAATTTCTTTGTTTCCTGTCTATTCTTGTGTATCATATGATAAAGATAACTGAGATAAAGTCAGGAAACAAAATTGTTCACCAAGTATAAACATTTGATAATTAAGTCAAAGCATCTTAATGAGATCAAATTAACTGCAAAAGCATATTTACTTTCCATCCATCTTCAAAGCCGCTTAGCGTTCATACAGGGTTGCGGGGGGCTGAAGCCAATCCCAGCCAACATCGGGCGAGAGCATATTCACTTTATTTTAATTTAATTATTCTGTTTGACCGTTTATTTTTTACTTATATATTGAAATGCAGCTATGATATTCTTTTACACAGTGCGTCATATGTCATGGATACGAAGATGCTGTTCCTTTCTCAAGACTTAAAACACCTGTGGTTATTCCCCCGTGGCTATTCCACCTGAAAAGAGCTGGAAGAACAAGATATCTGTCCCATTGTTTAGTTGTGTCTTGAATCTAGGTGTGTGTGTGGATAATGTAACGCATGAACTAAGTCAGAGGGAGTTTGTTTTTCTGACGCGCTTCGCGTGAGTCACCGTCTGTGACACCCATTCTCTGCTTCGTGCAGTCGACGTGATCAGTTCCTCTGGCGGTTTAAGTCCTGCATTCATGTCTGAGCAAGTGGCAGGCTGCCCTGTCATTATGAAGCGCCTCTTGCAAACTGAACGTGGGACTGACATTCGGATGAACATTGGCATGACGGTGATCATTAAATGAGCACAACATGCTGAGGGGACGGACCAGTCACAAAGTTATGGACTGTAGAAACTAATGATTTGGATGTTTGACCTTTCACAGGGACTAAGCACACTGAGCAAATGCAAAATTACAGCTGGAGACAATCTTGATGGAATAAGCAGGCCACAACAACAAGAGGGTGTGGGAGGGGGGATCTCGCCAATCGCACCATCTTCAAACTTTAACTTTCATTTTGATCTCGACATTCCGGCTGTAAATTTCCATTACTACATCTTGCACAATTGAAATCCTATTGCGATGTCAACATCTGCCGACGAGCATAGAGGCAGCTGTACAAACACCTGGCAAAGAACGACGTCAATTTTCTTATCTCGAGATTAACGTTTTTAATTTTTGGGGGGGGGGTGGATGATTGTCCCCAGGAACGGTGGTCCACACATGAAGGGGCACACAGCAAAATGGCCCGCCTTGCACACAAGTACTTAGCAGCACCGGCAACATCAGTACCTTCTGAAAGGTTGTTTTCGGTGTCTGGGCATGTTGGGCGAAAGAAGCGAGCTTCACTGTTGTCTGAAAATGTCAACAGGCGTGTCTGTTTAGGCAGCTGGCTAGAAGGAAAGAAGTAGTAGGCTTACCTTTTATTGGTAACCTAACTGTTACTGTTAATTCTTTCTGAAATAAGAGGCCTGACTGCTGTGTTCACAGCAAACTTGGTGTGCCATGGTTTAACTGCACTATAGGCTGAGTCCTTGTTTACCTGAAATGTGGACTTCATAATTTTATTTTGTACCGCCCTGTTTGGCAATGTTGTTTTTCAATAAAAGAAAACATTTGCACAAAGCAAGCCAATCCACTTTTCCATGTTGATAAGAGCATTAAAATAAAAAAAAATCTATGGACAAAAGGGACATTAAGAATAGATAAAAGTCTGTGATTAATTGTGATTAATTTTTAGTTAACTATGACATAAATGGGATTAATCGTGATTAAATATTTTAATCGTTTGACAGCTCTAATATAAACGTGAAATACATAATAGCATGTTCACAGAAAAGGGAACATCGATGGTGTCCGTTGATCTACATTACAGATTTAATTGAAAATGTTGGAAGAAAAATGGGACTTGGAAATTGGAAGAAAAAATTCCCTCCAAGTTGTAGTTTTCCAATGTACTAGGCTGACCATATGCCACTCCTCCCCAGAGAGAACCCTAGCTGTCCTTCTTCCATCTCTGTTTGATGTAAAGTGCCTGTACAGATTCTATGACATAACATTCCATCAAAAATTTAAGAAAAATCCAATCCTCGGGGTTTGCCAAAGTCATGTCTTTCATGATTCCCTTAAGAAAGGTGCTTTCAACCAGCGTCACCCGCTCATGATGTGAGACTACACTTCTCTCCAACTGAGAACATCTACTAGAGAGCAGGCCAACAAAGCAGCTAAGAGCAAGTTCGTCTTCATGTGGCTTTGCGCCCACAGCTTTTTTATAGATCACATGTTCCTGATCTACTCTCATCCTTCTCCCCTGCAGCTCTTGGTGATCAAAGAGTTCAGTGTCCGTCCCTGGTAGGAGGTGTTGATGACCTTGCCTCAAGGAAAAAGTGGTTTGTAGTTTTGTCACAATTTTAGCTGTAATAAAAAGCCTGGTGCTATTGCCTCCTGTTGTTGCATCCCAATTCTTCCCTTATCGTTCTCAAAAAACTCAGCGGCTCTTTGCATCTCCATTGGACTACAAACCACTGAGCACCTGGATTTCATTGTCTCACCAGTGCCTAAAGCAAAACAACCAATTTAATTATTTTTCTACAGTACCCTCTCAAAGCCATTCATGTAGCTGCACTTGGTTGCACACGAAAAAACTGACACTTTGTGAAAAATGAAGTACTCAGACAGTGTGTAAAGCTTGCTGGATGTTGGTCTCAGGAAGTGATAGGAGGTGAAACTCAGCATTGGACAGTCCGAAGAGAAAATGACTTTATTTTAAGTATATTATCAGGAATCGGAAATCATAACATTTATTGCCATAATATGTCAGACATACAAGGAATTTGACTTGGCGGTGCACGAGTAATAAAATAACATATAATGCTATGGGTTAGTAGTACATTACATGTCACTTAGCTGACGCTTTTATCCAAAGCGACTTACATTACATTTTTAACCCATGGCATTTTACATCTTTCCACCTGGGGAGCAATTAGGGGTTAGGTGGCTCAGGGACACTTTGACATGGGGCACCCGGGACTTGAACCACCAACCTTGCAGTTCCCAGCGCAACCTCTCTACCCCTGCGCCACGTCACCCCATAGTAGTACAAGGCTATGGGTTAGTTTAAAAATAAAGGAATAAAAGTTCAAGTTAAAAATATTTAGAAATCAGAAATAAAGTGCACCAGCGAACAGAAGTGAAAGTGACAAATGAAAGTGACGTGTGCAGTGAGAAAGAAAGTGACCGGTGGAATGTCAGAGTCAGTCAGTGGGGAACCGGGCTCTGTTGATGAGCCTGACTGCCGACGGGAAGAAACTGTTTGTGTGGCAGGAGGTCTTGGTCCTGATGGACCTCAGCCTCCTGCCAGATGGAAGGGCCACAAACAGTTTCATGGCTTGAATTCATCTGCCTTTATTATTTCTGGTTGGATTGAGGGAGACAAACTTTAGTTAGAATAGTTTTAAAGAGTTTTATAAATACTGCAGTCTGCTCCACTCGGTCCAGGTTGTGATTTTCCCGCGCCTCCTTTACCTTCCATTGGCCAGACAATACGGCCTGCGCCTCCTGCAGCGACGTGTAGGTGTTGGCTCACAGAGGGCACCGCTCAGCAAGGAGTCAAAGCTCTGCTCCCAGCCGGAGGAGGAGACTCTGGGCAATGAGCCCACCTCCTGCCACAGTCTCTGGATCTCAGTCGGATCGCTGACAAAAGCCCCGCAGGAGTCTGAGCTGAGGGAGTTGGTGCTGAACCTGAATTTGGAATAACTACTGTAAATAGAAATTTACATAGAAAAATAGAAAGTACAAAGTTGTGAAAGACAAGAGAAGTGTGTTACTGGTTATGGGCGGTACCCAAGTAAAAAAAGGTGTGTAGTGGGATCCGGCTGCTATTAAAGGAGATAATTAAAACTTGTTTAACACAGTTACGGGAATTAAATTATAACAGGAAAGCTGTGGGAATTATTCCGTCTTGTTCAGTCCAAAGACTGCACACCTTTTCCACTGAGCGGTTTCAAAGATTGTTTCACTTTGAAACCACCGTTTTCGTTTCCCCACAATAAAAAGTTGAGGAGTATGAATCTGGGCATCGACGGTTTGTGTCATTGATGATGTCTATATTTGTACAACCCCACATGTTGACAATGCAGCACACCGACAAAAAAACAAGGTCTCTGAAACACTTTGGCACATTAAAATATTTTGAAGGAATAAAATGACTGCCCTGAACATTCTGAGCTAAAAACAAGTTTGTGGGTTGACATCTTGTGTTTGAAAGACAAAGCGGAAAGTCTCTGTCTTTTCATTGCTTGTTTTAACTGGTTTGCATTGTTACGACCTCAGGCTTCAAGGCGTGCCAGGAAGCAGGTTTGTGGGAACGTTCAGGGTGAGTTGTATTGCAACGTTACACTGCTGTGATGAAGGAGAATCTTAAACAAGCTTCAACCGTCGGACCCTGTGCACTAGAATCAGGAGAGGACCTGCTCAGTATTTACTGTCAGCGGAGCAGTTACTCGATAACGATGGATAGGCTAAAAGAGCAGCAGACAGACCAATTTAGTCCACTGTTGCACTAAAACCCCTTGTATAGTAACGAGTATCTAGTGTTCAAGCGAGAGAGACAGAGAGCTGGATTCACCCTGCAAGTTTTGTTGCAGGCCAAAAATGTTACCCGTTTAGTCAAGCTGTTGTTTATTATATTGGACGTTTCAATCCACTCTTCTACTCTGCACCACTGTACTGAAACTAATATATATCATATGCTTTAGTACCAACATAAATGAGATACTATAAGCACACGATTTACCAATGTGTATATAACCTCTTGAAAGAATTTTTTAAAAAATACACTACAATGACATTCCAGGGATTTTTTTTTATTTATTTTTTTAAGCATCATATTTTCAACGTTTCTGGCTTGAAGTGAACTAAGAGGATCTGCTTGCTTTGTTGTTTTGGACTCACAAATTGGAGGAGTGGGTTGTTGACTGTTGCCCTCTGTTCACGCTTGTGTGGCAGCTGGATGGCACAGCTGGCGAGAAGCTCGAGATGCCTGTGGGTTAGCATTTGCTCAGAGTACTTCAAACCAAGTAATCTCAGCTTTATCAGCTCCAGCCCTGCAGTCTGCAGCACTGTGACCACAAAAAAACCCTCATTTTTCTCGTTACGCTTTTTAATTCTTCACCTTTGGTGTTGTCAGGCTGCAGTCAGTCAGCTTTCCTGTGAGGACATGTTTGCATATGGACGGTGTGAATAGGTTAAAGACGTTTGTCTTCACTCGAGAGAGATGCCATTAATAAGAAAGGTTAAATCGTAGTACAAGACAACACCTTCAAGATGAAAAGCAGAATGCCATTTTTTTATTGTCCCCTTTACATAAAAAGGCCGTCAGGCCGTCAGGCTGACTGCACATGGCGGAGGACTGTAGGGTTTAACACCCTCTCTGTCCATACTCACAAAGCCCGTGAGTACATATGAGAGAAGTATATCCACTGTGTTGCATATAAATATTGAATTATCAAATGTTTAATAATTTCCACATTTCTTTGACTCTCAGGGTATATGATGTAATATTTAGTCCTTATCCCCCCCCTCCCTCTGACCCTCCCACCTTCCCTGTAAACTCACTGACAGAAATCAGTCTAGACTTCAAGTAATAACAGGTCCCCTATAGTGCCCGGTGGTTGATTTGATCCTTTGGGCAATGTGCGTGGTCAGTCTTCTGCTTATGTGACGATGAGTCATATTTGATCTGTTGTTGATAAAGATCTGCATAAAACCTCACCGCACTTAATGTCAATTTAGAATAATTGTTAATAAGGGTTTTCACCTCACACTGTTTCCGCACCGAAAAAAGGCGATTTTTTATTTATGGACTTGGTTGCAGACGGTGATGTGATCACAGGGTGCAAAGAGGGCAAAAAGGGAGTGAAATGTAATAGGAACCGCATCTGGTTTCACAGATACCAAAATCCCCTGGAAAGGCTGAGATGTGGTCAGTGACAGATCTTTTCTAGCTATCTGGACAGCGCGGAGGAGGACTGGAGGACTGAAGGAAGAGGAAGAGCTTGTGATATTTTTTATTCCACGGTGTGAAACTGTCTCTTATCAAGCCAGCAGTAATTACATCCATCAGTTCTTGATTTGGTAGCTTGCTGTTTGCTGAGCGCAGGCATTCCTTTCATCATGATGCCAAAGCGATCTCCTCGATATGCAATGAAAAACTTTTTTGTATTTTTTGGAAAAGATGAATAATAGGGGTGTAACGATTCATTTTAACAACGATTAGATTCGAATCACGATTCATGGTTGCCGATTCGATTCGTGGACGATCTGGGTTAATTTAGAACGATTCGATTCAATTCGATTCGATTCAGTGACTTGTGCAGGCAAAGTTTCTGAGATCCCTGTTGTTTCTTGTAAGGAAATCAGGTTTAAATTAATTATGGACATTATAAACAAGCAAACAACAATTGATGGAAAATGTATTAACCTTTTATTTGAATCAAGTGCCATTTTCAATGTAAACATTACACAATAATTACACAATGTTTGGATCAATTCACAGAACCCCGGATTTTCAACCACATTATAGGGCCGCATGTCTTTACAGATAAACTTGGCAATTGTTACTGTGATGTTGAGTTTGGTGCTGGCGAGGCCTGAGGTGTCTGCAGAGCTGGAGTTACCTGCTGCTGCTGCTGCAGCGGTGACGCTGCTAGAGGTGCCTGACTGTCGGCGTTGTTTAATCCTACGGCGCCTTTGTAGATGGCTGGAAAGATTCGTCGTGTTTCCGTGGTTTTTTATTTGTCTTCTACATATTCTACAAACAGCGACCGACTTATTTAGAACACCTCCGTGTTTGCAAAAGCCAAAATGTTTCCACTCGCTGGATCGATAAGTTGGTTTGTAAATGTCTTGCTCGCAGTCGTCTCCTCCACGATTCTCCTCGATTATGTACCATTTCAATCGATTTGTAATCGATATATGTCATCCGGAATGCCGATTTGCGGAGCACAGATCGATTCAGTTGGATCGCAGGAATATAAATCAATTAATCGATTCAGTGAATGAATCGTTACGCCCCTAATAAAGAAACATTTACTGAGTAACATGTATACATGGTTGCTGTTTCGTTGCATGGGCTGAATGTGATGTGTACCTCTGTCTGTAACTAAGGACCTACATTCTTTAAAAGAATCACAGATTTTAAAGTTGTGAATTTGCCACCACTTATAATGATAAACTGTAAATGTGACATAGCAACATTAACTAAATGGGTGGGGCAGAGGGGAAGGTGAGTTTTTGTTATGTAAAAAGCTGTACACAAGCACCCACTGACCTCATTTTGCTAATTCAGTTACAAGTGACCCTTTGCTAAGCCTTGACCATCAAATGCAGGCCGAAGCGTAACGGCCCAGCTAACACACAGGCCGATTACATACATTGTGAATTACATTTGTTCATGATGATATTTACCAACACAGGAGAGGTAGAGAGAGACCAAACGGGAGAAGTACGTGAGTCAAGGAAGTCTTTTCTCCAAATAGAGGAATGTGGTTGGACTCTTAAATGTTCACTCGTTCACTAAAACCATAGAAGGAAATCAAAAGTGGTATTGGGAAGCGCCACTACGTGACAAAGCCCCAATCTGTAAATCTCAGAATTACGCACGTTAATTCAATGCCAAAGATATATATTACCTGCCCACGAATGTCTCCCTTTAGAAGACGAAAAGAATATCAAATTGTGGCTTTTCTAACCATCATGACTGAATTGGGGTCAGTTAAAAAAAAATCTAACATGAAGTACTTTATTTTAAGATATACATTTTTAGGCTTAGCAAAGAGTAACTTACTAAGGCCTTGGTCTTCGTAGTTTGTTAAAAAATGTATTAATGTAGGGCCACGGGTTATTACTTTAGGGTTAATACTTAAAATATGTCATATAGCTTCCATCCGCTCTTAAGTTAGGCTCGTAGTCGGGCTCCGTTATCTGCAGATCAAATACGGAGAGTGGATCTCTTCTCTCAGGCTTCCTCTCTTCTCCAAATCTTTGCCTTTTTGAACTGGTGTAACAAACTTCTCTAGCCGCTTCGAGACAATTACCTTCCACCTGCAAACAGAAAGGGACACATTGTTGTTTGGGTTAATGCATTCACGGGTAAGAGATAATAGAGCAGACATTTTCAAATTGATTCTGGGATGACTTCAGTTCACAGTGAAATGGCCTGAAATTGGTTTATACTGGGATGAATATTCATTGTGTATTTTTGTTATAATTGACAATCATCTTTCTGGATTGCACGGCGACATCAATTACCTGCTCCTTATTCACTCCATTTATTATAAGCATTTTGGGGGGCTCATCAACATCATTGATGCTCCAAACTGATGTGTCGTCTTCCATCTTGGCTGAATCTGAGTCTTTAATGATAAATGTTGCATATGCCCATCCAACAATGGCAAAAATACTAACACAACTAACATTGAGCGTAGAGGTTCGAACCCGTCAGTCTGATGTTATCCTAAAGAGGCTGATATGGGCTTTTGTTTTATAAAAGTTTTATATCACCATCAAGTCTAAACATAGCTTGTTTATTTAGATGTCGATCCACCCTCGTCTACTCTCGATTTGAGTGAGCCTCCCTTTGCGGGAATGTGCTGTCGGCCTGGACTGTCGGTCGCTCTCCCTAAGATGTTTTCCCTGTTTTCTCCTCCCCGTTGAAACTAACGGCCGTGCCGAGGGCCCAGAAGCGGTTTGACGAAAAAACACGGAATAGTCAAAGGAAGCTTTATTCCAGGGAGAAGACACATCAGGCAAACAGGCTCGGATCAGGAGGAGGCTGAGAGAGACCAGAGAAGGTGCAGCAGCAGACAGGTGAGAGTGATGGCTGTGGCTCACAGGTGCACTCAATGAGCTGAAGGGGTGAGTGACAGATAGGGCAGGGTCCTGGGAGAGATGATGTTGTATAGTGTTTAAAGTCTTTTTCACGCAAAAGTTATTGTTTTTTTGGGTGGAGGGGGGTTTACAAAATAAAGTTAATTGATTTGAATCCAAGTTATGAAGATGCAATTTAAACTGATGGAGTTGTTTTATCCTAACTGCAAATTCAATTACATAGGAACAATTACCTCACTGCATAATGTCAACTATAATATATCAAAGATTTGAGGGGAAATTACAAACAGGACAAACATTTACACATATTGCATTACACTGTTAATAGCAATGTTACAGCTATTGACTGCGTTCTGAAGGTAAATAGCAGCCTTTCCGGGGGAAAAAGGTATTTTTAGCATCAAGCATGTCAAGACAACTGACGCGTTACAAACCTTTGTGGTGTGGGAGATGGTTGAAAGCGTGCATTTGCTGACATGCTTCTGGTTTTAGTGTTCACAATTTCATCAGTTTTTGTTTTAACTGTATGGAATCCCTTTTGTTGACCTTGATATAAAAATGGTTCACCCCATGAATTTGCTCACAGCTCAGAGCTACACGAGATGCTTAACCTTGTGAAGTCCATTGAAGGAGATGATGTGAACACTTCACCTCCTTCATGCATGTGTGAAAAGAAACTGCCGAATGAAAACAGGCATAAATAATCATTTTCATTACAGTAAACGTTCATAAGAATATATTTTAGGAACAATGGTTTAATGTGTACAATCATTACACAATACATTTACAGAGATAAAATAAATGTGTTGCCGTCGCTGTTGTTGAAGTGGGTTTGTTTTACAATCTTTTATAATAATTGGCTTTGCAGATGAATTGCCACACATTTATTCATCCTCCTGATGGTGCTTACACCCTGTTTTCCTTCATGAGCAGGATAATTCAAGCTGTTAGCGGACATTCTCTGAGAATGAGTGAAAGATTGGATTTACATAATTGTAATGATTTTCAAGACATGCTTGGAATAAAAAGTACATAACCTGAGGAGTCAACTAGTTCAAGTGGTTTGAGTGTAAGTTTGTTCTATTGAAGGCTAGAAAAATTATATCAAAAACTCTGCACCGTGCACTGCGTCAGAGTATTCCAGCTAGACTTTCTTAGGCTCTCCAGTTAGAGTAGTTTGACAAGAAGACATTTTGAAAAATGCCACAACCATGGCAGCTTGTCGAAAATAAGAAACCACCCTCACTGGTGATTTAAGGAATCACTGACCATACAAGCAATGGGAAAAATCTAAACAAGAGGAGAAGACAACACAACCTACTCCGCTGCACTGGCCAGTGTGGAAGGCAACAAAGTTACAGTCTTTTGTCTTCCAGCTAAACATACCATGGATCTCTTTCTATTGGAGATGAGGAGACATCCGTTATATGGATGAATGGAAGTAATCCCCATTTTCCTAATATAAACAATGAATCATTTCAGTAAATTGTTTTATTTTGTTATACCATAGAGATGTTCGTAATCTCAACGGAGGCGCTGAACAGTGTAATTTATTTATTCTAAAGTGTATTGAGAAATGTAATTTAGTACGGGAACGTACTAGGCATATAAATGTACAAAAGACAAGGGAATTACAGTTTGGCAAGTTTGTTTTTTTCGTTGAAGTTGAATTTATTTTGCTGTGAAAACTGTTTTTCATTCCTCTTCCTCGCGGGATTTTGAACCCCATGATGAGTGTGATGATATTGATATTGCTTAAAATATAAACAAAATAAAAGCTCCAAGCAGCGATGGACGGGTCTCCGCTACTGGGGGGGGGGGGGGGGCGTCGTCTTCGCCCAAGCGATCTACCTAGCGGCACCGTACTGCTCGAGGCATGATGCCACAGTTCGTGCATCCTGGTCGCAGCCTTTGGAGGGCTCCGAACGATGGTCGCAGAATTAGCTCGTTCAAGTTTGGCTACCAGAGTGGCCAACGTTACCTGCGCAGCGAGAAGATGAAATGGGACTGATCTCAGGATGACGTCGGAACGGATACATGCCGGGCGGGTCATCCGGCGTCACAGGTGAAGGGTTTACCTTCTTTCAGTGAATTTACAAGGATAGGATTGTCAGGGATGCAGGGAGAAGGTAGGACTCAAATGCAGACTTCAAAAACAAAGAGACTTTAATAGTCAAAATCCAAAAGGGTCAAGGGGCCAAAATGCAGACGGGAACCAGGAATATCCAAAACATTCGACAATGACGTGACAAGTGACAAGAGACACACAGGGCTTAAATACACTAGGGAGGTGCAGGTGGAAACAATCAGACAATCACAGGGGATGACAGGACAAGGCAGGAAGTGAAGTTACCCAGGGACACAAGGGACACAGAAAACTACAAAATAACCCAAACCGTGACAAGGATAATGTTTGGCATTAACACAAACTTGTTAAATAATATAAATGTGTCATCCATCCATCCATCCATCGTCAAACCGCTTATCCTGCACACAGGGTCGCGGGGGGGCTGGAGTCCATCCCAGCCAACTTCGGGCGATAGACAGGGTACATCCTGGATTGGTCGGCAGCCAATCGCAGGGCTACACAGAGACATACAACCATTCACACTCACATTCACACGTCTACGGGCAATTTAAAGTCCCCAATTAACCTGATCCCCAGAGCATGTCTTTGGACTGTGGGAGGAAGCCGGAGAACCCAGAGAGAACCCACACAGACACGGGGAGAACATGCAGACTCTACACAGAAAGACCACTGGGCGGAGTGGAACCCAGATATATCCAAATATCAAGTCGATCAGACATCGGGGGGTGGGGGAACTGGCCTAGTGGGGTACTTTTTAAATTTCTATAATGACATTTCTTTATACCCAAATGCGAGACTCCAAAATTATCAAATTTTTCACCAGTTCTGATATGCATGCCAAATTTAACAACTTTTTGAAGGCCTCAAAAAGGGAAAATTCCGTAGAGGAAAAAAAAAAAAAATTCCTTGAAATGCAATAGGTTCCTCTACGACTAGTCGTAGCGAGGACCCTAATTTATATCAACGCATAATGTTTGAAAACATCCGCAGACACAGATTCCTAAGTCCACCGGCCTACTTTTTTGCTGTCAGTCGAGGCCTGCTTGACAACAAACTCTGTGAAAGCCTTTGAATTTAATTATTTTTTATCCTCGACTATCAGTCTCGGAATGGCCGTCAATGGCCGAATAACCCCGGGCTTTGCCTGGAAGTAAGGATTTTGACGGAATGAATTCTTTCCCGTTTTCTTCACATCACCTGTGTTGTTGCAGATCCAGCAACAGCCTGAATTGATTAAATGAAAATGGAATGTGTACCTTTTTAGGATTCATGAGCTTTCTTTCCACACCGGTAGTTGGGTGCGAGCTGCACACAGATGCCTGAGTAAACAGCATAGAAGAAAAACATCAGCAATTGTCTCATAAAATGGAAGGAGTCTCTCTACGTATACTATATGTCCTTTGATTTCTCCTATATTGTGTAGCGTATCTTAACAGGGACCCCAAGTAATTGTTGCACTGCTGGACTGCCTGCTGTGTACAGCTCTACTGATGGGACGTGTCTTGATGGTGAAAAATTCTCAACAGCCATCTTTCCCTTGACCATTCAAGGTCAATGCTTAACCTGGACCACGTAGCGAGAGCTTCATGTAGTGGGGTAACATCTAGAAACAACCAAGTCAAACGTTCCTAACGGACAATATTCTGTTTGTAATGTTGACGGCCCTTTGTATCTCCACATACAGTACATACAAGACAATATAATTGTTTACGGATGATAAAATGTGGTCTTGTTATAACAACTGAGTTCTGTGAATTTGGGACTAAAATGTCCTGAAACTTAGTGTGGAACAATAAACATAGTTAGTAGTGGTTTGTCAGCCTATTATTCTTACTCACGTATTTGGTCTCACGTCCCAAGGATTTTGTTAATGAAGAGCTGTTCTGCTGAATGACAAAAAAAGACAAATGTTTCAAATAAAACAGAAGCGTTACAGACACCTGGTGGGAAGGAATCCCAGAGGAGCATTCACCTTTCAATGTTGAGCAAATATCTTTTGTGGTGCTAATGATGATAAAATCAGTATTCACGTCCAGTTTGTGTGTCAGTACAACGCTGTAAAAACGACTTTTCTGTGTAGTTTAGTTTCCTTTCTTACTTATTCTCAATGGGGGTTTTTGTGATAGATAGATGATACGACACTTGGGTTAATATTTGAAAACTCAAACTGGGTGGAAAGGCGTAAAACTTTATTTCAAACTACATTCTACAAGTTTCAAAAGGAACTTGTCAAATTAAATGTCAAAATGTTAATGTTAAAAGAAGAGCTTTCATTCATGTCTGCTCTGTAGTCCGTATCCATTTAGCTTAGCTTAGCATAATGACTGGTAACAGATAGAGAAGCTCTTTCCTAATAGAATCCCCCTTTCAGCACCTCTAAAGGTCACCTATAAATAACATATTATACATATTAATTGATACAAAAATGAAAATGTAAAAATTTGAAAGTGGTTTTATCGGTGCTATGAGAACATTTATTTAAGAAAAAACGCATAACATGTCAGGTACAAGCCGTGTAAGAGCACGCAGACATGAGACTGCCATCAATCCTCGCGTAAGTTTGTCAGTCACGTCACATGATGTTAAAAAATCCCAACTTACCTGCAGACCAAAGCGGGTACTTAATGACCTGAAGTGCTGTGGTGACTTGCTCTTAAAGGTTGGAAGAATACACAATCATAATCAATAATACAATTCAAAATATGCACATATTGCTTATGTTATTTAAATAAACTCACTGCAGGGATGGAATTGGCCATAATCTCATCAATAACTGCATAGAGTTCCTCTGACTGCTGGCGCAGCTCAGCGGGTGAACACATCTACGGAAAATGATTGAAGTTAGCGCACCGCTGTACCAATTGTGCAGTGAAAAGCAGCAGTGATATGTGCAGCAATACCTTAGTGTGGGTGTCTGCAACACCTCTGTCAAATGTATCACGTCTGTCCAAACTGTCACATGGACTCTCTTCTCTCTCCACACGCTCATCTATGGCCTGTCGATGCAAAGCAGAGTTGACAGATTGAGCTCGCAGGCAGGGCGACCCTGAGTGATTACAGTGTGAGCTTGGATGACATTACAACGTCTCCTCCGGACAAATTATATCACCCGCTCTGACAGCTTTCCCTCCTCTGCAGCTCCCAGTATAAAACAGTGCAGTTACAACACGATGCCATGTCTTTACATTTATTGAGTCTAATTTAATTTTTCTTAAACGTTCAAAAACTGCCATCTTGCTTTATTTATAGCCTACAAGCTTTTATGAAATGAGCTTTCTGTCAACAAGTTTTTTCAAATAAAAAATTGAATTCTCTACAAAGCCTGATGACGATAGATAGAGTATAGAGATAGAGATATAAGTATAAGTATAGAGATATACTTTCTTTTTAAGAGAGCAGTTAATTTGTTATACAAACTTTATACCTTCAGAATTATTTCATATAATGTTCCACGTAGTAAAGTTAGCTTTAGTGCCTCCATTAAACTTCCATTGAGGCTTCACATGCATGTATGTTTAGGTTAGGGAGATGAGCTGTGGGATTAGAGACAAACAAGTTAACTCACCTGCTGATCCAATAGAAGGGTGTTTGTGGGAATTGCAGCTAGCGATTTATAGCTCAATTTAATCTTGTGTGTCTGGAGTTCATAGAGAGGAAAGCAGGAAATGAATATACATGTATAACATTAAAATAATTTGAAATAGATAGAACAAAAAAATATTGAATGTCTCGTGTAAATTTCTTCAGGCAGGCTTTATCTCAGACTACTACAAGGCTTCTAACTGTTCATAACAGCCACGCTCGAGACGGCCCACGGCAAGAACGATACTCAACTGTGTTCGCCTGCTTTCACTTCAGCTTATCAGCTTGATTATTTGACTGACTGTAAAAGTTTAGCTACAACTCATTTTCCACACTGACGGGCATGAAAGCCGGGTCCCAAATTGAATTGAAGCTTCCGTGCTTGCACTGAAAAAATTGGATTCCTCGGGATTAAAAACTTCAAGCACGTATGTCTGACCTAGAAACCAGAATTTTAAAAGATTCTGTATTGATTTTTGGATGATGGGGTCCCTCCCACCTCAACATATGACATTTAAGACATCTCAACCATTGCAAACCAGCAAATAGTTTGAAATCTCTGCAGAAAATATCTTTAAAAAAGCTCAGAAATAAAGAATATAAATCTAATAAAAGCTCCAAAACATAAAAAATTTCTTAATATCCAAGTATCTAGTAAAAAAAACACTTTTTAACTCCACGGTGTGAGAGAAAAGTATGTCACAGCGAACATAGTCAGGAACGTTAAACATGCATGCAGCAAGCGGAGTGGCTACCTTTCTTTTTTTACCCTCCCCGTCACTCCAGACTGATATTCCACTCCCGGGCCTCGGGGAGGGCGTTGAGCGCCTGGGGAGGGAAGGGGACGGGGTGAAGTCTCTGATTGGTGGAGCAGGAGAGGGCGTAGGCGCCGGGGAGCTGGTGGGGGACGGCCATCCGGGAAAAGCAATGGCCGTGTACCGGGAAGGAGACAGACAGTGAGCTTTGTGTGGACCAGCTAATGCTGATGTCCTTCTGGAATCAGGGCAGCCCCTTCCTGACTCGCACCTCCCTGTGGCGTTTAATGCAGGTGATGATGCCATGTCACAGGAAAAGGTGACACCGGATGAGTGCGGTTGGGAAGGCTCGGGCAGAGGTGGGTGGACAGGCGGAGATCTCAGCTGCTGAGAAAGCGAGCGCAGCCTTGAGAGAGATGACTTTGGCGGGTCACTCAATTTCTTGAGCACAGAGGTCCCTTGCTCATACATAGCGTTAGTGGTCTCGGAGATGAGATTTTTAAGGTTATTATCTGCTGGGCCCTTGAGGTACAGGTCAGCGTTGACAGGCTTTAGCTCAGGGTACTTGTGTGTGTGTTGCGTCTTTTTGGAAAATGTATAGTCCATTTCTTTATGCTTTGCTGGAAAAACAGAATTAAAGTTTGAGCAAAATAGAGGTGGAGCTCGGGGTAGTGTGCTCTTCGCTGGCGGGGGTGAAATAACCTGCTCCGATTGAGGAACTCTGCTTGAGCCGATTTGCTCTGAGCCTCTTTTCACTTTGAGGGTTTGAGGGAATGTTCTGTTGAGCTCATTGGATTGAACATGGGGAGGAGACGTGGAGCATCTATCGGGCTCCCTGTGAGTGTGGCTCTGACTACCTAAAGACGCAGGTGATGAGAACTGAGGGGAAAAGTGGAGGCCAGTGGAGCTCACGCTGGAGGCCGCTGTGCAGGCGTTACAGAAGGACAGGGTCACGGGGTTAACGGGCCAGCAGGGGGTGTAGGGCCTCTGAAATGCAGAGGACAGGACAGGAAGGCGGCCTTTTCTCAGGATAGCTGTGAGGAGGGAGAGTCGGGTGAGAGGAGGTCTGTGTCGGGGAGAACGAGGAGGCGATCGAGCGCTGACCGAGGAGGACAAGCTCTCGCAGGATGAGAAACCGGGGCTGTTGACCAGACTATCACCGGGAGCCAGAAAATGCCTCTTGATCCGGACAACAGCGGGGGAGAAGATGCCGGAGCAGACGGATGAGGCGACAGATGAGCAAGGAGAAACGATTCGATGGAAGGAGACAGGAGAAGTTACACAGGAGAGCTGCGCGGCCGACCAGCTCTTCCCTCCGTCCGAGCCCCCCGAGAAGATGGACTCTCTGGAGGAAGACGGGGTAGCGAGCAGGTCTGCACAGCTTGTGTGGCTCATTCTGTCTTCTGGCACAATCGCTCGATTTACAAAGTAACCCGAGCTGATATCAGCAAGTCCAGAGGTATCGTGACACTGCTGCTGGGAAAAGCCCCTGTGTTTATCAACAGGTGTCTCCATGGCGGCTGTCCTGGCAGCCACGTGGATGCGGGTATTTTCAGATTGAACAGCCACTGGAGGAGAGGCAGTAGCGTGAGAGGGGCTCATGTGATCCACAGAAGGCTGGAAAAACAAAATGTGTTTACAAATGGCCGTTATGAAGTTACTGTGTATCACGTTGAACTCATAAAGGCAACAGTGACACGAGTTTGTGCAGAGAAATATTGTGAAATATTAAAGATTTGAAAAGTGATAAATGTTGACAATGGACTGTGGCATTTATGTATTTCATCTGCTGACAATAAAATGCAGATCAAAAGTTACAAAGTATTTGACACATGCACATCGCAATATAGTAATAACGTTTTTTCTGATGACACTGAGAGAGCTCATGTTGTACTTACTTTTTTTGTTTTCCCCAGTTGGGTTGTGAATCCTGCTCCTCCCTTTACCGAGTCTTTAATAAAGACTTTAATCTCCTCCTTTAAAATCTCCCTGTTTGACATGTTCAGCCCGGTTGGCGTCTCATGGGACTCAGCGACGTTCTGACAGGAGAAAATGAGGCAAATGTTCAGCGGGAACTGAGCGAGTGAAACCTGAGAGAACCTGAGGTGAACTTCAGCGAGCCTCTTTGAGCTCAGGGGGTGTGCTTGGTTTCACCACAGCACATGCCCGACACATTTAATTCACATGTACACGCACATGCCGATATCGCTGTAGAAAAAGCCACATGTGCAGAACTGAGCGACTGTGGAAAGGCCTTGCAACACACACCGTTTAACCCGATCAGTTGACTTAAGTTTATGAGTGAAAATGTAATGTGTTAAAATAAATACAAGCTTTTATCTCTCTGCAAAATGTGCTTGAAATCATATTTGAATTTTAACCAAGTCCAGTGTCTCTGTGAGAGTGTCTGGGTTCCCAAAGAACCGGTGTGAAGATAGCGAGATCAAAACACTTTTAAATATCCTTGACTGACCCGTGACCATCCTCAATTAGTTGTTATGTATTGCCACTAGAATATAACCTAGTGTAATAGAATAACTGCATACACAGGTACCTCAGGTGTATTTGAGTAGAAAACATATAACAGCTACCTTCCCCTGCTTCTAAAACTAGGCGCGGTACAAAATAGGCCACCATGTAGTAAACCACATTTTAATGTGCCTCTTTGCCAAAATCATCTATCAAAAATAAAAAGAATTATAAAAAAGGAGTTTGAATTCACAATACTTTTCTTTTTGCAAAGTTATTGAATGAGAAGATCAATACCACTCTCGTGTTTGTACACTCAATATGAAACTACAGACCGTTAGAAAAACCTCACACAGAGAGTGAGAAACAGGGGGGAACTAATAGCCGAGCTGGTTCTAAAGATAGAATGCCATCAGGCTGTGAACACTGCGGTTGCTGTGGAAATTTCTGGGATCCATCCTCACCCAGGACCTGAAGTGAACATCACACCATCAGGAAAAAGGCACATGTGTTTTATCTGCCCCAGGAGCCCCCCCCCCATCCAGGATTTATTCAACCTCGGAGTCAGGAAGCTATTGGGAAGAAAATCCCTGGACACCCTGAAAACAACCTGTTGCAGCTTCTCTCTCCTGGTGGAACCCAGTATGCAAAAGAGACCGGACACATTAACAGTTTCTTGAATAACTCTCACACACAAAGATATCCACTGCTGCCAGTATGGATGATAATTTAACAGTTTACATTGCACATTTTGCATTTTGATACACATGTCATCCTTCAGTGTGAATGTAAATTGTACACACTGTGGTTAAAGTCAAGAGACATCTTTACATATACGCACCAGACATAATTATCCAGATCATGTTGTACCAGATCAGTAATTATGTCTTTGTACTAAATGGTTTGGAGCTTTGGGAATAGTATAATATTCATGTAAGCGCGCCACACTTTTGCAATACTGTTGTATCTGTTAAATGTAATATAATGTAGTATTTTACTTACTACATCCAGAATCTGCTAAAGAGTTCAACAGCTTGCACTTGCACCTAGCTGGCAAATAAAGATGAAGACTAAAGAAGACTATAAGGTTAATTCATCACCAAACACCTCCACATGCTCACTATTTGACATGTCACACCTCATTTAACAGGCTTTCACTGTTGCTTGTAATTATGTAAAGCTAACTGATCATTCAAGATTACCATCATTTACTTTAATGAACATTGCAAACAAACTGCAATTCTATATAATTTAAACCAAAAGAAAATGCAGTCAATCAGATCCTATAGGATATGATTGGAACATTGGTTCACCTATAAGAATGAACGGGGGTTATATGGGTAATATGAGGGACCGATATACCGAGATGCACACCCACATTTATAGTTATTATTATCCTAAAAATATATACAACACCACATGATAATAGCACCCTGCAGTTTTTCAGTTTGGATTTTAATTAAATAAGTATCTCTGCTCAGCAGCCTTACTGTAAGCAGTAATCAAAGTGAAAGGCAGCCATAATGACACTTATTCCGAGGGCTCTATTTAACATGAATGGCAGCTCATGTCAATAATATCATCCCATTGTTTATCAAAAGCAGATATACATTGAAGTCAATGTAATCTTTCAAATACATCATGGACATATCTATTGACCGCTAATACAATGACAACCTAATACATTTCTCATGAATTTGCTAGTTTGAATATTCCATCACATTTGGCACGGTTCAAGCTTCAGACAAAGTTCTCGACGATTAAGATGTATTTAAGTTATTCTTTGCAACCGAACAATTCTGCAACAACTGATTTAGTGGGTTTGAAGATCTGCGAGGCACGTCGGATGCGTATGAGTGGAAGAGAAACCCTCACATTTGAAGCAGGGAGATGATTGGAAGCGGTCCTCCATTCTTCAAATCAGCGGTGGCCACTTAGTATGCAAACTGATAAAGGCCACTTGGGGGTTAAATAATAGCGCTGCAGAGCACATATGCCATTCAAGTCTTCTCAACACAACATATTGAGAAGCACATGCTGCTCTGAATGAGAGTGGTGGATAATGAGCTGCCCAGTGTCTCAAAGGCATTCGTCCGTATTCTGCATCTTCCTCCCTAAATAGGGGTCCGTCCCCGCACAGGGAGTTCCACTTATCCCTCAGCGGGTATATTTAAGCACAAAATGGACCTTGCGCCACAGCTGTGTGCACCGGAGGAAAAGCAGTTCACTGCGTAGTCCAACTGTAACGACTGAGATGAGGTTTAACGAAGCTCTGGTGCAGTGTTGGCTTGTTTGTGATGCTCACAGACCACATGAAGATGTTCTCACCAGTAACCGTAGGTCAAAGTGGGCCGCTGTGTTTTTCCTCGTTAAGATGGTAACTGAACCCAGCAACCGTTCTTCTAGCAGAAAGCTTTTTCATAACACGAAAAGTTGTCTATGGTTAAACTATAACTAGTGTATCAAAATGAAATATATATTTTTGGGTAACAGAATATGGAGCAAGAATCTGGATATGCTGATATAATCTAGTGCTACTCAGTGGGGGAAAGTAACTAAGTCCAACATGTACACAACTATTGTACTCACGCACAACTTTTATGTACTGTTACTTTACTTGAGCAATATCCTCTGATGTTGGAGCCTCTCATCAGATCAGGCAAATCTTGAAATAGCAGAAAACTTTAAACTACAGAGCAAACAGCAAAGTTTTAACTGCATCTTCCATCTGTGCCACTCGTTCAAAGTCACAAAACGTGTCCAAATACGTATTACTAGTGTTATTTCTACCGTAAAGATGCAATTACTAACATAAAACAGAAATCCTAAAATAAGCCACATGGTCATGGATGAAAATGCTCCTCACTATAAAACGTAGCCAAGAGGAAATTTGTTCTAAGATAATAATAATAATAAAGCAACATTATAATATACTAACATAGAATAATAAACCTCTGAAAGGGACAATTCTCTCTCCCTTACGATTGCTTTTTACTTGAGATAATGCTCAATATGTATGCTGGCACACGGGATTGTCCAGCATTTGGGGTATTTGGCAGCTCACGACGCGAGGCTCCGTCACTCCTTCAGGTAAAAGCTGTGGGAGAAGTCGAGAGACGACGCCGGCCCGCCAGTGAGGACCCTTTGAAGTCTCATTCTGGGCAGCAGAAGAAGTGCGTTTTCCCCCGAAGCCCCCACAGATTTGCTGCCGCTGTAATGTTGATGTTGAATGAAAATCCAAAAGCACATTAACCCCTTCGGGAGTAAACACTAATGAGGGTCCACATCAGCCCCCAAGAAGGTTGCTTCAAATACATTTCTATTGAACATTTGTAGTTTGGGTGCAAAGCAGTCACAGTATTAAAGTTCCCACATAAAGTTGAGCCCAAAAACAGAGATAGGGATGCAATATGTTACAGTATTTGCCTTTTATACAGTTATCTTATTTCATTTAATTATAGTGTAAAAAATATATATATTTTGTATAATGTTCTCCTGTACAGTGAACTGAAAAGAACTGGTCCAAAATTACTTATTAAGCATCTGGTATCACCAGCCGAAAATAACATGAAGGAGAGAGTAGCCAACATCTAATCCCTTGAGGTTGTTCGGGAATATGTTTGATGTACACATCTTGAAACCAAAAGACGTATTGACATGCGCCGTGTGTGTCAGGTGCCTGGAATACAAACTTAATAATAAGTATAAAATAATACTAAAAGAATTAAGTATCACTCCACAGTAAAGCCAACCAGCTAAATTAAAAAAGGTGAATTATGATTAACACCTTGCAACGAAAGCCACCATCGTGTTGCGGACAATGACGACAGGTTTAGAGGTAAGGTCACTCTTTGTATTGTGCGTGTGCGTGTGTGTGCTGCTGTACCTTACTTGGTGTTCCTGTCAGAGAGCCGGATCTCTCCTCCTCGGTAGCAATGCTTTCCATCGGTAATGTCTGCACCACAGGCACAAATGTGTAAACAGAGCACTTAGACGGGACTCCAATTGAAACCTGTAGAAACAGACAAGAGAGGAACACATTGTCTTTAGTTGCACGCTCTTTGTAGTCATTTCAGTTTCCCATTGAGCACAAATACTTGATGAGCTTTATGGGACTTCTTCTTCTTCTGTAATATTGTTAAGTTCTCCACAAAATCCTTGTATGAGTCATTTCAATGACACCAAATTTTAGAATTAGGGTGACGTAATCACACACCGCAATCACACAAACCCACAGATCAAGCACGTTAGCACCCCGCGGATCAAAGCCTGCGCACAGCGAGACCCGATGAGGGGTAATGAGTGACTATTAAGTCGGCTCATGTTCTCGTCTGCATAAGTATACGGTAGATTCACACCGGATCAGGTGTTGCCGCAGAGTTTAGAAAAACATTTTGGTTCTTCTTTGTACTCGCGAGACACCTGCGACACGCAGTCAAGTGCAGACTAGATCTGCGTCGAGCGCGCAGCTTTCCTCAGCCTGCGCAGGTCAGAAGGCCGCAGCGCAGCTTTCACACTCTCAGTAAGAATAGATTGACAATCCGTGCTAAATGCACGAGGAGGTCGGGCCGCAAATTGTTTGCGGGTGAAAGCCTCGCCTCATATACGAAAGACGAGCAACGCGTCTCCGTGGCTGTGATCTCGAAGGAAATAGAGCAGCGTCAGTCACTAATACAAAGGGAACACTGATGTGCTTCCAATTCCTGAGCTCAGATTGCAGACAGATTGCGCCGCTCTACATGTTTTACGTCACTTTGTTAAAGGTGCGACAGTACCGTTTGGGTTCAATGGCATTTCGTAGTGTGCATGTGTGAAAACGTTTCCCATTCGTCGACATTCCAGCAATCAAAGCACTAATCACCATTATTTTCTCGACGGTGTTGACAGTTCATTTGCAAAATGAAAATCGGCCCCAACAATTCCGTCCAAGATCACAAGGTTGCTGTACTTGAAACTCCATTAAAAAGAGGTTTCAAAGCATCCGCTGGTCAATGTAGACTCAGCCAAAGAAATGTTCCCTTTCATCTCAGAGTTCCCCTGCAGTCAAACCAGCCGGCCTGCGTCCTATATAATAATGTTTGGGAAGTTTAAAATAGGAGCGAGTGCTGCGAGCGCGGAGTTGGCAACACATGGTTGGGTCTTTCAGAAGGAACATTTCTTAGCGCTCCTGTTTCTGTTGGCAATATTTAAATGACGTGTTTGAGTAGTTTCTTTGAAGAATATGTTTTTGTCATTCTTCATCACGGTTGAAGCTGAAAATCACTTCTCTGCAGTTGGATTCAACTTCTGTTACAAAACCAGCCAGCGCTGGCATTTATTAGTTTGTCCAAATAACAAAGACAAATAATGGACTGCATTCTTTTTTTTAAATTAAAATGTTCTTTACTTCTCTCCACACAATGGCGAGACCCTCTAAGAATAAACGAAATAAGAGATGACTGATTTTATCATTTTAAAGAAGATTCATAACAGTTTTTGAGATAATTGTTCTCTCTCAATCAATGCCTTATACAGGCCACAAGAGCAGGTCATTGCTGAGTGCTACATTATTATTTATACAATCACATAGCCTTATAACATAATAAATGTTTTGTCAAAGGACAGGTAACATATATACATACATACTTATGTATGTACATACATACATTCAGTATATACTGTATACACACATGTATTTATATATATATAAATGGCCCATTCTGTCGCTACAATCAGTAGATTACCTTTAAAGGAGTATTAGTAATTTGTCAAATGACTCATGAGCACCTTAAAACGATGCCATCCATGTTGTTTGTGACATGGCACGTAGTTCCTGATCTTGAGCAGGTTCTGGGGGCCAAGATATGTAACTCGGTGATACCAGCCTATCTGAAACAAGCTATAAATAAACAGGGAACAAATTCCTCAGCCAAATTAATCATCTGCCTCCTTATAAACGTGTTTATGTTTTCAGGCAGCCTCCTTGTTTGCGTGGCCCTCTGTAGTCAAAGCAGAGTACATTTACACTGAAAGGTCAGAGCCAGCTTTTCCGCCTCGCCCATCGCAGCCCCCTGTAAATGTTTGATGGCGTTGAGTGTGGCAGAGGTCACGGCGTCCGCACAGATCACATTTCCAACCACCGTTGGCTCACGCATCCCAGGCGTCACCTCACCGTGCGAATGGGAGCACTCACACAGTGCGGGGACAAGCAGCGCACATTATTTCACATGCCATGTCAGACTCAACCCAAACAGCCAATGCAAGCGGCACTAAATCATTTTTTGAAGCAGGCCACCCAAGTGGGGACCTTTAAAAGGCACACTGATAAACAGTTAGCAACCAGATGGTGACACATATTCTAAAAGGAAACATATTGCCAAGGACAATATTCCTTCTCCTGAGCATCCTGTGAGGAAGGGGGCTACACTAAGCACGTGTTCATCTCTAAGTAGCTCTCTACACATCCAGATCTATATGTTTTCTCTAAACTATGCTCAATGTGGGCTATTTCTCTTAAAGGGAGAACAGAACTGCTGTTGTAAATTGAAAACCACTGTGCTCCACATGTTAAAATACATAGTTGGGTGTGTCTGAGTTTAATTAGAGACAAGCAGGCTACCCCTCCCTCCACAGTCCATCGGGTGTACAAATATAGCCAGCTGCTTCTGAGCACATCGGGTTATCTCTCTCAGATTATTAAAAAATGCTTCTAATCCAAGTCTAATAAACAAGGATAAGAACTACAACAAACACGCACATGTTTCAACCAATACCGATTACAATTCAATTTTAAAGGTACATATTGAGGGAGAAAATGACAATGTGATTGTAAATAAAGATTGCTTTTCAACATTTAGGATTTTCTGTAATTAATACACGCACAACGTATTGTAAAAAAAAAAAAACTATATGACCATCCAATAATAAGCTAAAATTCCTTTACATTCATTCTGGTGTCTCTTTGTCACAAGAACTGAAAAAAGAGGAAAAGAATCAGCAGCAAAGCGGCGTCTGACAGCGCATCTGTCTATATATTCACTGCTGAAAGCCTGGAAGGTGTCAGCGGGTGGCAGAGTGCACAATGGGGGGCTAATGTTGCTGGTGGATTGTAACCAAATTCTTCAGCTCGTTTCCTTTTGCAGAAGGATTTAGCTTTGAAATAAAAATATCCATCTAAAATATTCAAAGCCAGAAGCATTTAAACTATGAGGGTGAGGAATCGCAAAGAAAGGACGGTGATGTGACTTCGGCCTCACACTTTTTTCATCTAGTGCACATTTTCAAAAGAAATACATCTAATTCCAAACGCTCTTACCTTTCCCAGACTCCTACTTAAACTCTCCATTTCGGGTTCAAATGCCTCTCCATCCAGAAGTGTGATGTGTCCACCATCCAGGAAATATCCCAAGACTGATCAAAGCTAAGTGCAGAAGGCAAGATACACACTTTTCAGTCGACTCGCAAAGTGTATTACTGTTGGCGTGTGCATTACCCTGCAGCTTTCCCTTTATAGACACATAATAGCCACAAATAGCTTGCAGACAGCAGTCAGCCTGATGGGCACCAGTAACAATGTCAATGCTGAGAGCTACACACGTAGCTCCGTGTCCATGGAATAATTCATTGGTCAACACTTTTAGTCTCCAATCACTGAACGACACAGGTTGGGTATCCCTCCCTTGCTTTAGGGTTTTATGTGTGGAAAACTGCCACAATACGGGCGACATTAGGCTGAAAACATGAGAAATATCCTGACTGACCGAGCTCAGATCATCATTAACAGAGGTGGGGACGGTTGTATTGAGCGGAAAATTGGAAAAAGGTGCAAAACAAATGTGTGTTGCCTTGGAGAACACAACACACACTTCAAACATCCTATTTTTCTCAGCATGATTTTCACATCAGACATTATTGAAGATCAGGTTACGTCTTGCATGTTGGATTCATTAATAGAGAAAACTATTTTTAAATTGATATGAGCAATATAGGCTGTTCTTCAGATAACATGAACCGCCGCCAGTCTGCCGACTGGTGTGACGAATGTAGCTCGGCATGTTTCCAATAACGACTTATCGGGCCGCTTGAAACGAAATGGTTTTCTAGCTGGTTTGAATCTGCATCCACTCCTCGGTTCCCTTATCAGTGAGTGAAAGCAGACCTCTGGAGTGGATAGTAATCCTTTAAGTACACTACATTCTTCATTCCTGTCACAGCTGTTCTTGTATATCCCTCCCACCGCACCTCCCCCCCTTCTGTCTCCGTCTCCCTGTGGCAGCCCCACAGAAAGGAAATAACACACACAATGATAAAGCTTTGCAAGTTGTGAACCCTGCAGAGTTTTATGAGTTGGTATTGTGAGGGGTTCAGGAGCAAAAGCATCTGACAAGTGCCTTAAATGTAAATATCTAAACGCCTTTGATAGCAGCAATTAAATTATAGCCTTAAACCATTATATGATTTTTATATAATCCAATTGTTCCTGATTGATGTCCGGAATCTGTGGGACATGCAACAAAGTCACATACCTTTGCTTTGATTTCCAAAATACAACATCTGAGACATAATTTAACTTTTAGCTCAAAGGAAATTCTCTAGGACTGAAAAACTTTATTCAACATTTAGTTCACACCAGCAGAGGCAATGCACTGTTTTACCGAGTTAAGCTTAATAATATATTGTTTGGTTTGACTGTTTGTGTGCATGACAGTGGACGAGGAGCGTGAAAGCTGATGGACTATTGCATTTAATGTTTTCACATTGTAAATGAAGTTTCTAATTATTGGACACAGGCACAGTAATTACCCCAGTAGCTCCAACTCCTGCAGAAAAGAGGTTCCTTCTTGTTAGTGAAAAGAATGCAAATCCACCTATTTGGTAATTCTTTCGTTTTAAATAAAATGAAGAAGCATAGCCAGTGAACATGAACATCCAAATCAATGATCAAAGAAATCCAAATGTCCACATTTATATTTAACAAAAAATAAAACACTTTATTGCAAAAGATGAAATGAGGCCGACGTGACTCGATGCTCTATTTTTCACTGCTTTTCCCTGATTCTCCATTTTTTCTTTTTTGCACAGCCAGAAGTCCTACATGGCACATTCCCTTTGTCTTCCGAAGACACTGAGGACGGAATGAGAAAACACTGAACATGTGGATCCAACTGTCTCCCGCCCAACAGCGCACCGTTGAGTTTGGTCACACAGTCGGCGTTGGTGTATCTCGTTTATATCCTTAAACTCAGTTTCATATGATACATGTCTGGCAAATTCTCTCATCACTAACCTGCTGGCGTAACTAAACATATGCTCCAGCAGTTCATTGAAAGCGCAGTCGTGGCATTTTCAATATTTACATTATAAGAGAAAAGGTTTGAGGACTAAGTGATGTGTTCTGCATGATGTTATCTCCGCTAACAACGCCTTATCTAGTGTTAGGTGGGGTGCACTTCTGGCTTAAATCCCTAACACTAGCTGACGACGAGCTTGTGGCGGATTACAACTAACTTTTGCTGCAGTTTAGTTGCAAAACCAGTGCTGCCGGAATCCCGGTTATATTGCTCCCCGCTCCAGATCCACGGAGGCCTCCGGAGACGGACGAACACTCGCTATGAGCAGGACCAGCCAGTAATTGTCTGTGTGCGGAATCTCGCACGCCGGATGTGCTTTGCCACAAGTTGTGTCCCCGGATTATTATCACTCAGGAAACAGTCATTACTGCAGAGCATCGCTGATAAAACGAGGGCTTGCCCCGTCAGGGCTCATGTGGCCGAGAGCAAAGGTACGGTGGGTGGACACGTGAGCCGAATGGTGCGATCCAGAACAACACCCCGGCAAATAACAACCTCAAAATATCTGTCAAACTATCACCTTTCTGACAAAAAAAAAAACTGAAAATAAGTGAGTGTGTATTTTACGGAATGTCTGTATAACTGCAGGTGTTCATGTCAGCATCAACGTTAGCATGGGTTTGATTCTTCTACAGCTCGAAGAAAAGACAAACGTCTTGGAACAACTCTTGTGCACTTTATTGAGAAAGTAACAATCAACAGTGAGAATGTAAAAGTGTAAAATAATACAAGGCAGGTATTGACCGGCAAAATGTATATTCTCTTTGCCATTTCAGAAAACACTTGCTTCATTTCCTAATCTGTCATTTTGCCCATACGGGAGGTGTGTTCAGTATAAATCAGGACTGCATTACGCAAACTTCCGGTGGACTCAATCCAGGCGTGTGGCATCTCATCTTGAGAGACTATAAAAAGTTCGAGACCTTCACATTGTCATTTACCCTGGACACTATTTAGCACAAAGGTGTGAAGTAGAGGTAGCTAGCTGTGTCCATTGTTAAATTGACTGCATTTAATATTATTAATATTTAGACATGAGAGAGCAGTCTGTTCCAGCTTTACAGTGTTTGTTGCCATTCTTGCAAATTCATTTAATATTACCAAATACTATTAGCAGCACTAGAATCTTACATACTAGAAAAAATACATTCTGGTAGTTTTCTTTACACTAATCAAACACAGTAACATGTAAAAAAAAAAGAGCTAGGGAATAACAGTCGATGTCCTTCTTGCTTGTACCTTTTCGCTGCGGTCAAGGTGGGTGGAAACCGCTGTCGAAACAGTGTAGGCGTCTGTCTGACTTGTGTAGCGCCTCTCGGCTGGGGATCTGTGTTAAGAGCTCAACGTCTTCATCTGAGGTGGAGGGATGAGTGAGGATGATCCGCGGGATCTGCCCGATGATTGCCACAGAAGGGAAAGAGGATTGGAAAGGGGAAATAAATACGTTCTCATGCAATACGATGTCTAATGTGTATCTTTGCAGGGTATTGGGATTCTCAGGGATTGCTAAAATGAATTGACCTCAGTGTGAGATCATATCGTATGTGGTTTACGCTACTGAGGGGTTAAGTCTACCTACTGCCATTGTGTGTTTCCCCCCTTGAAGTGAATAATTTTTCTTCAAGGCCTCCATCTGAGACAAGGTCCTGTTGAACTCACTCTCCAAATCACACTGAAATAAAAAAAAGCAGTAGAAAAGACTTATTTTGAAGCCCTGAGGCACATGCTGAAAAACAAAAGAGACGTCTACAAAATGATATTGCGTTTTTGTGCAGTGATTTGAGTGAAACCACCCACTATTCCGTTGCCGTTGCAGACAGCCGCCTCGCGTCTCAAGGGCAAACAGTCTTCTATCCGCTCGCCCCTCTGGCCGCCGCACGGCGGTCCACCCGTCACGCGCCAAGCCTCCTCTCGGTCACACACCTCTCGAGGAGGCGGCGGCGGCGGCTTTTCTCTGAGTACTATCATGTCGACGCAGCTCCCGGCGTTCCTCAGGGCGCTGACTGCTTCGTGGTGGGTGGCGGTCTGCATATTGAGGCCATTGACCTGGAAGCACAGTGGTGTTACATTACACCTACAGGGGTCAGTTAAGGTGGGAGCACTGGTCAGGAGTGTGGGATTAAATTACACTCTTGGTTCTCTGGGAGTAGCATGTTTATTCCCACCGCAGACTCTCATTAATCAGCTAAACTACCAAAGCGTGATTCCAAAGATTGGCTTTTGTAATTTGACGGCCTCATACTGGCTTTATCGGTGAGCGGAGGACCAGCAGAATGTCCTCTGCTAGTTGTTTGGTGCCCTCCATTGGTCACAGGAGAAACACCAGCAGGAAGTAGGTTTCATAATTACATTATTATAGCCCAAGTAAAGTGCTTTTTTTCTTCCATTCACTCAAACATATTTCAGACATGGGTTGAATATTAAACAGCTGGTGCACAGGAGATTATGAACAGAAATGCTGGTAGAGAGATTATTCCCATCCTACCTCCAGCAATCCATCACCAACATGGACCCCGGCCTTTTCTGATGCCCCTCCTCTATTTACTCTGGAAATATAAATGCCCTGAAAGGGAAACAAACATGTTGGCCTGAGGGAGCTGTGTATTAACATTCTGCTCAAAGCTGTCTTTGTTGGTAAATTGGAAAGAGGAGATGCAAGTGTTTAATTACACAAGGCTGCTTCTCATTACCTTCAACCAAACAAGCAGACATCTTGCAATTGATTGAGCCCTTCTGGATAATCTGCACCAGCACTTACCTCATCGTAGAGTTTGTAAGGCAGAGAGCCCCTTCCACCAGCAATGCTGATTCCCAAACTACCACTCTGGCCCGACACTTTGATCTGTAACTTAAGAGGAAAGTGTTTTGATTATGCATACAAATATGATTGCAATTCATGCCACGGGCAAGCAACAAGGAACGCGTGATATGCAATCATTTGCCACAATCAATCAGTTGTTAGCAGCGCGATGCAACCTCAGAGAGATGATTAGACATTTAGGAAGGCGACAGCGTTCAGTTACTCTTAAAGGCACGTGGGAGGCGAATGAATCCTGATGAAGGGCGTTCTCTGGCACCAAATGGCGTCCCGTGGACATCTTTACGCTGGTGGCTCCATGGAGACCGGCCCTCGCATCGAGACCTCCGTGACGCAGTAACTCCCTCCCCTCTTTGTTTTCGCCTCTCTGATGGCGGAACCGCCGTGGTGAGGCGTCGCTCTCTGACAGCCGGCCTGCGCCATCCTGGTGATTGGAAACATTTAGATGCCTTTGGACTCGTCAGTCCGCGAGAAACACCCGTGGAGTAGTTCATGAACGACTACTTCAAATTGGGTTTTCTTGATAAGTAATTGTAATTAATCTGGATTAAGTGAGAATCTGCAGAAGAGCTGCAATCTGGAAGTGGAAGAAGTGGTCGATAGACATGGACACCGCCTATATCAAAATGAAATCAAGACAAAACGACGTGAAGTTGAAAACAGACCTCCTCAGGTGGCCTGACGTCCTCTGCGTCCTTGCCTGCGCCGGCCGACCGACAGCAAACACTTTCCCCGGCCGGGGACGGTTGAGGTCTTCCCTGCTGCCGCGCTTTGTTCGCCAACCAGCTGAAGCCCGGAAAGGCCACGTTTTGGCTGCTGGCCCTTAAGGACGGGTTAATGTGAGGCCTTCTACACTGCTGGAGATATTCAGAAGAAACCAGCCGACGCTGACAGTTTAATTTCAATGTGAAAACCTTAAGGGAAATAAGTAGTGACGGTGGGGGATCCGTGTACTCCATCATGAATGCATGATCAAGGCAGGACCTAAAGTAAAAGCAGCACAATGCCAATGATGCTTTCAAACGGAGCAGCTAAGGATCAATGTGGTTAAGCCAAAATAATAAAACATGTTGGACTATTCATAGCGCATGCTTATGTTGTGCACCAGAGGGCACCAAGACAGCGATCACTCCAAAGTGTAATTGCACAACGCTCACTGGTGCAACTGTTTTAAGAGGCCAGATGGAAAGAGATCTTATTCTTTGTCTCGTTTGCTGACTTTTTGACAAATGTTGTCTTCCAGTGGATCTTGAGAAAGAGAGCGACGGTTGATGCCATGCGTATAATGAAAAGGCCTCCACTTGAGAATATTGGGAGTCCATCTTTACCTTTACTATGTTTGTTATTACAAAGCAGTTCACCACCTAAAACTGAACACCAGTAACAGCAGAAACCAATACTTTCCAATGAATTACCTGTCATTTAAAAATGTGTTTAAGTCAACGGATAATTCACTGGAAAAAGAATACCTGTGCTCAAGTGATTAATTAAAAATGTGCAAATATATTCAAATAAAAAATACATGAATAATAGGATATACTTCAAGCGAGCAAACGTCAACACATGCAGCATGTGCACAGGGAACAAATCAAATAAGTCACATGCTGGAGGGCATCACAGAAACATCATGCACTGCTGGGCGGACAAAACAAGCAACGCAGGGGTCAGGAAATGGAATATTTGGTTTGTTGCCTCAAAGCTAGATGAAGTTTATTAAAATTAGTTTTAGATATGGAAAATAAGAAAGACCACTCAAAGTATCTGGGTTTTAAATTTCAAAAGTTCATTAAATTCAAATGAGAGATTAAGTCAATCCATCCAAACTCAATAAAATTAAAAAGGAATAACAAACATTTTTTTTAGTGTTGCACTCATTTTATTGATCAGTGGTTAAAATGTCATGCAAATCTCTAGGCGCAGTGCCCATCGGAGATCTGTTCTGTGCAATAATTCAAAACATAAAAACCAACACTTGGACCAATTTGTCTGGTCCCCTTTTTGCAATCAATTTGAAAACAAAATAATACAAAATGAGCATGTACCATTTAAAAGAATTTAACAAATGCTGAGAAGTGCATTAAAGTAGAACTTCTAACAAATGCAATTTTAAAGGATTCTGACCAGACCTGATGATTATTGTACACAGTATCCTCCGTTAAAAGGGAAGGATGTTGTTGTTTTTACCGCTTTTGGCATCTATTTGAAAAACATTGTAAAACAGTAAAGCACAGCACATATAAATAAGACGGCACCGTTACTTCTGCACAATTATGTTGCAGATGAGTAATTAAAGGTTGATGTGCAGCACTTAAATCCAAACTTAATTAATCAAATTAATTTAGAATCCAACGAAAAGGACTAGATGTTTTACAAATTAACAAAATTCAAGGCAATCTGCTCAACCAATAACAATTATATGTATTGAATAAGACATCCGTTTTGTTCATTATTTTGATTTTCTTTTTTTTTTGAAGAGAGACAGTACCAAGTTCAAAAAAGAAAAAAAGGTTTACTATACATTTTTATTTACATCTGAGCTGCCAAAAAGTATAAAAGTAGCAATATTCACAAGAGGCTAAACAATAATCCTTAATCAGTAGGTTCAAAAACACCTGCTTTTATTTTTGCCCAAAATGTAAAAAGTATTAAACCAGTGTTTTGGAAAATAGATATGAAACAAATATATAATACATTAAAGAAGGTTTAACCATATTATAAAGACTTATAATAGTGCAACTACCTAATGTATTTTTAAAAAAGAGGCTTTTAAAAAAGTAAAATCTTGATAAATTATCTTCTTAAAAAGGAGCATGTGTGCAGATTACTACTCTGGACATTAATTTAAACGAGGAAGGCACAGCGACCCAGGTAGCCGGAGTCGAACGCGTTTTTCACAGGACTAGAGGTGGAGTGCGGTCACAGGCGTCCCGGGGCGTGATCAGAGGAGGGGTTTGCCACACACACCGGGGGGGTTCGGAAGGGAGACGAAAAGAAGGGGCTGCGGGGTTTGTGCAGGACGATACGGCGAGACACAGGAGGGCGAAAAAAACACGTCTGAGGTAAATAAACGGTCACACGGATGTGGTCACTCTGTCCACAGCTTTATTGACCTCGTTTTTGTTGGAGTCCAGGCCTTTGGCAGCGTTCATGTCGTTGCGGAGGTTCTCGGCCGCTTTCTTCATGGTCTTCAGCTCGCCGGGGTGAGGCGTGGCCCGGCGAAGTAGCGTTCCCTGTGATAAGAGGAATAGAGATTCAGATCGGAGGTACCTCCGTTATATCCGCACCGAGCTTACAGGGGATGGTTGGAGGCTCGTAGCGGAGCATCACTGCTAAAGGGAGCAAAGTAGCATTTTCCTTTTTAGGAAAACATAGAGTGGCATTTGTGTTCCCGGGAGGATGAAGTTCGCTGGCTTTAACCCGCCCAACATTTCAGCGGGTTAACATTGGCGTGAAATACCAATCTGATGTCCAGCTAGTGTAAGATTTGCCCTTGCTGGTCTCACCTGGTCGTCGTCCTCCTCCTCATCATCATCATCCAGAAAGCGAATGGCACTGATCCTGTTGGGGGCTTTGTCGTCCCACGTGTCATCTGCCATGTCATTCACCAGACTCTCCAGGGCTCCACAGCGGGCGAGATTATCTGAGCCTTTTTGTTGGTTTAAAAGACAACACAAGTTGAGCTACTGGAATCAATGCGTTCATCCAAACGCTCAGAAGGAATCGGAAGATCTTAAGCACATATCGGAGCACATTGAAATCAATATGGTTGTTACGATTGCATCTCTGCAATCTGCCAAAAAAATCAAACTCAAAAAAATGAAATCGGTCATAACGCAGCGTTCATAAGAGAGAGCCTGAAACTGCCAGATCACAGTTTCAAATCCCGGCTTAGTCATAAGCTCACAGCAACACCATCTTCCCTGCCCCCAACTCCAGCTTCAGCCTCGCTCGTCTGACCTCCAGCACCCTTGTGTTTGCATCTCCAGCACGAGGAGGACGGCACGTCACCAAAATCGACGAGCGTCATGAAAAGAAATGAACTGCGTACGTTTGAGTGAGAGAAACAGGTTCACGTAGGGAGCAAACACTTTGCAATTAACCCTGACAGATTTAGAGCCTGTGCATGACAGCAGAGAAAAATAATTACAATAAACCGCTGTATCAGGCGGAGATGGAGCCGCCCTCCGGCTGCATCTCTACACCCAGCGGGCGAGCTTTTAACGGCAATGGGCCATCCGCTGCTAAGCCTCTTTAGCTGTCCAATCCACTGCATTTTGGGAGAAGAAAAAAAAATGGCCAGGGACGGCCTCAAGGGACATGAGAGGCGCTGACCTTTTATAGGCGGTGATCTCTTACAGGACTTCCTAATCAACCAATACAGGGATCAGAGGAGGCAGAACACACTGTGCTTCCCCGAGCGGATCATGTGATGATGCCTTCAAAACCGCTGGGGTATCTGAGACGATGCGAGAACTAATGAATACTCCGTAAATGAAGTAATTTCACTCTAGATGGAGAGGGCCGGGCCACCAACAATTCAAACAAATAGCAGCTGTGCTATGAGAGAGATGTTCATGATCCATGAAGGTTATTCACAACCTCGCAGGATTAGTCTCGGCTTGATGAAAGACGGTACCTTTATTGTCCGGTTCACATGGCTGTTGGGGCAGCAGCACACAGGTGAGCACCTTCTCCCCGGAGTCAGGATCCTTGTCGGTCTGGAAGGTGAGGAGAGGCTGCGACTGGTTCTCTGACAACCACAAAGCCTTCAGCCGCAGCGTGGTCAGTGACATCGGCAAGTGGGTGAGCCTGAAAACAGACCGGACGTGAATCACCGACAGGGGAAACCGAAAAACACACCTTTGCAGCCGTTTTGACAACAACTCCAGAGTCAGAGACGTTAGTGTGTGTTTACAGCAGCAGACATTCTCTGAAGTCCAAACCGGTTGTGGCAGAAACGCAGAGCCGGAACAACCTCTTGACAGACGGTGAGCAATAACGGTGGAAATATCCAAGTAATCTGAAGACGTCACGTAGTGGAAAACATGTGGTATTTATTCGGTATAAGTAAATCGTATTTTTTATTTTAATCACTACTATTAATTACCAACGTCTACCTACCAATCACGCTACAAAAAAAGGATATATTGTATAAGCGTTGATGAGCGTACCTATTTCCAGAGAAGTCCAGAACATGCAGTTCCGTTGCTTGTGAGAGCTCTGACGGGATCCTCGTCAGCCTGTTCTCTCGCACACAGAAGACATTCAGACCGCTGCAGCCCCCGATCTACATAGCAGAAGAGATCCTTTGATTAGGCTGCGCACAGTTGTCCCGGGAGGCATGAAAACATAGTCACATGTACACAAAGTTTACCTTATTGAAGTATAAAATGCAATATTAATGCACAAGCTAATCAGTCGTCTGTTTAACGAAGCTGGGACAATAGAAACCAGAGTAAATGTGCACAACAGCATTTGTGGAGTGGAATTTGTGATCTCAATGTCAAAACAGTTATATTTAAATAGATTGGGGCAGAGGGACCTAAGAAAAGGAACAATTACGCCTAGTAGTCAGCCAAGGCAGAGACAGACTCGTTGCTTAAGAGATTATGTTAAAATGGGAAAGTTCAGCTCATCATCTACACAAGTTAATACGATCAGTCATCAGTACATAAAGCATCAGCAAGAAACTATTTCAAAATAATTCAAACACCTTAACAGGTCTGCTTCCATGAAAGAATTCAGATGGGGAAAAGTGTCTAAAAGCGATTAACAAACCATCATTCAGATCCATAAAACTGGTCCAATGGTCAAGTAGCCCAGAAACGCACTGATCAATACTTGGTTCATGGCCACGCTGTGATTGTCAGCATCCCATGCGATGGCAGTAGCACTCATCGAAAAAAGGTGACGGCACGGATTCATTATCTAGGCCGACTTGTTATTTTTCTCCACAGTGCAGCCTTTCTGTCATAAAGACACAGGGCCATTGTGCGACGTCTGAAGACGCCTTTCAGATGAAGCTCTGAACCGGGCGCAGCGTCGCTTAAACAGGCGAGAGGTTCAGAAAAGAATGTCACACACAAACACAACGGACACACTCGGAGAAGAGCGGCGCACACCAAAAGGACTGAGCTGCAAACGTGAAATGAGAGCGCGACGAGTGGGCGCGTTGTTGATCCCGCCGGGAATGGACCTTTGAGAATTGGAGCCACTGAGAATCTGTTACGATAAACAGCCCACCGTAACAGCTGTGCATCACTGCACTCAAAACAGAGTTCATCATATTGAAGAACAAAATCACAGGTTTGTAATAATCTGACACTTCGGTACAGAACTGCAGTTCCAAGCTTGACTGCGACAGTTATGATTATAGCCGATCATACAGTGATTTAAGCATATTATAAGAATGTTTAGAATGCATTATGAACAGAGATAGAGTTCTCAGATGTCCTCAAAAGGGCTTCCTGTATTACTTCTTGAGGACACTTTCTAATTTAGTTTGATAAGCGATGTAGGTTGACGTAGGAAAAGCTCACCTCTTTAGGTAATGCCGTTAGCTGGTTTCTGTCACAGTTGAAGTTGGATAGTCGCTTTAATTTCCCAACACTCCTCGGCAAACTCTGTAATGACAAACAAACCTTTGTTACCCCAAAGAGTATTTCCTTATGTTGCTTGTTTCTTTACATCACGTATCAAACAACTGTTTGAAGAAAGAAAACTAAATCCTCAGCGTGTCACCAGTACGGAGCGGTGCTCTCGTGCACGGAGACAAAAGGAGACGTGTTGCTCACACGGTTGGTTAATTTATTCAAATACTCTGGTAAGAGCTCCATGTTTGCCATTAACCTCTATTTCACTCTCCCTTTCAACGTAATGTCCTTCTGCCACATGCCAGATGTTTGACATCATGAGGCTGTGCTAATGTTTTCAGCTCAGAAATCATAAAATGGGATGAAAGGCTGTACGCAGAAATACTGAGTGGTGCTCAGTGGTGTTGACACTCAATGGTGCTCGGTAAAGATGCACAAATAAACTAAATGTATAGCATGTCATTTCTAATTAAAACATAAAACCTTTATTCAGCTAATAATACCAAAACTGTTGTACTGTAACCGTGTTGATGAAATATCTGCACGAAAACTAATCCCATGTTTTCTTTTAAAATGTCGATTAAGATTAACGTGTAAAACAGATGCAAACACACCTGTATCTGGTTCTCAGTGAGCACAAGTTCAGTAAGGCTTTCACAGCTACCGATGCTCTCTGGGAGATAAGTTAGCCTATTCTGATCCGCTTTCAAAATAGAAAGTTTCCGTAGTTTTCCTGTAGAGAAAGAAAAAGAAAAATATGTTAATCAAAATCAACCTCGCTCAGAGAATAATTTGACTTATGAAGCATTGATTGTTTTATTGAGGAAAATGTGTGCTTTAACATTTACTTTTAGTGGGTGGTTTTAACAATAATACCTACAAGGTTTATAACATATGGCGTAGTATTATTAATTATATTAACATCCCAGCATGCCATTAAACTTTAGGGGAAAAATTTTCCCTTATATGATTATCACCCCAATAAAGAGAAGTAACCTCTTAGGTAAATATAAATATAGCGGTGGTGCTAATCGTGCTAATGAAGAGCAGGCGGATTCGCATCCTCACCAATACTTTCTGGTAAAGCATCAATTAGGTTCTGAGACACCAGCAGGTCAGTGAGCGCCAACAGGCCACCCAACTCCTCCGGAAGTCGCTCCATTTTGTTTTCGGATACGTCCAGACACAACAGGCTTCTCATGCTGCCCATCTCCTTCAGTGCGGAGCAGAGACTCGTGGTTGGCACAGTTTCAATAACACGGCAGTAAATAAGGTCCATGCATTAACAACACTTAAGCTTAAGAGTTGGGACACGACAGACTGGTTGTATCTGAACACTCAGTTACGGCGGTGCTCTCATCAATGCAGAGACAATAGACAACCGATTTAGGAATACAGGAAACAAAATGATCTTACAGAAGGGATTTCGGCCAACTGGTTTCCATCCAGCCACAAGTCCTTTAAGCTAACAAGACCGCCTATTGACTTTGGCTGTGTGGAAGAAGAAGAAATGGAGGGATTAAAAGAGTGAGAGACAGTAAAGCTGAAAAACACAAACTTATCAGAGTAAAGCATAATGAATAAAAAAAAATAAGTTCAATCACGCTCCGAAAAACTTATTTCCCCCCCGACAGTCTGAGGCTGCACTGCTTTCTTCAAGGGAGCATTTCCTCATGAATACTATGAATTTGTCGAAGCCAATTTAAAGATTGGTATTTAGATGCATTGTATATGGAATGCATTACTTAGAGTAATTGTATGTACAATCTAAGAAAAGGTTTCAAACAACAACCAACAATGTAATTGAGCTCAATGAACACATGTTAGGTCATCAATAAATAAACCAATCAAGAGTGACTTTGCTTCATCTGTCAGTAAAAAGAAATTCCCACATAAGAGTACAACTGAAAACCAAAGCTGAGGGCAGATGGCCGTCCTCCCATCTGGGTGATAAGAAGTGAAAGCCGTTCTCGAGGGGAAACTAATCTACTAGGAGCAGGGAGGAAATGGGAATAGTTTATTTCCGCTTGTTTCGTGTACCATGTGGCATCCTTCTGAGGGAACGAGTCCCCCGGCACAAAAGCAACTTACCAAGCTGTACAGCTCGTTGTTTCCTAAGTCGAGCTCTTCAAGTCTGTGAAGCATAGAAAGTGACCTGTGGACGACACGTGGCAACGGAGTTCAGAACGAGGCCCGCTGCATGGCTTATGCGTGAGGAACTTTTGTTAGCCTTCACCTGATCGCAACACTTACTCTGGCAGGAATGTCAGCAGATTTTCTCGGAGTTCTAGTGATGCCAGATTGGAAAGGCTGCAATTATGACAAGAGAAGAAGAGGGACAGTGACGCATCTCTGAAAATCCTGTGAACCGCAGTTCGGTTTCCATACAACTTCTTCTCATGCGTCCACCACAAAAGATAATTATTACACATGATGCTTCCAGACAAAACAACGTTGTTGATTTTAATGAAGGCTGAAGATTATTGTAAAATGCCTCCTCGCGATCAGATATCTGAGAACAGGAAGTACTTTTGGAGGAGTGTCAGTCTTATCAGGTCGGTAAAACTGCAGGAACATAAACAACCACTACTTCAAATGAAGGGCAATATGTCTAAACGGCTATCATGGACCAAAGTCCAGGGTTGTCTTCTTGCAGAGCGGCTTATGCAAGCCTCAGTCCTGTAAATTGACCCAATTAATGGAGGATTTTATGACAACAAATGGAACCCAGACTAAATAGTTTGGCCTGCGTGTGTTGTTAGGGATTGACTTTGCCAAACAGATCAGCTTTATCTCGCATCTAGTGTGTCTGAACCGGTTTTTACACGGCCAAATGAAACCACATGAACTGAAAACACCTTTTCATTTATAGCGTGTCGTTTATTCAGCGGGCCGCTGAGCAATAGATTAAACAAAACAGGCCCCTACGTCTCACGTTTTAAACAGAGCATTTTTTTAAAAATTAAATTTGCTTTTGAACAGAAAACACTCTCAACGTCAACCCTCGAATGTTGATCTTAACCACTTCTAAAAACCCACAGCATGCGTTTCATAACCTTTCTGGACAGACAGCAGGCCTTATGTAAGACAGACGTGGACGTATGTGGGGCGTGTGCAATACCATAACGAGATCTCTCTCACTCAAGCAGACTTTGTTTGGAAGGGAAATTTGTACGTTTCCTTGAGGAAACCCTAAGAGACCATTTTGGAAATGAACATGAACACAGATTCATACAACTGGTGTCTTAGTTTGTACCCGTTTCCATGGTAAACGAAAATGAAAAACTAAAAAAGAAGAGGCAGCGCAACACATTTTGACTTTGGCTCTATTGGTTTTCAGCTCGGTTCAACATTCTGTAGAATGTGTTAGAACTGAGAACACATCTTCAACATGAAATCATAACCGCTGTAGCCCAATTTTAGCCCCTGCATCTATAATCCATTGCAGTATGGATGTTCCTCAGAAAAGCCATCTGGCGTTTTGTGTCCTGCACAAAATCTTATTTAGGTCCATCAACATATGTGGGGCATCAGATACACATTAAGCCTAAAAAATAAATAAAACCCCTCTATGAGTAGCGGCGTGGTATTTCAAGCCTACCCCCCTGAGGTACGATCCCTAAGGAAGCAAAGAGAATCCCCTCTTGCATCACGCTCCTCCGCCAGCAGTGCGTCGCGCTGATCCTTCGTTTATGGCACATTGGCAGCGCAGAACAAAGTCTGCTTGGTTTTGCTCAGTTCAGCAGTTATCTTACGGTTAGAATATGCCAGCCAGCGCACTGCCGGTAAGTTTCACTGCACGAACGTAAAACAAGGTGCTTATTGACATCTATTCATGCAATTCTGTCTTAAAATACAAAATGAGTCAATACATTTTTGGACTTTTCTCAGCAGTCACACACACTGTGTTTTAATCAGTCAAATGTCAGAATATTATCAACATTCTAACTCAATTGTGCACGTTAAGAGTCATTTCATCCCTTTAACTCCCTCCTGAAAGGGTTTAAAATTTAACTCAGTTTTCCTTTGAACCCCAAACTTCTAAACAAAAAGCTATTTTGGCCTCAAAGCGCACAGCTAGTTATTGAATCCAGTGACCCGAGAAGAAGAAAGGGGACCTCATAGGAATACGAACGCTGGCCAGACGTCCCTCTTTACCGCAGCAGATTAAAGGCCATCTCGCAAAAAGGCTTTTTCCTTTCACGAGCCACCACAACGTGGCTGAGGAGACAACCCTGACGGATGGAACGCGGTAGGCATCAGTTTACCAGTGCAGGGAGATTTTAGAGCGAATTCTTACAGGAGAAAGTGAAAAAAAATGCAATTCGGGCCCTTTTTAAAGCTTTAAAGTAAACCTGCCGCTCAGCGGTTTGGTTGAGCAGCTGCCTGAGATCGGTTCTCCAGTACTCTGTGAGTATTTACTAAATGAGACTATAAGAGAGAGAGTAGTGGGATGTTTGGTGAGAAAGGGTCCCTCAATTCACCTCAAGCTGCTCGGGAGGTGTGTGCTGACCCGGCAAAGGTTTGATACACTCAATGTGTCAAAAGTAAGTACGACGAAATGCTGCATTCACTTACTTCCCAATGTTATCTGGTAGAACTTGTAATGAAATATCATTGATGGAAAGGCATGTTAGATTCCTTAGCTCTGGGAAGCTTTCGGGTAATCTGGGGAAACAAAAAGAGAAGCAGCAGGGAGCGGGGCAGGTGGAGAAAGTGTACAGATGATCATTATTATTTTATACTTATTTAGAGCCTGTGGGTGGAATTGGAAAAGCTTTTTAAGGCATACCAGATAAGAGCATTGTAATACATCTCAGAATATCCCTGTTCTACATAAAGGTGGGCTGGTGAAACCAAAAAGGCTACTTCTGCTTTCATATTTCTCCTGCAAGGATCAATAGAAATTCATTTTTTTCTATCATCTGATGTTGTTTTTAATAGTTTAGGAACACTGAATGTCGTATGTTAATGAACGTTTGATTTAGATAGAAACCAGATCAGTGGGAACTAAACCTTCACCATCGCAAAGTTTAAATAGGACTAATGAGTGGAAAATCAGGCTACTACTGTGGAAAAGGAGTGTGTGTGTGTGTGTGTGTGTGTGTGTGTGTGTGTGTGTGTGTGTGTGTGTGTGTGTGTGTACTTTAAAAAGTATTGAACACAAAGGACTGTGTAATCCTGTTCTTTGCTGCCCCCTGAACTAATTACTGAAAAACAATGTGGTTTTGTCCCTGCTGAGGTGCAAATTATATTTTGTCTCCCGCACACAAAGTAAAGCAAATTATGCAAAGCCTGCAATGTGTCACAGTGTGTGAATGTTCATGACAGCGAGGCATCCCTGAAACACACACAACTCGGAAACAGAAATAGCTCTCCACAAGATTCATTTTTTTACAGATACACTTCCCGTTTTTCTCTATTAAAATATTCATTCATCAAGATAAATGGTTAAAAGAATTTGGGGAAAGACCAACAAGCATTAAGTATCAAAATTCGTATGAAATGTGATGGGTTTGAACAATCTTTGACGGCTGAATGTTTTAGAAGAGAGCTAGAGAGTATTGAATTATGAGTTATTCGTTTTCCTTCTTGAAAATGAAATCCAACATAATCTTGAGAACTACCTTGTTAATGGATTTCCACTGAAATCTGCCACTTGGAGGAATTTGCAGTATGAAATACTCTCTGGAATTTCCATAATATCTGAAGAGAAAAAAAACACACAAGATACAATCAGCAGTAGTTCAATAATATAAGACAGTATATGAAAAACGGTGGGTTTAGATGCAAGTGATAAACATGGGAATTGAGAAGTGGTTCTTAATTTTGAATAATAAGAATGGTTGAATAAATGTCAAAAACAACAGTGAAGATATTATTGTAAATAATGGTATTTAGTGTGAAATAAAACAAAACTGCTGCAATGTTAACCAGGTCTCACTCTGCACACACCTCCACTTAACCAGGACTCAATACAAACAACAACACTGTGTGTGTAAGATTGTGTGTGTGTGTGTGTGTGTGTGTGTGTGTGTGTGTGTGTGTGTGTGTGTGTGTGTGTGTGTGTGTGTGTGTGTGTGTGTGTGTGTGTGTGTGTGTGTGTTTTAAATGTTTGTAATCTTAACATTTTAAATTTCTTTTGTTATTTCTTTTGCTCCACAGCCTGTGAACTGGGAGCCGCCTGCGCTGTTGTATTTCCTCACAGAGCATCCGGGTCGACGCGGCCGACTCATTGAAACCAAGCCTTATCTTGCACTTGGATCAGTTTCACCGAGGAGGAGATCTGTCGATGCTCATTGGCTGAACTCATTTCGTAAACATATACTCTCGCAGATGTGGAGAAAATACACAGAAACGCAGTTTATTGGAATGTGCTGTAATATTCTAGTTTACGGTGGAAAAGCAGTGTTTTCTCTTACCATTTCTAGACACATCCAGTTCTACCAGCTGCATGAAGTTGGCTATTTCTGGCGGAAGTCTCTGAATCTCGTTGTCACTCAGGCCAAGTTTTCTTAGTTTCACCAGCTGGAAAAATGGCTGAAAGTTGAAACAAAATACATTTTTAGTAAAGAGATTTAAAAGGGTTTTGGATTTCAGCGATTCTCTCACACGACACTGACGCCTCCTGGCAGAACGAGTGACACTGTTACCAATATCATCTGAACGTTGTTAACAGCCTGTCACAGTTTGTTCCTTGAACGCTACTAGTTCAAACCAAATCATTGAATTAAACACAATCCCAGAACTGAACTTTAATGACAGCTGTACTCGGCAGGCTTCACCGTGGTCGTCTCACAACTGATTTTTACTTTTCGTCTCCCAGTTAAAAGTCTCCGTCGACCACGTTCACCACAACGTATAGGAAAGAAAAAGCAGGTTGGCCCACTTATACAAACGGCAATTACACAATAAACACATTCTTGACTACGCGGAGCAAGAGCGGGCAGAAACCTGCCTGTGTGACGGCGGAGCAGCTCGCTTGCACGACTGCTTCAGGTTCCCTGGATGTTTTGGCATCACCAGAAAAAGCAGACTCACAAATTCTCCCTCGGGGTCTTTCTTATTTTCTCTGCTATTGCTGGTTCCTAGGCAGCAGGCCACAAACATCCATTAATGCACTTGCTAAAATACCTACATTTCTCATTTCTCCTCTAATGAACCCATTTAATCTCGGCACTCTTTTGACCCGCGCGTTTGCCTGAACGTGGCGAGAGAAACTTTCGTCTCACGCACAAGCCTGTTGCACTTGTTTCACGTGGAATGCAGAACCACAACAAAAGGGATGTGTATTCCAGGCAGACACAATAATTAAGTCGCCGTGTTCTTTTCTATAACTCCACTGTTGCCACTGGAATCCGTTGCAACCAACGCGGACTCAAGCGGCGGCGGCGTTTTTCCAACCTCCCAGTTTAACGGTCAAGATGTTTAGTTGACTTACGGCCTTCCGACCTGCTAGTGGAACACTTTTTAGGAATCTACACATCAGCTGGCTGTATGTTCGGATACAGGTAACGCGTGTTGGTCTGGGGGGGTTGCTGGGTATCAACAAGTCTATGAATTCGACATTTCATCAAAGCGGTTACAAAAGGCGCGTCATTACTCATTATTGCTGCTGCGCAGACAATGAACACAGATCAATACTGTACAATCACGCTCACGTCTTCCACTTGCCTTAATGGATTTTCATTCATTCTTAATGACTGTGCCACTTTTGAGAATATTGAACTTTTTCTCCCTCAAACCACAGAACCCGTTGGGGTTCCGTTTCTGGAAGTTTAATGAGTGCAAGATGAGAAACAAAAAGCAGAATCCAACGCGCATCCAATCATGTCTACGGTCAGCGAGGTGTTATTGCAATGAAAATAATAACTCATTAACAGGCTGCTCATTATTTGTAGACCATATCCAGAACACATTTTAATAATGCGTGAGCAATAAATAGGGCCCAAGAGTCCAAAAGTCAAACTCCACCCTATTACAGAATGCACGTGCGAGGTCTTAAGATAGTTCAAACAGTCTCTAATCATTCCTCACTTCATAGAGTCTCACAAGAACAGACTTGTAAGACTCATTGTAAGAGATTTGAAAGGTTTTGCATCCTAACCACCACTTCATTTCACTTTCCCATTTCGCTTGCACAATCAAATTGTGGGTGCAGCCCGTGTCCGATTCCCAAGTGCACAGCTCAAAGATTTGTCTCTTGATGATATCAAAAGGAGTTACGGCTCGTACATACTTTTTATTTGCAGAAAACTAAACTGAACCGTGGCGATTCATTAAAATAACGCAAATTCTCGTTTAACGTTGACTTGATAGACCCATTACCAATGTCAGCGTTCCCACCCTGAACCCGTCCTGCCCTTTGTCCCCATCTAATCCTCAGCGGAGGAGGAACAAAGAGCAATTTATAATGGATTCTGCATTATCCCTCTAGCAGCGAATATGCAGGTCGTGCGTTACACCGACAGCCAACGTGTTCTTCCAGTTGCTCTCATTCAGCGCCACGCCCCAAACAACCAACCGCGTGTGACGGGCAAAAAAACGAAACAGGCAAAAAAACATTAACCGTTCCCTTAACTGCAGAGTCAATGTTTGAATGCCCAGCGTCACCTGAAGCACTGTTTGTCAGAGAACAAGCAGTTCCGGGAAAGTAAGTGCATGGATTATTTTTGCAAGATATCAACAGTGGCAGATATCAATGTTTTAGTAGTTTCGGAATGAAATCCTGACGTGATCTTACCAAGAAGATGGAAGAATGTGCATTAATGTGCCGCAGCCCAACACCCATAAAGACTGCAGTAAAAGGCATTAGTGCCGAATGCTTCTGAGGTTGCATGTAGGTTACGTGGTCATACGTGTACGGTGTTACGTGTCCTACAGCGTAAGCCAGAGTTAAAACTGTCCGAACCACATGTCAGAAACTCAGCAACTGCACTAGAGTCACGGACCTGATGAGCTTGTGGTTTACATGAGAGTAAGAGAGTCAGTTCAACAGGCGCCTTCCTGCTCCGGGATTCATTGCACCACTTTATTTGCCACTTTATACGTGTGATAAAAGCTTCTTCTTCGCTCTGGGACATCGCTTTGCATGTCACTATTGAAATGTGCTAAAAAGATCCCACAAAAACAAATACTACTCTTTTGCGTTCTTTTTTTGTAAAAAAGGTTTAGTATGAATACTTTTAAAAGCTATTGCCAAATAAGTCTCTGTTGATTGACAATTCGATTCCATGACTAATTGTTTAAAACACTGTCTGAAAGCAAGTTGAGATTATTTACTTTAAAATATATATCATTATAGCTCTTTTTATTCAACCAGCGGTCCAAACACACAATGTATTCTGCTAACAATCATATATGAGCGAGACAAGCGTCACATTAAGGAATCTGCAGCCAGAAAACATTTGTCATTCTGTTGATAAATGAATCAAATGACTAATATGGTGTAAAATAGCTGCCGATCAATTCCCCTCAATTCATTCATTTCATAAACTAATGGCTAATTAATACAGTTGTGCATAAGTGCAATCATTCCAGATGTGGTAAAGATGTTAGAAGCAGTTATTCAAAGCCCTTTGACACAGTCACACATCTCTGGACCTGAGAACAGTAGAAACTGTGTCCATCTCAGCGTCATTCCTCTTTTCCAGCCATATTATAAGTTTAATAAACTAACAATTATTTTGTACAAACTAGAGACACAAGTCACTGTATGTCAATTTTTGTCCTCTGCCCCAGAACAAATAATCAGAGGAACAAAGAGCAGCGCAGAGAAATAGAGCCCATCCACTGAAACAAAACCGTGCTCCGTGTCTTGGTGACTTTATATTTTGTAAAACTACAGAAACTAGACCAAGCGCAACTTGTCTCATCTTGTCACGGTGAAGAGAGACACACCTTCGCCGCTCCATCCCGGCGATAACACTGCCTTGTGCGTGTCTTTATCTGCCTGCCGGTTGCAGCGTCGGACTTGAACCACTTCCCCGCGTCACAGTCACGTCATCGTCTTTACCATAATACGCGTTCAGTGTTTATTCATTCAGCCACCTCGGGGGCCGCGCGGCGAGCACTGAACTGGACCAACACAAACGGTTCATCCAGAGGGACGTTTCTTGGGTTCACTCGGCGGCCGTTGACGACATTAGTTACATGCCAGAGAGCACCGCAAACAGTTCCCGTTGTTTACACCCCGCGTCCCTCTAAAACGAGCTCAGAGTATTTCTGAACGGAGCGCTGCGACGCCGCGACGGTCACGGTGGTCGCGCGCGGCGAGGGCGTGCACGATGAGCGGGGTGCACCAACAGCACACACGTTTGTCAGGCGCACCGTCATGTGTGCCGGTTTATGGGTTTTATGGGTCGGCACTTAACAATTCAGGTCAATGATCCATTATGACTTTATGAGTGGACACTAGCACATACGAACGCATCAGAGAGGCGACAACAAAAGTGTGCGTTTTCCCCCTGTGGACAAAGTTGACAGTGTGACACGGGCCGTGTGAGGTCAGTCACATCATCTCCACGATCTCGCATCTCCACGAACACGCCAAGCCAGGAAATAGTCCTTCGGCTTGAACTCATTTTGCGTGTGTGTGTCACACTAGAGCAAAATGTCAAGATGCTTAAACAACAACAAAAAATCAGCGTATTTTCTTTTGACCCACCCACCATATTACCAAATGCACTGCCTGCTTTTGAAGGATACACTGACAAAGTTTTGCAATAAACATTTTCCAGAGCAAGGTCAGCAAAAGTCATGAGGGAAACAGTAAAGAAATAAACCTAAAATCCCTCATCTAGATGCCTACTTAATCCTGAGCACTAAGAAGACCGGCTTCTACAATGTGAAGATTTTGCCGCTTTGGTCCGAAAGAATTACTTATATTTGAGTTTTGGTCGGTTTGTCTGGACTGAAATTATTTGGCTGCATCTCGATGGCCTTCATCAGAGGATGCAACTTTTTTGCTGTTGTTGTTGTTGTTGTTGTTGTGAAGATAAAATCCAAGATCAACAATGAGCATTCTTATATGGGATATAAGTCTCTACTCAGATGCAAATCATATGAATTTATCTCTTTGTGGCCTTGTTTTACCTCGCTGGATGAAGGCGAGGTTAATCTGGAGATACACATCTGTAGACTGTCGTTGGCATCGGAGACGTCTGTTTTGTCTAATCTAGTTGACTTCAAATGATTGTATCAAAAATATATCATTTGTAAGTATGTAACTCATCCGTGTAATTATTGGGTAAAATATCTTTAAAATCCAATTAAAAAAAAAACAATGGAAAAATACACACAAAAACTCTTAATGGTCAGCACTAATATAAGATTGAATCAGTATTGTTGCAGGAAGGATGTGTGTGTGTGTGTGTGTGTGTGTGTGTGTGTGTGTGTGTGTGCGTGCGTGCGTGCGTGCGTGTAGTCAGCCGGCGGTGGGAGGTGTGGGTTCGGGGGGAATTTCCACCTCCACAGAAGGTGCATGATCTTGCTGATCTTGCGTAATGATTGTCCCCAAGCTCGCAGCAGCGTCTCACGGGATGCCCGAGCGACTCCGTGCGCGCGCGTGTGTGTGTCTCTACCAGTGTGTGTGTGTGTGTGTCTGTCTGTGTGTATGTGTGTGTGTGTGTGCGTGCGCGTGCGTGTTCCCTGCTTACCTTGGGCAGGTCTCGGAGTTGATTGGCGTCCAGCAGCAGCTCCTCCAAACTTCGTCCGTAGCGGTAGATCTCGTCGGGCACATACAGCAGGGAGCAGTGGCGCTTATCGATCGCCTCGACGTGACGGTTGCACCGCCACAGGGGGATGCAGTGAAACATCACGGGGGGGGGGGGAGACCTCGAACCCGCGCGACTAACAAACAAACAAACAGCGGGCAGGACGGAGCGATGCAACAGATTGCTGTAGCAGCAGGAGGAGGAAGAGGAGGAGGGACGGTCCTGCGCTGGAATACACCGTTAAATAGCAAATAAGAAATAAAGAGGTGCGGGGCGAAACTCACGCGCGAGCGAACACCGACGCGGCGCGTTCAGAGTTGTTCTCCGTCGATGTCTCACTTTGGTTAGTAGTTTTTTTAGGGCACCTGTACTCTTCGTCGCCCGCGTCGATCTGCGTCTCCTTTTTTGTTTCGTTTTGCTTTTAAATCTCCGTCTCTTTAACGTTTAACCTGCGCGTCACATCTCCGTGTGGAAGCGGGTCGCATTCTCGTGTCTTTTTTTCTTCCCCCCGTCTCGTCCCGGAGTTAATTTCCTCTCCCGTCCAGTTTCTGACCCGGAACATTCACTCCCTCATTCCGATCCTACGTCATCATCCGGGTCCCTCCTCCTCCTCCTCCCCCCTCCGGTGCCTCCTCTCCGGAGTGGCGGCGTCCCGCACAGGGCCGCCATGATGGGGCGCAGAGGACCGGGTACAGTGTGTGTGTGTGTGTGGTGGTGGTGGGGGGGGTAGTAAACAATACTACATGCCACTAAGGCTATTCAGCTCATGTACTTTTCATACTACATTTACTTTAAAATAACGCAGTACTTTTGTTTGAATCGCCTGTTGAAAGTGAGCTAGATATAAAAATATATATATATTTTTAAATGTAACAATGTAACCAATGCATATCCAGATGAAGCTGCTTGGATACCCGAAAGGCGTAAATAAGATGCAGTACCCCACAATAATCTGACAGTCATTGCCGCCTTTATGCGCAGTATTTCGAAGAATAAATGTTATATCGGCGTAGATTTGCTTTATACTAATGTGATAATCTCCTTACACACAGCAGAATCCACATCCTCATTGGTTTGGCTGTGTGTACGAGGTTCAGTATTTGTTGACTATATTAATACTTGAAAGAGTTGATTTCCTCACATTAGCCATAACAGCCTCCTAGACACCAAGTCATGATGGATGTTGGCCCAACGAGAATCTCCTTCCTCGTGGAACATTTTGCCACTTTGCTCTTTTCAGGGTCCAGAGTCAAAATTATGCAACAAATGCCCTCAACTGTAAATCATATTGTTCAATGTTGTCATGGTGACGTGATTTGCAGCGGCAATGTGCGGTCTCATTCGTATTTACACCATTTAGAGCCCTTAGACTTTCACAATCATATTATCCAGGTGATATCAGTTAAGTTCACGTTTGTGGGGGAGGGTGGGGGCATTGGGCCTTTAAGTATTAGAAATTAATAAAATGTTAGTTTATTTTTAAAATGTAAAATATCATAGATGTATTCTTCCACCTTCAATTAAAAAAATAATTAAATCCGAGGATGGATTAATAATGCGGTCTCAGTAGGCTGCCACAGGTGGTGCTGAAGGCAACAGCAGTTTCAGAGCTCTCGCCTCAATATCCCAAATCATTGCTCAAAACAAAAGTAGACTGAAAGGGTCCTTGAGAAGAGGCGGACAGCAGATGCCTTCCCCCACTGAAGACAAATCCACTTAATAGGGATTATAGAGAAGTGGACATGATTGACATAAGAATCATTTGGCTCATATCCATGTGGATGAGAACAATGATCAAACTCTCAATACAGCAAACCTAATACAAGAAACCTAATATATTAAATACGTGTTCAGTTTTAGCACTAAGACTATTCATTGGTCTACTTTTATTTCGTTCAGTGGGAATTGTTTAGAGGATACTAAATTTGTAGGGGAGATTTGTAAAATAAATATATCTATTTATCCTCTAGAGGGAGACACATTTCATCAAACAAGGCTGACCTGTTGTAGCTCAACCAGGCTATAAGACAAAATATCAAGTCAGTTGAATCTTTTCGTTTAATTGTCCCTTTAATCATGAGGACAATTTACAGTTAAAGAAAATACATTGCACATTCCTGCATTTTCAGACAAACCACACTGAGTAATCCACAGTGAGCACAGGCATCCAAAGTTAATCAGTGAACTTTCAACTCCATTCAATTTAAATAGAAGACCATTTATCTGCGTCCCAGCTGTTTCTTAAATGCCTTTAAGGACTTGGCCATCATTGGAGCCACTCCTGTGAAAGACAGAAAAAAGGTGATACTGTGAAATAAAACATCAGGATTATGAATCGTTTCGTATTTACTGAGCATTGGATTTACACCCAAGCTCACTTGTTTTTTTGCGAGGGTCTTGTGTGTTCGGCGCCCCTGAACTGGTGCTGCTGGACCTGCTGGACTCGTTACTCGGCCTCTGCCTGTTTTCTTGAACCTTGAGGCTAATAGTTAAGGAAATAGCACAGTGGATGATTCAATTGACAGGAAGACATTCACATAAAACAAAAAAAGGCGTTCAATGACAAGATATAGATATATATATATATATCGCTATTATCGCATAAGTGTACAGCAAGTTGTGACCCTACTGAGCTGTACAACATCCCACTACCACTCTTATAAGCTTGGGTTTGTTTTATGAACTCTAATTCGGTAAACCACATAAGTGAAAGGAATATGAATAAATGAAATTTTAGATTTTTCTAAAAGAAAAAAACAAAACAATGTAATGTAATGACAATACCTCTGTAGATATTTCCTTATAATTAGAACCCTGAAACCCACCTGGACTTGACCTGAGGCTGCTGAGATGCCGTTCCATGAATTTCCTGCTGAATTCGCACATCTCTCGGGGGCTTAGCAACCGAGTGAATAAATGCCATTTTCACCTGCCGACCTAATGAAAAAAAGAGTTGGTGTAGAAAACATTAAGATTAAACTGTATATAGTGTATAGAAACCTTTCACTTTGTCATGATCGGCCGTTTCAATTGGGTTTTGCTCACCGTGATAAACACAAAAAAGACTGTTCAAGTCTTAGTCGCAGTATACAGCACACACCTTTGGGTCTGGTAGAATGGGCAGAGACTATGCTTTTGGTGAGTCTTTTGAGTTTCCTTTCCCTCTCCTCAGAGAGCCTGACGTACATCTCTTTCCATGATTCATACTCCTGAAGTTTGGAGTGTTTAAAGTCCCTCTGGCAATGTTTCCCCCATAAGTGGTCCGTCTCTCCCATGTAGATCTGAAGATTGTTTGGAGACAAACGATTGCGGGGCCAGCGACAAAGACAGTACACAAACTAAATTCTCTACATGACTTTGTATTCTCTCCCGAAGGTCATTAGAAGATTAACTGACAAACACACAGTGGCCTCGAGCCGAAGGCGGCTCATTGACATTTAAAATCGGACACATCTCTGCGTATACAAGTATGACAATATTGTACCAAAGACTTTCCATTGAAATTTGCTAAAATGTTGTACACAAGACATCCAACAGAAAGATTGACTGATTACATTCATTCATCCAAGGGACTTTAAATGGAAATCTAGCAGTAGGCGAACCATTAAAACACAGTGTGGTAGATGCCATGCCAGACAGGTGTACCTAATCAAGTGGCCACTAAGTAAGTAAGTGTGTCTGTTGAATTCATTCACATTCTTACTGGGTTGCATTCTTCAATGCGTAGCAGCTGCTCTGGCGTGCACCTCTCCAACACTGGCTCGAGGATTTCAAACGGGACTCCTCCAGTTTCATAAAGCACTGAGGAGAAATCCCTGCAGCTAAATACGAATCCGACAGACTGACAGAGTGTGATCAGCGGGGAGGGAGCTTTACTCACAGTTGAGGTTATTCTGGAGTGTGCGAATGCACTGCTGATGCAGGCTCATCATGGTTGGGAGGAAGGCGGTCTTGGCACCCGAGTACACTTGCATCTTTTTGTTAAGGCGTTGACCAGTGAAGCCCACGGAATCCTCTGAGAAGTCACAGAACTCTGACTCCCTCTCAACTGTGGGACAAAAAGGCGCAATGGCCAGAATCAAACGCGCAATCTGAACGCATCTGCACGTCATCCGTTTGTTAGTACGGTACCTTTCCTCTCAAAGTACTCGTATGGTTTTTCACCGTCGGGCAGACCGGTGGGTGAAGGGATTCTAAAGGCTTCCAGTACGGACTCTTTAAACTCCTGAAATACAAAGTGAAATTTAAAAATAAACCAAGTTTTTCCACTTTAGAAGCCAAATTTAGTAGACCATTATCAAACATACCTGTGTTGGAGAAGTTAAATGCATTGACATCCCAGGGGACATTAAAAGTTTCATGTCAGGCGGTTTTGTTTCTTTCGCTTTTGCTACAGTCTTGAGTGTTTTAGGCAGTTTCTTCCCTCCAGATGTTTTCTTCTTTTTAACATTTACGTCATAGTTCAAGAACGATTCAAAAGACGAGGGCTCATCTGATTTGGTCTGCTCCTTTTTGTGCTTTATTTTGGCCTTTTTGTCTTTTGAAGGTCCTTTTTCTTCAGACACTGGTTTGTCTTTTCGAGTGCAGTGCTTCTCTTTAGTCATTTTTTTCCTTTTTTTGTTTTGTGCCTCTGAACTCCTCAATACTGTAGAAGATCTGTCCTCTTTGACACTGGCCAGCTTTAATGTTCCTACGTGTTTGTGACTGGATTTAATGGAAAAGGATTCTTTGCCTTCGCTGGATGAAAGTTTTTGTTTCTTATTTGACTTTTTTTCAGAACCAAATCTTCCAAAATCAGAGCTGGATTGTTGATGAGGGTCCTCTGTGTTTTTGTTTGCGAGCAGAATATCACTGTTTCTTGATTTTCCATCCCTTTCTTTCCTTTTGACTTTCTTGGAAACTGAAATGTCCCTTTGATGCTCTTGGATGTCAATGTTCTTTTTTAAGAGGTCGTTCTGAGAGATGTGCTGGTTTTCCTGTTGACATTTTTCTTGATTTCCATGATGGTCCTTTTGTCTTTTCAATTCTCTACATTGTTTCTCTGAATCAGCTTTCCCGTTGCCAGTTTTGAAAAGGGCTTCATCTGACGTCTGACTCTTAATGTGAGATTTTAAGCAATTATTGTTTGAATCCTCCATTGTAAGACTTCCATTATTTGGAGAGTCTTGCAGTTTGTCTTTAGACAAACTCTCAGGTGCATTTCCATCATCTGTGAGGCTGCATCTAGAAAAAAAACTCATTAAGATAAAAACCAGTACTATAAAATTTCTGTATACTGCTAAATTAAACAAATGTTAAAACATCACCTTCTAGATTCCTTAGGGACCAATCTTTTCCAACCCATAACTAGCGACTTGGCCAATTCTCCAGCCTGCACATGTCTGCGCAGGGAGTTTACGGTTTTGCCGATTCCAGTTTCCTAAAGAGAAAGATATATGCAGACGCAATTAAGCAGTCAAAGAAAATAAAAAATATATAGCAACTATTGTGACACAAAATATACTCTTTGCAAAAGATACTCACGGCAAGAAGGTCTAATGTTACATCGAGATCTTTGAGTTTCTGCAAAATCTTTACAACCTGGAAAGAGCGCATTAAAACACATTAATGTGAGCATGGTTTTCATGCATGTTCATGACCCAAATAAGCCTCTGAAATGGATAGTAAACTGAGGATAACCTGCCATGCCAAATACGGTGGTCCTGGTTTTGGATCACCAGTTGCTGACTGTGCGTTGGGAGCAGAAGCTATGTATGGGGACCCCACACACCCTCTTAGGCTGCTCCTTTTACCAGGAACTATAAATGGATAACACAGCCGACTGCCATGACGTCTCCCCATACAACTGAATACCTTTCTCGGATTGTGCTTAAAAAGTTGAATTTGACTTTTAATGCATCCAACTTTGAATCCAATGCAGACATTTGCAGATTTAATGACATCTAGGATTCAAGACAGGCCTGCAGAGCAGCCCCGGCCTCCACCCATGATGATGATGATGATGGACAGCAGCCACGAGTTGGACAACTGGAGGAGTTGCCAATTTTAGCAGCAAGGTGCCTCCCATTTTAAAACACAGCCGGACCCTCGAAGTGGAGTCCCGTCAGTAGCGCACGTGTAGCCATGAATAAACGGCTCCCATGAGTCCTTATAATCATAAAGGTAAGTCTAAGGAGTAAACCGGCTTTACAAAAAACCGGAGCCAATGTTTGCGGAGTCATCATTGGCTGTAAAAGGAAATAGCGTGAAGCCTACACAAACAGGAGAGTGGTCGATTGCGTACTGCAAACAATTTCTCCCCCGGAGGCATTTGACCGTCTCCTTTACGCTCCGCGCTCCTCATTGTGCGCAAAAAAATAAATAATTTATCTATGCATCTACTACCGTGGCAGACTCTGCTGTGTCCGTCAGCTGAAGTTTGAACCGCACGAGCTTCTTCGCCACATCAGAGCTGCTGTCCATCACGGAGATTCACGTGCAGCCGTCTGCACTCAGCGGGCCGCGCGCGCCCATTGATGACACCGTTATAATGGGCGGAACCGGGGACAGAATCGATCAATTAGGCACGCGCATGTCGATGTGAAGCAAAACAAGACGTGTATGTATTTAAGCCTGCAGTGGGTTATTAGTGCTAACAAACTCTCTGAAATGCCCCTGTTAGGATATTTTGACCCTTAATTATACGGGTCAAATGAATCAGAAATGTCTCCTTCAAACTGGAACCGAATAGCCTTGTTCTCCTAGAGGGCAACCAAAGATGTGCATTTCTTTTATGATTGTGGATCTTAGCACTCTACTGATGGCATATTTTCAGAAAATGTACGTTTCAAAAATGTGTACGCATCTTAGGTTTAGTCAATTAAACACATCAGCCTAGAAACTAAAGGACGCCAGACGTAGTTGGTGGGCTCATTTTTAGGCCTCATCATTTTTTTCTGCGTCTCAGACGTACGTCTTCTGCTTGCCTACAAAGTGGCAGGACTCTATTATAGCAAACATGTTCAAATGTGCAGGTAATGAGGTGGTGCTCAAGTTTATTCTGTACACTTTCCTTTTAGATTTCATCCAACTAAAATCTGCAGATAACCATTCAGATTGCCTATGAGATTACACCCCATGAATTCATTAATATTCCAAATATTTACTATTTATTTCTTTTACTAAAAGACTAAATGAGAAAATAGTGATTTCTTTCTCACTGTATACTAAAATAAAATAATCAGAGCACCACCAAGAGCCAATGATCTTTTTACAAACAACGGGTGAATGAAACCTTCACTCCCCATTGAGGAGGCCGAGCCCGTCCACAGTGTGTTGACATCAACTGATTGGAGGGACTATTGTGGGACACATTATGGGGGGAGGGAGGGCGTCGCGTGGTGCCTCTCCTCTGCCACATGCATTGCACAATACTTGATTGGCACTCGCTCCCCCAAAAGGAGGAGTTAACTGTATGTCTCCGTCAGCAGAGTGACTGCTGTTCTCTCTCTCTCCTGCTCCAGTAACTGGAGGTGCAAGTACCTTCCTCACCAACCTCAACTCCATTTCTCTGGTAAGTGGAACTTTCCCGTGCTTGATCGTTTTGCCAATTTAACATGGGCCATTCAGTGTAGTTAATGCCACAGCATTTGTCAGTTGTGTGGGATTGATTAAAGCTGTTGACCTCATTCTAAAATGAGTTTTTTTACACGTGGTGACAACAAGCTTCAGGTTTTCTAGGTTTTGGCTGAACAATGTTCAGCCAAAACCTAGTCGGGCTGTTTATGAAACATGTTGGTCTTGTAGATTGTGCTTGTAGATCAAGTCAACAACTATCCAATTAAATAAAGAAAAGATAGATAATAAAATGGATGTTGAACAGTGAGAGGACATGAGGCCTGGTGCTCAAGTCAAGTCTATAAAAGGAACGTCATGGGTGAGACGTCCAGCGTTGCTATTCCTGGACGTACTGCTGATAAATTGTGACAGATGCAAAGAGGGGCATGTTGACGCACTCACTTCGCTTCAGCATCACCCAGCAGTTGGACACGTGTTTTTTAAAGGTGTCTGGGTCTAGTGGCGTCTAAATAAATTCCACTTATGACAAAATGTAAGAAAATGTTCTCATTTCACACAATAACTTTGAAAGGAAATGTACATTATTGCTTAGTTTGAGGGGAAGAAATGGTTAATATACGGCCCAATTAAGGACAAAATGGACCCTAAGACTGCAGACACATCTTTCAAAACTCAACAATACGGGTCTATAGTTCAATCTTGTGGATGCGGCGTACCACATAACTTCCTTCTACTTACAGTTGTTGCCAATACTTAATGTAAAACCAGATTAATTCCAGGTCAAATCACTCCACGCAAGTTGCATTTGACACAATTTATTGGTTTATGTCTGCATGCACTTTTCTGATGAAAGCTGACCTGTTTTCTGTACACTTTCAGAAGCTCTGGGCTGTGTTCTGCTGCTACAGCCATGGCACCCAAAAAGAACAAGGCGACCAAAAAGAGTAAAGGAGACATAAATGAAATTACTTTAATGGTCGAGGACAGTCCCGTCAACAAGATCAACGGGCTAAACACCTTGTTGGAAGGAGGAAACGGCTTAAATTCCATTTCAACGGAGGTCACTGATTCTGTGTATGCCCCGAACCTGCTGCAGGGTTTGTGCAGCATGAGGCAGGACAGCTTCCTCTGCGATCTAACGGTCGGCACCAAGTCAAAGTCGTTTGAGGTCCACAAGGTTGTCATGGCCTCCTGCAGCGAGTACATTCGAGGCATCTTGAAGAAGGATTCATCCCTCCAGAAGATCGACTTGAACGACCTCTCCCCGGTCGGCCTCGCCACAGCGATTACGTACGCATACTCTGGAAAGCTCACCCTGTCGCTGTACAGCATCGGTAGCACTATCGCCGCCGCGATGCTGCTGCAGATTGGCACCTTGGTGAAGATGTGTAGTGATTTCCTCATGCAGGAGCTCAGCGTGGAGAACTGCATGTATGTGGCCAACATCGCCAATGCTTATGACCTCAAAGAAAGCAAGGATGCAGCTCAGAAGTTCATGCGCGAGAACTTCATTGAGTTCTCCGAGATGGAGCAGTTCCTGAAGCTCACCTATGAGCAAATCAGCGTTTTCCTCTCAGACGACTCCCTGCAGCTTCCCTCCGAGATCACAGCCTTCCAGATCGCCATGAAGTGGTTGGACTTTGACGAGAAGAGATTGAAGTACGCGGCGGAGCTCCTGACTCTCATCCGCTTCGGCACTATCTCTGCCCAAGACCTGGTAAATCATGTCCAGAATGCCCCCAGAATGATGCAAGACCCGGAGTGCCACCGTCTCCTTGTTGATGCCATGAATTACCATCTACTGCCATACCAACAGAACATCCTCCAGTCACGCAGAACAAAGGTACGCGGTGGCCTCAAGGTGATATTAACAGTTGGTGGACGCCCCGCCCTGACAGAGAAATCTCTCAGCAAAGACGTCCTCTATAGAGATGCGGATAACGTGTGGAATAAGTTGACAGAAATGCCAGCAAAGAGCTTCAATCAGTGTGTGGCAGTCTTGGATGGCTTCCTGTATGTGGCGGGTGGTGAGGACCAGAATGACGCAAGGAACCAGGCTAAACACGCTGTCAGCAACTTCTGCAGGTAAGAATGAACTGTCACGCATGAGTTTTTAGTTTGTCACATTAGTTGGTGGAAGGCCACAAAATAACTGCAAATCCCTCCTCACCTTCTTCAGATACGACCCCCGCTTCAACACTTGGATTCACTTGAGCAACATGATCCAGAAGCGCACGCACTTCACCCTCAACATCTTCAACGGCCTCCTGTTTGCCATCGGGGGGCGAAACGGTGACGGCGTTCAGGCCTCCGTGGAGTGCTACGTGCCCTCCTCCAACCACTGGCAGATGAAAGCTCCCATGGAGGTGCCCCGCTGCTGCCACGGCAGCTCCCTCATCGACGGCAAGATCCTCGTAACGGGAGGCTACATCAACAACGCCTACTCCAGGGCCGTGTGCTCGTACGACCCCTCCACCGACACCTGGCACGACAAGAGCAGTCTGAGCACACCTCGAGGCTGGCACTGCGCTGCCACCGTGGGGGACCGGGCGTACGTCATCGGCGGCAGCCAGCTGGGAGGCCGGGGAGAGAGGGTCGACGTCCTCGCCGTCGAGTCTTACAACCCTCACGGCGGGCAGTGGAGCTACTGCACCCCCCTCCGCACGGGAGTGAGCACGGCCGGTATTTCCATTTCGAACAACAAGGTGTATCTCCTCGGAGGCTGGAACGAGGGAGAGAAGAAGTACAAGAAATGCATTCAGGTTTACAATCCTGACCTCAACGAGTGGACTGAGGATGATGAATTGCCAGAAGCAACGGTCGGCATCTCGTGCTGCGTCGTCACCATACCCACAAGAAAAACCCGGGAGTCCAGAGCCAGTTCAGTGTCTTCTGCACCAGTCAGCATATAAAAGTCGAGATAGTAATAGTCTAGTTTACATGTCTAAAGGTCTCCAGCATTTCCGTTGAATAAATATTGGTTCTAAGCTTTACCAACGATCCCCTTTTTCGGGATCTAAGATGATAATTATTTAGTCAACTTTCTTCAGATGGGAAAAAGGTAATAACATGGATGCATGTTCTTTTGAAAAAGCAATTTACGGCCTTGAAACACATTTTCAGTATTCATAGTTATAGGCGTTATTTATGTTGCAGAACATTTTTAAATCAAATGTAGCAATAACCAATATTTATTAATTTCAGACAAATTTTGGGGCCAACTCAGTTGACGTAATATCCTAACCATTTTCTATGACAAATATAATGTCATTTAAAACCCAAATGAAAGATAAATCCGTAGCATGATTGCCTTTTTTTTATCCAGTGTCTGCAAAATAGTTATTACCGGTGACGGATCTTGTGACAGCCGTGTTTATGTCAACTATAGCTTCTGTGATTCTCAGGTACTCAAACAGAATGATGAGCTGAAGCTGAAATGAATATTCACATCACCTCCCAGGAGCAGTAAGGCCACAGTCTCTCTACATGTATTTCATGCAGTTGTCTTGTCGCGTCTGTGGTGTGATTTTTAAAAGCACTATTGCTGCGAAGAAATTGTTGATTATGTTGGGGAAATGTTGGGATGATGAGAGTTGAATGGGTTTAGATGTAACAGCAATACAATATTTTGTAAAAAGAAAAAATAGAAGTTGGGAATGACGATGTCAGCCTGAGCTTTCCTGGAATTCATGGGTCCACTGACTGCTCATGTCTTTGCATTTTTTGTTTTTAAATTAAAGAGATGAATTGAAGCCTCTCCGAGCCATGGTCATTTATTGAAAATACTTTTGTTGTGTTTTTTACTTTACTTACGGTATTTTGTGGGCTAACACGTTTTCTTTAGTTTATTTTTTGTTTTCCATAAATCAACAGAGTTTACATGTAGACATGAGTATTGCACTTTATTCAATTTCAATTCATATTTACCCTTTCAGTGGTTCCTTTTGTGTGATTGTTATATATTGTAGTATTGGGGTACCAAGTTTCCATTTCTACATTGAATGAGCACTTTTTGTCTGTAATCCGGTCATGAAATCTGTCCCACCCAGAGACTCATAAATATCTATATATATACTCATATAAAAAATGTATTTTTTAAACCTGTTTCATCTATACACCATTTTAGGTGATACCATTTTTTTAACCAAATTTCAAAATCTAAAACTGAAAAGAAGAAGAAAAGAAAGTTCACTGGCTTTAAGTGAGTAATCTCACACCTTTAGCCGTTGCCTGCCTCCAGTTGGTTGTCTAACTGTAAATGTAAATCCGCAAATATTTGAGCTCCTACTCATTTGCTCTAAACACACATTACATTTTTAGAGCGAGGAAACGGCTTCAGGCATGTGACAAAATGAGTGTAAGTGTCCTTACATCAGGCAGAATACCACTTAAAAGCACTCTCTTAAAAGCGTGATGCATCTAAAATCGGATTCACTATTATTCTATTAAGATTTGTTAAACTTAGAGAATTTTAAAGGAAGAGGTATCGTTGCAATGTTAAATGATAACTAAAGCTTCCACTTCAAAGTCAGCTACTTAATAGGAGAGTTGTGAACCTATGCCAGTATTTTTAATCAGTTTAGATAGATAGGGGAAATATTTCAGGAAAATTTTAGATTTGTTGAGGATTACTAAACCACATTCTTATTTGGGCCAGTTGTCAGTTCAATGGCCTTTAACTTGATCCACCCTTGTACAGAACAACACGCCCACAAGAAGATTGAGTGCCTTGTCATGATGGCATTGTTGTCTACGGTGATGCATTCAGTGTTCCTAAAAAGGTGGTACTTTCTAACTTGAATTGTAAGCATGACTTCGTCATTTTAATATTATGGTTTACAAATAATAAGAAAGGTGTCCTTTCTAGAGAACTGCTCAGTGGTGGTAATTGTTCTTGTGAGCAGCGCTTTTTAATGTGTCTTTCAGAAAATGCGTAGCTTGTATAAAGGAAATCAAATTGCCAAAATAAAGCAAAATGAAAATAAATAAACAAGCCGGTTTAAACAGATTGAAATATAATACAATTGTCTTATATATCAAGTATTCCAAAACGGGTGCTTTAGCATTTAAAAAAAACATTCAACTGAGCGATTTTTGTCGTTTACAGCTTGGCAGCACATGAACGTGGCCGTACCTGCTCCGATTGCCACGTTTGTGGGAGGAGCCTAACGACGAAGAACGCTGAGTCACCGTTGCGTCACCTCGCTCCGCCGGACGACATCACGTGTGTGAAGCCAGGAGGGCGTGCACATATATACAACACAGCCCCGGACACGAGAACTACTGGTGTGGCAACAACGGCCAAGCGACCGGTACAGCTCGCTGTCATCGCACCACTGAGCTGCACATTAACACCCATTCCCCATTATTAAACACCGGGCTTCATTTCATTTTTTCGGGGGAGCAGCCGCATCATCCTTGCGGCGTGCTTCGTGGAGCTAACGTCAAACCCAGACGTTAGCAAGCGATGCGAGCAGAGGGGCCTGCTTCTTCTGGATGCCCGCGCTGAGAGGTTCGCCGACAGGGCACGCCGCGTAACACCCACCAACGGTCTGCGGGCTTTTTTGAGGGGGGGGTTCTTCAACTCTCTCGACCGCACACGGAGGATCCCGGGCTCCGCCGTCCGTCTGGACCGAGGCTTCATGCTAGTTCCGCGCTAGCTGGACGCACAAGCTAGCTGTTGAGCTAACGCCCGGCGCGTGAGCTCTAGACGAGACAACCAGCCCGTCAGGTCGCGCGCGCTCCCCGAGCCCCGGTAGGTGCCATGGGTCTACTGTCTCAGGGGTCCCCGCTGAACTGGGAAGAAACCCAGAAGTACGCCGACCACATCAGGAAGCACGGCATCATCCAGTTCCTCAACATCTACAACAAGTTGAAGGAGCGTCAGAAGGACGTGTTGAAATGGGGCGATGAGGTGAGAATCGAGCCCCCAAATGAACGCACAAACACGCTGCACTGCCGCTTCCGGTTGATCAGTCTCTCCTGATGTTGTGCATGATGCAGCACTGTATACAAATACTGGTGGTTCAGGAAGACACTCCCTGTTTGAACATTGTCTGCTTGATCACATGTTCGCCAACACTGGAAAAGCTTCTGCTGGGGCTTGTGAACTTCATTCAGAACTAGTTTTTGCCCGCCAGCAGCCCACAAAGGCTCAGTGTACCTCAGACCTAAAGTGTTTTGATTTCGCACCATGTGGAATGCTGTTGTTTTAGATTAATCCTCCTTTCAGACGGGGGGATTACGGGGCACCACAGTCAAGGAAACACCACTGATGAATTGGAATTGATGTGACAGCGTCGGCTACTTTGTGCAGTCTGGTCTGGATTGCAAACTTAAAGTGAATAAATCGGTGTCTGTCTGACTGACAATGTGTTCTGTTTGTCTTTTAATCATTTACTTTTAGGTTGAGTACATGTTGGTGGAATTGGATGACGCGGATGAAAAAGTTCGACTTGTCCTCAATGGAAAAGATGTTTTGGAAACTCTGCAAGACCAGGGGGAGAAGATAAACCCCAAGTAAGTGGACTTGACACAGAATACATTTGGTTGAATTTACTGCAGGTATTAAAAGATCTAGATGTCTCCATTCTGTCATTTTGAACAACAAGGGCCATCACTTTCTGAGATTCTTTCCAAATAAACTGCATTATATTGCACCAAAGTTCTTCATTACTGCATAGATTTCACTTTTGTGTGCTATTATTTACTGACTTTATTTTTACACAACCTTAGCAGAGCTGAATATTTCACTGCAGTGTTACACATTGTTATTTAGTGTTTATTGTAAATCAAATTCTCAAAGTAGATTGTAGCACACTAGTCGACCGTAATAAAATAAAACGAAAGAAAACTTTTAGATGAAATGGAAGCTAAAACCTCAATGCTCACCCACACAAACTTGCACTCAAGCGGATCCGGCATGTGTTGGCATAGTTCCACCACCCTTTGTCAACGTGAGCAGTTCTCTGTTCGGCGGGACAAACTTGAAACACTTGTATCTGTGTGCAGGGAGGCATGCAGCTCTATGTCGCCAAGTCTCATCACATTATTTCACTAACCCTGAATTTTCCTGAAAGCCTTTGCCAACCGTCATATCGGACGGTATATCTATCGTGCTTTTGCTCACACTCACGAGGCAGGTTTTGCATATATTTACTAGCTGTAACTGTCCTGTGCTTCCTCCCAGTCGCTAACACGACACTGCTGTGGACTTTACTGTAGAGATGTTTGTGTCTGTGAGCAGTGTTCTGTCCAAAAGCGAGGCAATCTGCATTGTCACGGTTTTACACTAAAGGAGGGCTTTTTTTTATATATTCCAAATTGAAGCCTTAATGTGAGGATAATTTGCAGAGGGAAGCCATCAGATATCGGTCAGAGCTCCTCCATTGTGATACGGTTTTGCGTGTCCGAACTGTAGTAACATTAGTTCAAAGTAGTAATTCCCTGCAGGCGGAATAGATTTGTTTGTACGGGCTTGTGGGTGTTGCGCTTGCTTGCTGCTCGTGACGTCGGTCTGAATCCGTGCCGTCTGATTCGCCCGGGGTAAAATGCCAGTGGGAATGGAGCCGACGCATTCCTCATTACTGCCCCTCTGTCGCGCACGGCAAAGAGCACGCTCGGCGGCACAAATACGTCGTCGCTCGTTTGCCGTGCCGAGATAGCGGCTGACGCATTACAAAGAGACACCGGCGACAGTCCATTCAATCCGAAAGGTCACCGCGATACGGAGATCAGTTTTCTCAATGGCCTCCTTCCATGTTGACCTGTAAAAGTGGAATGTTGTCACAGCACCGTTTCGTGTTTGTGCAGTCACCCCACCCTTTGGAGACCGGAGTACGGCAGCTACATGATCGAAGGAACGCCGGGGCAGCCGTACGGTGGGACCATGTCCGAGTTCAACACCGTGGAGGGCAACATGGGGAAGAGGCGACGAGAGGCCTCGGCCGTCCTCAACCACAACGAAACCCTCTGCACCGTCACCGCATTTCCGAGGTAGATCGGTGGAGATGAGAGCAAATTAAGAAGATGTATTTCTAGACTAAATGGACGGAGGAGTAATAGCAGGATGATCATTGACAGTTGTTAGTTGCAGTCCTATAATAGTTCTGTGTGTTTTTATCCTTCTTTTTGTTTAGGTTAGGCTGCCCAGGCTTCACCAGACCGGAGCACCGGCCGACCCCGGTCGAGAAGGGAGTGTCAAAGTCACTGTTTTTCCCCGATGAAGCCATCAACAGGCACCCACGGTTCAGGTGGGCATCCTGCATAAAGCTTCCTCACAGATCAGCTCATGATCAAGTTGCTCGACACTTGACTCCTTTTAATCCCATTGACCCAAAAGACGAGTAAATGGTTTTCTTTATGGCCTATTTTTTTTACTGCTTTTAATAATGACGCGATTCTGTGGATTTGCCCTTTCAGCACCCTCACTAGAAACATACGTCACAGAAGAGGAGAGAAAGTTGTGATCAATGTGCCAAGTGAGTTTGAAGGAAATTTCAACAACAATTTAAACTAGTTTTGGATTATGTAGTTATCTGTTAGTTCTGTGATTTATTCTTTTAAAGATATGGCCAATCAATATTCTTGACTGTTATTTATATGTGGGCTCTAGTATATATGCTACAGCTAGCTGAGACATCATTTCCCCCAATTATGAGCATTTTGTGAGCATGCTGTCCTGCAGTTAAAACGTGTGACTGTATTGCTTCTTGTGTTTCAGTCTTCAAAGACAAGTGCACTCCGTCTCCCTTTGTGGAGGAGTTTCCTGAGGACGACGGGGAAGCGGCGAGGGCGGCTCTGCCCGACCACATCTACATGGACGCCATGGGCTTCGGGATGGGCAACTGCTGTCTGCAGGTACTGAATGAACATCTTTGTTGGTGTTTGCCTTCCAAACAATCCTTTTTTAAAATTCAAACTGATGTAAACGAGGCGCTGTAAACTGGACTACTTTGTACTTTACAATCTCAATAAGTGATTCATAAATGTACTTCAGCCTCTTTTTCTGATCCTTTTGCAGGTGACATTCCAAGCTTGTAGTATTGACGAAGCGAGATACCTTTATGACCAACTAGCAACATTCTGCCCCATAGTGGTGAGCATATACATGATGATTACTCACCTGACCCCACTTTACCACTAATCCTAAAAATGAAAAATGAACTTCTCTCTCCTGCAGATGGCGCTGAGCGCAGCTGCTCCCTTCTACAGAGGCTTTGTGTCGGATAACGATTGTCGCTGGGGGGTTATTTCTGCCTCGGTGGACGACAGGACAGCGGAAGAACGCGGCCTGGAGGTGAGCAAACGTATACACCCCCAGCGTGGAAAATGTAAATTAATTTTTTTAAATATGCATTAAGATTTTCATTCTGATTATATATTCTTTCATTATTGGGGAATAAGGGATTTATGTACACAAGGCAACATCGTAAGTAATGGTTAAATGATTTATACATTCGATTAATTTATTTTGTCCAATTAAGCAAACTCTATTTAGTTGCCTTTGAGCTGCTGGAGCTTGTTATTGTGTTTTACTGAGATGAACAACACCTGAAACAATGAACCATGAAATCCAATTTCACTTGCTGCTTCTTTAAACTTTTCTCAAACAAAAGGAAAAACACCATGGAGATACCACAGTACGAATGCTTGCTTTGGGTCGGTATTTTTATGTTAAGGATAATGTATGAAAATAACTATTTCCACTTGCAGCCTCTGAAAAACAACAAATTCAGGATCTTCAAGTCCAGATACGATTCAATCGACAGCTACCTGTCCAGCTGCGGTGAGAAGTACAACGACATTGACTTGACGATAGACGAGGAGATCTACAAGCAGCTGCTCGATGCAGGTAACGTGAAGGAAGTGATATAAATAGAAAATACTCAACTCGGGTCAAAATCCGCAGATTCTTGTGCAATAAATAAATAACTAAATGAATGAATAATCGGCTTCCTGTTTGTAGGAATCGACAAGCTGCTGGCCCAGCACATAGCACACCTCTTCATCAGAGATCCACTCTCCATCTTTGAGGAGAAAATCCACTTGGACGATGAGAACGAGTCCGACCACTTCGAGGTGTCCTTTTATTTCTAGTTCTTAAAAGAAGGCCAACGCGTTTATTAGTTAAACTGAGAAAGTCCAGTAAAAACATGAACTTGACAGACTAAACCGTAAATTCCAGCTGTGTACTTTGTGCTCCTTTACTTCATTCTAACAGGGACACTTGCTACTGAACATAGATCATTGAGAGACGGACTGTTTATGCGGTTTCATTAACTGCTGATTCATTTCAGAAAATCATGTGATTAATCAAGATTAAAAATTTGAATCATTGCCCAGCACTATTAAGAAGACACTAGAGGTTTACCTCCAGTAAGTAAGAGCATTTTCTCACGTCTTCTTGCAGAACCTTCAGTCGACCAACTGGCAGACGATGAGGTTCAAACCTCCACCTCCAAACTCCGACATTGGCTGGAGAGTGGAGTTCCGGCCCATGGAGGTAAAGAAAAACAACGGCACTGTTTTTGTGTTCGATGGCCTTTAAACGCAGAAGAAAAGGGAAAAAAAGATGGTAAGTTTGAGTTTTATTTTTCAGGTGCAGCTAACTGACTTTGAAAACGCTGCATACGTGGTCTTTGTCGTCCTGCTCACCAGGGTGATCTTGTCCTACAAACTGGACTTTCTGATCCCTTTGTCAAAGGTAAACACGGCCTCGTAGTTCCATTCTTTCATAATCTTTCAAGATGAATTCCAAACATGAAGTAGGACATTTGCGTCCTTTGCCACACGCTTTGAACCCGGTGCTCCGATCCAACGACCTCTTCTCCTCCGTCAGGTTGATGAAAACATGAAGGTTGCGCAGAAGAGAAACTCTGTCCAGGAGGGCATGTTTTACTTCCGGAAGGACATCTTCAAAGGTGGGCAAAACAAAAGGTGCAACGTCGGGTCGACTTTTAAAGCCATTTAAGTCGCTGATTCCTTTTTTTTTTTTTATATTGTCCACCAACAGGCTGCAACCCGGGGCTCGATGGCGCGTCCTCTGCTGAGAACGGCTGCGAGAGTGATGGCGCCAATGAGGAGTACACGCTGATGAGCATCGACACCATCATCAATGGAAAGGTGATTATGGCCTGACACTCGAAGACAAAGTCTCAACAGGCATCGGATGGATTCAAGCATTCGTGGTGCCCAGAGGATGAATCCCACTGGACCCAAACTGAAGCAGACCTTGTTCCCTCAGGAATAATTCTAATACTTTTGGTTCTTGCTTTCCATGTCGCCTCAGTTGTTCTTTGTGTTCATTTTAGGTGTTTCACTGTGAGCTTGCTGTCCTGACACATTCATATTGTGTTGTTTAGACAACATTTTCACCTGACTTCATCATTCAGGAGGCAGAAATGGAGAAACTTGGTTAAAACAAGTATCAAGGAACGTAGGGCAAAGCAACCATTTCTAGTAGTTAAACAGCTTTTATGCTGTTTTTTATCTGTTTTTATTGCTCACGCAAATATTAAACCATGACAGAAGAATTTATTTTAACGTATTTAAATTATATGACTACTAAGGCTGTGTTTATAAAGGGCTTGAATAAGCTTTAACATTTTGTGTTGCTCAATGAGATGTTAATGTAAGTATGTTGCGTTATTAAGGCCTCACACAGCCGCTAGCTTGGCTGCAGACTCTGGGTCCTGTTTATGCCCCTTTTTATAACTACTGCGGTTTTTATCAACAGGAGGGAGTATTTCAAGGGCTTATCCCGATCCTCAACTGCTATCTGGAAAACATGGAGGTGGATGTGGATACCAGGTGCACCATTTTAAATTACCTGAAGCTCATCAAGAAACGTGCCTCAGGTAAATTCCCATTAAACAACAAACCCTAATGTTAACAAAAGCAGATGTCTCTGTGTGCAGCTTCCCCTCTGAGCGTAACCGTAAATGTTTCTGATCTGCAACCAGGCGAACTAATGACCATGGCCAAGTGGATGAGGGAATTTGTCGCCAAGCACCCGCAGTATAAGCAGGACAGCGTCCTGACCGACAAGATAAACTACGACCTGTTCAAGAAGTGCGACGCGATTGCTAAAGGTGAAGAGCAGTGCCCGGAGCTCATTGGAAACCCGGTGAACCGGTTCAAATGAGAGCAGCTGTACAAGTGCGCAGTAGTTATACAACCTTGCATGTACGGAAAGACCAAATGTGTGGCTCAGAACGACAGCAGCCCAATTTTAAGAAATTGCAAAACAGCATGTGTGTGTGTTGTAAGAAACACACCTGCATCAAATGTATGTGTATATATACTGTATCAGAATTTTTATGATTGCAGAATTATTTTAATAGGGTTAAGACATGCAAACGGTTGTGTAATAGAAATCAGATGTGTATTTATTTTTCTCTGGAAATTAAGCCTATCTGTGTGACAATGTAAATGTAGCAAAGAGTTGTACAGTAGTCTGCTTTTAATCTTGTCTTGGATAAATACTGTACTACCGCTCTTCAAAACGTCACACGCCTTCATTTAACACTGAGTAAACGCTTTTTGCTTTTGGTAGAGGGAGTTTTTCTGTTTGCTTAAGAGACTGACATTATAGTAGGACCCTTTTTTTTAAGTAGTGCTACACGCCTTCACAGGGAAAGGGTCAACCATCTTTTTCTTTTTTTTTTCTTTGCCAAATTATGCTGCTTCAAAATAAATCCGTGCAGCAGCTGGTTAGTGGGTTTTGTATGGGATGCTTTTCAATTCAGGAACCCGAAGAAGATGATTCAATTAGATGAAATTAGTTGGTTGAGGCAACATCATCAAGCTGGATCAGTATCAGCCTTCACAAAATCTAGAAACTACTCTAACATGGCAGGGTTCTGGCTGATGTGCCCGTAGGAAAGCCTGCAGTCAACACATTTACATCATTCCTATATTGGTCAGCAACCAGAAGCTTATAGACAACGCAACTTTTCTTTGTCAAATTTAAATCATGTTCTTTCACATAACATGAGACTACAGGCCGTAAATAAATGTGCTTTGGGTTAAATGCTACGTTGCCATAGTAACAGGCCAAGGGGTTAAATGTAGATTCACTAGCTTACTTTAGTAAGAAGATATTCAATAATTGACACAAACTAACTGGGGCCGATTGAACGTGCTGGGGAGTATTATTGTGTGTCCCAAATATCACGGCTGTTTTTCTGATTGTTCATGTTGAGAGACCAGCATTAGACCGACTGGGAACAGTTTGTCTTTCCCCCACTGAAAGGATGAGATGTGGGAATTCTAAATCCAGGCATACAAGTGTTCTCACAGGTCTGAGCCAAAGACCACTCGCTAACTGATTTTGAAAAATGCAATAAAAGTGGGAAAGCACTGAGAGATGTTCTGATTAAATGGTGTTTACATTCTTTGATTCCATCACGTAGATTTGTCCCAAACAGTTGACTTGGAAGATTGTGATTGATTCAAAACAGATGTTTTCTTCTTAGATTTCATAAGAAATGTCAACATTCAAAGCCTCCTCTGTGTTTTTTATCACAAAATCAACAAGGCTTGCAAAGACGTTACTAAATGAAACCAGGGCATTTTAACATAATTCATAATCAAATAAATAAAACAGCCAAAAAATGAACATTCACAGCCACAAGGTGGTAGTATCAAACCACAACTTCACATAAAGCTGAGCCGCTGGTACAAATGACAGTTTACCTCGGTTTGACCTCTTAGACCAGATAACGCCTGGAAAGAAAAACCCATCAGGTGGAAGGACCAGAAAACAGAATCAGATCACACACAAAGCTCTTGTTGTGTTTTCCGACTCTCCTCCCCAATGAATCGGGGTCCTATATCCTATAGCCAATGTCAATATTTATTGTATCGGATCGATTGGTTGTTGCCTGCATTCATCCTCTCCTCGTTCATAGCTGTTCAAACCAGGAACACACTCATCAATGAAGATAATATCACTTCAGGCAGAATGCAGAAGTTCCCGTCAGTCTGTCTCTTTAATATCTCTAAATAAAATGTGCAAAAAAGATTAATTCCCATTTACATAAATACACATATTTATTCAACTTAGTGACTTAAAATGCACATTAGTGTTATTAATCGAAAGGGGGCTTTCTGCATGATTTCTTTGATTTGTCCTACGTTATATATAAATGACGTTGCTTTTGAATGCACCTTTTTAACGTGTAAATAAGTATTTGTACACCGGGTATTTTATGTTTTTCAACCAAATGAATGCAAACAAACGAAGAAACAGAAAAATAAAGCGAACCCCAGCTTGTGCGGTACCCGCATATTTACAGGAATTTAACTGCAAAGATCAACTTGATGATCTTTGTGAGTCCATGTGTGTGTGTGTGTGTGTGTGTGTGTGTGTGTGTGTGTGTGTGTGTGTGTGTATGCGTGTGTGTGTGTGTGCGTGCGTGTGTGCGTGGTTGCAACACACCGGGTCACCTCTTGGCTGTGTCCCTCCTGCGGGGCCACGGGCCGGCCTGCATGTTCCTCCCACTATTTTCCACTGAGCGACAAGGCTGCACGTTGTGCTCAGACCGGCCAGCCCGCCAAGGTTACACAGGCGCGTCCCCCCTCATCCTCCCCTCCCTCCCCTGCAACGTCCTCCCCGCCTCCTAAGGTAGGCAGTCCACGGCGCACAGCTGCATCTCTTCGTCCGCACTCGGTCTTTCGCTCCCCGTCTGACGCGACCGGGCCGCGCATCTTCATGGTGAGTCTTTTCTCTTCCATCGTCATTCTGTCGCTTCTTTTGAGGGGAAAGGTTTCCCGCGCGCGCGGTGTTTTTTGGGGTGATGCTGAAGCGGTGACCTCGCGCATGTGGGCTGCGATCGACAGGATGCGATAAGTGTTTTTTTGTTTTTTTTTTCATTAATGAATTCCTCTCTGAAAGTTTGATTTAGGGAATTAGAGAATGATGTAACGAGGTAACCGCCGTCATCACGTAACGCTTCCATCTTTTATTGTTAAACTGGAGACCGAGCTGCTGCTTCATTCTGTGCACCGAGCAGTGCGTAAAGAGCACGTGTGTCCCCGATGGTAGACACTATGCTATATATATAATGTATCCGTGTTAATCCAAACGTTCATGGTGGTCTTATTGCTCAAAACTTTTCAATGATGCCTCTATGCTGCCGTTTATAATTCAGGTTCAAATCGCAGATTTTCATGAATCCCTCCACGAATTGCTTAAATACATGTATGGCGGTCAGTTTAACACAAAGCCTTAATGGCAAAAGAGCGAATTGGACTTGTCTCAAAGAAGCCAACATGCATCCCTGATGCATCGGTCAGTTACAACACCTCGTGAACAGAGAATAACTTTGTAACTGGCTGTATTCTGTCATTTTAAATGCCATTGAAATTCTACCTAACAAATACAGGTACATCATCATATTGATGTCAAAATCCTCCAATAAACAATCCCGGTTAATTGATTTGCAGCACTAACTACTATACAAAATATATGGTGATAGATATATTGACATGGTTGTATACGGGCTGTCATGGCCAACCCTGACTCTTACAGTCATTATCCGCTTCAGTGATGAAAGACGTATTTTTAATGGCTCCATCGTTTAGCACAGACTGACTGACTGGCTGCTGCTCATCATGCTCTGATTAAGGCTTTGCAGATTATCTTGTGTTGTTGCAGCCGAATGCATCCCTGATAATCAGAGCATGGATATCACTGTCATGAGGATCCGCAGGATGTGCCGTATTTGGTTGCTGTAGACCAGTGACTATGTACAAGAGCAACTATCAATACTCTGCTCCCTGGGAAGCAGAACTTTTATCTCCGTTTGTCCTGTGCTGAGTATCACAATAGCATTCAAGGTACAACTGTATACCATATATACTTTGTAATAAGCATTTCTGAGTTCTCAGTCCTAACGTTGTAGAATCAACATTGTTGAACATAATCATTCGAGTTCATGATTGAAATACCTCTATTTTCCAGCTTTTTAAGTGAATACTTAAAAATATATGGTATATACGTGTTAAATGCATCAAAACAAAGGCACAGGTGTGTCCGCTCAGTTCTAACATGACTTTGCTTACAAGCTGCGTGCTTATTGGAATGGGATGCTTTGTCTAAATGTACCAGTTGAACTGGGATTTCTGCCTCAGAAATCCAAGGGTATTTTGTACAGCTGTGTTAACACTCACCTCAAACATACGCGAATCAGACTGGAGCCAAAAGACTGGAACCCATCTGCAGCTTAAATGAGATTAGTTAATCATATTATGTAAGATTATGTTAAGAGTCCTTTGTTGGAATACAGGCCAATAAGCAGAAATTCACATGGCCCTCCGTCAAATAGATTATAACCGCCACATCTGTTACATCTGTTGGAGACACGTGAGAAAGACATAGAGCACACAGAACACATTTTGTTTCCAGCAGGAGACGCAGGTGTAGAAACTGTCCACTAGTGCAGCGGTCTGTGACGTAATTGGACTGAATTGAGTCCATATTGCAGAAACATGTCAGTGTAAATACAACATTTCTATGGCTGCGATGAGGCATTTTGTGCCAAACTGAAGGTGAGGAAAAGGCCTGCAGGATTGTGCAAGTATCTCTGAGGTGAACGTCTCAAATTAGAAAATCAGCTGCAGGGATTTGTTCGTGTGTGTGTGTGTGTGTGTGTGCGTGTGTGTGAATGACCTCATGTGATATTGTTCTGGAGAAGGTGGCTACAGAGCTGTAGGTGTGAGAAAGCTGTATCAAAGCTATTACTAAGCAAGAATTCCAGGGAGGGAGTTTTCTCTATACTAAAAACAGGACTATAAAACCTAAAAGGTTTGTCCAGGGTTTGTATCTCAGTCAAAAAACCTTCAACAGCAACCGTGAGTAGGTGGACGAGGAAGTAATTATAACTTAAAACTTCTATGTTAAAGAAAAACGATCCAGGCATTCATAGAGCATTTACTTCAGATTTATATCTCTGGGTAGATCTGACTGTCCCAAGCATAGTCGTGGAATCTGAACTACGTAATAAATACTTATGCAAAAGCTACTCACCTCTTAAAGGGGAAATCTGCACTTTTCATCTCGATACACCAAACAAGGGCTCTAACTCTCACAGAGGGGAGTGATCAAGCAATAATGTACCACCACAGGTTGAACATGCACAAAGTTTAGAGATCGGCTTAGAGCTGTGTCTTTTCCGGCAATGACTCCACATGAATATTAATGTCAGTTGGATATGTAAAAAATGTTCGCTTAATGTGCAAATGATGAAATGAAAAAAAAAAACGTTCATACCGCTTTAAAATGTTTCGTCCCAATTTTAGGTGACAAATGGAGTCTTTCAATCAAAAACTGAACAGTCAGTTAGAGTCATGGATTGGACCCAGGGGTGAGTCAAGTTTGTATCCTCGTCAGCAGTGATGTTGAAATGCGTTGATCCGTTCCTATTACTCTGCACTGCACACATTACATGAACTTAAAGAAAAAAGTCTGCTGGTATTTTTCCCTCTTGATGCAGCCAACGTTTCTTTGTGTCAACATTTGTCAGTGAGCGCTGGGTGAAAACAGGTCCTCTTGATCTCCATGTTTCAGATCAGCGGGTTCGGGGATGGCTGCTGCTCGACAACTACCCACCAACATTTGCACTCACCGTCATGTACCTGCTGATCGTGTGGATCGGCCCCAAGTACATGAAACACAGGCAGCCGTGCTCCTGCAGAGGCCTCCTGGTGCTCTACAATCTGGGCCTCACGCTCTTGTCCTTCTACATGTTCTATGAGGTAAACGGACTGCTCGGCACCGAGGGAGGCCCAGAGCAATCTGTGCAGCGTCGCACTACGAATAGAGTGTAGAAGACCAAAAAGAGGGAACATTCATCGATTGTCTGTTAGATGTAAAGCTAAAATCGAAAGAAATTTAGTTTAGCTTGGAATTAAGGCTGGAAACCTGGAATGACAGCTGCAACGGCTCCGTCCAAACAGGGAACAAAATCCTTGTATGAATTAAATTTGCTAGACACACTGATTTAAACAAACATTGATTATTTGGAGCGCTGACAGTGCGAGCTAAATGTGCTGTTTAAGTGGCAGCAGCTGTGCGCTGACTTCAGTCAGGAAGTTATAAAAATATTAAGCGTTTTTTTCACACGTGTAAGTCCAAAGTATATGTGCTCCCCATCGAGCAGCCAGGACAGGCTCTTTGTCTTTCCGTTAGGGTTTTATAAGGCCCCCGTGGAGTGTTGGCTTTGTGATTCATTAAACCATGTACTTTGACAATGCCCCGGCCATGGGGTGAACTTTTGGCCGTCCAAAATCAATGTCACCTTATTGTGGATCAAAGTACAAGTCAGTTTTGTTCTTGTCAACATTCCAGGTCACAGCGGTTTGTCACATAATGATTGTGACTAAATCTGATTGTGATTAATTTAAAAGCTGACTAATGCTGCTGTGGGTTTAAAGAAACAATCAATGGGTTATAAAACATGATGAAATACTATATATATATATATATATATATATATATATATATATATAAACCACACACTTCACTTTGTTGATAGTGCTTAACTGGGGGAAGTTTATTGGCTTCTTTTTACAGCAGCAACAAAGGCAGCGTATCAGAGAATCAACATCAGGCCTCGCTTTAGAATAATTGTTGTTGGACAATTGTTGAAGGCACAACACTGTCTGTACACACACAGATAGGTTGACTTGTCCAAAGAGTACTACTCAGAAAAGTTCTGATCTCAATAATTGTTATTACAATGAGGTATTTTGTTAAGTCTGAAAAAATAACCCTGGAAAGTCTGTGATAAAGATTATGTTTAGTCTGAAAGACTCAGGCCGAACAGGGAGGGTCTTTTTATCCTTGGTTTTAATCGTATAATTGCTTTTACTTTATCCAATATACACTTGCACACTGATGTGTATGTGTGTGTGTGTGATGTGCTGTTTGTTTAGTTCTTTAATGTTGTCTTGTCATTGCATGCATGTTTTAATCGTGAATGAAACAGAAGTAACATTTCTGTTAAAAATGATTAAAGAATAAATCTATCAGTTTCCTTAAGGGAGGGAGGGATGCAATGATGTTTTCCAGTTGGACCTATAGGGAAGAAAGGTCAGGATATTTGAGCTATTAGCAGATTGTAGCTATTATTGTTACATCCTGAAAGTTCACCAGCATTATGAATAATTCACTACAGTACCCCATTAGTACAGGAAAAACGAGGTTGGCCCAGATAGGCTGCAACTATCGAGTGTTTTATACAAACATTCTTGCATTAGCACATTCCATAGTTGCCCCTTGTGTGTTACATGTTAACTTCCAACACGCTCTGTGATAACAGGTCATAAAATGAGGACCATTAAACATCATACCATGCAGTTTATTTCAGCGAGCTCCTTTTTGTCTTTTTAGGATCAATTAGATTACATCATTGTAACATTGGTGACCGCAAGCTGACACCAAACCAATAAGGGAGCAGATGTAGTTATCTAACTTGCCATGTGCCCGTGCATGTGTTTTATCAATTGTAGGAAAGGGAAAGTGGTTGTTGATCACATTTCCCTTGTAGCTTGTTTTTGTGCGCTGCTGCTTGTGTAGCTTTTGTATTGGTAAAATATTCATTCCCCTTTCTTCAGCTGGTTTCTGCTGTGTGGAGCGGCGACTACAACTTCTACTGCCAGGACACTCACAGTGCACAGGAAGTGGACGATAAGGTGCGTCAGTCTACTGCACACCGTGCAAACTTTTTTATTAATGTTAAAGTCAATTTTTGTTTCATCACGTGTTTAGCATTTTATATTTTCTGTTCTTCTTTTTGATATTATTAATAGGACAGTGGACATAAATACTGGTTATTGTTGGAACGCTAGTATATATAAATAAAAAATATCAAGCACAACGTGTGTTTCTTTCTTGCTTGGATTTCGGAACCTGTAAATCCCAGCGGATAAGCTGCAGATACAGGAGAGTCAATTTAATCTGACTCACAGCATAATGACTCTCTTCAGTTGCCCTACTGCCCATTGGAGGCGAAAACAAGGCTCGTGGAAGGTGGAAATTTGCACGGCTTTGCAATTCTGCGGTGATTAAATCGCCGAGTTTATCAATGTGCCGCTGCTACGGTACAGATAGTTAAACTGCTTTACGATCCTGAGCTTTCAAGGGCTTTTGAGAAAGACTTGTGCTTATCACCCATGACCATAGATAGCGTATGCTGGAATTTACATGAGGACGTCTTAACTGTATTTTTCTGATTTGCCAGCAGTTCTCTTCAAGACGACTTTTCTTCTGTTTTATTTCCCTTTAACCATTTTTTTGTTTTGCTGCGTCTTGTCTCAGATTACAAATGTCCTCTGGTGGTACTACTTCTCCAAGGTCATCGAGTTCATGGACACCTTTTTCTTCATATTACGAAAGAACAATCACCAGATCACATTTCTTCACATCTACCACCACGCTAGCATGCTGAATATCTGGTGGTTTGTCATGAACTGGGTCCCCTGCGGCCATTGTGAGTGTTCTAACACAACTTCTCCCTCCAGTGATTCTAATCGCTGCAGTAACCACACTTAGAGAACTAAATCATTCCACTGCTCTGATGTTGAACCCATAAGCGCTGAAAAAACACCAAGAAAAACATTAAAGGCCCTGAATGCAGCTGCACTGTGTTAAATGTGACACTTCTGATCTATGAACATGTTTCATTATTCATCAGCTGTTCACTATATTATTTCTGTATTATTTCACTGTTAATAGCTTCTATTGATTTCACATGAACTTTATAGTAACGGTTCCACACTGTCAATAAGCTAACCCTCACTTCATGGCAACACACCTATTGCATGACTTGCTGTTTGTGTCTCCTGTGTCTCTTCAGCGTACTTTGGCGCTTCGGTGAACAGCTTCGTCCATGTGGTGATGTATTCGTACTACGCGCTGTCGGCCATCCCGGCCCTGCGGCCCTACCTTTGGTGGAAGAAGTACATCACACAGTTACAGCTGGTGGGTTCGGCCCAGAGATGGAAGAAATGCTTTGATACAGTGCAGACTTTTCCTCGTCCACTAAAAGATATTTCAGGCTCTGGGTCAATGGGATATTTTATTTATGTGTCGTGTTTCATTCACAGATCCAGTTCTTTCTCACCATGTCCCAAACGATGTGTGCAGTCATATGGCCATGTAGCTTCCCCAGGCGATGGCTGTACTTTCAAATAAGTTACATGGTCACGCTCATTTTCCTTTTCTCAAACTTCTACATTCAGGTCAGTTGGTTCTTCTGTTTTTAAATAATTGATCAATGGGTTTAAAGCAGATGTCGGTCGGTGTGGTTTTATTGTGCCATTGAGAGTAAAACTAGCAATGAATTGATCTCACTGAGAAGGATCATCTTTTTATAAATCCTCTGATTGCTGTCGCCACATCAATGAGCCTCAGTGTTGCTCTTTTGTTACTTTACTACGAGGACGACGGCCATTTCAGATAGTTTGGAGTCAATGCAACAAACTTCGCCTTGCTGCTTTGAATAAAGAACTAAATGCATTTTAATCCAGGGCTGAAAATAGTCCCCAATAAAAGTTTGAGTAAGTTTGCTAAGAACAACAAACTTCACTGTTTTAGAATTGTGCAACAATTTGTACAACAATTTTAAATTAAATTCTATTCACGACCCGTTTCAAAGATTAACGTCTTCAGTGAGACACAAACAGGTTTGGTGCTGATAGGATGAAGGGAAATGTTGGAAATGTAGCATTTCCAGGATACAGGTTGACTGTAATAAAAATAGTGAATTATAACATGTTATTTCTGCCTTTCTTTCAAGACTTACAATAAATCCAGTGGTTCTCCAAAGAAGGAGCACGAAAACGGCTCTCTGGCATCAAAAAATGGACATGCAAATGGGACGCCAGCCACACACAAGAAACTGAGGGCGGATTGACCTTTGAGAATCATTGACCTAATTCTCACTGTAGCATGCGAGCTAATGCTGCTACGAGGTTTATGTATCTTCCTATCCAGAATAGTTTAGCACTCACATAGACACATAGAGACTTTCCATGGTATTGAATAATAAATTCATTTAGTAGAGCGTTGTTGCATGCTCACTGAATGAATACCTCACCCACTTTCTGCAAGTAATTCACTCCAAAGAAAAGAGAAAGCTATTGCTACCAGCAATCTAACACACATTTAGATTCATTCTATGATGCTTTTCACAGAAAAGGTTCAAAAGTGTGTGTACAGCGGAAAGTTTTATCCCACTGAACGAGGTTTCTTTCAGCTGCCAAAGGGACAAATAAAATAACAATTCTTAATATGGTCCTTAATGTGTAACTAAAGTATGCATCATATGCCTTGCTTGGCATGACTCCTTGCTCTTGTTGCATATTTCTAAAGTTTGCACAGTTTAACACTGTAAAACGTTTTTATTGACAGATTGAAGAGCAGGTTTTTACGTTTGGAATATTTAGCTGTCAAACCAAAGCATAGTGTACTTTAGGGGCTCATATTCAAACCAGTTTGAGGGCAAGTCAATTTTAAAATATAAATATAAAATCCATTCTCCTCAAACCCCCCCGTGTTATTAAAAGCTATTTGTCTCCTCTCAGATGAATACAATATCTACTGTAGCCCTATCCATTAAATATAATTAAAACAAATTAAACATAGGTCTGCTCATTGGTAACTATGTAGATGGCCTATCAAGTAAATCATATTGTAAAATTCAAAGATAAACACTAAAGTAAAGTACATTCAGATGAACCTGAACATATTGTCATGACCGTGGGAACAGCAGATGAAAAAAGATCCATTTGGTAGATGCTGTAAAGCTTTTGACTTTCCCTCAACTCATTGAACTAAAAGAATAGAAATTCATGACAACTGGACAAACCCCATCCACTGAGGAAGATAATGTGACACGATCAAAAGCTCCAAAGCAGCTACCGAATGGATCATGAGATGGAATTGTTTTGCCAGTAAAATGTAGTAGTTTTCATGAGTCTTTATATTAATATGGTGCCTTCTGGACCAGTTTATTTGGTTTATAATTTAGCATTTTTCATCTTTTCAATATGCTATGACCAGATTCATGTTGGTCCAAACTTCCAGTTCAGATCCTGTGCCTGATGTTTCTTTTTTTTGATATATCAAATGTCCTTCGCTGTCACTCACTGTCGCAACAGTGATGTTTATCTGGTATCAGACAATAGAGATATGCTCGTACACTGTCTTGCTCAGAGTTAGATGAGAGGAAGAACATTTCCCAAAATTTGGAACCGATCACATTTTACCACATTGAGATGTTATTAACGTTAAATAATAGTGTTATGACAAGATAGCGGATTGTTGTCTATTTGAGGAAAAGAGGTTGTGGGGTTTGAACTATTTATTCCTTTGTCTTCCTTATGTTTATGTTATTGACGTTTTAACTAAACCACTGTCAGGTAGATGCTGGTATTGAAGGCGATGGTACGAGGATGTTTGAATCATGAACTCTGCAAAACGCATTTTTTCTCAGTGGAGCGTTGCTGCACTCGCTGCCACGCTGAATCAATTTCATGAGGTACTGTGTGGCCTTAGCATGAGCACAACATGTTGCTCAGATGTATGTATATGACCTAGATTTATTTTTAGCGCAGCAGAAGTTGTCTTTAAATTCTTAATAATTCTTTCAATTTTGTCTGCATGATCAATCTGATTTGTAGATATCTGCCAATAAGAGAAAGCCCGTTGAACATCCATGAGCTAAAATGAACTAAACTAAAATGTAATGACGCTAAATTACTATTAGTATTACCAGCTACACGCCATCCTGCTGCACTTCCTCTTTTGTAGTGCTAAAGGTAATAGGGTCGATATATTTAAGGGCTGGATTAGCATTTAACAAGATCCCAATTGGTAAAAGCCAAGGAAGCATATGTAAAGATTTATTACATTTTTATAGACTGTTAAAATATATATATATATATATATATATATATATATATATATATATATACGGTATATATTTTCGGAAATGTGGGGTGAATTTGGGTTGACATGTTGTGATTTACGCTTTAATCTCTGTAACTCATTAAAAATAAACTGAGATTATAAACCTACTTGTTTTGCTTCCTTGAAAATGATGTAAATGCTAGAAATAGTGTAGCTTGTAGATACACAATATCTGTACACCAGAGGAGTAGAGTTCACCAAGCCTCATTATTGTTCACATTTTTATTTCCATCTATTGTTTGTGTAATCCTTTATTGTTCATGCTAGAGAGCTGGTTGCGATGAGGCTCGTGTGTCTGGTGTTATTCACCAAATGTTAACTCGCTAAGATGTGATCATGGTGGGAGCTACATGTTATCATCATTTACCTCAAAGCGTCATTGGGCCTCTTGTATGGTTTGTGAATTCGGATGAGTGTTAATGAAAGGCAGATTTTTAAAACTATGCGGTGTTTAGTGGTCTACTGCAATTTATCTACATAGAAATATTATGCTTGACATTATGCTCAAACATGGGTGTGGCTTTTCTTTGTGAGCCTAGTTATGAAGCAGTGTTTGTCATAACGGACTGCTTCATTTTATTAGTCAGATTGTGTCTGACGTGGCTCGGGAGTGTTTGTTCATCTCACCATGTGCCACAACGCAAGAAACAACCAACAAGAAACTGATACTTTCCTTCAGATACTCTTAAGAATTCCTCTCTATCCCTGAAAGGACTGAAATAGTCCCTGTGAATCCTTTACGCTCTGACCTCCTCCTCACCGCGTGTGTGTGTCACACAGCTTGCATCTGATAGGAGGAAGGAGCCTGTGAGCTTTGGTGGCGTGTCTGCCGGCCCGCCAATATGCGCCAATAAATGTGGCCGTTCAAAGTGAGAAGGCAGCGCAGGCTCCTCCCACTACAACCACTTTAGGGCCCTTGAGCAAGGCCTTAACTCCCCACTCCACCCTTTAGCTATATATTGATTTGCAGGCATGACAATACGTGACAAAGTTATTGGCAATTAATCCTCTACAGGGCTCAATTTGTGTAGATACCCAAGGTACAACAAAACGTTTTTTAAATTATTTTCATGATTAAAAAATGATTTGGCAAAAAGAGAATAAAACCAAGATAAACCAAAAAAATATATATATATCTTATTTGCCATCTAAGTTAGTAATTTGCGACTGACTACAATCATTCCTTTAGAATATTTTTGGAAAAACCAACAATAGTAAAGTCAGCAAGGCAGACATCATTTTAGCCTAATCCAACACAACTTTCCCATTTATTTATTTTTCTATGCAAATCCTTTTTGATCTGTCGAGCTACGTTCCCAGAAAATGTAATGCGTGGATTATGTCCGTGTGTCCCCAGCGAGACAAATGATCCACTGTAGAAGTCTCTGAATCAAATCAATCGGACCTCTATAATTCTACTATGAGGCATCATTTTTGCGTGTAGCTGTGTGCACATTACTTTCTCAATACCTTGAGGTTCAACAAAGTTGACCAATCATCTTCTATAACTTATTCAGTTCAAACAAATCAAAACTATACAGGAGTCATTTTATTCACCACTGTTTATTTGAGGGAGAAAGTGCGCCGTGAAACAAACACCATATGAACATTCCTTGCTTGGGGCGGGTGGGAAAGGTTGCTAATTCCTTTAGCTCCCAGAAGGTTATCACCATTTCTGAAATCAGAACATAAGTAGTATTCTATCATGTAAACCTGAAACATAAAGTACCTGCATGTAGGAAACCAGAGGATTCATATGTCGAGACTGTAATGCTGCAGCAACACAAACTAAACAAGCAGAGTATGACTTTTCTTTCGATGGAGGAGGAACCGTGTCTGTGGTCTTTAATGGGATCAAATGCATGTTGTGGAATCAGCTTAAAGCGGCTGATCAGAAAAAGCAGTGTAGCTCTTCACACGCGCGAAGAAGAAGGGGGTGTACATGCTGTCCAGGTCAAACGCCGTGATGACCGTCTCCCCGGTCAGCCTAAGAACACAATCAAGGTCAATTTAGAAACAAATAGGGGATCTTGTTCTTCTCTTTTACCGCTTATTTTCATGTTGTGTCTCTCACTTGTAAGTGATGTGGCAGGAGTGGTGGATCCACACCAGCTTACTAAAACTCTGGCGCCCCCCCGAGCACAGATGCAGTCCCACGTGGAAGCTGTGCTCTGCCTCTGGAGGCGGGTTCCGCCTGCAGAACCGATTCCTTTGAAACTCGGTCGCTTTCTGTTGGAAAAATTACAGCGTTTACAGGCTGTTTTTATTTTAACATTTTTTTGTACGTTTTAAATGAACCTGTCAAGTCAGGTTAACTTTACCTGTCAGGTACTCATGCCTGATTTTCACAGCCTCCACCGTAATGTGAAGTGAAACTAATGTCTACATTTCTGAAAGTTAAAAGACGAAGTGGATCCACATGCAGCAGAGGAAATACTTTGAAATGTAAATGTTTGACTAAATAAAAAAATCCAAATCTGTGTTTAGATCTGTAAATGTGTACCAAATGTGTAAATGCATGTACATAGTCATTAGTAACTGAAAAGTGTTTATCGCCAAATGCTGGAGGAACCAGCACGTAAAATTTCAAGTAAAATTGTATTTAACTACAATGATGGTTGCTTTGGTAAAATATCACATTACAAACAATCAGTACCTGAGCTTTAAGAAGGTTGCACAATAACCAGTTACTCCTCCCCACAGTAAACATCTTCCTCTCATCCCATAAAAACATATTTCCTCACCTCCTTTTTCTTACAAACAACAGCAAAAACTTTGGTTTGATTGTCCGTCTCCTGTGACAGACGGAAATGTCCGAGCAGAACAGAATCCATTCTAGAAAACCAAAGAAAATTTAACAGTCGTGCCGCCGCTCACTGAGGAATTCATTATTCATGTCCTGACGTCCGCTCTAGCTGAGCTGGCAGGAAATAACCGTTGGTGTACCTGATGTTCTTAGTACGCAAGCGAGGAACAACTAACAGAGGGTCTTCGGGGGTGGTCACCATGACGACGTGACCATCGGGGAAGAACCGGAGGTACCTGTGAGAACAACGTCAACTCATATCCGTGATACCCGCACAAGTCACGATCGAGCAATGGGAGTCAAACATCTACCTGTAGTACTCAACGTGATGCCACGCTCTGTAAAATCCATCCAGCGATTCCTCTCCTTGACGGATGTATGATGTCTTGCTGATATAAACACCTGCAAAAGTTCAAAATCCAGTAAATCATCTTGGGATTGGATTGGATTCATACAACAACAAAAAAAACGGTACATTGGCCAGTATTCACTCGTAAGAAGCAAAACCAAGATCGGTCCAATGTTATTTTCACTCGCGATATTTAGCCAAATGGCTATTTGAGACAATTGGCTTTGGAACTGGTGTTTTTTATATAAATATTTAAATTTGCATCTTTGACTTCAATCAAGAAATCCTTATTATACGATCATATGGTGGTGCGGTAGCTGTGCCAGTACTGAAAACGAAAACCTAATCACCATCGAAACGAACTCGAGGCCTTTGCAGAAACATCTCCCTCCAGGATTTAAAGGGCACGAGTTTGGTACACTTCCGTCCCCAAACTCTCGAACAGGCCAAATGCCAAATCTCCGGGTCCCTGGAGAAAAAAAAAGAAAAAAAGATTTGAGTTGAACTTGCACATGGAAATAGAGAAGCGAGCTGTGCAAAGGGAGGCTGTCCCTCATCTAATCAGTTACGACAGAAGCTCTGACCTTGAACAGATGTAAAACCCACGGCAGACCAGAGAGAGCTGCTCCAAGGCTCGCATGTCCAGATCACTCGACACGACCCAACGGAAGATGTACATCAGAATTTCACGTGGCAAGGCTGCAATTAAAAAAAAAAGAAAAGCATTCATTAAAATACATATAGACATTAGATATGTAAAAAAAAATATATATATATATATATAGATTTTACCTGAAATGTGCATCGGAGTCAAATCCATCTCAGGAGTACAGATCTTTGGAAATGAGCTTTCCAGAGTGAGCTCCTGCTCAAAGTAGGAAAGTAGATCCTCGATTTCACCGTCCACATTGTTGTCCATGCTGGTATAAAACAAATGTTTGGTTTTAGACTTGAGAATCTCACTGTCCCTCATAACGGCCTGCAGAACACATCATTCACCTTTCAGACATGAGCGAGGACTTTAGAGGAGCCTGTGTGGGTTTGAATGGGTCAGCACACATCAGCAACCCGGGCTTCATCACCCCACATTAACGCACATACGCAGACCAGAAGAGGTTTAGGCTTAATGTTGGACATGAAAAAGAAAAGGCTTCTTCAGTCAAACTCTTTCCTATTGTGCATCTATTTAACAATGGATGTAAAAGGATTAAGGTGTTGTGTGATGTTTAGGTTAAGGTGTTTGGATTGTCTGTTCTGGGCTACTGTAGAAACATGGCTGTGAGTCTGTGAGGAAAACCCGCTCTGCTTGAAGATGTAAGTCTCTCATTCTGAGCTAACCAGAACACAATGATTCAGTGTACAGTACAGTAAGCATCATTATTATTATTATTATAAATGCAACACACTGCTCCTTAAAGATGAAAATCACATTGATCTAATCATTGACAAACAGACCTTTCACACTGTATTGATACATTAGGGAGTAAGATTTAGTAATAAAAAACAAAATAATTCTGCTCACTAGCTTCCTCCACTCCGGTCTGCATCAGGAGGACGGCTGTAGTTGATTTTAAACTCAATGTCAGGCACCAGCTGCATAGCCATGCGATAGAACTTGATTGCTGCAAGCACAGAAAGAAGATAATAACAGCATTTCTGTTAGTTCCTAAAGTGAGGAAGAAGTTGTTTTGTGATGAAGTGAACACTTCGTCATGTCAGCGGTGACCGGGACCAGCGCACATCCTGCACACGTACCCTCGTAGACGGCCCCATTCTGCTCTTCCTGAACTGCTCTTAAGAACAGCTCGGTGGCCTGAAGGAAGAGGACATCCGTCATTCCAAGGCCCCGTGGCGTTTAGTGGGAAGTGCTCGGCAATACATCCAAGTACGCGACCTGGAGGAATCATTTTCTTACCTTCTCCTCCCGGGCAACGTCCTGTGTCCTCTTCAGACCTTTAGCTCGCAGAAGTCGGCCACTCGAATCGCTCGCTCCGGAGCTCAGCGTGAGCTCCGACATCCACTGTGCTCTGAACACGTTGAGCTCCACCTGCAATGCAAAAAGGGATTAAGGGCCAAAAGCAATGGAGGGCTTCTGTGTTCTCAATCGATCATGGAAGGATTTATCGGGAATTATTTGTGAAAATGAACAATTTGAAAAAAAGGTCATATTTTATTCTATTTTAGAGTAAATGTATTTATGTACTACTACATGCTATACCTGCCCTGCACATTATGGATTTGTGTGACACTTTCAACCAATACGCTTATTGAACCTATATTCAAATTTGAGTGAGTGGATCTAGCGGGTTTTTTCAAGGCAGCAACCTGTGAACCGTTTAGTTGAACAACAGAACAAACCACAGGAATAATACTGTAACGTTCTGAAGGAAGAAGAGATAATAGCAGTTTAAATTAATTTAATTAATTAGAACAGAAGATGTTGATTGTTATCTACTGCTTGTCTATGTAAGATTCCCCACCTGCAGGTTTGGGTCATCTGCACCTTCATCTTCACCCTCAAGTGTTCCTCCAATATCGTTTTTTTCTTCAGCCTGTACAAAGAAGAAGTTACATTTTACTTCATTTCATCAAAAGCCAATCAATAATATATAGTTGTTTGTCCTCAGAAGCTGTTTATACTGTAGTTGTAGTTGTTTAGTTACATAAGTTGTAACTGTAATTACTTTGTTTTACTCTTTATATAAAATGCACTTACCAGACTGACTTTATATTGAGGTTATTGGCGTTAACTATTTTATTTAAATTGAAAAGCAAGACATTGATTTTCAGCTATCCTATATTTTTAAATGAAACAAATAAACATAGTTTTTGAGAATCATAAAACGCAAAATATTTGCAGTTATTAAAATGTTGTTTTGCTTTGTAAAAAGGACCAGAACAATAAATCGGTATAATTGTTGTTGACAAAGTTAAGAAATTGCAGGGCAGAAAATAGGTTTGCCTCTGCCTTTCATTAAACAAGTTCATACACTTTACAATTAGTTGTTTTATTCTTTTTTAGCTTTCCTATTGTCTCTGCTCTGAGAGCACAACTTGTAATGTGTTTCTTTTGCACTTTGTCTTTAACGTATTGAGACACGTTTTTGTTTTGATAATATGGCAAAAGCATTTTATACTTCAAATCAGTTTAACGGCATACAATTATTTATTATCTATATTACAAATACTTTCGTTGTGTCTTTGCGTAGTTGTGTGAGCCTGTGGACGTCCATGTGATCAATGGAGACAACTGAATTCCTCCATTACTTCTTCACGGTTACAGTGTCACTACTTTAGTCAAACACCTGGTGCACGTTGTGGGCCGTAAAGACAGCGGTCACGTGGTTAATAACGTGAACGTGCCCACTCGACCGGACATGACTGGACCGCTGGAGCAGAAGTTCAAAAGCTGTGATTCATTTCATTATTAAACCTCGCTAACAGCAACACGACTGAGTGGAACTCGCACCCCAAGGTCTATGCTAACAGACGACAACGACAATTAATCCCTCCCAAATATCATGCGAGCAATGTCGTTCATTTTAGAAGACGTGTCGCTTCCCAGGTTGTTGTTGTTGTTTGGTAACAAGCTCGAGCCCGGCGGCGGCTGATCTGACGTCACAGCTAATGCCACGGAGGGGTGCGTTAGCCTGCTAGCTAGCGAGCTAGCTAGCAGGCTAACGCACTTCTCTCCGGATAACCAGCGAAACAAAAAAAAAAGCGCCGAGGGACCCACCATGACAGCTGGGCTAGTAGGCGTCCTCTTTTTAATATATTCCTCACGAGCGTTCAACACCGGGGCTTACAGTTCACGGTCGGAGAAACGCATAACGCAACGAACATATTTACGAGCTCGCAGGAACGCAGCCATTCCGCCGAGTGGCGCGAGGCTCCGGCGCACAGGAAGTCAGGAAGGCTGCGAAGTTAGAAAGAGAGAAGAGAGAAGAGGAGCAGGTCCAACAAAATGACCTGTTCGTCAACGAGAAGCTGTAATAAAAAACTTTAATCCATGTGTAATTATGTGTTATGGCGGACTCTTGAGAAGTGTAAACGGTGTAAATTATAACAAAGGAGAGTGGCAAAACTAATTAAAATCACAAGTCCTGGGCCCTTAATGAGATAATGATTCTGCAACCTTCAATAACGCTTTGAGGACTTTCCCATTCGGTGCATTCGTAGTAGGAATTTTCCCATAATTTCTGTAACAACCTTTGTATAACTTATTTGGTACAATTCCAGAGGTTCTAACTTTAAAGCTGAAGTGGCGTTTTTATTTGCATCAATTGTATTATTTGTATAAGTACCAGTATATAAAAAATGGGGCTGCACCAACATGTATTTCAACATTGTGGATTAATCTGTCACATACTATCTCAATTAGTCAGTTTATTTCATAATGACAGTCGCCCAAACGGACTTCCCATTCATCTCTGTCACAGTAGCATTTCATGCATGTATATATTCTTTAACTGTAGAATGAAATAAACTGCATTTTGATCATTAACTGATTTAAAAGGTCAAAAAGCTGTTAAACTTTCCCTGAAAAGCAGTGCATGATATCTCACTGAAGGATGCCACAAGGACACATATGTCTTGTGGCAATCTAGCCAATTGTATTTTATCCCCTGCTGCGTATATGTGTCTTCGTACGTACAAGTAAATAATTCAATGAATAGCTTGTTACCCTTATTTATTTGCTGTAGTATCTATGTAGTAGATGTTTAAATATGTAGTACAGTACATACGTGTGTACAAAATACATGTATATCCTTTAGGGTCTTGAAGAGGAATTAATGAACGGAACCATCCACTTTACTTGAGGACAACGTTCTGAGCAGAGAGGCAGACTGCAACACAAGAGAACTCCCCCCTGACCACTTCCGGCTTTGCGCCGAAAAAAATCCTTTCTGGTTCTTCGTGGTATTTCTAGAATATCGGCCCTATTTTAGTTTTCATTATTCTACATGATGCTTATTAGGACATAGAACACACATTACTATGTATCGAGATGCTCAATGTGGATTTCAATGGCAACGTGTTCGGACTTTGGAGCTCGGGGTGCAGTGATTTTTTCCCTCTTGTGTTTGTATCTTCGTGGGCTGCGCAGAGCTGTGATTTTTGTGTAGCAACGCGAGACTATGACGCGCTCTGCGACGAGAGGGCCCGAATAAAATGTGTTTATGTTTATGACCCGCTGGATGCCAGCTTCTGTCTTCTAACGGCGTCGGTCGGCCAGCAGCTTATCCCGTTTAAGCCTTTTGTTGAAGATCGACCACCAACGACCAACCATGTGTTGTTGTCCAATAGACGCGAGAAGGGTGAGTGATGTCCGCTGTTACTCGTTTTGTCTTCAATAAGCAGAACATCAGTCCAAACGGGCCTTTTCCCCTCTTCTTCCTCCTCTTCTTCTGTGCAGCGCTTTAATGTTCGCTGCATCTGGTTCAGCACCACAACACCATCATATGCTGTTTTCATTGTACCACGTTTTGCTCCACTGGCTGCACGGTCGATAGAATTAAACCACAATAATACTTATTATAATACATGGTTTCGTGCTCAGTTGCCGTTTCGTTAAGTTAGCTTTGCTCAGTTACGTTAAAGTAGGATTACCTACTGGTTTAGCTAAATAAAAGATATGTAAATAGTATGATGCCATCCTGGTGGAGGATGCTACGATGACCATGCTAAGATGATGCTACGATGATCATGCTAAGATGATGCTACGATGATGCTACGATGCCTGTGGGCGCTTTTTTTTCTAACGTAACGTTACTTTCTATCAATAGTGCGCTATCGTAAGATGTGCGTGATCGTGATTGACGTGTGTTGATGTTTGTCCGTCAGGCATCATTCTGCACATTGAAGCTCAAACATCAAAGTGGAGTCCAAACAGTTCTAACATACTTGAGAGTGTTCGGGAGACTTTTATTTTCTGTAGTGTATCTCACGGGGCCCCAATGCTTGTAAAAACTAATTATTAATTCATTTTTTAGAAGTGGCTTGGATTGTGAGGATGATCTGAGCCGGCCTGCTACATACTCCTCTTATATACACAGAAATGCCAATATGGGAATATCAAAGATTCACTAATGTTTTCCAACCATTAAATGTCTCACCCATTTAGTAGTAAGCTTCTGGTGAAATGGCCAACATAGTACAACAGCTGGGCTTAATAACTAACCGCCCCCCCATCTTGAATCCCTCACCTTCCCAGCTGGGAGGCGGCAGTCCCATGAAACCATGAGTCCTCCAGCTCTGCCTGTGGTCTCCTGCTGTTGTCACAGGAAAATCTGGTTGCATTCAGCGGCGAGCACTCTATTTTTCACCCAATTATGATCTCCCGCCTGGATGCCGTGGATGGACGAGCATCATGAATAGATACACAACTATCAGACAGCTCGGGGATGGTACGTATGGCTCCGTCATCCTCGGCCGCAGTCTGGAGTCAGGAGAGCTTGTGGCCATAAAGAAGTGAGTATTCAAAAGGTTGTTTCACCTTTTTTCTTCTGACACACACATTTGCAATTTGTTTGCAAAAAATGAGTAAATCGGTAAACTGTTTTTCAGAATGAAAAGAAAATTCTACTCCTGGGAAGAATGCATGAACCTTCGTGAAGTTAAGGTTGGTTTATCCTTTCAACATTTTTAGCACAATTTCACACATTTGAATAGCAAAACACAATTATTGGAAAATGCAAACTTGAATCGACTTGAATATTTACTATATGCATCCATGATACAAATGCTGAATTTACTGAATCATTGCTCCACAATTTGACAGAGCCTCATTTTTTCACAGACATGTACTTAAATAAGTTGACATCAAGTAGCGAGTCATGTCTTGAGTGACCAGACGAGCAGCCTTTTGGTGCTGCACCCTTTCGCTCTTGGTTCTGTGTGGGTTGGTGAGCAACTGGTATAAAGTAGATATGTAACATTGGGATTACTGCAGGTAATGCAGGGATGATAATATGGTTATTAATACGCACATTTAGACCAATTGTCAACATTTCTGTTTGTTTTCATACCAGTTCAGTGTGTTAATGTCTAAATTTCCTCACAGCTCAAAGTCACACACCAGCTCAAATAGTTGAAGGTGATTCTTGTGTGTGGTTGGTTTTCCCTGGCTTACACGCTCCCTCTCGCAGAGCTTGACCGTCAAGCGGGAAAACATGGTTAGACTATGCGGCCACTAGAGGTCAACTGGATCATAATTACAGCATGTCACACCTTAAAATCTCCAAATCCCATCGCAGCTTTTCCCCTCTTTACGGAAACTTAGCATGGTTAAACCTATGTTGTCCCAGTGCAAAGGAGGACGGTATGTTTTTCTGTCCTGCTTTATACTTCCTCTTTTTTTATTGTGGTTTTAAAGTTGGTTTTAAACTTTGGCGGCATTTACCCCCAAACTCTATGTTTCAACACGACGCTTCTGTTCCTTAGTTGTAGGGTGTGCTTTTGAATGTGCTGCAGTGACCTGTGTGTGCTGTCCAGCATGGTTGGATTGAATTTTTTAATTTACATTTTTTTGTTTATCTGTTCCCACGTTTCTTACATGATCTGTTTAATTTATTCCTACAGTCCTTAAAGAAACTCAACCATGCAAATGTGATCAAACTTAAGGAGGTTATTCGAGAAAATGACCACTTGTACTTCATATTTGAGTACATGAAGGAAAATCTCTATCAGCTAATGAAAGATCGGTACGTATAATTACATTTTACTTCATTAATCACACTGTTATAAATGCATTCAGTTTCTTATTCAGTTTTCTAACTCTTTTTTTCCTGCAGGACTCGATTGTTTCCTGAATCTGCCGTAAGAAATATTATGTTCCAGATACTACAGGGACTCACGTTCATTCATAAACACGGTACGTCTGTTTTATCACTCCGGGAGGCTGAATTAAATGTGGCACATTTGACGTTTTGTGCCAATCGGGTGGAGATGGTCACGCAGTGGTCTTCTTCTTTGTTAGGCTTTTTTCACAGGGATATGAAACCTGAGAATCTTCTGTGCATGGGACCAGAGCTGGTGAAAATAGCTGACTTTGGGCTTGCCCGTGAAATCAGATCTCGACCACCATACACGGACTATGTCTCGACCAGATGGTGAGTGGCTTTCATCGTGAACGTAGCGCGCCTTGTTTGAAAGTTCGGTGCGCTGAGGTTTGAGCACCTTCTCTTTGTGGACCAGGTACAGAGCCCCAGAAGTTCTCCTCAGATCCACATCCTACAGTTCGCCCATAGACCAGTGGGCCGTCGGCTGCATCATGGCAGAGCTTTACACCCTCAGGCCTCTCTTCCCGGGCTCCAGTGAAGTCGACACCATATTCAAAGTTTGCACAGTCCTGGGCACACCAAAGAAGGTAATGTTCTTAGGTAAAATAAGAGGATTATTTTTATTGGTGCCGCATCGTGGAGATTTACAAGATTACAGCAGCGAAGATTGAAGTGCAAACAGATATAGAGCACCAGTCCGAAGTTTGGACACACTTCTCACTTGAATGACTTGAATGAGAAAATTTTTCCAAACTTTTGACTGTTACTGTAGTGCACAAAACTACACAAACTACTATTGTGAATAAGCAGTAATAAAAAATAGCAATCCACAATAACTGGATAAAAACTAGTATATGTTCAGAACTATTATAATTGGTTGTTATTTTTGTGGTCCACTTGGAGCAGAGCTGGTTCACACGTGTGCAGCAAAATTACAAACAAAGAGAGATGGATATGTCTGCACGGAAGCGAGTAATTAAATAAGACATATGATGTATTGTACAGTATAAATGTGTCTCACAGTGGAGGTGTGTGTGTTTTCCCACTTCTAGAATGATTGGCCGGAGGGATACCATCTGGCAAGTGCCATGAATTTCCGATGGCCTCAGTTTGTTCCGAGTAATCTGAAGACACTGATCCCAAATGCCAGCCCTGAAGCCATCCATCTGATGACAGACCTGCTCCAGTGGGATCCCAAAAAGAGACCAACTTCAGCACAGGTAGTGTCTGACCCACACATCCTCATCATAGCTCAACAAACGGAATGGAAGCTGACGTTGCCTTGTTCCAATCTCCATGTCTGTTCAGGCTATAAGGTACTCTTACTTCCACGTGGGGCAAGCTTTGGGCACTCCTCAACAGATCCTGGAGCAAGGTAGACCTCAGCCGGGCCTTGTGCCGCTGCAGGCTCCTTTACAGATGCTGCAGCAGCAGCCCTTGCTGCTTAAGCCTGTCCCCCCTTCCCAGCCTCCACCTCCCACCCAACACTGCTCCCCCTCCAGGACTCTGCAGCAGGTCCAGCCCTCCCCCGGCTCAGCAGCCGCGCAGGCGGGCGCGTACCAAAGGCACACAGAGCTGCTGCGAGAGCAACAGCCGAAGCACATCATGAGGCCGGAGCAGAGCGGAGGAACGCCACAGAGCCGTCTTCCCTACATTGTTGACAAGAGTCTTCAGAGCAAGGTGAGGCTGGAAACATTATGCTACCAATAACGGCAGATCGACGTAAACAGTATTGGAAACAGTAAACAGTAGTGGAATTGTGGTACATATTCCTTGCACGTATGTTTGATGTTGTTCTCGTTTAGCAATCAAGACAAGAGACGGAAAAAGCAAACCTGCTGAGCTATCAGTTGAAACCTAAAGGGGGGGGGCGGCGGCGCTGGGGCCACGGCACAGGACACCTCAAGGGGGACGACTGGGACGACGATGAAGAAACGGATCCGACCTCTATAAGTATTCTCGGGAAAAGTACCTTCTCCACAGAGAAGTCGAGACGAGGAGAGGACACACTGAGCAGGTGAGGCCAAGAGCTGTCATCACATGGTACGGAGTCGGGCGCATTTGCAGTGTACTTGTATCCAAGGGAAATATGCAAAGAGGGGGTACTAGATATGTAGCCTGTGCCATTGTCCTTACATCACTATTACTACAAGCAAGTACCTGGCCCTACCTTCGTCTCATTCGTTGCCCGCTGTCTTTCAGATACGGACATGTTCTGGATTTCAGTCGACCCAATGGGAAGGAAGAGGCACCTTTAAACCTGAACAAGAGCGCAGCCTACCAGGAGCCGCTGAGAACCGCCTCCGCCAAACAACATTACTTGAGGCAGTCAAGATATTTACCAGGTGCTTTGTGAATACTTCCACTGAGGGAAGTTAGTTGGACGCAGAGTAGTCTTAAATAATTTAATTCTTTATCACCAGTGTCTGCTGCAGGTTTCATGCCCGAACTTTTTGATGATTGATGATGGTAATGGTTTAAATTAGCTGGTTTGGTTTCCAGGTCTTTTGATTTATTTGGGGTGTTTTTAGGTCAACCACAGGCTCTTTGCGTGCTGGTATTCAGCAGGGTCAGTCAAAGTGGAAGGGAGTTAAAACAGAGGAATCTGTATTTCTGCAGGAAACTGTTTGTACCTGATCATTATTGCAGCTTTCTTTAATAATACTCATTACGTCTTCTTTGTGACAACTGGGCATTTGAATCAACACATCAGGTCCTCTCCGGTGGGCCTGCTTTTTTCTTATCAATTTATCTGAAAAGTGTATGTGATCTCTTATTGTCCCCCTCAGGCATTAGCACAAAAAAGAACATGGCCATAAATGCCAGTAAAGACGCAACCGGAAGCCATCTTTGGGGCAACGGCGGTATTCCATTTGGAGGGACTTTGCCGAGCAGAGGCGCTCATGGTAACAGCCCCAGTCATCCTCCGCTAACCCTACACTGTAATCTTTGCTGTGAACTCTTCGTTTTCGCTACCATTCAAGTGAACAAGTCTGTTATTTTTTGTTTATTCAGGCACAAATACAATCCTGGGTGGATACATGCCATCCTTTTACAAAAAAGACGTGGGTTCAGCCGGTCACAGACGGCACCAGAGTCCTTCTGTGGAATCAACCGCATCAAGTGAGGACTCATTTTTCAGAGCTCATAGCTTTCTGTGCCGTTCATCCTGTCAACGCCTTCTTAAAATCCCCCACGTTTTTTTGATGCTGTTTTAGATTATGCAACATGGCAGTCGGGCCGGAGTCCGATGAACACCTCTACCAACATGCCATCGACCAACAAAAGCACCCCTGGTCTGCTGCCTCGCCCGCCGTTGCAGTCGATCCATGGGCGAACCGACTGGTCTGCCAAATATGGACACCGCTAGTGCCCCGCCTGGAGCTCCGATCTGTGCTCCTGAAGCCTAGTTTATGCTTCTGCGTTTTCAGAGCGACGCAGACGCAAGACCCCCTTGCGTGTCCTTTGCGTCCCTCCTTGCGTCCTTGCGTGTGTCAAGCCCTTTTTCTAGCCTTGTGCGCTGCGGGAGCGACGCAAGCCTCCCGCAGCGCACAAGGCTGCAATTGGTCCGCTAACTACATCCTTTACGGAGTCTCAAATTTCCGCTTTCATAGCCCGATAGCGCCACTATTAAAACGAAGAATGTTTACGAGAGAACGGATCAGATTGAAGAACTTTTTCGGAAAAAATGCGTAAATATGACCGCTTCTACAAGCCGTCTAGGTCGTCTTCAACAAAACAAATGAATGAATGAATTGCTGTGCAACACACGCAGAACAATGAATTGAAACGAGTGCGTCGACGCAGACGCAAACGCAGAAGCATGCACCGGCCTTAAGACTCTTCCACCTCCAAAGAGTAGGCCTACTGGTTTTATAATCTAAATCTGTGCATACATTTTACACAGCAATAAAGAAATGTTACTAAAAATGTGTACCATGGATGTTGTGAGTTGTAAAATATATAAGTATGTGTATATTTAAATGCAAACGGACAGAATGTGTTTTTTATTTTGGGTTTCTGTATCATAGCTAATGTTATACAGGGGTTACAACATCAGTTTTGTATCAGGTTTATCATTGAATGTTCACCAACCGGTACACATAAAAAGCATATTATTATTTTATAAAATCCTCACTGTGACTTTTTTTTGGCTACAACTAATTACTTTGCCTCTGTAAAGTTGTCCTTTTTTTACACTGAAGCTGTTTTTCTTGTATGATGTAGCCTTGCAATAAGGTTTGTTATTAAAATTATAATGAATACAGTGGTGTGCTCCACTGTTCAAATCATATGTAGTTTCTAAAGTTGTCCAGCACAAGCCACCCCCTCTGCCAAAGTGAGTGTGATTATTGAAATTATTGAAAGTTGTTGAGTATAATTAAACGTTTGACTATGACTGTTTGACTGGATAATATAATTAAAAAAAAAAAAAAAAAATTAAAAATCTATACATTATTTTAACTGGAAAAGGAAGGCAGACTGCCACGTGCAGCGCCTCATTTGGATGTGCCTGACGCTTGGAGCTTAACTTCCCTACGTTTCTCCTACAAATGGGCCTTGAGCTTGTTTGGAGGTTCTAGCAGGGGAGCGTAGCTACTGGTACACCGATGGATGGTCGTCCGCCGGGGGGGACCTCGTCCTCTGCCACCGAGCGCTGGGCTTCGGGAGGGACACACATGGAGCGGTGAGGGAGGAAGGGGACACCCGCCTAGCCAGCCAGATCAGCCGAAATCAAACCTAGCGATCAATGGGGTGACAGATGTCGCAGCCAGATCGCCCTCACATCCAACAGTACAGCGTCGCTGTGATGTATATATACCACAGGAATGTGACAGGAGGTCCTATCATGGTGTGAGAGATACAAGATACTATAAGCAAGCCATATAACTTCAACCGTATTGTGCCCGTCATGGTCTTAAAATTAAAATATGCTGACACTTGAAATTAGCCGTTATTGCCTGAACAAACACGACCGGGTTGGTGTTTTACCCATGGTGTCTAGCGGCAATATGTTAATGAGCTCTGTTCGCATTGGTCAGTTCCAGCCAATCACAGTCACGTCAATTGTTTTCCACACCTTTATCATTCGCACACACCTCGGGGAGTACAACATTATATAAGGACTTATCTTAATGTTTGTTCGCTCTCCTCTGTGCCTCCTTCCCCACAGCGCGTCAACACACAGGTACAGTTTGTCACCAAGTTGTCCTCCGCACTTTCGTCAACCGACGTGTAGTGTTTTTTTTGTTCAGAAAATATATCTATTTCTTTCAGCCTCTTTTTAGTTTAAACCTGACACTACTAAGACAATACTAAGAGCCATGGCTGGAAAGGTTGTGCTGCACTACTTCAATGGGAGGGGGAAGATGGAGTCTATCCGGTGGCTTTTGGCTGTTGCAGAAGTTGAGGTAATTCAATTCTGCAACATTGCTGTTTTCTTAACAACCCCGGACTCCCCTGAATGTGCGATAACTCCGTTATGTAATCTCCCGTCCTCAGTTTGACGAAGTCTATCTGACAACTCGTGAGCAGTATGAAAAACTCCTGAGTGGTGAGTTGGTTTCGAATAAAAGCTTTAAAATTTAATTGAATCAAATATTGGCCAATCGGTTGAACTGTCAACTTTAACCCACTATGTTGTGCAACCATTTTGAGGTGAAGGTCCTGTCTGATTTATGACTTTTTCTTCAGTTTAAAACTACAAGGGTGTGCCCCTTTGACAGCCTGCTGCTGTTTGCTTTGCAGATGGAGCTCTCATGTTTCAACAAGTCCCTTTAGTGGAAATCGATGGCATGAAGCTTATTCAGACAAAAGCAATCTTGAGTTACATCGCAGAGAAGTACAATCTTCATGGGAAAGATCTCAAAGACCGGGTCATGTATGGTCCAATTTGTAAAAAGCTTAATTATTGAGTGTATTTCAAAACATGGCATTTTAGTGGATGAATGCGTCATGGTGTTTGTATGCTTTCGCCTTAGGATCAACATGTACTCGGAGGGACTGATGGATCTCATGGAAATGATAATGATATTGCCCTTCAGTACAGATAAAAATGCACAACTGGAGGTCATTAAAACCAAAGCAAAAGGCCGCTACCTTCCTGTGTTCGACAAGGTATCACGTTGCTTCCTCTACATATCTTACAAAGCGGGATGTTCTTGAAACGGATTCATCTTTGTTAAAAACCCATAAAAATGGAGCTGGTATTGTGTCTTTCTATGACCATCTCAGGCACTGTCTGGGCCCATTTACCTGGTGGGCGGTAAGCTAAGCTGTGCAGATGTGCAGCTGCTTGAATGCACCCTGATGTTGGAGGAGAAATTTCCTGAAATCCTTGCAGAGTTTGGAAACGTGAAGGTAACTTGCCATACGACACAAGACTGGAAATGAAAAGAGAAAAAAGGGGACTTGTTGCTCTAAATCGCTGTTTTAGAGTTATGTATTAACAACAATACACAGATTACTGAATGCTCCGGTAAAGAACGTCTTTTGTTTCCCTTTCAGTCTTTCCAGGGCAGGATGACCAGGATTCCTGCCATCAGCAAGTTCCTGCAGCCAGGCAGCAAGAGGAAGCCGCAGCCAGACGAAACCTATTCGAAGACCGTCATGGAGGTCTTCCAAATCAAGCTGCCATTGACTGGGAAATGAGTAATTATGCATGCACAGCATGAACTACGGCATCTGGAAGAATTACTAGTTGCGTACTAGTTGCTATATGTTGAGAATACTAATACACCTTCCATTGCAAATTGAGTTAGCTGGAATCCACGTCATCGTATTATCTTGATTTAATGTGATGTTCTTTACTTAATAAATGCATGAGTCAAATTGAATACATTGTTTGTTTGTTCATTCAGTTACATCATTTGATCCACACCATGTACATGAAAACATATTACATTTGTTCTGCTCATTTCAGTTGTTACAAAAATCAACAATTGACGGTGTTTTTTTCAAAGTTAGACATGACAGCGGTAAAGTATACACTATTCTTTAAACTTTTCCCTTTTAAAAAAAAAAATATATGTTAATATTTGCTATTTCTAATCGTGACAGTATTTGCAGCCTGCAAAAATAAAGTTGTAGCGTTTACAGTAAACCACCTGCCAAGAAAAACAACTGCACCTACAAAACTAATGTGCATCTGTTCATCTTATTAAATAGATTCACGTTCATGCAAATTCTCAACAAAAAAAAAGCAGTTGCATCTATTCATGATTTCCAAAACTGATTTACTTAATACGATTAACAGGTAAGTTAACGCTAAATATGTTAAACACCCACTGGTAGCTTTTGGTCACATAAGAGTTAAAATACCAAACAAAATCGAAGGCTTGTTTTAGTATTCAAACTGGGAATGCGGTTTCCTTTATAACAAGGCTTGCTCAGTGAGAACTGCTCTGTCTGGTCAGCGTTGCTCCTCCAGTCACCCAACGAGGAGCAGAAGCAGTCGAAACACCATCAACAAACTGTAAAAGAGACCGCAAATTAAAGTGTGAAATAATCCGTTGCATAATTTGACTGATTTCTCAAACTGTTCTGCATGTTGAGCCGCTCTGACCTTAGCCCGGTCATAATGCCAGCAGGCATTAATTTTCCAGATTTCTTGTATCTCGTTCCCATGACGAGTGACAGGACTCCCGAAGAAACTGCATAAAGAAAACACCATCACATGATATCGACTCTGTGGCTTATAACGTTGTGAAATCGATCCATTCAAATGTGCTTAGTCATACTTACGCAATGAGATCTTGATGTCTTTTGCATCATAAGAGACGTAGTATGCCCCATAAGCAGATAAACAACCAAAAACTAAACCAGCCATCAGAGACATGACGCTGCCTATAATGACACAGGCACACGTGATGATAATTAGGGAATTTTAAGCAAATAAAATGACAGACTTTGAGTCGAGTCGTAAAAAAGATTTCAACCTTTTCTCTTGTAGCCCATAAATCCCCCAAAGGCGATGGCTGCGGCATAGCCGAATCCGATCCAGTCCACTGCCATTAGAAAGCTGCAAAACAAACAGGAGTGCTGCTCAAGGTATGTTTTAACTAAAGATGTTTAAATAGCAAGGCTTACACAAATTAATAAGAACATCGAAGACAGACCGGATATGCAACGTGAAGGGAATTCAATTCTAAAAATGTAAGTACTCTCGAGACTTTAGTGGTCATGACAAGATGTACACTAAAAATATTTGAAATCCAGCACGTTTATCTCTTGTTAAACTTTAAGTACACTTTATTGTGGTACTTTAACCCCTGTCGTCTACACGCAGTACTCACAGCAGACCGCTGGGTGTCGCTGTGACACCTCTAGTGATTTGAGCATAAAGCAAAAGACGAAGCGGAAAAAAAGCCCAGCGCTACGTACGCACTTTAAATGTGCATTTGAACTCCGTATTGTTACCATGTGATCTTTATACACTGAGTTAATTCGTTCCGTAAACATTACAAACCTGGCGTCCAAAAAAGCAGCAGCACGTAGAAACGTTGCCTTCAATTTATGACTGCACTTCCTTGTTACTGCTCTCAAAACACATCGCGCATGCGCCGTCTGTTCGTGATGTGTTCGTGGACTTTTGATAAAGTGGGAAAGTAGTACTTCAGAACGTAGATATCAATACTGGTTGCGTTCCCAAAACTATTACATATGTTTAAGTAATTTCTATGTAAACATAACGCACTGTTACACATATTTCCAAATCATTTTTTTTTTTTTAATTTATGTTAGTTTTGAACTATAATTGTTTTATGTATCTGCAATATTTTTGGTCATCAATTATAAACCATGGTCCACTTTTTGAGTAGTCTAAAACTCTCAAACCCATTATTTGTTAAAATGTAATATTCTTACATTCAGAAACCCAGAATTCTTCAGTTTTCTACTAAAACGTTCTGTAATTGAATCTGCAGGGGTTGTCAGACACATATCAACCCTTTCTTTAAAAGCAGTCGATACGTAGATACGCTTTCCAAATTACTGTGGCCATATATATCCCCCACCCTTTACTAAGTAGCCCCTGAATAAGATGCGATGGAACCAATTGTGTTCAGAAGTCACTCAATTAACGAAATATTGTCCATCTGTGTGTAATCTAAGGGTCCCAATATCTATCCGGTCTAATTCCCAGTTGAAATCGAAACAAAAATAAAAATACAAAGGTGTGGATAACTTTTCAAAAGCTTGTTAGCTGGTATTTTATGAACAGGAGTACTGGTTGTTCTCTTTGTTCCTGTTACAATAAATCTTCCATGTGCAGCCTGCTGCGTACACGTCCATGGACTCGAGGTCATCAGGGGAGGTACAGTTTGTTCACTCCTATCAGCAAAATATTGTGGCAACTGGGAATGCGCACATCATGTTAATTGAATGCGTTCAGCGCAATAAGACAACAGAAAGAACTTGACTCACCCAAAAAGAAAACCATTTTATTTCTCTCTCTAGCCCTCTTTTTGCAGAACTTACATTAAAGGGTTCCATCGTCTAACAGTAGTCCTCAAAAAGTGAAAATCAATGCATTCTTTGAGCAAAATAAGCCACGATGAACTGTAGACAATGTGACCCCGACGCTGCAGCGCCTCTGTGCAGCCGCGTGGCTGAGAAGAGCCACTGTGGCCCTCTGAGGGCCGAGGACCAACTCCTCCAGAGAGAAGGCACACATTTCCAAAAACAGTTGGCCTTTAAAAACACTGTCTAGGTAGAGATTTCCTGACGAGCTACAGTGTGGTTTTGTCAGGATAGAAATGACTATAAAATTGCTGACAAGCCATTTACGAAGAATGAAGCATTATTGGAGCGAGGTATTGGATGGACAAACAATGAGAATTACAGCACTGCGCGCGTGAGGAAAACAGACTAACTTTAGACGAGGACGAGACCGCAAAAAATTAAAGTGACACGTGGAAAAAAATGCAATGGTTTCATGAAAAGTAAACAACAATGGACAAACATTGCATTTCACAACACAGTGGCATTAATAATACAAATGGCTTTGAGTGCACAGGAACCTGTGATATACTGTCAACATGGCTTCGTCAGGGTTTTGCTCGGTACATTCTTTTGTATGAGCTGTAACGTGGTAATTAACGAAAAAGAAATGAATATCAAATGTATGGATCTGGGAATAAACCATTGTAAAACAATAAATCAAATTTAAAAAAAATAGTTAGAAAGGAGACATTAGGTTTGTTTGCTGTCATCCAGGCTGGTATTAAACAGATTCTCTCAAGTCAAACACATGTAGAACATCATGGTAAATACAACAGGTTTTTGGCAATAATTGACATTTTAAGTTTAAAGCAATATTTCATTTTTAAACACGCATTCTTTCATATGAGCTCGCTGTGGCATCTGTCATTGTTTGGCTCAAAAAAGTAGAGTAGATCTTTCTTTTTTTAAGGATAACAATATTAGTAAAACACACATTGTAGGTGTTGGGGATTCAATTTAAAAAAAGCCATTTCATAAATGCATAAACGTCTACAGCTACATTCATTATGATAATTTAAAACCAAGTGATGTCATATGAACATTTATGGTAAACAATGCAGCTGGTTTCATGTTTCTGAGCCCCGATTGAGGACTGCATGCTACTTTTTCGTTCTAATGTAAAACACCACTTTAAATGAGCTAATTGCCTAAACCTCCCGACATGTGAATTTGCCAGAATGATGTTACAACTAGTGCCAAAGAGTCAGTGCACTTATATAATTAATGATCCATTAGCAGCAGGCTGGTGCTAAATACAGTAGCTGAACATGATCCATTAACTGAGCTCACATGGCTCTCAAACATATAAGAGCTTTGAAACTGGCCGATGTTTGATGGAATAGTGGGCATGCATGAATACTAACTTGCCTAAGTCTGATGACGGGGATTAGTTTAAGATACGGATATAGCTATTTTTATTTGATAGCAGATAACCAGGGCTATTTTTGAGAATTATTTCCACCAATTCCACACGATTTTCAACATTTCAGGCTGCAAATCCAAACAACGCGAGGGAACAAGTAGCACAAAAAAAAAAGAAAAGCTTTTAACATTTCTCCGTATCTCCGTGCTGCTTGCAGCTCGAGGTCAACAGTGAGCCAGACTTCTCTGGAAAATCTCAGAGCCTCTCATCAGATACTGCTCCGCGTCTGGAACACACCTCGTGTGTGTGTGTGTGTGTGTGTGTGTGTGTAGGGGTGTGTGTGTGTGTGTGTGTGTGTGTGTGTGTGTCGTTTTGCGATGCAGCAGGATGGTTGTCGTCTCTCCATGTCTCTTGTGCGTCCCGTGGTGGCAGCCGCTGCGGCCGTGTCGGTTAGGGAAAGGCGCTGACCCACAGCCAGCCCAGCAGAGTCCCGTACACCCAGGTCCTCACGTACAGTCTCCTGCCGCTCTCCGTCAGCAGCAGCGGCAGAGTCAGTCCCCCCAGGATCATCACCGACGGGAGGGTCTTGGAGAGGAGGAGAGGAGAAGGCTTTCCTTCCCCGGGAAACCTGCAGATTTTGTCATCGTCCTCCGACTCGTAGAAATCCGTCAGCAGCCTTTGGAAAGACAGATTGCTCTCTGAGGAATTCAGCCGGCTACAGACGTGAAACATTGCAAAGTGCTCAATCAGGAAGAGCTTTTTTTTTTTTTTTTACTTTATTGCAGTTAGGGCACAAAAAAAATCTGCCCCAAAATCACAGCCTGGTGGATTTATCAATGTCAGGCTCAGCGAATAACTATTTAAAGTCGTCAACAACTATTATTATTATTTCAACAATAACTTGTGTGATTCACAGCCTATATCATGAGCTATGAAACCTAAACAATTAAGAGAATCAGATTCATTGATCAACCATTTCGAAAGTAACTTCTGCACTATCTATATCTTGTGCTAACTATGTGCATAGCAATATTGTGTAAACCTACAATATGGACTCTATGTTTAATCCATGTTACTCGCCAGAAGTCTTTTCAGAAGCTACGATACACATCCGTGAACGACAACAACGGTGTCTTTGCTCCCCCTCCACACACAAACTCACCGGTCCTTGATTTCAAACCGCTCGTGAAGCCACCTGCGGAAAAACAGTGGCTCTGAAGGAATTTCCTTTATGTCCACACGGTCGAAGTGTATGTGGACGCGGGGACATTCCTTGCACAGGAATTCTGTCAAACACACACAAAAAAAAAAGACTAAACAAAAACAGGAAAAGCTTTTCAGCAAAATGGCACGTAGGGTAAGCACTGCAAATCAACACGCGGTGACAGTGATGGAGGGGAATCGCTGTGATGCCGTGTGAGCCGACTAACATACGACCGCTCTGGTCGTTGAGTTGCACAAGTGCACAAGGTGCACAAGTTGCACAAGTGATACAACCGATTACCAGACCAAGTCCCAATCGGACCAGTGCCATCAGATCTGATATAAACTTGAGCGTTGACCTTCCTGAGTGTGAATGTAGAATAATGTAAATCAATGACAAAAATCCTTTGACTGAAGTCACTATTTGTAAAATATAAGTAAAAATGATACGGTCAGAGAACCAAGCAGAGAAAGAAACGTGTGTGACAAGGACGGACATAAAAATGTAATGTAAGTGTGAAGGCTCAAGGCTACATGTGAACCCCAGAGACCGCCAGGTTCCTGTTTCCACAACATGCAATATTATCAGGAAACCTGGCAGCCCAACGAGGAAACTGGATCGAAGTCAGCAGCGGAATAACGCTTCAACGGCAAAGAGAACCTCAATCAGGACATGTCAATGGAGGACGGGTTGGTGTGGACAAAGGCTCTGGAGGACAGATGTTGGATTTTCTTTTTGCAAGAAAACACACACACACAGAAGCCAAAGTCAGTCTAAAGAAAAATATACCAACCCGAGACTCGACTGCGGCTCATGTGGTTTTGAGCAGAGCAACGTTCCCCAACGGGCTTTAAAGAACAACTTACTGGAATAGAAGATCTTTGAGTCATCTGCATACAAAGAGGAGACAGACTCCTGCAAAAGGAGATGCAGAGAGCTCATTCAACCATAACGAGGTGCACTCGGGTTCCGCTTCCTCGTGAAATCACTAAAGCCACCTTCACCGCATGAGACCAGGAAGTGCGTGATGGCGACAAGAATGCTTTTCTGTTCTCTGTTCCGTTTTCTAGAAAACACATTAAATGTTTATTCCTGAACGAAACAGGATGTTTTTTGACACTCAAACAGAACAGAACAACACCCGACAACGCAGAATAATCAAAGGCTCCAAAACAGACTCGCGCTGTTTACAGGAAGACACGACTGTTAATAGGTCCCGCTTGCTGCTGTGTGATTATTTAGCAAGGGGGCATGCACAATATTGCAAGATTAATGACACAACGCCTGTGTGTTTGTGGGTGGCTGACAAGCCACGGCGCTTTTGTATCTGGTGTTATAATGTCCATACTTATTCCAGCTGCGCGAGTCGAATACGAGTGAACGTCCGACACGACTGACTTGAGACAACGCGACCACTACAGATCATACGAGAGACCCGCTTGTCGGCTGATTGTCTCTGTCGCCCGATTACCTGGCATCGACGGCGCGGGTTTTCTTTGACGCGGGACTTTGTGCGTCGACTCGTAGGCCACCGTGACGTCGTACACGGCGTGCAGGTGGTCCTTCATGGCCTCCAGGGCGATGTGAGAGGCCTTCATTCTGGGCGTGAGCGTGTGCTTCAGGACAGCCAGCCCTGTGGAGAGGAACACGCACGATCACATCACCTCGTAAAATTCACAGCCTGAACATGAAGCACAGCCACAAGATAGAAGATGCTAGACATTCCCCAGAGTGAGTTACACTTCAACACCATTTCCTGTCAGCACTCGATTATCCTCCATCAATAAATGGCGTGAAACCCACCAAAATACCAAGTGAATACACATATGATGTTAAAACAGGCTTTCCATGTGAATGCTTGAGACAGTCTCTGCACAGAGTGTTGTTCCTCGGGCAACGCGGCACCTCCCTCTCCTCACTAATACCTCACTAATAGCAGATAATGTCATGTGCACATGTTGGCTGTCCACAGCGATTTATTTTGGATTAATGGGGGAAGGTGATATGCAGAGCTGTGGTCCAGAGATCGGCTTAATCTCTGCAGAATGGATGCAGTTTGATATCGGGGCCGTGACCCCACACTGCCCTCCATCACAATGATAATGCTACGGCAACAAATTCATTTAGCTAGAAAATTGTAAAGCTATATTGAAATGCACGGTTAAATAAAAATCAGATAATTTCACTTCCTAACACTACAGAACTAATAAGAGCAGGCTGTTCTCTCAAAATGATTGTGAGCAACACGTTCTCTCATCGACCAGCAGCAACTTCAATTTGGTGGAAGTGCTGGTGGGACAGTTCTGGTCTCCCTGGTGGTGAAATCCAAAATGTTATAAATTTGTATGCAGCACTCGTACTAGAACTTTGTCAGCTGTTTTCCAGACTGCTATTCACCAAATTAGAATAATGCAACAGAAAATAATCTCCGTCGTGCCTCTACCTTCTTTTGTAGCAAAAGCCTGACTGTCAGCGATTACATTCTTCAGCTCCGGATTATACCGAGTTCCTTCTGGGAAGATGACAAGGTACATCTGTGAGGGAGAGACAAAACAGAATAAACAAGTCTCCTGTCTGTATTTTCTCAATGCTAATGGTCAAAATGCCTTAAAAGCGTCAGGACATTTAGAAAACGGAAACCAAACACCGCGATGAAGTGTGATGTTTGGATCGCTACTCAAGCCAAATAGTTTTGAGGGGTAGAGACTCAACCTGCTGCTGTCTCGCTTTGTCTCACGCTGTTCCTATTTCAAGGACGCCGGATAAGACAACAAATGACTGTACGGTCAATAACTACCTACAAAGTAGGACAGACTAGGTTCATTATATATTTTAGCCCCGGTACTGAATGAACGTGTATAACAAGCTTTCATTTTCCCTCTTCTGCAAAACACTGCGGATATGGAGGCTTTTTTTAGATAATAACATCTTCACACTTGCAAATGATGAGCTAATGCAGCAGTTTTAAAATGCTTCACAAGTGAGTGGTGAACTATTAGTATCAACGGGCAAGTTTAACAGCCTTTTTCAGTCGCACAAAAACAAAGATGGAAATGAGCAAAGGCCACATGAACACCGAGAATGTTTATTTGTCCGCTTCACAACAGAGCCTTCATTGTCCACCCACAGGTCACCAGAACTACTTCGCACACTAATCCCCCACTGTTAAATCCCCAAAAAGTAATTACAAACATGCCATTTAAATAGAATAGCAATCTGCAACTGAAGTGTCGTGCATTTAATGTCTGGTTATCCATTTAATTTCAATGGTGCTATCTATTAAAAAGTCTTTGAAACGAGTCAGAGTGAAATCCTATTTAGGTAATGAGGAATTTTTGAAAGAAGGAATTTTGGAATATTATTACAGAAAGCTCTGGAGTGACTTTGAAACATGTGAAAACCAGCTTGTGATGATCCGAACAATGCTAAAAACCCCGTTACAAAAATCCTGTCCTGACCGCTGACGGTACTTCTACCGTAAGCCAGTACGTGCACTTACAGTCAGAAGGCCCATCTAGGCCGTGTATAATGTGTACTTACCGGGGTTCCAGACTGAGTCTGAGTGTAGAGCTTCTTCTTCATTGCTATTTCACTGAACCTCGCACTTCGCTTCACGTAGGCTCCTCCGTGCTTAACAAGGAAAGATAATTTGATGACCGCAGCACTGGGGAATGCGATTTTTAATCTTCTCTGCATCTGTGATTTAGAATAAGAAATGCCACCTCAAAATACTCACACAGTTGCATTACCTGAGAGAAATACCAGCCGTACAGCGGGAGCCACTTGAGTCCATCTTTGAGGACGTATCGGACATGGCCGAGAGCACTCTGCCTGATGGCCAGCATGTCAGCGATGATCCAGTCAGCTACAGCGAGAAACGTGGTTAAAGACTGGATGTTTACAACCATCTGGACTTAGATTTTAATTTATAAATGTGTCACCTGTACATTGATGATTGGACAAGTAGATCACGTTCTCTTTGTTCTTTGGTATATCGCCATATATAATAATCTGGAGAGGAAGATGTTAAAAGTATTACAGAGTCGGGCGAGACCTCGGAGTGCAAAATGATTTGACGTCAAAAGTATACTCTGCATCTGTGCAATAAACCCAACATAACTCATTGGAAGGTTCTGTTACAATCCTCTCATGTTGCAACACACTATGACGGTTATTCCTCTGAAAAGTCTCCCACACAATAATAAAAGTAGTGCCAACAAGAAGATACACGAATGCAGACATTTTTGTCATACATCTGGTTCAACAAGATCTTGTTCCTGAGTATCTGGCACCAGTTTACTGTTATTTGAGGAGTGCCAGACATGCTCACACCTCCAAAAATGCGGTGATCTGCACGGGGTGCGTGCAATACTAATTAGTCAGACCAAGCTTGCTGTCACTTGACTGAGCGTTTCCTTGCATTCAAATGATCGGGGATCATTCCAGGGATTTATCTGACTACGTGTTAATGGGCACTGAGCATTTGTGGAATCACTCACCTCTACTCCGGTGTAGTTCTCAAAGAAGAACAGAACCATGCTCTGGTACATGGAGTACAACCGATCGTCTAACTTGTGATACATTCTCGCCGGTAAGACAGTTGAAAGTAAACGCCAGGCCCCCCATGACAGCAGGTACGCCGGGGCTGAGCCCAGCATGACCGTGGCTGGAAACCAGTACCGCAGCGAGTATGTGTGCACCACCAAGGAGAGCAGCATTGTCCCCCCCACCTCCTCTGGCTGCACTTATTAAAGGAACTAAAAAAAAAAAAACTTCTCCTGTGAGGGCTGTTATTAAGTTGCAGACCCTATCTGCCCTCCGCCGCGCCGGGGCTACTTTCTGCACACCTGTCCTTAAAAGACAGCATAAGAAAGTGAGGAGCTAGCTGGCTAAAGCTAATGTTAACCTTGTGTGCAAAGTGCAGTTAGCGGAGAAGGCTTACGCGTTAATGTCTAGCCATACTGTAATAAAAAACCCAAATCAACGACTCGTCAATGTTATCTGATAAATTTCAACATTTCACAAAATGTCAAAACGCCGGCTCAACTGGAACCTTCAGTTACAGTATAACTTAGGAGAAAGGGTTAGCTTAGTGTGCACCGGTTTCAAACAGATGAAGTTTCACTATGAGCTACATTTGATATAAACTCTATTTCGTAATGCAGATCAGGTAACAAACTGTAGCGCAAACGTCAGCTCGGTCGTTGGGATGCAATATATTTTGGATTTACTTCCTTAGTTCCGCATCTTTATCCGGCTAGCTGTTCATCAACTAGCATCATGCAGCAAATGTCACACACGCCTCACAACGTAATAGGACCACGTGACATTGAGGAAGCGGCCTCGTCATGTGACGCGGTAGAGGCCAGCCAATGGGCGCGAGGCACCATGAGTTCCACGCCCCTCCGTTATTAAAGCGACACAACGCTTTCCGTTTTCTTTTTCTGTGATTCTCCACACTTCACACATTAGTATTTTAATAGGATGTCATGGTGTTTACTTATATTGTCTTACGCTGGTCTCAAGAGGAGATAAAAGAGGGTGTCGCTCCGCAGGCAAACAGCCACATTGTACTGGCAGGAATTAAAACATTGATATCATTCTATTTTTTTGTTTGTCTGACCCCAAAAAGTTAAGCTAAAAATCGTAGTTTAATACACTATTTACCACAGTCCTTCTATTCTAAGCAAACATATGACACGTATTGTGCGTGTATTACAAACTGTACAGATGGTAGTTGCAGGGTGTGTGAATGCTAGACACATTGTCAGGTTAGATTCTAGAACATTTGTATTAGTGGTAGTATTATAGTTACTTCAGTATGTGTATTAATGTTAATGTGACTTACATGCCAGTAAAATCTGTGATATATCAGCTTGTTTATTTGTCATCAATAACCCAGTGACACCGCTTAGTGTCTCTCAAAAAACAAATTCATCCATCAATCCATTGCGCTTTGTTTTCAAAACCAAATTGACGTTCTCAAAACGGTGATTCGCTCATTACGTGTTTGTGCAAAACATTCTGTGACGTTTAAAGTAATCTCTCTATAATTCAATTAATAAAACCTGGCGAAAATTAAAATGAGATCACAGAACATAAGAAAACCACGGTCAAAAAGTATTTATTAATAATGCCACCACAAAACATTTTTGTATGAATAGACCATTTAAGTGTTGAACTGGCCCAGAAAGTATCTTTAAAATCACAGTGTTAGAATTGAAAACAGTCTAATTTCTTGTTAAATTCTTCACATTATACATTAAGGGTTAGTACAATAAAAGATAAACAAAAACAACAAAAGATTCACACACAATGTCAAAGCAGTTTTTCTTGTTTTACAGTAACTGAATATTTAAGAGAAATTATGTAAAGCCCTTGTGCAACAACAAGTTGTTGCGCTGCTCAACGTATAAATTACTAAAAACTGAACTTCACAGCTTTCACTCCAAGAGGTAGTTGTCATATGACAGCCGCTTCAAACGGGTGATACTATCTGAAATAAAATGACAAAAAAAAAAAAATGAAATAATGAATAGTGAAATAACAAAGTAATTGAGCATTTAAGAGACCGATTGGCAGGAACATACTCACCCAGCACCCACTGCTCAGACAGGACCCTGCTTCCCTCCGGCCTCCTGCCGCCGTGCTTCCCGATGCAGATACCTGCCTGTCGCACAGATTTGGTGACTGTTCCTCCGCAGAGCTGGATCAGCTCCTCCAGACTGTGAGTGGGAGGCTGGGAGTGCTGGGACACAAACATGGCGGGCTGGCCGTGGAACAGATCCTGCTGGTGTTCCCCGGCAGACAGGTGCCTCTGGAGACGACAGATCTAGGAGGAGAAATGACTGTTAAACGCTCGTTTTGAAGTTCAGGTTTTCAGTTTTCAGGTGCTCAACGTGCTTGTAAGAATATCCGAAAAACAGCTTTTAACATTTGCCTGTTCCCAGTTTTCGGAAATGTGACGAGGAATAGTTTGTATCCTAAAAAATACACTTTTTAAATGTTATAGTTAGACACTCTTACGTCTACATGCTAAATACAGCTGATTAGTTTAGATTAGCATAAGAACTAGTTCAATACACGGAAGAAAACAAAATCCCGTCGCCAGCACCTTTAAAAATCACTTTTTTTCAAAGTTGTTAACATAATGTATATCAATATAAGACAGTAATAAGCTAGTAAGCCACGACAGTGTGACAGCTTATTTCAAACCAAAATCACTTTTATTATTCACACCTGTGCTTTTCCCGCAGTGACAAAATTTCCCGAGATGATAATGATCTAAATTCTCCCGTCTGACCAGTGCAGCACAGCTAAGTGGAGTGAAGGAGCTTTCAGTGGAGAAATGAAAGTACATCCACCTGAGAACATCAATTAAATTATCAATTGAATTAAAATTCTTCACTAAAATTCACTAAAATCCTCAAACCAGTTTGTTGTGAAACGTTGTTGAGTGTTTTTCATACTTCTCAGCCATGTCCCGGCGTGTTTAGATTGTCAAGTAGTTTTCTCTGTTTTAGTTCTGGTAAATAAAGGTTTAGAATTGAAACTCACACATGCTTCATGCACGTATATCCCTCATATACATCACAGTAATATGGACCCCCAACCTGTCAATGCTGAAACTGACCTGAAGGTGGCTACTAAAGATACAGAAGACTGCTGCAAAATCTGGTTCGGAGGCAAAAAGCAGCAGCCATTTACTACAATCCATCCATTAAATTATCCACCGTTAAAGCCAATTCAAATAGCATCTAGCCGTATGACAAGATATTTCTGGGTCACTGCTGAACTTACAGCAGTTTATGACATAAAAAAAGTAAACCAACCATGCAAGACTATTTCCATTTGTTTGCAACTACAGGGAAGCCTCATATTTTCTTTTATTGAAATGAGAAAAATCAGAAGCACATTACCGTGGAGAACTGCGTTGCACTCTGAGTGGCAGTGAGGGGAGCCTTGATGACGTCTGTGCTGGCGGCCCACATTGTTCGCAGAGTACTATCTACTCAACGAGAGCATGTGCATATCTTTGAGGCCGTGTTTCTTCTCGGGTTTGGTGAGTGATGCTCTGAGTTCTCACTACGGGCGAGCTCTCTATCCAGCAAGGGTCAGCCGCTACACTGAAGGGGACAATCGGCTCTATTCTACAGTTGAATGCCAGGAAACAAGAGTTAATGCTTTCGGCCTTTTGTCAATGTTCACACAGGTTTCACTTTACGTCGAGCAATCAGGGATTGGTCAGAGGGGTCAGAGGCGAGGTCAAGTTAAGATTAACCCACATTGTGCACTTAAAAGAGAATGATTGAAGACTATGCGAGGTCTATATGCGACACAGGCTTTTAAAACTGGGAGCAACGGTCCAATGAAAAAGGGCAACAAGAAAAAGACAGCGAGCCAAAGTGGTTTGATTAATTGGACTACACACGCAATCAGGGATTGGTCAGAGGGTTCAGAGACGGGGTCAAGTTAAGATTAACCCACAGTGCGCACATAAAACATGCACACATGTCGATCTCATATAAAGTATAGATGGCTACAACATTTACTTTCCAAGTTGAGTTAGACAGCTGTGTGGATTTACATAAACGTACTTTAATATACCCGAAAAACTGCTGCATTAAAGAAAAATTTTTCATGACTGCATTCAAAAAGTTTAATTCCTCAGTATCACAGCGCTGAACCTTTCAGGACGGGTCATGATAGCCGCAGTCAGGGATGGGGAGAAATACATCAAAAGGTATTTTATACCCCTCAAATAAATGTATTAAATTTATTTAATTTCTTTCTGGATTTCCTGTTTTCTTACAATTTGGCAGAGCATTCAGGTTTGGGTTATATAATGTACACAAGCTACAACAGTAGAAGCAAAGACTGTGAACTATATTATCTGCCAGTAATTGATGTGGCATCATGACATCCACAATAAGAAGAAACAGCATAACTTGTGGTAAAGATCTTTCTCCGATAAGCACTCTTGAAATTGAGAATATCTTTTTATTCTTCACATGGGAAATTCCACCACTTGACATCCGGATCAATGTCCCTGTAGCCACTAACGTCTACTTATGTTTCTGTTGTGCAAGAGACTGCAGGGACGCAGAATGATTTGGAAGCTCTGCAACCACCAATACCAGCCAGCAATTAAGGAGCAGTGTAATAAAATGAACTGCAAACCGGAGGCAAATTGCACACATGGCGATTAAAGCTTATTCTGAACACCTGAAAAAAGTCAGTGTTTGGAATGACGACAAGTCCTTCCTATTTGGTAATGTTCTTTAAATATGTTGCATTTCCCTTATACTGTAACTATGACATCAGCTTACTTCCTACAATTCTGTTTCGGCATTTCTATCCAACTGCATATTGCGATTCTGAACACTTCCTGGCAAAAAAGAAAAGAAAAATGGGTGCAGTTGACATTATAATGTGGCCAATCCAAAGCTAAAGGTGTGTATTCAGTACACAATATGAAGCTAAATATATCTCTGGTTAATAGGCAGACTGTTGAAGATGAAACCCGAGTCTTCTAATAAAGACGGAGTCTGTGATGGAAGCACATTCCTGCAGCGTGGGACAAAACATCCTCCTGTATCGATGCCTTTTCCTGCATCACACACCTGCACTCTGCTCCCCCACTGCGACATGAAAAATAAACTAAAATAAGGTTGGGAAAATCCTTCAATTGGGGAAAAATATCTCCAGAACCATTTTCCACTGAAAAACCTTTTCTTTAAGCCACAGAATAACAGCTTGCTAACTCGAGGATTTATGGCATGTTGTGCACAACGCGTGGCTGAAAATACTCAAACCTCTCAACAACATCGGAGCGTGCCTCAAAATGATGAAGCCGCATTAAATACGTGTGGATGACATCCAACCATCCCATCTCATGCTATTCCAGTGGACAAGAGACAGAAAACATCCACAATCCGATAAATATTCAAAACCACTTTTCTGATTCATGACTCAGGCAGAACCCTGCCAAGGACATTTCATCCAAATTACTGTAAAAAATTGTACCATCAAGCATAAAAAAAGTCTGAACTGTTTTGGTCAAAGATCAGCAAGTGGCAACTTTGGTTTCTACAAAGAACACATTATATGAGACTTTATTAAAGACCATGAGAACCAAAATAAGGTCTGGAAATAGAGAAAAAGCTAGTAAAAACATAGGGAGAAAACTAAACTAAACAGAATAACATTCTCAAGAAAAAAGAATAATCAGTAGATTTCTGGGGATTATGTATTTAACATAGATTAAGCATCTGATTAAAACAATGTAAGAAAATTGATACATTTTCCCTCTTAATTTCCCATTCAAAGATGCACGTGTGTTTGTCGTTTGTCAATGAATGGGATGGACACTGCTACTATCACAGCTGCATCCTGAGTAGCTGTTTAGCCGGAGAAGAGAAAAAAAACCAAGCGGGTATTACAGAGGATATTGTGGAACGTGTGTAGTTTTGTGCATCTGCTTCTCTGTGTTAAGTAAGCGCGCGCTGAAAGGAATCTCCACCTCGCTGCTCTTCGCAGCGGCCACGGGGAGGGGGGAGTGGTCTGAACTCACAGTTGGCTAATCAGAGGGGCCGTGGGCAGCTCAAACAACTGGTTGGGGGCTTGATGAAAAGCCAGCACATGCAGTCTGGCAGTTAACCTAAAGGGAATAACACACTACCTCTAATTCCTGATTGCTTTTCCTCTTCCTGCCGCTGAGAGGTAATAAAAAGAAATCTGCAGAGTCCCAAGAGGATTATTTGCACTTGGATCCCTGCCGGGACAGACACCCGGGCATTAAGAGAAGCTTAACAGTTATAAGAGTACTAACTTCCCTTTTTAGGTGAAGAGCTCTGCCATGAAGATGCCGCATGCAAACTTACTAGTTTTAGCTTTTTGCCTCGTTGTGGGTACAGGACACAGTGTTGTTGCTAAGAGACAATATCAGATCCAAAACGGGCCGTGTAGCTACACCTTTCTGCTGCCGGAGCAGGACAACTGCCAAACCCAAAGCAGCAACTACGCCGTTCAAAAAGATGGACCCGGGGACAACGAGGAGTCGACTCAGAGGCTGGAACAACTGGAGATCATCATGGAGAACAACACGCAGTGGCTGCACAAGGTAAAGCCGCGTCACAGCCACGGTTTCACTTCAACGCATTAGCTTGTGATGTCAATGACTCGAGTGATCAGTCAGAGGAGTCAGAGGAGAAGAGAGGACAAAGTCGACTCAGGTATCTGAGAGACCATTATGGACTAAATAATGACGCTGGTGTCAGTGGGAACATTCATACTTCCTTTCCAATTTGCTGAAAAGGAAAGCAGGGAGGAAAATGATACACCTAGTACATATGATATATTAGTGTGATTGTTTGAACCAATTTCCAAATAAAACATTTGTATATCAGCGAATATACTTAAGCATGTGGAACACCTGCACACTTTAACAACCAGAATGAAAAATACATTTTAGGACCGAGTGTGTCCAAACAACCACACACAGTGTCAACCGACCTGTTGTTTCTTTGAGAATCAATTCTATTGTAGCAAACGCTGAAACCAGTATGACTAATATGCCAATTGTCTGTGAGAGCCTTTCCCTCACTGCTAATGGACATGATGACTGACAAAGAGTTTGTGCAGGTGCTCCCACGAGGGCCGCAGGTGGCCCGGCTTCTTGTCTAACTCCCCCTCTTCTCCCTCTTTAGAGTGTGATCGCTGATCAGAACTTTACAAAACTAGCACGACAGAACGGGAGCACCTCTCTGTGTGATCACACGACCCTCGCCTGGCAGCATAAAACAAGCTGTGGTCTGTTCGCGTTGAGCTCAGAGGGCACAGAAGCTCAAGTGCTGCCTGAGAAATCAAAGCAATGCCTGCAAAACAAACTAACATTTTACAAAGTCCAACTGGCAGGTCTGGTGTAGAGAGGTTACATATTTCTCGCAGTCAAAAGAGCATAGCTGATAAAATGTGTCTACGCGAATGGAAGAAGACGTTGGTGTCTCCTTATCTTGTGTCTTCCACAAATTCATGTGCACAAGTAAAAGAACGTGGGGGAAGAGATCTCGGCTAAGGTTTACGGACAAAGTGAAACATGACAACACGTTCTCTGCGTTGACAGAGAGGTAGAATTCCTCTTTGTAAACGTCTCTCACTCGGCTACGTGTGCCAGCGTTACCTCAGCTACCCAGAAATAAAGATGTGAAAAAGACTATTTAATCATTACGCGTGACGAGCACTTGAGGTGTGTCATTGCTGATAAAACATTTCTGCTACAACTAGACAGTATAAAAAAAAGTAGTTGCTGGAAGCTTCCTACCTCAATTGTAACCCTTGATTTACTGAAAATTACATTATAACTATACAATAGTATAAATGCAGCCACACTATGTTAAAGGTTTGAGCACCCTATGAATTAAATAAGAATAAGCAGATAAAGAAATTAGAAGCATATCACTTAATCATGTAAGTCCCTTAATGAGGTTGTACACATCTCGCCAGGAGGCGCTCGACTGATCGAATGACTTTAACGCCGCCCGACGATAACTGAGGGAAACAATCTTTTTTTTTTACTGACGCCTTTGAGTCGCACAAAGTAAACAACGGATTTCATCATTGACTGTAAATGGGACATCCTGCCAGCATTTCAAATGACAGCCTCCCACCTACCACACATCCCTTTGTGTCTCCAAGAAACAAAAACAAACTGGACGTCATGAAAGGAAGACAAACAAAATCAGCACTGATTGCAGATGTTATTTGTATAAATATCTGCACAATATATCATATTAAAATTAAAATTGGCTGTTTGGGGCTGCGCTGCTGACTTGACGAGTAAATAACAAACATCATTCTGCAACCTGACGGCGATATATAAGGGACTCTGGTTTCCACTTTGCGCACACACACGCCGTAATGTCATGAAGGATGTAACTCCTCACTCAACACTTCCATCCTGTTTACGAGTCGTGTGACCTGATTGCCACTCAGGAACACCACGCAGGAAATAACTTAATGATTGGTGTCGTTCTAAATCTGGCGATACTGTAAGGTAGATAAGGACAAATCTTGTAGAGATGAAATATTGACCTTTTCCCACCCTGAGGGCAACCTTGCTCATTATTCCCACGATTCAGAGGTCTCATATGGACATGCTTACATTCCATAGGTGTAAACCTGAGTCAAGTATAAGTATATTAATAACTTAATAAATTAATTTGTTAAGAAAACATTACAATTGAGTAGTTTACTATTTGAGGCCATATGTTAAAAACCTTTGTCCTCTCCTCAAATAATTGAAAAATGGGGCTCGATTATGAATCTCTTATACAGCACCATCAATCTATTGCTAAAGTAGGTTGTACACAGTTTATCCAAACTTCACTGTCAATGTAATGTTCACTCCAGTCAGTGCAAACGGAATCGTGTGGGCACTAATGACACTAATCAATGACTTTCGAGCTCAAGCCAATTGTTGTTTTTTTCCCCCTGTGCTGTAGCTGGAGAACTACATACAGGACAGCATGAAGCAGGACATGATCCACCTCCAACACACGGCTGTGCAAAACCACACGGCCACGATGATAGAAATCGGAACCAACCTGCTGAGTCAAACCGCTGAGCAAACGAGGAAAATGAGCAGCGTGGAGGCCCAGGTGAGGCCGTACATCCTGCAGCTGTAAACACGCAGCGCGACGCAGGTTTGCACGCAAGCAAACCGGGCAACAGAGTAGAATGTCAAAAAACAGGGAAAAGTTGTTTTTAGTGAGGGGAGTATGCTTAACATTGATTTCCATTCAATGAGACTCAGTGGGCTGGCCGATACAGTGCATGAGATGATGTCAAAGAAAAAGAAAATAAGCAGAGGGGGAAAAACAGGCATGACTAAGTAAGGTTTATTATTGTGGCTACACGTCAGTGACCTGCCGTGAGCCAACTGTACAGCATTTCCTGTTATTAGCCCATTCTTATTCCCACAGAAAGGGTCTATCAGTTTGTCACGATCACACATCCGTCTGTTCAAAGGCATCAACAGCCCCATTGGTGACACACAGCAAGGATCCATGTAAACAACCTGCTTTGTGCGGAGTTCAGTTCCTCCTCACGGGGAAATTAGAGCCAAGGTCCCCACAACCCCAGAGCTCAGTTCAATACGTCTGCCTGGGGTGCGTTTGACCGTTTCCCATGTTCGGGTATGCGTCACTCTGGAGGTGCAAACGGGGCTTGTCCTGAACTTGTTCCACTGCGACAGAACTTAAAATCCAAATTATTTGGATTAATTGCTGATTGACAGGACAAAGTCAAGGTTTTACCAAAACCTTCTTAAAGGTTGCTTTTTTAAAGTTAATTTCATTTGGAGAAAGAAATGGCATACGTGGAGGATCCTGAGCACTTTTTGAGGCGATAGTGAATAAAAAAGGTTTTTTAGTATGGAGAATTAAACTTCACACAGCCCGGACTCACCTTGCTCTCCTGTCTCAAGGTCATTCGTCACTCAACTCGACTTGAGCGTCAACTGCTTGAAAATTCCTTGTCAACCAACAAGTTGGAGAAACAACTAATTGTCCAAACGAATGACATCAGCAAGCTGAATGACAAAAACAGGTGAATACACCACTTTCTAATTCCAACTATCAGGCCCACAAAGTGAAAAACACGGCTGAACCGTTTTCCTCTCCGCAGCTTTCTGGAGAAAAAGGTGGACGAGATGGAGCAGCAGAGGCAGGTGGAGCTGAAGATGCTTCGAAATGAAAAGGAGCAGCTTCTGGCTCTGATCCTCCGGCAGACGGCCATCATCGGCGAGCTGGAGCAGCAGCTCCTCAAAGTCTCCTCCAACAACACCGCGCTGCAGCGCCAGCAGCAAGACCTGCTGGACACCGTCAACAACCTCATTCACACCGTCTCCATCGGCTCGGCTCCAGGTGACCCTCGACCTCTTCGAAGCACCGTCTGCTTTTATATTTACATTTGTAAAAGACAACACTGAATTCAATGATACGCCAGCGAACCAATCAAATCAAATGTCCCCGCAACAAATACAACCCAGGATTCATTGTTTAAGCCATGTAGGTGTGTGTGTGTGTGTGTGTGCGTGCGCTGGTGGATTGCACAAAAAGAAAAGGTCACCTTACTTGAAATACCACAAAAGCTGCCACACCAATGCAATGAATGTGACCTTTTTCCCCCTGAGAAGATGTGAACTTATCAAAAGGAGGACAGTTACATGCCATTCAATTGTGTGGTGTCAAAATGACAAGGACGATTTTTTTTTTCTTCTTTTCTTTCTGCAGCGAGCAAAACGGTCATGATGCAGGACACTCCGACGGCCTTCACGGACTGCGCCGCTGTATTCAAGTCAGGAAACACGCAGAGTGGCGTTTACACTCTCACGTTGCCCAACAACACAACTGAGGTTAAGGTAAAGTCTTTCTGTCTATTACGCAATAACACAACCCTTTTGATAAAACGCCGGACGTGCTCAGCATTGTGTTGGAAAGGCGCAGCGGTCGAGTGTAAATGTTCTCAGACTTTCCATTAATGACGCGCATGCTTGAGCTCTAACTGTGATCTCCTTAGAAACTTTTCAGCGAATAAGACTCAGACTTTGATTCTCTGTCCCTTCCTTGGAACCTGACAGTTGTTTTGACCGGCTCAAATACGGCCGACGGCATTTTCAAATTATAAACGAGGATGGAGTCTTTGCACAGCCTTCATTTTGGGGTATTAATTGCAGCAACGCCCCTCTCCTTGTGTCTAAAGGCTTTCTGCGACATGCAAACAGAAGGAGGAGGGTGGACCGTGATACAAAAACGCTTTGACGGCCATGTTGACTTTCACCGAACGTGGCAGGAGTACAGAAAGGTAAAAGCAATCCAGAAGAAATTCTTCCCTTAAAAAGATACAACCCAGGCTACGGTTTTCATTCCTAATGCACAAAACGATGAGCTGATTTGGCTTCGGCCATCGACTGCAAGTGTTCTAAAGCCCTGGCGGATTCTGCTCTGCAAGAGGCAACAGCCAAAACATGAAATCACTATAATTTGTCTCATTGAAATCACCAGATTAAATCACACTATATTAAATATAGTATATTAAAAAGGGGTTTAAATAATTCCCAAAAATTGAACAGCACTGTCAAGAGGAAGATTAAATTTTATTTTCAGTGAAAAGATCGTTCAGTGTTGCAGCCGAGAAATGGATATGCTGGTCATGTGCTTTTGCTAATGGAAAAAGAGACTTACAAAGCCCCCCCCCCCCCCCCGCAAGCCATAATTACATTTCTTTTATGGTTTTTCAGGGGTTTGGAGACCCTTCGGGTGAATTCTGGTTGGGAAATGAGTTTGTGTCCAGACTGTCGATTCAGCAGCCCTACAGACTGAGGATCCAGCTGAGCGACTGGGAAGGAAACTCTGCATTCTCACAGTACGACCAGTTCTCCCTCGAAGGTGAAGCACTGAATTACAGGTACGTTGTGCTGACAACATCAAAAAAGCAATTGTGTTGGATGCTCGACGCCAATTACTGAACATTTTTATTATTTCCATTATGGATTCAAGCAAATATTTTGCAGCTCAAGTTATTAAGGGCAAAGAAGCCCATCAGCAAATCTCGAGACAGAGTGTTTCTGTTACAAAAGTGCTTTTGAAGTCTGCAATCCAGAAAATGCACAATGAGCCGGTGCCAGATTTCAAAGGGAGCAAATAGCCAAAGCAAGGCCTCAAATCTCAAAGCTTTAACATGATCAAGAAGAAATTAACAACTACGTTAGTAACCACATTAAGAGGCAGAAGTAACAACAGCCATTGTTGAGCAGGAAAGTAGTAGTATCTTCAGACTCACGTGTAGTGCGGTCTATTCCATTTATGGATATTTTGCATTAAAACACATCTGGTTTTATAAGAAGTTCTTATGAATGGCATAATAATAAAACACTTCTCTACATTGAGGATGAGACCATGTTAATGGACACACTGACAGGGCCCGTTTTTCAAGCAAAACCTTCTTTAGAAAAAACAACCTGAGGGTCCTAAATGTTGACTTCCTGCCTACTTCCTACCTCTTTTTAAAAGCAAAACACATTATGGAAACTCCTCTAGATGATTATTTGCTGTATACGACTGTCTACTTCCTGGTACTGGCATCCGCCCAAAGAAAATGTAATAAAACTGGTCAGTGTTTAAAAAATAGGAAATGCATTAAATGTCTTGGATGTCTAACATTGGCTCTGCACCTCTTGGCAATAACACAACCGCCAGAAGTGTTTTCCTTGAACCTAAGCTGATTTGGAATGGATACTTCCTTTGAATTCGACAAACAGACCTTGAAATGCTGCAATTCAACACAGCTCTTTTCAGGTCTCAGGTCTACTTGACTATGACCAATTAGGTCTCCCCTTAGTTGGCTCAGTAATTCCAAATAACTCTGACAAAGAAACTGCCCAACGAGCACAATGGGAACTCCTCGGCATTAAAATAAAAATAGAACAACGACATATGAAATCAGCCAGCTCCTTGTGAAAATCACAAAGAGAACAAAACGGTGGTGTTAATAGGACAAACTTTATTCCCTATGCCAAACCACTTCATTCTCCCTCTTCCATTCTACAGGATACACCTTAAAGGCTTCAGTGGAACGGCGGGCAAAATAAGCAGCATTGGGCAGCCAGGAAGTGATTTCAGTACAAAGGATAAAGACAACGACAAATGTGTTTGCAAATGTTCACAACTGACAACAGGGGGTAAGAAACACATTTCTATGAATAGCTTGTGCTTTTGAACAAATGTCGGGAAAATACAAATATCGGGTTGATTTGTGAGCAACAAATTCCCACCCACCCTAATCTTGGCACTTGCCCTGAAAATATTCAAGGGCATCTTAAGGGCTCCCGTACTTTTGTGGCCAGGTCAAAGAGCACAATTAGCTCAGAGTTAATCACTGATCCACTCATCGGGGAATTCAGCCCCCTACAATGCCTGACATTAATAGCCTGGGAACAGAGCGGCTCTCTCCTCTTGTAGCTTAAAGGTCCCCCTCCGTTCCCTTGAAAGTAACTCCACTGCCAGAAGTTTGTCTCCCGCTGCATCGCGGTCTGCCGAGCGAGCACGAAGGCATGAAAACTCCAACCCTCTCCCTTTTTTTCCCATGAGAGACGCCTCGCGGGGGGACTCCGCTTGCACGTTACGCACACTCGCTGCTAAGTGGCACTGACCCAGTGAGAAGAAGCCAAGCAGGATCTCGTATGACGGCCCGGTTACTACTGCTGAGCAGAACACAAAAATCCACAGTCATAAAGTCAGTCAGTCTCTTCCCAGCACGCGCGCATGGAAACATAAAGAGTGTCATTGGCACTTAAAAAAAAACGTCAGCGAGTCCACGATGGGTGACACAACCGCTCCATATGAGCAGTAGCAAATTGACTGTCACAGCCAATTGGATGCAGCCAAATGGGAATTGCTTTAACAGAGGGACACTTTATGACGAGAGGCTTCTGGCTGCTCATTTGAAGCCGCGTTAAGCGTTGAGTTACAGTGTGAAAGTGCAAATTGAATAGTATGCCATTGCTTTTCATTGCGCAGAAGCCAAATAACCTCCAATTTAAGTTCTTTGAAATCGACCATTCATTATAGATAGAGTATGTGTTACAACCTGTCCTTTGTTTTGATATTCTAGGTTGGTGGTTTGATGCCTGCGGTCCGTCCAATTTGAATGGAATGTTTTACCAGCAAGGCCAAAACTCAAATCGCTTCAATGGAATCAAATGGTACTACTGGAAAGGCTCGGGCTACTCACTGCAGTCCACCACAATGATGATCAGACCTGCAGACTTCTCAGGTTCCCTTTGAACTGACTCAAACAATACACCAAGCTGGTGGGAAATTCTGCCTGCAAACTACAAAAAACTAAAATGAAAAGTATCAAGCGAACCAAAGTACTTCATTAAGGGATTTTATATATTTTGTGCATTTCTATGTTTAGTAATTTAAATCAAATGGTTGTGTTACAATGGATTATCAAAATATATATATAAATATAGTGAAATGTGTATTACTGCTATGTATAGATTACTACAGTTATTACATTTGGAATATCTAGATAATCACACAGAATATTAAAATGTGTGATATTCACATTTATTTAAAGACTTTTATTTAGTTCAATATCCATTTAACCATCCATATTTGAATAATAGCAGCCTGTGTCATTGTAAAAAGAAAATGAGACTATGGTACAACATGCAGAAAACCACTGGCTCAAAGTTATTATGGTTTTGTTAAATGTCTAAAACGCAAATGTAAAAAAATGCCACAGAAATTGTTTCTCTAAAGATTACTGTTGTTTTTCTCCCAGGAATGTATGTCAATTTGTTGTTTAATTTATATGTAGGTTTTTAAGTTTTATATTTAACATTATATATGGGGGAAATTAGATTATTAGGTATTGACTATTTCATGCACATTCTCACTAGGAGGAATTCCTTTAATATAATCCTGCAGTACACTTCCACAGGCTCATACGTGCCCAGTGTTCTGGGGACGTATTTCCGTACTCCTGAGAAGCTACGATTCTCACCGGCCTTTTTGAAGTGGTTGTCTGTAATGTTCTACCAGTTGTTATGTACCTGAAGTTGAATATTAAACACAAGCACAAGGCAGAGGGCTTCAGACGTGAGCTCTAAAGTCCTTCTCGTTCTCAGTCCTGTTCTACCCGATGGCACCGAGCGGCCGGCACAGAGCACAGTCGCCACAGCAGCACAAATCTTCCAGCAATGTCCGTTTTCAAGGGAAAAAACTAAATCCTAAATGCTTAAAAATTGCATATGTTGTTTGCTTTTTTTGGTACCTAATCAAAATGTTACATTTCAAATTAAATCCCCAAATCGTCAGAAGAGAGACAGATATAGCTCATGGCGAGCAATGTGGATAACATCCCATGTCACAGTTGATTTAATGTAATACAGCAATATTGATATGACAAAGTCCATTTGGGGTGTTTGTGGATAAAGTAAAATAAAATTGGCACATGAGAATTTCTTATGTATGGCTACTATTTACAAATAAAAGAATACTTCTTCAGATGAATGGGACAATCAACCCAAAATCCAGTTATAAATGATTCTTGATCGTTGACTTGTAACATTTCCTCTGTTGTTGAGTAATATTAAAATGGCAAAAATGCTTCAAATATTTAAGTTTTAGTCTTTTATCTTACAGCCAATTCACTCAGTTCAGCCCTCATTCAAATTCACTGTGAAAAACGTCTGTTTGAACTGTAGTTCCCATAATTGATATACTGACGCCATCATTGCGCTCAACAGGACACAGTCGTGCACGCCAGGCACGTGGTTTTGTACTTTGAGTACCGGAATGATGAGCGGCCACGGGGACGTTCAGAGAGGAAACGTGACGACATTTGTCCGCATTCATACTTCACGTCTTCCTTCGCTGTAGCAGGAGCCAACAGAGATTTTTGAATGGGGAACTCAGGAAGAAGCAACATTCACAGTTCACACAGGAAGCTCCAGGAAAAACAGACCAACTGAAAATGGACAACTGGCAATGAAATTGCTAAACAGAAAAAAATATCTTTGCACTATATTCCAGGGGAAAAAAAGATTGAAAACTGTATTAAATATACATGCTTCTATATGTTTTCGGTCATTTCCAGAATATAAAGACATGAACAGCCTTTTTCATCTGTTAATTTAATGTCATTCAATATAAATGAGTGTCATGAGTAACATGGTGGTGTTTGCACCACCTGAGAACACAGAAAGGTTTACAGCAGAGGTAATGCCGCTAGTACCCGTGTGCTGTACTGTTTTATTGTACTACTATACAAGAGTTGGTTCTCACCTGTGCTGCAGGAAACTGGTCTGAGAGTTCATATGGCTCCTCTGGAATCCACTGCCTTTGCTCCAAACACCACAGGATCTACTCCGGAGAAACACAAGATATTGAGACACCTCTTCATCAGTTTACAAGCCATCGCGTAATTGCTTCAAAAACACATACAAACTACACACCCATTCAAACGACAGGATCCAGCAGCCTCGCGCTATGCCCAACAGAATATTGAGAGTCCGTCGGTGACCCCAGGACACCACGTGAGTTGTGCTCTCACAAACTCGGTCAACGATTGAAAACCCGCCCAGTGTCGCCACAACCTGAACCAACGTGTGCTGCTTCCTACAAGAGGCGGATGAAACAGAAAGCATCCGGCACAAGAGCTTAAACATTTATTTTTACCAGCTTTCCCACCGACGCGTCCAAAATGTGTTACATGTTTGTACTCACTCAGTGGGCATGCTCGTCATGACCAACGTTCTCATAACCTGAAAAAAAGACAAAGTTTACGACAGGATAAAAATTTTCTGTACTTCCTGATCGTGACACTTTTGTGAAATTAAATTGTGTAAACATTAGATTAATGTGAAGCAATTATACCAAGCTGGAAGAGAAATCACATTAAACCCCTTATTGGATTATGCAACATGCTCCCAAGGAAAAATTAATCTGTGTTTGATGCTTTCTTGCCATTCTTGTTTACGGGAAGTAGTTCTTGGCCTGGGGTGTTTTCCCAGTTGTATGGTTTCACAATACCCACATATATGGTAAACAAGGGAACGAGGTGGAACAGCTACACAGTGAGGATTTGGCTGAGTTTTTTTCTCGTCTTCTGTAGGAGTTAAAATCCCAGAAAACAGAGTTAAATCTGTGAAATACGTAGAACAAATGCACACCTTATAGACGCCAGTGATACAGTATCCATTAATAGGAAATGTGTCAAAGACACTAGTAAATAAAATGCATGTGTGTTTCTTTTGTGTGTGAGTTGGTTTGTTGAACAGCACGGTGCAGGTAAAAGGATTTCCACTCAGCGCACACGCAGGCCGTGCACTTTCAACAACCCCGCCGGATGGAGAGTTGCGTAGAGACCGAAAAAGGAAATCAAACACCCAAGGCCGCGAGGGGAGAAAAACATATTCACAGCCAGCGCAAATGGAACTGTACATTTGTAACCTGACGTCTGTGGTCCATCCAGCGAGCCGTCATGGACACAAACACCTGAGGACCACCGGGACCTTCTTGCCACACCGATACGTACTGATGTCAGCTCCCCCCAGCTGGAAGTCAGGGGTTAAGGCCTGCAGCACACAGCGGTGCCAAAACGGTGCAACGGTCCCTCCCACACCATCATCACATTGTCCCCTGGAATTCACGGAGGTGGTTACCGTCGACCCCGTGACTGCTGGTCCTCGGGCCGCAACGACAGGAGGTTTTCTTCAAAAGGAAAAATGTTTTGCTATTTCACTTCGTCGAGGATCTCTTCTGACACCCTGAGCGAGGCCAAAAGGCAACGAGAAAATCGGCTCATCTTATGGTCTTTCAAACCCACTCAAACAACACCGGCAGCTATTCTAAAACGTTTCCTCAGAGGGAACCGTGGCTTATCTTATGCAGGGGACGTGTTCTGACAGCGACACAAAAAACACGGGCATTGAAAAATGAGTTGGACATAATGAGCTTGTGACAAAGAGCTGTGACCTGCAGCGTGGCCTCAGAGCGCCGCAAGCACGCATGACAGTTCTCCACTGATTAATCAGTCAACATATTCCGTAAACTATGGGCAATTACAGAATGAACCTGCTGCATAAAGGGGTTTAGGAAAAAAATGGTTTACTTTTAAACCACACGCATCTGTCCTGAAGCCACATGCACTGTGTCAATTCTTACACTTTCACAGATCGTTTGAGCCACGCAGGTTTAACCTCTTATAAGCTTCTGTTTATCGATACTGCCTCACACGGAACAGGGGGGGGCATGTTTGGCTCTTTTCAGGCCACAGCTTTTTGAGGTTACCAGCGTAACGAAAACAGAGCCCAGGTGCATTATCACAAGCAAGGAAGTTGTACGCTTCCATCACAGAGGCAAAAAAAACACAGGAAGTCCTCCGGAGCAGACGGAACCTCTTGACTAGCTGCGTCAAACTCCTACAGGCGTGGAAGTGTGTGACCGTACGGAGGAAATACTTAAAGAGGTATGACACGCCGCTGATGTTTGGTTCCCGGACTTCCTATTGTACAGGAAACCCACGAGCGTCAGGAATTTCTCATCAATTTTTGCAGCTGCAATAGATCCTTGGGATAAATAAAACCCAACATCGGGTAAATTGAGAAGGATGAAGAACACAAATAAATTGTGTCAAAGGTGGACAAAGGAAAGTGTATAAAATAAAGTGTATTTTTTAACTGGTAAGGTACCCACTGGGGACGTAATGCTCAGATCATCCTGTTCTTGCAGTCCCACAACACTTGGAAGGAATAAATAGCATAATTTACAATACAAATACCATATCACCTTTTTGATTTTTTGCAAAACAAAATCTGAATATTCAATACTGTTGAGTAATGATGTAGAGTAAACATTCTTCTTACCTTCTTTTGGTTCACCATGTTCTGAAGACTCAAGTTGTGACGCTCTTCTTTGCCTTCAGACGGGAACTTTGTTAAACCAGCTGCAACCATACGTACATTTCCCCCTCCTACATTTGAAAACAAGAAAAACAATTGTAAACAGTGTGTGTGTGTCGGGGGGGGTGGCACTGTTTTGCATGTTAGATGATGATGATTTCTCATCTCTTCATTACACCTGCCTAAAGCCCTACAATGCACAATTTGAAGTAACTAGTGACTACTAACTTCAATGTATAAGCCATTCAGACACTATTAGAATTACTACTAGAATAACTGTTGACTCACAAATGTGCTTTTTTTATGTTAAAGATGCCCTGGGCTCAATTTGACAGATATACTACATCTCTGTTAGTCATGTGTTGTGATACAGTAAGCTTATTTTACATCAATGATGTTATTTTTAAGTCTTAGATTTCAATTATGATAGATTGACTCCTCATCTTTAACTCCAGCCGCAGTTTCTGGGTTAACCCAACTTTAGAATCTCAAATACAAATTTGGTCTTCAAAAGACAAAAAGGAAATATGAAATATTACGAGAATATTGATAATAACATGAGAGGAAAGTTTCTTCTTTATTCATTTCTTTAAAATGTGACATCCAGGAATAAATCATCGGAAATACGCTGGCTTTAAAATGGCCCGGTGATTACAGAAACATTTACCAACACGCACCATTGTGAATGTTCAAACACCGTTAGCAATCATTTGTTTTGTTCAATTCACTTTGTAGCCTAGCTACTCACTTTCCACTGCATGAGAAACGGCAGCGACAGAGTTCCTCTGCAGCTCCGACACCGCATCGGCCTCCATCGACGCGGTGTCGGGCCGCACTGTTGTAGAGGCTCGTCTCCGTCTGGTGGCATCGCTCGTGGTTGTGCCACTGCTTGTGAAGGGCAACGTGCTTTGTCTCTGTCGCTTTTTTGCCCTGTGTGTGACATTGGCACTTGGCCTCCGCGATACAGGCTGAGGTTCTTGGACCTCCTGCTGGGGATGACTTTGGGGCTTGCTGCTTGAAACAGAATTCGGACTTGTTTCGTGTAACCTCTTCTTTTTAGTTGGAGTTTCGGATCCTCTGCTTTCAGTTCTTCGTTTACTCTTCTTTGGGACAGAGTCCAACTGAAAAGGATTCGGAATGTCTCTCCCCACGGGTAGATTAGGCAAAGGAAGTCCTTTGGATATAGGGTGGTGGTTGGCAGGGGAAAAATAGTCTTCGAAGACATTATCGTCTCCCTCAGTGGAAACTGAAGCAGCACTTTTAGAGTCGCTGGGTAGAGTGAAAGACCGCACTAAGGCAGAGAATGACGTCCGGACATGTTTAGATGTTTTCTGTATAGGGGGAGCAGGTTCCTTTAACAGTTTAACTGCACCATCACCAAATTTGTCTGGTATGGCGAGACCGCTAGAAGATTTTGCAGCATCTGAAGAAAAATGTGTCTCTGTAAAGGATTTAGCTACTTTTATTTTTTCCTTTTGAGTTTTGGAAGGCGATGGCCCAGAGGATCTTACCTCCGATTCCCTTTGTTCTTTATTCAAGTCTGTGGTCTTGCAAGATATCTCATCCTTTAAGGGACTTTCTAGTAAACTTAGTGATTTGTGTTTCTCCGCTGCCTTTTTTCTGACTGAGGTCCTTCTAGACCTTTTTACAATATTCGCTTCTTCTTCCTTGAAGTCTTGACATTTTACTGGACTTGAAATCTGTCTTTGCACATCGCGGCCGTGTGAGAGACACGGCTCTTTGGAGTCTTTTGTGTGGTGTTGCTCACGGCGGTCATGGCTGGTGACATCCACTTGCTTTCTCCCTTCTTCTTTATCAGGTGAGTAAGCAGGTTCAGCCACAGAAGCACTGGAATCATCATCCGACAGGTCATCTATATTCAGAAAATACATGAATAAATATGAATATTGTGCGTTGTTTAGCGCCTTTTTCTTGGTTTTTGTCTGTTTAGCTGTTTTTTAAAAGTGACTAGGTGCCCCCTCATAGTCCACTAATGAGATGTTATTAACTTATTCCAAAGACAGGAGCTGATCTCCGGTAAAGTGGTACTTGTGTCTTATTTAAAACAAATAGTGTATTATCTGACATACGTGATTCAACAAATACATCATGTCAAGGACAGCCCTATCAATGTCCCCAAACCGTGTAAAAGCCCCAGGCAGGGGCTCTCGCTTCACATTGTTCTTCACTTCACAAATTGCAGAGTGGAAAAGGCATCAAGAGGCGGACGAGGAGCTGCTCGCATAGCAAGTCAGAGAGACCACATGCTAAAATGTTCAGTGCTGTCATGCTATGTTTTAAGTGTTTCGACGTCATTTATTTGCTGTTTCCATTCACATTCAACTCCTTGGTATAAGAGCTTTAGCCAAATCAATATTTAAGATAATTAAGCAATTCTGCTTTAAGACACAGTTGCTAAGATACAAGTGCAATCTTGAATTATAACACAACAATACAATTTTCCATTGATCAGTAGCACCAAAACACTCTTACACATTAATTTGAGGACTGTTGGTGTGCTCCCAAGAGAAGGCTTCATCCCAGCTGGTGAGCAGGGTTCAACCATTTGTGAAGCTGAAAGACAGAATATAGATGTGTGAATTTCAGGGGGTTGGCATTTGTCAGTTATCTTCCAGTGCAATTGCAGCCGCTGCTCATACCTGTCGGTGAGAGGTTTTCCCGTTTCTCTTTCATGTCTTTTAAACGCTGTGCCATATAATCTGATCTTTTCAACGCAGGGCTATAGACGATTCCATTCTCCTCATCAATAATGATAGGTGACACATCTGTAACTGTGGGTGAAAGCAAATCAAAGGATGTGGTTTGTAATTTCACCTTTTTTAGAGGTTTCTAAAAGTGTAATAATCTCTTACCAAAAGGTTGTTTCGGAGCCATGTCTTTCATCATCTTATCCAATTTTTTTCTCATACGTCTGTCATTTTCAGGTGTCCTCTCTGGAGAATCTTTTGGTTGCATGCACCGATGCTACACGTCAAACACAAAAAATATGTTTGTAAAAAGATAGAAAAACCAAACATTCTTTCTTATCTTTCTCTTCTGTATAAGGAACAGACCCACAATCAGCACAAACTATAGACCGTGGTTTAACAGTGATATTCATTAACAGCTTAAACTTTGGCACCAACATAAAGGCCTCATGCACATCTGACTCTACTCACTCTTTTGTTCTTCAATACAGGATTGCGTTCATCATTAAAGGCTGGAAACATCTCCTCATCCAAACGAACCCCATCATCGTAACATCTGGACATAATTTTGCCAAAAATAAAAGTATAATATTGTTCAAATAAAGGATGACGATAATACCATATACATCTAGAGGACACTAGGAGTAGGAAATAACAGTTTTTATGCTCAGTGTCCTTCTTACCTGCCTACCCAGAGAACAGAGACAAGCCTCACGTCATTTTTCTTGGCTTTCTTCCATGTAGCCAGGTGGCCATTGTTGAAGACTACATGTGTGACTTGTTTATTGAATGACTTTGATACCTGTAAAATATAAGGCATTTACATATTGCAAAGTATACATTGTATGAAAAGCTATGGCAAGCAATAGAGTGCTTTTGTGTATATGTGCCGTGCTGTCTCACCTGAGCACCCATTTCTTGCAGCTGCTGAACGAATGGTTTAGAATAGTTTGCCGTTTTGTCTGATGACCACACATCCACATAGACAACAACATCTGCAAACATATGGAACATAGTCATACATTTACACAAGAAATTAAGTTCAACTTAACCTTAAATGAAGTGCAGTAAAAAAAAAAGATGTTCAATACCTTTAAGAACAGAACCATTGCTTGTTGTTGTCATGACTTCTCTCGTAAGCTTTGTCTACACAAAAACAATAGACACTTTTTAAAGAACACACTGTGTGTGTGTGTGTGTGTGTGTGTGTGTGTGTGTGTGTGTGTGTGTGTGTTGTAGGAGTCCATACTGCATCCTAAAAGCACATTATGTAGGTACAGTTGCCTTCTGTAAACCTAATGACTGAAACGCAATGATACACGCTAGAGTTGAGAAACAAGGTAACCATAGTTACGTTGTTTAACGCGTGAGTGAATGGAAGTTACCCAACGTACGGTTTAACAACTTCATTTAGCCCATATGAGGTTAGTAACTGCAGCGTCAGTCATCTAAACAACACAGGTTTGAACATCATTAGCGTTGGATATGTAAATGTATTACCTAGCAATTGATAATATAACGTTAACAGTTGACGCAGTTCAACGTTGCTGGTAGTTTACGCTACATGTCGATGCTAACGATAATAACCAACGTTAACTTGTTTTTTATTCTTAGCATTACGCTGTTGTGGCTAATAGTTCAGTAATGTGCTGATGTATGTGTTATATACAGTTTAGACTATTAGCCGGACAAAGTCATGAACACAAATATCTACTTTATGCGACGGGGAAGTTTAAATTACGTAGATTTCAACAATACCTCGCTACAGCGTACATCGTTCGCGCCTGCACTTTGTGAAGAGATGCATTGTGGGACCTCCAACCTCATTGGTCAATGAGTGACAAACGTCACTTCCGGCTGGGATCGACAGTAAAGGCAACATGGTACTTTGGTGTCTTCGAAAAGTCTACTTTAAGCCTCGACTGTGAACTAACACAGGTACAGCTTCCAATTTGGGGCCGCACTAAATATTATTGAAACAGGCATTTATAGATGGCTTCATTAGCCACTAGCCTCACAGAATGTTGCATCAATTAAAAGCCAAGTCTGGACAAATGTGTTATTATTTATTTATTCATTTAACTCACCTGAAGCACATTTATATTACAACACTGTAATAAACGTTTACATTTTACTTTCATGGGTCACATTAGTCACAACAATGGCACATTAACTCACTGCGCAAAAATTTCAAAAATACAAAAGAACAAATAACATGTAAGAAATAAAACAGAGGTACGACACAAAACATCAGGTAGGAAAGTCTCAAAGGTTTTTTGTTCAACCACAAGCCTCAATATCAACTTTAGTACTTGCAATTCAACAACCTTATTGGTCTCTATATGTTTTGGAGATTTTAGTGGCCCAGTAGCTCTGCAAAGTCCAGGGCACACTTTTTTTTTTATCTGTTCATATAAAATTGAAATAGAATTATAAATAATGTTTACTTTTTGAATAGTTACAATACTCTGTAAAGCATCCAAAATTGGATATTTTTGTTTGACTTTTTTTTCTTTTTCTTATCGATACTGCAGAATAATATAAACCAACATTGTAAATCACACTTCACTTCAGACCAGTGACATAATGTTTCACTTTCAATCAATTGTCATTAAAAGGTAGAACAAACGGCATTAGTCAGTTTGTACAGTTTATGTGACTAAATTCTAAATTAGCACAATCTTTCAGGTTGTAAAATCCAACAGTCAGACAGAGTTGCTCTGAGGCATGGAGGTGCGGGACACTTCCATGTGCACTGTGGACATGGGAAAACGCTCACACCCTTCCTCTACCGGACTGCAGCGACAGTGCAGCAGCACTTCCCTCACCTCCTGGTGAAAGTTGGAATTTAGGAAGCCATAGATTATAGGGTTAATGCAGGTGGATGCCATGGCCAGCAGGTGGCAGAGGGAGAACAGCAGGTTGTGATGGCAGATGGGCAGAGCCTCCTGGTTCCAGTCTGACACCACATTGAAGATGGTCAGCGGCAGCCAGCAAAGAGCAAAAGCGGTGATGAGGGCGACCAGCATTATGTTGATTCGGCGGCTGTGAGTCATGCTGTGGCTCTCTGGTGTCCTGGCGCGGTCCAGCATGTCTTTGCGGTGACGAAGGCGCACAAAAACTCTGACATAACAGAGCAGGACCAACAAAAGTGGGCCACAGTACTGGAACAGAAGGAGCCATGTGGTGTAAGCGAGCCGGTGTTGCTGGGAAGGCCAGTGCTCCAGACAGGCCTCCATATGTGGAGAGGCGGGGGCATAAGAGAAAAGTGTGTGGTATGAATTTGAAAGCGCCGATGAGTTTTTGTATGTGTTGTAAGGCTGAGGTGGAGATGCATTGAGATAAGCCTGAGAGGGGGCTTGGTGATGGAGTGGAGGCTGAGACATGGTGACGTTGTAGGGCTCGCTTGTGAGCAGCTGAAAGGCCAAGAACGGCGAGGAGGTGAAGGAGGCCAGAATCCAAATGAGAACCACCACCATGTAGGCCTGAGAAATGCTTGGTTTCCATCCAGATGGGTTAATGATGAGCTGATGTCTTTCCAGAGCAATGAAAACGAGAGACAGCACAGACACGGTCACAGACGCACACTGGATGAATGGCACCAGCCGGCATAGCAGCGACCCAAACACCCAATGGTCCATTAGTGTGTATATGACGGTAAAAGGAAGGCAGAAGACACACACTAGGATGTCAGAGAACGAAAGGTTGCAGATGAAAATGCCGGTGACATTGACTTTTTCTCTGCGACGGGCGATGATGCAGATAAGGCCGATGTTTCCCACCAGGCCCAGCACCATCGTCAGGCTGTACCACACAACCAGACACACTGTGAGGGCAGAGGACATATGGCACTGCTCATCATGCCCGAGAACGGCGAGGTCTGAAAGGATCAAGGTCTTATTCCCCAACCATTCGGGCACAGACTCACTAGTGGTTTCCCCCTCCTCCCATGGTTGGAAATGTGGGGAGGTGGAGCTGCTGAAGGGCAGAGTTGGAGCTGTCGTTGACGGAGAAGCCTGGTTCTCGTTGCCGCTAAAGGACATCTCACCAGGACTTCAGTGTCACCGGCCCCCAGGATCAAACTGTCCATCCCGGTACTCTTAAAACACGCATCTGAGACAGGGAGAGGGAACGCACAGGGGGACACAGGGAGAAGAAGAAGAAAAACACAGTAATTACTTGCAAAGCAATCCTTCTTAAAAGTCAAAGTGGAAGTTCCTGCGGAAGGGATACTGTTTGTTCCAAGAGAAGCAAATAGTGAAGGAAAGGCAAGAAGTGGATCCGGTAGCAGAGGAATTCAGGAGAGATGCAAAGAAGTGAGAACTTTTCTGTATTTAAAACATTGTAAGAGGAGTTTTTAAGAAATCGCTCCAATTAAAACGTGCCTTTTTGTTATAAATGTAGTCGTGCCAGTAACATTGCTGTTTGGAACAGCTGTTAAACGGATGCCATTACATTTTATGATTGTGGACATAGTTCCCAGAGGAGGAATGACTTCTCCATCTTAAGGTCCATCGTCAGCTCAACACAAAATTTTGATGTGTCAATTCTGCAAAAACTACCATCAATGCAAAAAACTGTTTCTCCAATTTTCTGTGATGATTGTCAACAAAATACACAAATAAGAACGTTACACACCATAAAGAGGTTGTTTATGCAGTTTACACTTGGCGAATGGCACATTTTTTCACTATAGTCCCTACTATTAGTATTTTGTTCTGCTGATGTTGCGCAGAGTAGTTTCAGTTCTTTGTCTTAACAATCCCTCTCTTTCTCTTCTTTACAAATCTTAAGATCTCAGACTTGTCAGCTCTCCTCCCACAACTGATCGCTTACCGTCAGATCTGAAGACTGAGCATAATAGCTTGATGACAATACAATTACTATGCATACGGTGACGCAGAGGCTTCCATTTTACACAGCAAATTATGTAGTATGTCACAGTGAGTGAAAGGGCATGACATTGTCAGAATCCTAAAAATGGACTTCAGCTCTCTCCCCTGAAACCTCTGCCATGTGCTGTGAGAACCAGCATCGGGAAGGAAATGAGCCTGTCATTTCCCATTAACGACACACACACACTTAGCTATCAGTCACCTCACACTGCATCATTACTAACAAACTCTGTCAGTGTGTTGAGTGAGCTGCAGGCGCATGGTGGAAAAGCAAGTGCAATGTCACTGGTAACCAGATTTAACAAAACAGCTGTAACAGAGCAGAGGAATCATAAAAAACAGCAGGAGAAAAGGGGGAACTTTTCCCGTTAATGGCTATTAGAAACCTGGACATGGTGCAATGATGTGACACCAGGATGCATATCCAGTAGGTAGCTGTTAGTGCCGTCAACTCCTTTCCAAAGCAACATCTCTGCAGTATAAGGTGCACAGTGACCTGGCGCCGCTCTGCTCTGTTCATTCTCCTTTTCTGCCTCAGCGAAGTGTTTTCCATCTCAGGGACAGTAATGACAGTGAAGAGAGACTTGCCCACTGTCATTTTTTCCTTGAATCTGACTTAAATCTATTCTCGATTTTATATTTTATATTTTTATTTTCAATTATTGACCTGTATTCTCAACTACATCTTTTTTTGGGGGGGGGGGGTTCTACATAAAGCACATCCCACTGGAATCTTATTCTGCATCCATAACATTTTCTCTATAGAAATATTATGGTAGTTCAAGATGTTTTTTGTGACTACACTATTGTATTTCATACAAGTGTCCATGTTATTTATTTATTCTTTTGGAGCCTTGTATAGGTCTGTACTGTAGGTTCAGTGTGAGCCGACCTGGAGGGAATGACAAGTTGATTTGCCTTTAATGAATTAGAAACACATGTGCTGTCCTTTCGAGCACATATGCGCATGTGAAAGAGGAAGCCCAAACTCTGTGTAGTCACTGGGAAAATGTAACAATCTAACATTTGTATCTTAAAAGATGCTCACTGTTTCTATCGTGTGATTTCTCAAAAACCTATTTCCATTTTTATTACTGCATTACACCCAACACCAGGGAATATGACCACTTAATGGAATTCCCAGTTGCAAATTCATTTTTCAGTAATATCCAACACACACACACGTGCATGGTGGTACTATTCAGAATCAATTTTCTTGCCTCCTGCATATGGAGGAGCAGGATAACAGACGCGGTGTTCTGCCCCTGCACCGATGACCCGAGCTTCATTATTGGCGGGAGTGTCGGGGGACCGTGAGTGGTACCTCCAGAGTTTATATCATAACGATGGCTTTCAGGAGACGGGCTTTCCAAACCAAACATTAAACATAAGTGCATGTGCATATTTATGAGTACGTTTTTTTTTTCTTCTTTCTTTTTCAGTTTCCCTGTGTTGGATGCATGAAATTGGAAATTGGATGCATATTCTCAGAAAAACTACTACTGTTTGCTATTGTTTCATCATTCAAAAATCGTACAGTAAGAATGCATCTGTGGACAAAAGGCTGCAAGCTGACAGTGGAGAAACATCACACTGTCACATCTATTTACTGAACCAATAATTTCATATACGAAAAGACAGTCAAAGATCATTACTGCGCGTTGTATATCGTTCCTATCTGTTGAAAATAAAGCACTCACGTGGTGGGCTGCCTCGTGGAGACAACAGAGGAAACGACGCTCTGGACGGATGTGAATCCTCAGATGTGAGAGTTGGAGAAGGACCTGAACATCACAGCCACCACAACGCTTCTGTCACAGACAAAAGGCGGCTGTGGTTCCACTAGAATTGAGCTGCTAGGAGAGCTTTTAATGCCAGACCCTTTGAGCGCTGCACTCTGCTGTCACACAGTGGTGGTTTATTCAATGACATGCCAAAAAGGGCGTCAGATGAGTCTGCTGTTATAAAGACATAAAGTAGGCAAGAAGAGACAGAGCCCAGCTGGTTTTTAGGTTTTATCTTTATTGTCAAAAACTTTAAAAAATGACAAGAAAGACCAAATGAATCTGGATTGGATTAGTGGCTTATATATGCACCCTAAAATAGTTGATCAAATATGAATTATGAGAAAGACTGGTGACAAGTTTGGATCTCATTTGTTCCGAAACACGCAGGGGTCAAGCTTGTTGTGTGTTCACATCGGCTGACACTCCTTTGTCTTGTCTGACTTCAACAAGACCTTTGCAGAGCAGGTTTCCTTGTGTACAACCAGCTCACACTCATCAGGAATATCTACTGTGTCCGCGTCAGGGATCCTTGAGAGACAAAGAGGAAACAATATCACACATAGCTAGAGAGAAAAGTAAATTGTCTTCTTAAAATGGTTATCTGCAAATTAGGGATTTAGGAGAGACTTTATTCTGTGTAAAAGCAGGGGATTGTGTTTCATTTTTCTCTTCAAAGTTTTTTTTTTCTTTGCAAGTAAACGGATTGATGTCCACTGCGTAGAAGAATAAACAGGACCAATATGTCAGTTGGGGGAAACACCGAATATACACACATCTTTCATTTGTTGTGATGTGAGAAAAGTAAACATGTCAAGGACACAAAAAAACGTTTGTATGTAGGATTGCGTGAAAATAAAAGGTGTAATACCGTAAATGAAAGCACGAAAGTCTTACTTGCTACAGCAGCTCAGGCCCTCGTTCGTACAGGAGCACGCCATGCAGTCTCTGTCCCACTCAGAGCCGAAATCATGCTGCTTTCCGTCCTTGTCCACACACCCTGAATGTAAAGAAACAAAACCGCCATTGGCCAACTGTTGAGCCCCTTATTAAGCTCTGATAACATTTCATCAGTGACTGAATGTGTGTTCATAGGTGTGGTTTTTTATGATTCAGGTGTCGCGCAAACACAAAACCACTGGTTGATTTTAGCCACTGTTGGATTTGGTGATGTCAGACGTTTTTGAATTATATTTCTTCCAAATGTTATGTCGACTCACCTTTTGGAGGGTTATTCGGATCTTTCGGTGCCAACTCCTGGAAGAAGCAGTAAGAGTGGCACAGGACAACCAGTCCCAGCAGACAAACAAAAACTTGGAGAGAAGCCTGAAAGAGTTGAATAAAAGACATGTCAAGCACGATGGCTGTTTACAGGCTCCGCAGTGCGCTCATGCTCTTAATTACCATCCCAAAAGATTCCCTAAAGATGGGAAAAATCCTGCCTTTTGTGCTTCACTCTTTTAGCGGTCAACAAACAACCAATCTTTTGATGTGAAACAGTTTCCACACTAAAAGTACATGTTTCGCTCAGTAGGTTTAAGAATAGTTGCTATTAAATGCGTATTTGAGGGATTGGCCAGCGCTACAAAAATCCAGAATTTTAAAATGGCCCTTTTATGTATATGTTTTAGTACAAAAGACATTATGTCTGCAACACAGAGCGTGTTTAAAATTAAATTTATCTAATGTAGTCTGCACAAGATATGTAAAGTTTTTTAGACGACCATTATTTGTACTTAGTCCTTACAACTGTTATTTGACACAGAATCATATTTGACCTTACTTGCTGATTCATCGGTTATCAACACTTATCGTATTATTATTAATACAATTATTTATAGCATAAGTAGAAAATATATAGTGCAATGGGACAGCAATGATGTCTTATAAGTCTAAAACATGCATCAATATTTACACCTATACGGGCATTTTTTATTTAAGAGAAAAACCACTAACAAGACCCGAAAGAAAACATTTCTAAGATCTTCAGCGTCTTTGCCTAATTACATGCATAAGTTACGTACCATCCCGGGATGCGATGCGACCAGGTGAACAGGAAGCTGATCTGAGTGAGAGCTCAATGGAGCCTTTATACTTACATCTGTATTGTGCGTTGTTACAGAATAGCCAATAGCAATGTGACTGATATTTGTTTTAAGGCGTGTAGAAGGATGTAGCTAATATTGATATTACGGGCATATGTTGACTTTTACAAATTCACAAGAAATATGGATTTTATGTTTATATATATATTTATTGATTTTATTCAACTAACGCAAGAATAATTACATTATTGAAAGAACAATCAAGGAAACAGTTAGAAATATAAAAACTTTCTGTAAACTTATCTGTAAACTTTCATTGCTGAGCCAAAAGGCAGAGATAGATTACTTGCATTGCAAATAAAGCAACAAACTGTAAACAATTAATTAAAAGATTTAGTTAAGATCAAACAATGCCGTAAAAAAAAAAAAGTATATTCTTTGGAACTTTTGTTCTCCAAAAAGCCCGTCCTTGAACTGTGCAACAGAGGAAAGCGCTGGATAAAAAAAACTTCAATATCCCTCCCTCTTCATTTTATAATCACAAACATAATAGCAAAATTAGGATAAAAACATAATCATACTTAACATTCACATAAAAGTTTACATTGATCGAGTTTAACTGTAAATGTAGGAAGCTACACCATCCCAATGTTATGATTGAGAAATATAAATAAGTTGTAGTACTCGCTTCCTAAAGTGCAAATTTAAAACAGCTCTATGAGCAGAGAACAGGAAGTGTTCTTCCGTGGCACATCCAACGAAACAACCGCTTCTTTTGTTAGTAGTTACTAAACGGGTGTCGAACCTCTTTAAAGGAAAACTGCAGTATGAAACTTCATTAAAGCGGTGTGAAGCCTGATAGGTCTTCTCCTGCAGATGTTACGGGGGTATAACAACCCAAACCAGTGAAACAAACATTCCCAAAATAAAAACATGACCAACTGAGTGAGGCAAATAAATCTCCAAAGAAATGATCCACAGCTGGACCCCATAAGAACCCCCCACCCCCCTTCTGCTGTCACCTGGTAGTGCAATGTGCAATTCAATTCAAAGGAATTGTTTTGGGAAGTAAACTTATTCCCCTTGTCATCTCAATCGTTGATGAGAAAATAAATCATCTATGGAAACAAAAGGTTAAAACAAAAAACACCCAGATAACAAACTTCTAACCATACAAAGATAAGAAGCAGCATCTCCTTCCGCCGCTGGTATTATAGTGCATGCACGTCGCAGAAACCCCTCTATCCAACCAGAGTCCTCATGAACGCCGGTCTGTTGAAGGGCCAGTGGTACTGGTTGGGGACAGGTCCGTTCACGTTGCACTCAAAGAAGGAGAACATGGGGAACCAAATGCGCGCCCTGCGGCTCTGCTGGAAGGCACGGGTGTTGGCTAACGTGTGGTAGTAGAGGAAGAGGCGAGTGGTGATGTAGAAGGCGATGAACACGTCGATGGAGTAGTGCTCGTGAGCCGCCAGGATAAAGAAAATGCCAAACAGGTTTAACACCCAGGAGATGGTGTGAATCAGATTCCACGTTCGTGGTGTGTCTGCAATTAAAGGCAATCATTATTAGGATGAATATCGTGGAATTTATAGTTTTCTTACCAAAAACAAATCCCCAAAACAGCAAAACACTACAGTAGCATGGAAGCTGAACACAAGCAAAGGAGCAAGTTATGTTGAAACAATGCTGCTGTGAATAATGACTAAATCACACAGCAAATATGTAGGAATCCATGGCTGACAGTAGTGCCCAACAAATTAGGATTTACTCACCAAATATAAAACTGTACATATAAATGCTGCTGCAGCCAAAAAGTTACTATTTATCAATCTATGATATATTATAAAAAGAGTGCCAGATAAAGGCCCCATTTATATTTAAAAAATAATTCATGACTCATTTTGTTGTACATACTATAAAACCCTCTGGGAAAATCTGCGATATCGGAAAATACAAATAAAATGGAATATAATTGAACTGAAATACTTGGAGGTCAATCACTTTGGAAGAAAAACAAAGGAGTGTCCACTCACATTCAGTCACAAAAAAGTTGAGCAATGTGATGACGACGGTGTGTCCACTGAACATGTAGTCGCCACACGTTTGGACGCCTGTCAGCGTCATCCCACCTCCACTCCAGATCAGCAGCGCCCTCTGGATCTTTCCCCAGAAATCCTCATACGTCTGAGGGGTAAACAAACCCCCCCCCGCCAAAAAAACGAACAGCCATCAGTCATGCTGTGAATCACACCGGCAGCTGTTCATCAGTTATCACAGTGGGAATACTGTCGTCAGGAATAAACTGGAACATTGCCAGAAGCAAAACAATTTACTGGGAAAACTAGCAAACAAGTCTCATGAGTGCTTCCCACCTTGCTGGCACACTTGAGGTGCTGCCCGGGAACAGAGAGCGAGGTGACAAACATGGTACAACAACGCAGCAGAAACACAGTTCCCATCAAGGAGCACAACCGTCTGAAGATAATGGACCTGAAATAGAGAGGAGCAGTCACAAAGCCTTCCTCGCACATCACTTCTTAACCTGCATTGCATTTAGAGGATCCGTGTATTAGGGGGCGCACATATTTATGGGAATAATTGGACAGGTGGACTACCTGTGTTTGTGGAGGAGCAGGACCAGCAGGCCCATGTAACACAGGATGAGGCCACATGCTTCAGCCATCGCAAAAGCCCAAGGGATTCTGGGAACACTGAGTTCAAAAACATTAAGGGCGCAGATTAGATACGACTGCAGGAGCGTATGAGTGCAAATTAACTACAGAGTCTGCTGAACATGCTGTGGATACGTGGATTCATACCTGTCCAGAAATATGTCAGGCAGCGGTGGGTACGTCCTCATGTCCGGGACGCGCTCATGAACAATGACCATGACGAAAGAAGTGAATCCAAACACAAAAAAGACATAGATGGAACTGATGATTGTCTTCCACACCTCCGGGTCCAATCTGCCAGACACTTGCTGCCTGTACCTCCCGTTGGAGTGCGAGTGACACACAGAGTCGTATGCGGATCGGTCTCCGTTCCTCAACCTCAGCTCACTCCCGTTACTCGAGCGCTCCCCTCCGTTGCACCTCGGGTCGGCCGCGCCGCAGCTCCACTCGCCCCCCGGCGAGAGCCCGGCTGGGAGGCCCAGCTCCTCCAGCCGGGCCTGGTTCCGTCTCTGGAGCCGGCAGAGGGCTATGATCAGCCGCTTGATGTCTCCGAGCACACAGAGGCCCAGCGGAGGGCCGCGCAGGTCGGCCTCGGTCAGAGCCAGCAGGCTGGGGCCGTCCAGGCGGTGCTGGTCGCACAACAACTCCACGTACTCCCCGAAACCTTCATCCCGAAGCCACAGGGCCACCTGCTTACAGCTCCAGGAGCTCACAACGTCCTCTGATGCTGCCATGCCACTGCAGACACAGACACATGAAGTTTTTTTCTTTTCTTTGTTAGTGCCAATCCTGCTGTTTGAATGGAAAGCTCCAGGCTTTACATTTGCATTCTTTTATCACAATTTACCTTCTGAATGAATGAGTTAGAACTAGTTTGACAGAGCAAAGTCAACCACATTTAATTACCGTCAATTACCGAGGTAGCTGACAACGCTTTTCAGGTCCAAAAGAATCTATGCGTTCACTTGTGTGTTGGATTCACACTCTGTGTCTGCAGACATTTTACAACTAAGCAACAGTACAACTAACAAGTTATTGATTTCTTCCTTCAAAAATAATGTTTTTTTTTCATTATTGATTGGTCTGTCAGCCAGAATGATGTCTTCATCCAAAGGTCCAATTATTGTGAAATCTGAAATATATTAGAGACCAAAGGATAAGTTGCAAATAATCTCCAATTCAGATCTGGAATCAGCTTTATTCTGATAATCAATTGAGCATTTCATTGATTTTTCAAGCGTAAACTCCCAGTAATCTCTCAAAATTGTGCTTGTTTGTGCACTTTGACTTGACCTTGTTAATGTGTGCACATCCTCTCCGTTCCATTAGTGTTATTACATGGTAACGACCAGTGAGTCACAAACCATCCATCAAACAGACAGACTTTGTCTCCCACTGTACTGATCAAACTCTGGCCTTTTACCCTCTGATAAGCTCCTGCCGTCCTCCCAGCTGCTCCAAAGGTCTGCGCCGCTCCACCAACACAACAGTCTGCAGACTCACTTTACCGCGGACTTGGAATCATGCTGGCAAGCAGCTTCCAGTTATCGGTAATACAGCTGACAGCACTTGGTTTGTAGGGAGGGGTGGCACTTATCAGCGGATAACGGACACCGTTATATGATGAAATATGATGAGATATCATGAAGGAGTCAGTGTGCTCACAGCCGGTTATTTACAGTTACAGTAATTGTTTTGTACAGTAATTATACAGAATTACAGACTAACATCGCCACTGTGATTATTTACTGAATCTGGGAAGGTTTTCTTCCTCTAAATAAATGATGATTCATTTGGTCTTGTGATAGAGCAGATCTCCAAATTGTCTTTTTGCCTTTTTTTGGCCCAACCAACCGTCCAAAAATAAGGAGTAAAACAAGATAAGCTCTAATCTTCACTAGAGCTGAAACTAAATAAAAAAATATTTAGAATCTAAAATAATTGTTAGTTGCACTGATGATCCACCCATTTAAATGAAAGTGTCTGTATAGGAACTCTTCCGACATTACTCATTCCCTCCGGGGAGTGTCACATCTGGATTAACACAGACATCACGATACTGATTGCAAAACTCTGTTCTGAAAAGAAGCAGGACATGAGATCAGAACACCGAAAACTGTTAGTTAGCATTATTTCAACAAAGTAGCTCGTAGTGATCAATACAGCGCACTGAAATGTGTCTGATCGGCCGATCAATATCAAATATGTGACGTCTGCACCCCGAAGCAACAACTCACCTCGTCTCTCACACAGAAAGGAGTTATTTTTAAATGACCCGTGAGTTACGTTACATGTCACTGGTTCCTCCGCCCGGGGATTTACTTCATAGGTGCCATGTCAGCTTGTTTAGCAGTGACACACGGCTTTGTCTCGGCGTGTCTCTGTGTGTGTGTGTGTGTGTGTGTGTGAGGGAGACCGTTTGAGAGACAACTTGACAAAGGGCTCATAGTCTGTTCACCACAGAGAAATGACTGCTACGTTTCAGCAGCAGGACAACAATCATGTTTCTACGTTGCTGTGAAAAAGTTTGAAACGCTACTTTTCAACGCTTCCACCCCACCACCCCAAAAACAAAGCGAACGTATAACCGAGAGAAACAAGTCACAGGAAGTACAAGTATTAGTTTACAACTGACTTGAATCGGCGGTCGTAGTGTCTCTTACCATGAGTCAGTGCACCGGGTGCAGGTGGCTCGTCTCTCTGAGGTATTTCATGGCCAACGTGCTTGGGGACAACCGAGCAACGGCGAACAGGAAGCGACAAACAACAAATAACACCAGAAAGAAGAGCCGGCGGGGAGCTCGCGCAGCGCCGCTCAGAAGCGCACTGACCCCTGCTGGCCACATCGGGGTACAACATCTGTTGGCGAGTTGCGTTTCCCTGCGTTAAAACGAAAAACAAAACAAAAAAAAGGTGTATTTCGTGAGCTAATTTGTTTGTATTTGACGGCACAAACACAGGCAGTGGTTTTCAATAATAAAAGCTAAAACCACATTTCTGTGAGTCACCTGTTGGTGACAGTCTGAAGCCGCAGCGACCGGAGCAAAGGGGACTGGCTGGCAGCAGCATGGAACTAACAGTGGTTTAACCCCTGTGAACTACACACAGCTGTGGTCTGAGGTGAGACGCGACGGACGGCGCAGAGTAAAGTCTGCATACACAGAACCAGCAGAGGAAAGAGACGGAAGACCCTGTCTCTTCACGAGCTGGAGGAGGTTTTACGTTTCATTTCCACGCTCCTGTCGCCATGAAGACGAGGTGTGGCCAAACCTGTATCTGGGTGACAGGTGAGTTTCCCGCGCCTTATTTAGGTCCATCAATACGTGTTAATAGTGCATCAAATGTGGTGTTTGTGTCAGGTCCACGTCTCATGAGTAGCTGGGGCTCCGGCTGCTAGGCATCACTCATGTGCTGAATGCAGCGCATGGAAGTCGGTGCTGGAAGGGCAGTGATGACTTCTATTGAACCACGGGGAGATGTCCCCGACCACCGACCTGCCGACATTTGACCTTTTTCCAACCCTGCTGCTGAGTTCACAGCAGGCCTTGACATCTCTCTTTATGTCTCTTTTATGACGTCCAGGGAAGGTTGCTTGTGCACTGTGTTGTGAGGTGTGAGTCGTTTGGGCGCTGGATCACCTACTTGATGATTCATCACCACCTCAGTCTGGACCTGAATCTGGATTTTCCTAAACAAGTCTGAGGCTTAATGCAACAGCTTATATCCCTCGAACGAAGACTGAAGGACGAAGGGTTAAACGAGGATAAATAAAACAAAGCCACGAGTAATAAACCCATAGAATTGTGCACCCTTTAGTCTCCAGAAGTCAACGTCCTCATTCACACTTTGCAAGACTGTCTCCATTTGTACCATGCATGCAGTAAACAGTTCAACACTGTCCACCCCTCCCCTCCCTTGTCCTTTCCTAATGTGACCTCAGCAGCAACAGAGAAAGTCTTTCCCGTCTTTCAGTGAAAACAGACCAATCAATGCCACAGCAACATTGAATAACTCCACACACAGAGCACTCACCAGACACAGGCAGCTAATTTTAGAGGCGAGCGGCGTTAAAACGACCACCTGCCCTCGTCCCTCACTGAGCGGCGTACTGCCGGGGGACGAAGGGACGCTGGACGCTCGCAGTCGGTTGGAAGGGGCGCTCTGTGTCCAGGGAGAATGTCAGGGAGCAACCAAGACCTGGTGCTCATTAAAGAACTGGAGCACATCTTGGATTCCTGCACATTGGAGCTCACTCCAGTGGATGAAGTCTGGCCCAACCTGTACATAGGGAATGTGTGAGTGCCTTATGTTGGTGTGGAGCGTTTGTTTGCCGCCATGAGCTCTACAAGAGAGAAATGAGCTAGTTGGAGTAAACCGGTGCAGCTGCATCTCAACATCATTCCTTGACCTGTTTTATTTTTATTCCCTATATTCGCTCTGTTCTTTGTGTCTGTTTCAGGGCCGTTGCGCAGAATAGAAAGAAATTGCAGAAACTTGGCATCACTCATGTCCTGAATGCCGCGCACTCCAAGCAGGGCAGCATCGGGGACCAGAGCTTTTACGGGAACACCTGCGTCTACTTTGGCGTCCCGGCCGAGGATTCAGACCGGTTCGATCTCAGTCAGTACCTGAAAGCAGCGTCTGACTTCATACACAAAGGGCTGAAGAGCAAAGATGGTACAGCACTGCAACGTGACACCCAGACGTTTAACATTTAGCTGTTTCCTCTCTCTCATCCTCCATCCTGCTCCACAGGGAAGGTGCTGGTGCATTGCATCATGGGCATGAGCCGCTCCGCCACTCTGGTCCTGGCTTATTTCATGCTGCGGCAGCGTCTCCGTCTCGGAGAGGCCGTGAGGCTTGTCGTCCAGAAGCGAGCCATTTATCCAAACCGGAATTTCCTGTCGCTCCTCCTCAAGATGGATGAACAGCTGACACACAAACGGCGGCTGTGTCCTCTTTTCTGACACAAAAACTATTACAAAACGTACAGACAATATCTGTCATTCATTTTCTACGGTTGTCTACTTTTCATGCACAACTTATGAGTGTAGCAGCAACAGTGTTGTGATTGTCGTATATGTTCGTGTCCTATTTCTCAGAGGGTTTTTTTCTATATTCAAACTGTATCCAAAACATAACCCTGTTGTTGTCTGGCAGGTTTACAAGCTTTGTAAATACTCCTTTATGATGTTGTTTTGAATATACGTCAAAAAGTGTTGTGATATTTCATTTATTTAAATATTATGGCTGGGTGGAAACAGAAGGAGGGTTTGCACAAACTTTTCCCATTTGCACATCCAAACATAACAGTTGGCTTATCAAAGTAGTTTTTTTCTGAATCATTTCACATAAACAAATTAATGTTTTCTTAGATCAAATAACTCATGACTTGTTTAATTTAAACCAAGATTGTATTAACTATTCCATGTAGTTGCACTACAAATGGGACGGATGGACAAAGTGGCATAGTATTACATTGCAATACAGAACAATTCAATTTATTGACATTTAAATGAATTTAAACTGATGAATTTCAACCTACAGCTGACATTATGTTAACATAATAACATAAGCTGACATTAACAGTCACTGTTGTGCTTCACAATCATCTAAAGGAGCAGCGAGAGCGCTGTACCTACAGCTGAGTATTCTACAACCAAAGGCCAAATGTTATTGTATCGTCTTGTTACACAAGGCAACGTTCGCAACCTTTGTGTTTCATTTACGCCAAATGATTTAGTAGCCTAGATGTTAACATAAGAAAATGATGCTAAAGTTAACACGTCACTGGTGAATGTCACACACAGAGCTGATCATATTTCTTCAGCATGGAGACAAATGGAGAGTGTGGTACATAACACTTTGGTCATGGAAAGTAAGCCAGTGATCTAATGCTCAAGTTCACAGGGTAATACATATTGTATAAGAATAAGACTACAGATGTTTGGTCAGAATGAATTAGACATGTTTCAAAGTACACTCACCAGTGGAAAACTACCCAGCATAATGCAGCAGTTCATTTTGAAAAATGAATGGAAACGGTGATGAGGAGAGTATTTTTAGAGAAATATGAGCGGGTGCAGGAGGAAAAGAGCTTGCGCTGCTTTTCCATTCAAAGTGGAAATAGTCTGTTCAGGGATCTGTTTTCTCAGTCTGTTGCTTCATACCAGATGATTGTAGGCGCCAAGGGTTTTTAGGACAAAGTCATTGTGAGAAGTAAACTCCCAGGGTGACTTTTTCTGGTATTTGTATGCCAGTATGTCCCTTAAGGATCCCACGTATGAACCTCCTCTGCCTGCGAGCTGCAGGAGTTCCTGTTGGCAGAGAGACAATTTAGAGGACATGTCAATCAAGTCTGGTCTCACTTTTACATCGCCAACGAGTAGTTGGGAGGGGTCGTCGTGGCACGGGGGGTAGAGCGGGTGTGCTGGGAACCGCAAGGTTGGTGGTTTGAGTCCCGATGTCTCAAGTCGAAGTGTCCCTAAGCAAGACACCTAACCCTTAATTGCTCCCTGGGCAAAATGTTGAGAGGATCAAGCAGGTCGGAGGTTCTACAGCGACCTGGAAAGTTGAGACCATCCACAGTTTGACCCGCAACCTTTATTCAAACATGTTCAGGAATTACAGACAAGCTGATATCAAATCCTTGTTAATAAGCAATCATTTATTTTTTTCACTATTCATTTCAAACAATTTCTACCAATTGTGGTTTGTAAATCTGTCTTAACAAAAAAACATGAACAAAGAAATGGATATATACAAATTTCTAAATAAAGAAACACTAAGAATAATTAAGTTTGTGTTGTGAAAAATATAAAGGTTATAAATGGTTTGAGGGCAAATAGGTTGAAGAAGACATGTAAAAGGGTGTCAATAAAATAATTAATGATCAGATTCAGATGACTTTCACGCTGGTTCTGTTTACTGGAGCACTCGACCACAACAGACACTATTTTGACAAGACTGATGACAAAAGTGCTCTCAGACATGCGGCTCCATGAAGGCACTGCGCCGTGTCCCCCGGGCCTGCGGTTGGCGCAGGGCGTCGTGCGACTGCACCGCGACATCGGACCCGGCTCTGGATTCCTGAAGCAGCTGAGGCAGGAGGAGCCAAGCCTCGGTCCACACAGCATGCAGATCACAGAGGAGGACCACGCTGGCACATCGTGACGGACCATGACCTTTCACCCTTGTCAGGCACCTGTTAAATTTAAATGCACATTTTTGGGAAATGAAAATCAAATCGGAAAAATGGAAATGCCATCTCTGTGTCATGTGTCGAAAGAAGAAGTGTCATTTATTATCTCTGTCCAAAAAACAATCAGTAGAATACAATAAATAAATTCTTTCAGTTTTATGTCGCCATAAATAACCCTCCCTGCACCTGTCACACATCATTGACACGCCTGCAACGTGCATAAAGCAACATGCCAATATTACTTAACCTTTTTTGGTCGTCATTGTTTCTGATGATCCAGGGGTTTCTATTTACCGTCCAGGAGGAACAATAATAATCAGTGTCACATTAGATGACTCAGATCCCATTATGAGAGCTGTGAGAAAGGAGCCGTTTGTGCGTGACGTTGTTGAGGTCAGGTGTTATCTTCAAGCTGCCTAAAAATACCGTCTCAAACACAGAGCCTGAGGGAACAGTTACCATTTCAGATGTGTAGTTCAGCCCCGATGCGCACTGTCGAGGGAGACACACACACACACACACACACACATCCTCTGAGGAAAAGTTGAGGTGCTGGTCTGGGATCCTGCTCGGGAACGGACTTAAAGCTGTAAACAGTTAAGAGGTAAGCAACTTCTCTCTGCTATAGTACTTTAATTAGTCACCAGTTTTCTCTCGCAGACAATTTCATGAGCACAGAAAACACACATACCTGAAATAATCATAGCCAGCTTACCTGGAGCATCACACCACTGTTTGCTAGGAATTCTCAAAATGTCTTTTTCTGACAGAGAAATACTAGTTTAATGTCAAAAAGAAAACCAAGGCGTTCACATTTTAAAGGGAGGAACTGCTGAATTATTGCATTATTGCAACTATTAACAGCTATAGAAATAGATGGATTGTCTGTGAACATAATATTACATTGCATATAAAAGTGTTGCGATGTTCACAACTCTGCAGCAGATGGCAAAGTGAATTTTCTTTGAGGAAATTCAGGAATGTTTGTGTGGTTTTCTGGGCAGCAGAGGTGAGCCATGTCCTCCCGTGTGGTGAAGTCCAGAAGCAAGAACCCGTACGCGGCTGTGCAGGTGGACCCAGACAGTGACTACATAACACCGGGAACATTAGACCTGGAGCAGCTGTTCTGGACCAGCACCGGGGCTCAGTACGCACACGTCAACCAGGTCTGGCCCAGCGTCTACGTCGGGGACGAGTGAGTAAACGCACTCAGAGATGCTTTTGTGGTTCTGCAGACGGCTTCAGACTGAGATTGTGTGTCCCGTGGAAACAGGAAGACGGCTCTAGAGCGGCCCGGCCTGAGGGTTCTGGGTATTACGCATGTCCTTAATGCAGCAGAGGGAAAGTGGAATAACGTATTGACTGGTGCTCATTACTACACTGACATGGACATACAGTACTTTGGGGTGGAGGCCGATGACAAACCCACCTTTAATATCTCCCAGTTCTTCTGCTCTGCGACCCAGTTCATCCACGAGGCCCTCAGTCACCCACAGAGTAAGTGCTGGACGAAATCAAAAGCTTTTGATTGGGATCATTCTCTGAAGAAAAAGCCCGTAAAACGTCTTTCTGTGTCTGATGAAGCATCCATCTCTGCTTCCTCTCTGCTGCAGGCAAGGTGCTGGTGCACTGTGTGATGGGTCGGAGCAGGTCGGCGGCTCTGGTCTTGGCGTACCTGATGATGGAACACGGCTTGACCGTGGTGGACGCTATTGAGCACGTCCGACAGCGGCGCTGCGTTCTCCCCAATCACGGCTTTCTGAGACAGCTGAGGGCGCTGGACATCACGCTGCAAGAGGACAGACTGAGACAAAAGAGAGGGATGCAGGAACAATAGCTCATAATAGAAAATATAATAGTTTGGTGTCTTCAGTGTCTCAGTCTCCAGTGTACAAAAATATACTTTATATATATTTTTTGACTATTGCATCATTACATTTTTGTTCCAGAGCTGCGTTACGCTGGTCTCAAAGTGCAAATGTGACATTGAAGTGTCTTGCAGGTTATTTTCTCAACATCTGCAAAGTGTGTGAAAGGTGCAAGAACCAATTTGGATGATCACAAGAACTACTGTTCAACATGCTAAGCTTGATTTAAAGCAATTTAAGCGGTGACCCGTAGATCTAAAAAGCGGTGACCCGTAGATCTAGATGGTTCATCTTGTAGACATCTAGGAATTATCTTTCATTGAAATGAGGAGGAAAGAAAAAAAACCAACAGAAAATCAAAAGATGGTTGTATATTTTATTCATGAATTTGTGGCACGACAGTTCAGCAAAGACGGGAAACTCGAGTGCCACTGAGACGGGGAATATTCAGTCACTGAAGGCTTATTGGTGTATTGGAACATGTACAAGTAACAGACCGAACTCCGGTTTTCAAAAACAGACTTATATTTAGACTACACCTAAATTCAGGATAGTTGTATTCAATGTGGCGCAGATGACAACACACCACAAAGTCTAATGCAGATGATTTGCATAATGTAATGTAATGATTTGAAAAGTTTGGGCCTAAATCACAAGTGTGGTCCAAGAATGAATTTTACTCATTACACACTTTGTTTTGTAACCGTTAACACAAATCATGAAATCAGTCTTGAGTTTAGGTGAAACATAGATAGAAAAATAACACAGGCCACTAATTTAGAACTAACTGAATCAACGGTAAAGTTTTATTTACCCGATGTATTCCTCTGACAGAGAACAATTAAACATTTATTTTACCATACATACTTTTGAAAAAGGTTTTTCTACTCCGCCACCATTTCTAATCACTGTTCTAGTTTCAAAAGGTTTCCTTGTACCACCAGATGCCGGTTCACACAACACCAGCTGGCCTCTTAACATTTAAAGAGGAAGGAAAGAGGAAAAAAAAAAAAAGGCACATGTGACTGGAGGCATCCACCCCAAAAACAAATGAAGTGTACAAGGCAACAACAACCTTTAACAGCCATCACATAAATTAGTGGGCAGGAGCTTTCCCACATTTCATAAGCGTTCACTTAGAAGAAAATCATTTGGTTTCATAACTGGCCTGTTAAATTAAATCCAAACAAGTACAAACCCTCATTATCAGGAATAAGTCATTTTGGAAAATGCACCTAAAACAAATCACTACTGCACATCTCAATGCAGCATCCAAAACCTTGGTGGACTGATATTCTGTTTATCAGTCCCCTGTGAATACAACGTGTCTCCCATTGTGGAAGTAGCTTCTTGTGCCGAATGTCGGCAGTCAGAGAGCCAGAAAACATTCAGAAACAAAAATATCCATAAAAACCCATTTAGATTGTCCGTGTAAAAATGATCACATCCTGTGAGGTCGTCATGATTCTTTTTTGGTAGTTTAAATATAAACTAATATTCAGTCGGCTCTAGCCAATTGCGGCAGGGGAACAGACACAGGCCCACTTGTCAGGAGGAACCAGACTAAAAATTGTAAAGGAAATTTCGAGGGGCCGGAGTTGTGGTTGTCGGGGCCAGAAGGAGGTTTCGGGCAGATGGACTCGTTTCAGACTCCCTTACTTGAAGTCAGGTTTTTCTGGGAAGGTGCAACCTGCCCGTCTGATGATGACGTTGGCGGCGTAGTGTGCCGCCTTCACGCACTGGTCCATTGGTTTGTCCATGACCAGCTCAGATAGAAAACCTGCAACACAAAGACGACAAAATTTAACAAAAGTCCACGGAAAAGTAGGTAGGTATCCCAAAAAAAGAAGAAGAAAGAAACTAAAAATAAACGTACCTCCTACAAAGGCATCACCTGCACCGTTTGTGTCAACAATGTCCTTGGGGTCAATCTTCAGTACGGGGAAGGTCTCAACTGTGTCACCTGAACAGATAATTAGAAGTCTGCAGTAAACCACAATTATCACAACGCTGAGGGGAACATAAGGCAAACAATAGGAAATCTTACTTTGGCACACAGTTTCATCCTTTCCCTGAGTCAAAACTACAATCCTCTGCCTCTTTGTGTTGACTTTGGGCAAAGCCTGGGCCTTCTTGGCAATTTCCTTTATGTCCTCGGTCTAACCAAAATGCACATTAACATAAAAGTTGAGGATGCAGAAAAACATGAAAGATGTAGCACGCATCAAAAAGACGCCATCAGCCCACTCACCTTAAAGTTTTGCTCTTTAGCGAATGCTGTCGCCTCCTGAACAACCAAAACAAGAGAAAGTTTGGATCAGAAATACGTGCTGATCAACCACAAGCATCTGAATATGTACCGCGAAAGTCCGGCTTACCGTCTCATTGCCGAACAGCACATCCACGTAGGGCATGACCTGCATGAGGTTGTCCTTGAAGAACTGACAGATGAAAGGCGCCGAGAGGTTCATGCAAAACAGCTTGTTGTTTTCAGACGCATGCTTCGCCACTTTCAGGATGGACTCCAACGAGACGGTCAAGAAGAAACCCTGGAAGCAATCGGTGACGTCGGGTCAAGACCGATCTGCTTTTTATATCCTGATGAGCTCTAATGAATGGCACGAGGCAAAGTCCTACACAGAGACGGCACGGAGCGCTCCCCTGTGGCACAAAGCGCTACGTAGGTGTTTGGTAACGACTACTTACAGCAATATAGTAGACTTTAGCTTTTTCCACCAGCTTCCAGTTTTCCTCCAGGTCGAGATGCTTGTCCTTCTTATAACAGTTAGCTGCGGCTAGGTTAGCTACCAGAGACCTGAGAGTTACAAAGACAGAGTTACGGATGGCTGAGAGTATGCATGTGCTTCGCTGTAATAAGTACACACCGGTTATCTCCCGTGATGCACGCAGCACACGTCCCTGTGGGCTCTTCGTCTTGCTCGTAGTAGTGGGCGTCGATGTGGGTGGCTTTCGCCTTCTCCTTCAGGATATCCCCAAACTTGTCCTTGCCGATGCAGCCAAAGAACGTCCCGATGTTATGGGGTTCTTGGATCATCCACTGGAGACAGTGACATCTGATTTAGCATTTACATTTAGAGCATAGATGTATTGGCAAGACAGGTTGTAGTAGTTCACGGCTCACCTGAGCGATCTTTATGGAGTTCTGCGTGGCTCCTCCAGCGTGGTACTCAACTTTGAACTTCTTCACCATCTCCTCAAATCTACACGCAGAAAGAAACACATGATTCACATTTATACGAGAGGATTTGAGGACATGCTTAATGTTGGTTAGATTTCAGTTCACTCACAAAATCTCTCTTTGTGATCTTGACTAACTGCTAGACAGGCTCAGAATCTCAATATCATTTTTACCAGGTACAAAGTCTTAACTGTGACTGGGTGACTAAATACAAGAGAGCCGCAGGATCGGTGTCTGTATGGCACTAAAGGCGTGACAGATTCATACGGCAATAGATGCAGGATAACCACGCTAATCGTTATAACATTTGGGAGATTCACCAATTTGTTTTCTTGCTGAGGATTTGATGGGATGAAAATATGGAACTACAGCCATCAGAGACTTGACATTAAGGTGTGACTCATTGAGCTTTGAGGTGCTAGACCGATGCTAGCAGTTCCTAAAGGTCAAATTAAATGAAGGGTCTCCTTCTATACTTTTTGAACATTTTTTTCAACACTGACTGAATGTCAGGGTTAAAGCAGCGGCGAGTTGCTGTTTTTTTAGTCTCGATATCTCATAACAGGTCTCCGCCCGCCCAGGGAGTGCCAAAACAAGTAGGCCCACACTGGTACCAGAAAAAAAAGCAGACAGCTAGAACTTGTTTGGACTTGCACTTCTATATAACAAGTGACCAAGGGCCTTGCTTATTAACCCAGCCTAAAGTCACTCAGCTACGGACAGCGGAATATTTATATTGACATGCCACAGTCTATGGAATGGACGAAATTCATCAGTTCACTCCTCACACACAAGTTACATTTGTGTTGCTTATCTGCGGTTAAATGTTTGCCTTCTGGCTCTCGTCCCGTGGGACTGGGAGGTAAAGTGTACTGGTTTGCTATTGGCTGAGACTGCCTCTCTTTGCTCAATGTGCTGCTCTGCCATTGGCCGTCTACAAAGATACGCGGTGGCGGTTTCTGGTGTGCGCCTGCTGGGACAGCTCGGCTCCGGAACAGACAGGAACAAACTATGAAATCAGACATATTTGTTGATGTCCCTGTACAGGACAAACACACAAAAAAACAGCCTACACCAAGAAAGACATGTTGAAATATAGAGTTACGAACAGTGCTTTGTGTTGGTCCTCTGCCAGGATCTGGTCGTTGGGTTTCAGAGAGTAACTGCAGATTAGAGGAGGGAAAAAAAAAGAGGAATTAGTCATCTGAAACATGTTTTAAACCAAACCCTACTGTTGTAACTGAAACATTAACTATACTCGGTTTAATAAAAAACATGCACACAGTGACCGTGACCATGTTTATGTGGATAAGAATTTTAGACAGAATGGTGGTGCTGGGAGACAGCTTCCTCCCTCCTTTGGAAAATGTTAATAAAAATCAGTAATTCATAAGCAGAGTGCCAAAGAAACTAAATACTAAAAACTGTTTAAGTACCGTTGTTACAACAGATTACTGCACTGACCAAATCAATGAGTTTGTCAAATATATTGAAGAGAAAAAGTCTGGTTTTCCTCGAATCACAACGGTACGTTAGGGATTAAGCTGCAGCTTAAACCCGGCTTTATTCTATGTGACTGAATTAGAACTGTGGTTGGTTGGTTTAGCTCTAATCCCAGAGTTTACGCAGGGGGCTTGAGTGGCCTGAGCTGGAACCCATAGGAGCCCTTTTCCACGGTCAATTCAGTGTGGCAAAGCTAATACGGACCAAAAAACTGCTGCTCCGAGTGTGCAGGTTTCCAATGATGGCTCCCACTTTTTCAAATAATATACAGATTAATAGACGAGTCAATAAGTAAATCAATGGATTACATTGCATCATTCCGTTCCGGTCACTGGACTGAGTTTACCGAGACAAAACGTCCCACTTAATCCAAATTGTGACTTAAGGAGATTTTAAAGCAGCAAACCGAAAGAATAAGGTTCCTTGTTTTTTTAAAAAGGGAAAAAAAGCCTAACATCAAAAGAAAATATAATCCAATCAAGGACAAGCTGACAGCACCGTCTTTAGGAGACAAAAATGTACTTACGTGTCCAAGAAGTCCTTGTCCACAACAGCAATGATGTCCAGTAAGGGGTTTCCCATCCCAAAGAGTGAATTAGGGCTGAAACAAAGACAAAGCGTTAGAACTAAAGATTGCTACCTTTGCTTTAATAAAACTATCTTCCTTTTTAACTGGTATGTTACATTTGTGTTTGTGGTACAGTTGTCCTCTGGCACGGTGCAGAAAAAAACCCAATTTCATGTTAATTCACATCACTGAATGAGCTTTGGTTCCAGTGTTGGATCGTCAATTTGCAAAACATTTGTTTCCATACAACTTGTGACAAATTTAGAAAACAATAGGAATGTGTTGGTGCAGTGGTGAGGACCCAGTTAGTCATGCATGTAACCGCGTTATGACACACAGAGTAAAGCAACAGCAGCTGTAGGCTGCGGGGTCTCTGTGTTTGCACAGTCTGTTCTGTGCTGGGGCAAAAAAACTGCACACATGGGTTGAATATCATTTCATCATAGAATATCAAGTCTTGTAATGCAAAATAATATTTTTATAAAAGCACAGCGGTAACAGCCACGCGTCAGCCTGTCTCAGCAACAAATAGTCAATTCTGCGTGTCTTTGCACATTTTTATTTTTTATGTAAACAAATACGGAATAGTACATGTGGAACACTTCAAAAAGCAGTTTCTGGAAACCCTTTTCATGTCTTTTTGATAAGCGTCGTCTTGACTTACAGTCCTAGCTCTTGATAGCACCACGATCTTGTCAGTGTTTCTGGGAGAAAACCCAGATGGAGAAAGCCCCTCAGGCCGCGACATAAGCAACATTCACACCAGCTATACTCATTTTATCCAGCAAGCATTTCCTTTTCCTACACTCCCCTGAGAGAACATCTACGTGGCAGAAAAAGCGCAACGTGATCGGATGTGTTTTGAAAAAGCAGAGGAGAGAGATGTAATAAAGCAGATTCATTGTGGTCACTGGAAAAAAAAAAGAAAGAACAGATGCCACACCCTGCTCATCCCCTACATCACACCAATCTGTCAATACGTGGTCAGGTGATTGCTGCTGCAGAAAATAACACCTGCCTTTAAATGAATTCTCTCTGTCAACGTGTTCTTACCTTGCAGAAGAAGACATGGTTTCTCTCTCTCTCTCTCTGTGTGTGTACCAGCTAGATTCTGTCAGACCTGTTGAGTGACCTAAAACCGGCTCAGAAAGAGCTTTGCATTCAAAAACTTCTGAATTTCAGCTCAGTGTGCGGGAAGATCGATTTTTTTTTACCCTGCAACCACAGCTCCTCCTACTCGGCACGGACTGATTGGAGACGTCTAAAAAAGGGGGGAGGAAGGTCCAGAACAGTCGGTCTCTGGCTGGCGATTGGCTTGTATCGCCGGTTCCGGCCTCAATCCGCTCACTCACATTGAAGCCGAATTACATCGTGAGAAGCGTGCAGATGATTGTTGCAGCCACTGAGATAACGTCGTATGACGAGACGACAGCGGGTTCCCGTCGGGATAGAAAGCAGCCGGGTGCCGCCATTTATTTAGGCGGGGACGGGGGAAATAAGTCATAACATAGCATATTTGGGGAAGTGACTGTTCTGGGGAGCCGGTGCAGGGTGGCAAGCCTCCACTGCAGAGAACCGTGACCATTGCAGTTTCTTGGCACTGAATGAACGCAGCGCCCAGATCAGTCCAAGTATTTCCCTTTGCAGCTTAGAAAGCATGCTGTGGGCAGGTGGTAGTCACGTCGATCTCAGATTAGATATTGGCACACCACCCGCTGAGGTCGACTGCTAGCCAAGAGGCACAGCGTGAACGCGTCTGGCCCGACGCCGCGTTTAGCCAGCTAGCTAGCCGTTAGCTCCGTCCTGGGCATTTTAAGAGGGATAAGCATCGAGGGACTTTGCACCGCTCCGTATCAATGGCGACCTCTCACCCGGCGTGCTGGTTCAGGCGCACATTTATTGGCGTAAAGAAACTCCCGTTTTCAACCTCACTCTCGTGGGATACACGCAGTTATAATGTGTCTACGCTGTTTACATTTCACAACTAACGTTAACTGAACGTCACATTAGCATTTAACCTCATTAGAGGAGGGTCGTGTCTCCTCGTGCCTCCATCAGATTCTTGTATTTCTTTTTTTGACTTTCGGTCACCTTAGTTCTGCATGAGTCTTTTTGGTCGGAGACTCCGTCTTCTTCTCCGCGGAAACTTTTTGTTTCTTTGCTTTTGGTTCATCAGAAGCCATGGTTAACCTCGGCACGTTGCAATCACCTAAACCTGTGCGGAAAAAGCGCGTTCACTGTCGCTGAGGAGACCCTTGGAACAGCCCTGGCCCCGCCCCCCTTCCCAGAGCTCAGCCAATCAAACGCGTACATTTGGAGACGCGTTGCCTTGACTTGTTAAAGTCATGAATAAGAAACAGAAGGAAATAATATAACTTCCGGAATTAAGACTTGAAGACTTGGTCGGGTTATCGCGTGAAAAATGTTCCACTTTATTCTTTAAAAACCTCCATCTTTGGTACCAACATGAACATTACGATATAGATTGTTGATAACCTGAAGACAATACTATATTAATAATAACATGGTTATACTAAATAACATGTTTGAAAACCCTATTATCACTTTATGTTCAATGTTAAAAAAAAACTTGTTTCAAAATGTGGATAACATCGCTAACCATTAAATATAAAACGTATTGCGATGTTTACATCTGAAACTGGCATTAGGGTAAAGGTTTATGATGCAAAGTCTACTTCTTTCCCGCCACGAATATTTTTGTCTTTCTGTGAATTTGACCTGACAGTTTTCACACAGGGCATCAAAACCCACTGATCATGCAGACCTGGATGCAGCTGCCCGCAAACGCTGCCTGATTAAAAAGTCCGAAACGTTGCTCTGAAATTATCGATCGCATTGAAACTACCGTTGCTTCGTATGTAAACTTTCCGAGTTTTTTTCAGTGTACCATCAATGGTATTTGGACCTTAATCTTTTGATTTGTCGATATGTTCCCGTGACTAAATTGTGTTTACGTGTGCGTAGACCTGCAGGCGTCTCCTCGGCCAGTCACACTGACACCAAGTAGCGCACCTTCGGTAATATCCTCGGCACCGACAACCGAAGTTCGCAGGTAAAACTTTAAACACTTCTTTAAACTTTTTTATACATGATCCCCTATGCAGCGTTTTCATGTCGCGTTTACGCCTTTCACTTTCACTCTCACGTTTGTCTTTCTAACATTAGGAAAGTGATTGTAAGAATCTCCTAAATGGGGCCATCTCAAGTTTGCTAGCCAGCTGTTCATTTAAAGTTAGTTTGACAGAATGACAGCCGCTAAACTGACACCGCTTAACATTTACATTGGCACTGCCATCAAATAATGTGCGAGGAGTTCAAAGTTTTGCTTAAATCTGCTGATTTCATGTCTCCATCTGCCACTTAGTAAGACAGAGCACTAACAACAACAACAACAACAACAACCCCATTGTTGCAGCTGAGATGATCCACAGTCTGTTCCTGATTAATCACTCTGGAGACATCTTCCTGGAGAAACACTGGAAGAGCGTCATCAGCCGGAGTGTGTGCGATTACTTCTTCGAGGCCAAGGAGAAGGCGGCGGAGCCGGAGAATGTGGCCCCTGTCCTGCAGACCCCACACCATTACCTGATCACCATATACAGGGGAAAGCTCTTCTTCCTCTCGGTCGTCCAGACGGAAGCACCGCCGCTGTTTGTCATTGAGTTCCTGCACAGAGTGGCAGACATATTTCAGGTGTGTTAGAATTTAAATTACAAATTAAGTTTTGCAGCCTTGAGAGCCTTGTGCTCGTGTGTTAGTCGTATTTATAGTGTGTGTGTATACAAACAGTACCAGTCAAAAGTCCAAAGTTTGGGCACCCTTTCTCATTAAATGAAACACTCTGAACATGTTTTATTTTTTGCAATTGTCTGTACTGTGTGTGTGGTTTAGCATAACAGGTATTTTTGTTGACAGGACTACTTCGGAGAGTGCTCAGAAAGTGTGATTAAGGACAATGTGGTGACCGTGTACGAGCTTTTGGAGGAGATGCTCGACAACGGCTTTCCACTTGCAACGGAGTCCAACGTCCTCAAAGAAATGATCAGGCCTCCCACCATCCTGCGCTCAGTCGTCAACACTCTGACGGGTACATGGAGGTCACCGACCTCTGCCTAGTTATTGTAAAAGGATTGGGGGCAAAGGACAGGAAAATATGTCAAATTAACTTTCAACTGTTTTATATACCTTGACCCAAAGTCCCAAAAATTTAATGGAAAGAGCTGCTCCCAATACTGTCACATGCGAGAGGATAGAGCCACCTGGCAAGAATGTAGATGTCTCCAATTAAACTGCTTAATTATCTACAGTATTTATGTTCATGTGTTTGGCTTTTGTTTTATGTATTTCCAGGGGGAAGTAATGTTGGAGATACATTGCCAACCGGTCAACTATCCAATATCCCATGGAGGCGGGCCGGAGTTAAATACACCAATAATGAGGCATATTTTGATGTAATCGAGGAAATAGATGCCATTGTGGACAAATCAGGTACGAGCAACATACTTGCCTTGCCAGCAGGCAAGTATTTTTTTTCTTCCTGGTAGATGATTTGATGTGTGTACTCTTGCATCTCCTTTAATCTTTAGGTACTACAGTATGTGCGGAGATCCAGGGTGTGATTGAAGCCTGTGTGAGGCTCACTGGGATGCCTGACCTGACTCTGTCCTTCATGGTTGGTTCATTTCCTCTCAGCTCAGTGTTTTTCTGAATGCGCTTTTGTCTGCGTCTGCCTGAGCGTCAGTCAAAATGTAAAACTCTCGCCCCGTCTTTGTGCCTGTTGATGACAGAATCCTCGTCTACTCGACGACGTGAGTTTCCACCCGTGTGTGCGGTTCAAGCGCTGGGAGTCGGAGCGCGCGCTCTCTTTCATCCCACCGGACGGAAACTTCACACTCATGAACTATCATGTCAGCTCTCAAAAGTGAGCATGAGCACATCCGTATGTCTTAGTTAGACACAATATCTGTGTACTTGTGTGGATCCGAGCATCAACATCTTCTACCAACAATAAAGTCTTTGTGGGTTTTTTTTTCGGGTTTCAGTGTAGAAGACTGGTTTAAAATTCTCCTCTAATATCCACAATAAGGATGCACAATACGCTCTTGTTGCCATGATAACTTGCTGGTTTCTGTCTGCCTGCAGAATCCAAGAGTTTATTGTCTTTGTCCTTCATTCTTTGTGTGTCCATCCTCAGTCTCGTGGCCCTTCCAGTCTACGTGAAGCAGAGCATCAGTTTCTTTGACTCAGGACCTTGTGGTCGCCTGGACATCACGGTCGGACCCAAGCAGACCATGGGGAAGACAGTGGAGGCTTTAATGGTCACCATCCACATGCCTAAAGCTGTGCTCAGTGCCAACCTCACAGCCACACAGGGGAGCTACACCTACGACCTCGCTACCAAGGTAACAACCTTTTATAAGCCCCTCCCACAGACCTACAGCAGTCATGGTGTAGGTCTGTGTCGATAAATTGAAACAACTGATCTAATCCTGATCAGAACTGGTGTTGCTATAGAGTAAATAAAGCTTTTTTTTGGCCTTGTTGTAATAGGTGTTGGTTTGGGACATTGGGAAACTGAACCCCCAGAAGCTTCCTAACTTGAAGGGCAGTCTGAGTCTGCAGGCAGGAGCCCCGAAACCCGAAGATAACCCGTCACTCAACATTGACCTGAAGATTCAGCAGATGGCCATTTCAGGTAGTCTTCTCTTTATACGTACTTTTTAACTGGGCCAAATTTAAAGGCAGTTGTTTTAGTCATTTCTCACATTGCTTCTTTCCCCTCTGTACAGGTCTTAAGGTCAGTCGTCTTGAAATGTTTGGAGAGAAGTACAAGCCGTTCAAAGGTGTCAAATATTTAACTAAAGCAGGAAAATTCCAAGTGCGGACCTGAGCAACCACTGCTAGAGGTCAAAAGTCAGCAACCCAATGAGCCAAATAGGAGGCGGGTTTACCAGCACTCCAATATGTCTTACAGATCCTCTGGCCTATTGTTATTAATTAACAAGTATTTATTATGTGGCCTGTAAAGGGAAGCATTAATAATCGATATGACCATATTGAAGTGCTAATAGCTTCTAACCCGTTTACATGTTGTGCTTTGTATGAAACATTCCTCCCGTCTTTTTGGACTATTTTAGTTTTCTGTTTTAACGCCCACTGAGTGTTGCCTAAGAGGAATATTTTGGTTTGAAAAGGGACACTCACTGCTCACTGCCTCCTCCCTACTTTTTCACACCGTGACAATATTATTTGCATGTTACTTGAGAGTAGGCAGCCATGCCGTCTTGAAAACATTTTTGCTGTCTATCTGCAGTGTATATTTTAGTTTTTCTACACAATCACTCTTTAATGTGGCCTTGGTTTGGGTGTTTTGTATAACACACTACAGCACAAACTACATGTTTTCGGAGGCGTAGGGGAGACATGTTTTTCAAAATATATCTAGTTATCTGCAGAGCTGAGATTCCAGGAGTCTTTCGGGAACTGTTTTATCCTTTTCGTACAATCTCCAAAACCCCTGATTAATCTTGATGCAACATCTTTACCCGGCTAAAGATTTGCACAATCAATTGTTCACGTGAAAAAATTATAATTGTATGAAGTTGAATCTGTATTTCACTATACAAGAAGTCATATAAAAGTTTTGAAACGGTTATTTCCATGTGTGATCTTTTGGCCATTGCAGTCGCCATGTGGCATCTAAAGCTCGTGTACCCGTTAAGTCTTGTTCATTTTACTTTGTGGTAACAGTGACTTACAAATGCGAATTACACGGCAGACTCCTTTTCATCACTATTGTAGTCTTTTATTCTTCCAAAGGCACAGCAGATGTGTTGGCAGGGCGAGAAGCCATCAGAATACATTCAGGGTGCTAATGAACACATCAAGTACACACAGAGGTTCGCCCCGTCGCTCGCAGGGAGAGCGACGCTGACTGCTACGTGCTTCGTCGTCCCAAGTGAAGAGGAAAGAATGCGGTTAACATTCAGAGCTCCGTCCCGACCACCGTGGGAGCGGCCCACTAGCACTGGTTGGGTAAATAGGCTACACACGTTCACGTTGATTGACATCAACGCCGGATGTCACGTGAAGAGGTTCTTTCTGACCTCAAGCCACCGGCGCCGTCTCCAGAGCGTCCGTGCCGATGCTCCAGGACGCAGAGAGCGGGAGAGTTTTAATGGCTGTCGATTTACTTTTGATCAATTCTTAATATATAAGATCCTAACAGTTCAACTGTTCAGGAGAGTGTAGACACAAAGCACGATTAGTTAAAAAAAGAAAGAAAACAACCAAAAATAATGAAGCTTCTCTAAAGAGGTCTGTTTTGTTTGTAATAACCTGGATTATAATGTTTTAAGATGAAGATTGTAGTAACTTAAAACAAATCCTTTGGCATTGTTCACTGTTAAAGTTAGAACAAATAACTCAAAATGAATTCATTAAAAACATCTATTTTAGTGTTACTGATAATTCAACAGTCATGTGAAAACCTCTTATTTATTGTATCAACCGTTCTGTAATCAACATTATTTATTGACAACCATACATTTTTGTTTTAAATATACAATCTTTTTTTTAAACTGTCATAACACTTTTAATCCAGAAGACGTTTTAGTTCTTCAAGTATAAACAACACCAGACAGCAGTGATGATGTATCGCCTTCGAATTCACAGATCTACAGTTAAGAGCGTTATTACTAAAAGTAAACATGAAGAGTGGAGAATTCATCGGCCCACAAAACACTCCACGCTGTCAAACTCAGTGTATAAAGCTCATAGCGGAGTGTTGTCCATAAAACAAATAACTACTTTATATACAATAGACAATAAGAAAAAAACAAATTAAAAGTAAATTTCTTCAAGAAGATAAGTATCTAAATGTCATAATTTGACTAGAAAATAGAAAAAAACATTTTCATGCAAAAAATATATACCTGGGATAAACTCTTGTAACACAACATACCAAAAATATATATTATAAACTCTCCAATCAGCCCACAGAATACGAGAGTTACAGATAATGAGAACTCGGGAGCAAATCTAAAGGTCCTGCTAAAAAAAAAACCTCATCAGTTTCCTCTTTAATGTAGTGCACATGTTTACCCACTAAGAGTTTACATGTCGTCTTATTTGAGGTGTGTGCTATTGGTCTCATGAAAGTTAAGAGTGTTACTAGTTTCAGTGACCAGGTCAGTTTATTGGTACCAGGGAGTCTTACGCACCCAGCGAAGGGTGCAGCCTGCATCCGTTCGGATCTTGATTGAGGCTGCTTCTGCTTCTCTGACGGTCTCCTTCACTGACTGCATCAGATTCTGGGCGTTATGGACCAACATGTCCGTAGCCTGGTCGGGGAAACATTTGGGAGGGAGACAATTAAAGTTATCAGTTATTCAGGAGCTACTGTACTGTACTGTACTGCAGTTTAGAGGGAATTATTGTATTTTTTATTTCACAACCTTTTCGTACCTAATTGTAATTTTAGTACCTTGCATATCCAGATTGATAATAGTAAGAATAATTAATTCGCATATGAGAATTTGCAGGAAAATGTACACGCCGCCAAGAAATATAGTAGTAGTAGTAGTAGTAGTTAAAAGCAGCCCCACTTTTATTAACAATGTGATCTAAATAATAATGCATCCTAATTACAGAGTAATGACGTTTTATTTAAGCGATGCACCGGTAAAGTGATTCCATTTGCAATGTACTGTTCATTATAAAACTTATACTGATTCATTCTGGCCACATGTGGTTTTGCATAATATCAGAAATCCATTTTGTGAGCTTACCTGCTCTGACTCTTCTTCACTAATGTTTGTTCGTCCCAGCATGGTGGCTTTGACAGTAGAGAGGATTTTCAGCTGAGTACTGATGGTAGGGATTCGTTCACACACCTTTGGAGGTAAAGAAAACGTGTGAGTTATTTTCTGTACAAGACAACGGGTTCCTCAGTATGCGTGAGTGTGTCTCTACCTGCAGGAGGTTGGTTCTGATGCGTCTATCGGTGCACTGCTTGGCAACTTCTTTGGCCAGTCTCGTCACCTCATCTGAGGCCTTGGCGATGTCCTTAGCACACTGAATCAGCGCTCGCTTGTTCCCGCTTCCCCCACGAACCAGCCGAGACATTTCTGCCATCAGCAGAGCCATCCGCTTGGCTGCTGCTATGATGTCGTTACCCTGTGAGGAGGTGGAGGAGGATCAAGGGAGAAAGCGGTAAGAGCAGGGTAGCAGGCTACTGCAGAAGAGAAAGGCTTCGGATCAGGGATGAAAATGCATTGGAGACATTGTATTTGTCATGTTTCCACACTGTTTTTAATACAATAATAAAGGGAAAAACAGGCACTGTTGAGTGTACAGGCACAAATCTGCATGCAGTGTCAGTGCAAGTTAGCACATTTTCTTCATCCCTTGTGGAAGAAGAGAACCTCAACGTCTCACTCGCATCTCAGTCAACATGAAGGTCACAGTGTTGGCGTCAGTGCACACCGTGAGATCAAGAAGCAGAGGCAGGTGATCATAACAGGCAAGCAGGCAATCTATAAACTACATCACCCAGAAGTCTTTGGGAAACTGTCACCCTCGGCCTGAAAGGTTGGCAAAACCACGAGTGACAGAAGTGACAACAGCTCCTCCGTCTAACCACGATACCTCATCAAGAACATGAGCGAAGGACTTGTGAGGCCATTCCAGACTTTTAGTGCAACCTCAGGGTGATGACAGCATAACCGCGTGTCAGCTACGTCTGAGTGTGATGCAACAACAGCCACAGCAGGTTGGTGGTTTAGTGGCAAATGCGGAGCTCATCGTTTTGGAGCAACGAGAACACTGGGAGCCATTAACAAATGCTCTGACCCAGATGTGTGTGTGTGTGCACTCATGTTCATGTGTGCGCAGACCTTGCTGGACCATTTGCGCGCCTCCTGGTGGAGAGCCTGGGCAGCTGCAAGCATGGGTTGATTGACAGGCTGGTTGGAGGGCATCATCAGCAGTTCCGGCTCATAGTCATCCTCACCATCAGTAAACTCATCTTCATCATCTACCTCTCTCTCTTCTACTGCCTCCTCATCCTCTGGCTGGGTTAGATTGGGAAGTGTGTGCGCGGGAGGGGGGGGGGGTGGGGTGGGGGGGGTCATGGTTTGAGAATCAGTTGGGGTGGGGAGGAAAAGAAGGGAGGCAAAAAAATAGGAATATGGAGAAGAAAGGAAGGAGAAAGCCCAGAATGGCAGAAAGGGAAGGAAGCATTTAGTACAGTATGAGAGGCACTGGATGGAAGAACAGAGGGCAGGAGATTCACAGGAGGGAGAAGCAGCGAATACACAAACTGTGCAGGAGCAGGGAGAGCGCAGGTGAAACTGCACGCTGAAGGTATTGAAGCAAGGATGGGGGTAAAAAAAAAAAGAGGAAAGAGAAGCAGGTTTGGGTAGGTAGCAGGATCCCGTGCTTTGGCCACAACCTCCGGTCCGCATCCTTCAAATGTTTTTAGAGGTCTAGCCGTGTGGTGGGAAACAAGAGTTTAACCCAATGCCTAAAGAGATCCTGGGATATTTTGTCTCTGCTGTGCAAAGACACCTCTGAGGGATAGATCGCTAAACAGGTGTGGCGAAATCTCAGAGGAGCGATAGAGGGGAAAACGCTCAGTCGCTTCACACATTATTCCTGTAAAGAGATCTTTGTTCCTTTACATAGTTCCTACACAGAAAAACAATTGGACACACATATACAGAACATATACAGCAATATGGATAAGAGAGCAAAGAGTATTTTGCAGATATAGTGCGCTTGTTCTCCGGAGGTTTAAATATCCCTCTACAATCTTTCTATTTTGTGAAGCCACAAACAACCTTACGTGCCAAAACCTCGAACAGATGACAGCTCCCAGTTTCCCCTCTGAAATCTCCACTGACATTTCAGCACCAACGTGATTTCGGGAAAAACTGTGACATTCACAGAATACAAGAATGCACCCAAGGTGGCACAAAGTCATTTCAACTAACGCGCAGGAGGGAAATCACTGACAATCACAGCTGGCTCATTGCACCCGGGACTGTATGTGTGCCACTGCCTTTTGAAGTGAAACACGTTTGATGGGGTGAATATGCAAACTGAGTTTCCTTCTGTGTGTTTGTGTGAACTGACCTTGCTCGACCACTTGCGCGCCTCATCGTGCAGCTGCCTGGCCGCTACCATCATGGGCTCGCTGAGCACCTCTCCCGCCTTCTGCTCTGGGAACTCCTCGTCCTTCTCCTCTGGAGGAGGGGGACGAGGTGGGGGCACCTCGCCCTCTGGTAAGGGGGGCTTGGGTGGAGCCTGCTCGTCGTTGACCTGAAAAACATGCAAGCAGACACACACTTATGTTAAAAGTCATACGCAGTTCAAGAACAAAATGGGGATTGTACAGAGAAAGATTTAAACGTCTCCACAAAAGGGCTTTAAAGTGTTGATGAGCATAGTTTTGCTGATGTCTCAGCTGGAAGGTTTTAAGCCTGTTTCACCCAGATAACATAAAAATGTGCTGTCACAGTTTCCTGGACTACAGCTGCATATCTCTCTCCCCTTTTAAGTTTTCGCGATGTCAGAGACTTCAACTCGAACAACATCCCAGAGGACCTTCATAGCTGGATTTATCTCCTCACGTGGGTGTGAGGAGCAAGTCACTGGGAGTCAGCAAAGACATGATTTCTGGTGGGTGGTAAGTCAACAGCATTTTTGGTTTTGGTATAAGATCCACGGCTACACTGTTATCCCAAATTATCTAGCTGCTTAAATCAATTTCAGCCTGACAGTATGTAACTATTTCTTATATCAACCCTGATTAACTGATTAAGTATTTCTCAGTACTGTAATGCTCAAAGTGGGCACTAGTGGGTCTAGTTTCAGAATTGAATGTCAGGGGACACAAAACTGCCATCAGTCCAATTTCAAACAGAGCCCGGTCCAAAACAACAAAGCGGTGGGTTATTCAAAGGTTAACTATGGATAACAAGAAACACGTGTTTTTGAAGGTGCGTACATGGAGCTGGTCCAGGTCCGGTGGTGGAGGAGGGAAGTCCGGCTCCTGAGGTTGGAAGGCTTCTCTTACTTTGCCGACTGCGGCCAGGATCCTCAGACACGAGTCCAAATAGACCTTTTGCAGAGCTTTGGTGGATAAAGAGAGATCCTGACCTTAGTATATCTGTCTTATACACCATCAAGAACATTCATTTCTGCTGTGCATTCCTGTACCTTTGTCCTGTATGTTCCCAGCCACTGCTTTGGCGTCCATCACCATGGGTGAGATGGTGTGGGAGAGGAGGTCTGACGCATGTTTTACCGTGTCTCTGAACCGCGGATCTTCAGAGTTCTCCACTTCCCTCTTAGCCACCAACAGGACCCGATTGGCGCGTCTTGCGATGCTCGTTGCCCCGGCAACAAGCATCTGGGGCTGAACGTTTGCCATGGCGACCCGGCACTTGTCGATGTCCTTCTTTATAGCCTCCTCGGAGGCATCTAACAGAGATTTGGTGTCGATGGCTTCATCCACCAGACCTGAGTCACACACACGCGCACGTACACACAAACATTGTTTTGCAACCGGACGTAACACTCGTAAAAAAAATTGTTGATATCTAAAGAACATAAGAGGTATTTTGTAAATGCTCACCAGTGAGTTTTTCCACATTGTCAATCCACTGGTTCTTCATGGTGTCAAAGTGCTCGTATGCTGCTTTATTTCCAGGATTCTTCAACAAGATCCGAGCAGCAGAGGTCACCTGGATATTAACAAACATGTCAGTTTGCGTGTGACGGGCTCTGGTAGCTGCGTGTTTTAAATCACTGTAAGTAATTGTATGAATCCCTGACACAACAAACATTAGCACCTGTGGCGTGAGCTCCCTGGCACTTTTCACGCTGGCATGTATTCCCTCTACAGTACTTTTGTTGGCCGTTCCCACGGCAGCAGCCTTCTCTGCAGTCGCCCCCAGTCGACCAGCGTGGGCCTCGAAGTTCCCTGCACGCTCTTCAAAAACCTACAACAAACATGATCACTTGTTCAGTCAGAACGCAGTCACATCCTCATCCTCTCTTACTAAGTTCCATGTAATTCCATGCACACACACAAACGCAGACAAACATCCGAATGAAGCAAATGCAACGCAGACTGTTCTTCATTACTGACCTCCCCTCTGTTGGGGGCGTCGGGTGGAGCAGTTGCAGCCACAGCCAGCAGTTTGATAGGCGTAGTGGTGTCACTGAAAACGTCCGATACTTCCTTGGTCATCACCTCCTGCATGTGCTGCCTCAGGTCCTTGTAGAAGCAGAGAGTGTTATCGGACCACTAGGTGGAGCACCAACACTGTGAATAATTATCACCATACATGCATCACACGCAGAAGGCAAAATATTTGTATGGATGCGCCACAATATTGTTATTTTTTGAGAAGTTTGTTTAAACTCTTTTTTTCTTCAGAGTTCCCCCAAACTTGAACCAGCCTGACATATTTTGTAACCCGGAAACTTTGTGATCTTCCCTCCAAATGATGGTGGGGTTTGAGCAGGTTGGCTGCACAACATTCAATGACACGTGTGAGTGAACGTGTGTGTGTGTGTGTGTGTTTGTGAAAACGTCGCGCTACCTTCAGGCTGTCCTGCAGTTGTGCAGCTGTAGCTCGAGCGTGAGGGGCTTCAGTCTCGCCCCTGCCGGCCATGTCTGCCAATGATGTCATGAGAGCCTCTGTTCGGTCGCAGCGTCCAATCATGTCCTGCCGGTACGGGCCTAACAGGCCTCCTGCCAGCCTCCTTCCTTCTCCAACCATCCCTCTGATTGCCGCCTGACCTGGGGAGAGACATTCTGAACTCACATCTGGACACACGACATCTCCTCTCTTTGATGATCAAGTGATGGAAGGCAGGCGACATGTCACGGAGCTGTCATAGGGCGGTTTTGCTTGTGTCCTCTAACAAAGCACAACGTGGACAGGTACCTGTGTTCCACTGTAGTATTTCACACTCTGCTCCCGAAGGGAAGCGTGGGAGGAAACAGGAAACAATCAAATCACAGAACAAGGATACAGCAACAGGGCGTCAAACAGAGCATTAAAAACAACACAGTGCTTCCCGAATGACTCAGTAAGTCAGGCAAGTCACTCAGTGATTTCACTATGAGCGGATAAGGAACTTGCATCAGTCACCGGCACAGTCATCTCCGGACCACGTTCAGAAATATTGACAACGAGACACATCGCATCCTCACATTGTTCAGGATCCCATTAACTGCTAATACAAAGAGGCTTGGTAGGGTGCTGCTTTGAACGCATTCACACACTCCATCTTCTACTCAGGCTGATATCAGGCATGGAAGGTCAGAGCATTTATTTTTGAACCACTAGATCAACCCTCTTGAGAGCTGTCATCCAACCCCTCTCACCTACTCCTCTGTCGTCCACTCCGGGGTTGTTCACCCAGCGGAGGGCCTGATCCATCTTGCCCTCCAAAGTCACGGCGGGTTTTGTTGGTCTCATGTTGGCCACGGCCCGGTTTGTTTTGGACTGCAGGGTCAACAGTGCCCCTCCAATCTGCTTTGCCAAAGCGCGAGCTTCTGGGCTGTCACCTTTACCCCTGAGAGAAGAAGGTAGATAGAAATAGGATTTACGGAGGATTCAAAAAGGTGCAAAACTTTGAACCCACCAAATGTCTCACGACAGCTCTGTTAGATACCACGTAACTTTGAACCCACCAAATGTCTCACGACAGCTCTGTTAGATACCACCGTAAAAGGAAATACTGTCAAAGGCTCGTGCCATTTTTCCTCTGCTTAGGTAAACCGTCTTTGTTGGCCTGTTTAGATAGATATAATGTTTACTGGTTTGTAATAAGGGCATGTGGGTTTTTCACAGAACATAAAAACTACATATTCAGTTCAAGGAAATATATTTAGTGTTTTTTTTATAATTGACGGATCAAAAGGCCATACCAACTTATCATATGAGTAGTATTTTGTTTTAAGATGTACAGTCAGTCCTTACAAGACCACAAAATGTTTATTTATTATTTATAAAAAATATTTCCTAGTTAGATGTGATCATGTGAGCTTATCCTTTAAATGTTCCTTTGTAGTAGCTGCTGACAGGCGGCCCATCGAATGCACTGAGTCATATATCTGTTTTCCTTTTATAGTCGATAAAAGTTGTGGAAGTGGAGAACAGAGACAGAGTTCAAAATGGATCGTACCTGGTGGTGAGTCACTGGAGTACAGAACCATTTAGTGAATTTACTGTTTTAAACCCAATGAACTGTCCACCAGACTGCAAACATGTTATTCAGAGGTATGAACCTTGAGTGGTATTTCCCTTTAAGGCTTACTAAGTTGTTACTGACCCGCCACATTATTACCATAACCCCATTTGTTCCCCAACATGTTCAAACAGAAACCTTATTGTAGGACTGATGCCCAGGGTGGACAAGCAACAACATATTTTCCAGGCGGGCATAATATGCCACCTACTGATGGTATGACGCTGCAGTTTCATCCTAGAAAAAGAGGGTCTAAGAATTACATCGAGTCCCAAAACATCTTTGGTCATGCACATGTCAGAGGGGAGGAAGGCTCACTGTCTGCGCAGCTCCACAAGTCTGGCGGTGAGGGCCGCGATCTCTCCGATGGAGCGCAGGATGTCATCCCTCTCCTTGGGGTCTTCACATAAGTCGGCGATGCGCTTGGCCTCTGCCAGTAGCGCTCTAATGTTCTCCTCTCCCTCCGGACCGCCGTGAGGATCAGCCAGCCAGGCCTTTTAAGAACGCACATACACGGGTTAGTTCCGACCGGATGAAACGGCGCAGCGGAAAATCCGTTGACGGAGGCGTGATGCAGAGAGGGAGAGGGACCGCCGTTGACTGGGGAGGGGGGGGGGGGGTTAACATGGATTACTTCCGTTTTGTCCGAACCTGTGCGGCGTCGAGCCTCCGAGCGACGGCCTGCTTGGCGTTGATTAGAGCCTCCAATCTGCGAGCAGCACCGTCCACTTTGCCAAACAGCAAGTCTAAGCCCTGTGAGCACTGGCCTGCGCGCTGCACACACCCCGGGTTGGAGCCCTGGCCTCTGTCGTAAATGAAAAAAAAACACACAGGATGACAAATTCTACAAACAAGAAACAGTTCAACTCACGGTCAGTCACACGGACGCAGTACCTTGCACGTAGGTCGGCAATCTGGTCCGTCATTTGTCCCAGAGCCTTAGTTGTTGCCAGAATGTCTTTCCTTTCCTTCCCGGCACACAGCTCTCCCACCTTACCGGCTTCATCAAGTATCACGCGCAGGGCCACCTCGCCGGGGTCCCCTGGGAACGGCGACACGCCACCGGATCACATTGTGGAATGACGCCTAAGGAGCTAAGTTAAGTGTTTTACTAGCGGTTTGAGCAGTTACCTGGTTGTCCATGGGAGTCCTTCAGCCAGCCTTTAGCTTGTGCCATCTTAGACTCAATCAAAGCCAAGCATCTCTTTACAGCCTCCATATCCTGTGGGGAAAGAGAGAATGAAGGAACGTGTATAGGTCTAACAAATCAGTGGTGGATATTAAATATCTAAAAGCTACTGCTTTACTTCTACTAAAGAATTGCCTGTGATGAAAAGTACTAATTTTGGAAAAGCAGCTGGTTTAGCAGAAGCCGCTCAGACAGGGATACATATGTTGTTGTTAGGGACTACTTTCAGTGGCGGATTAAAACAAATTTGGTCTTGAAGTCCTGTTAGCGGGGACATTTACTTGTTTTTTCGTTTTTTCCGGGATTTATTGATTATAAAATATTTCCAGCTCTTTCCCATAAACTAAGGATCCAAGAAAGGTGTAATTATGGATGATTTACAAACAAAAATGATCGGTTTCTGTAACCCGAAAGATACTTCTAGTCATGTGTATTATCTGTGAAGCAGTAAATTAATGTGAGTCATTAGTCACAGCACAACTCTTTATGTTACATTTAGACATGACAATTACTAAAACAAGACATTCATTGAGGGGTAACCACAAATTCTTTGCTTCCTAATAGATGGGGGAAAAAAAAATACTCGCTTCAATACGAGCCATCTATAATGGATGTGTCTGGACACCAACCAGAGTATTTCTATAATTCATGACCTGAGAGGAGGACAGCCATCGGGTGCCGGCGGATCCACCGCACACTGACAGTAAGTGCTTATCAAAGCTCATACACTGAGGACAGTGCATGTTCACAGCAAACACACACACACCAAACACAAACGGACAGATAATTGTCGGAGGAAGCTGTGTGCCACCATACATGCAGGGTCACAGGTTAGACTAGTGAAACAGATCTTAATTTTAGCAGTAAATGATCTCGTGAAACAGTTTTTAATTGTAGCTCTAGCAAATGTCGGGGGAGAATTTGTTGAGGTGCATGTTGTGAGAGTCTCAAGAACTTGTATGTGACCTTTCTTGGGAAACTCGTGACCTGACCTAGTCTACGATGAAATCCATATGTGGCTTGGACAGACCATATCATGTTCTTCTATTTACCTTTCTCCTCTGTTTTCCTGTCTGTCAAAATGATTGATTTGGTCCCACTAAGAGGGTCGTGGAGGGTCCCGAAACAACATCTGGTTAGCATTCCTCGAACCTTCAGAGATGTATAAAAGCTCCTCGTCCCCCATAGAAACTTGGTCAGATCTTCCTGCTCCTTTTGGGAGAAGGAACTTTCTGCCCCTTTTCAGCTGAATTGTAGTCATTTGACTTCTGTCTGTGCTTACGGCTTGTGCTGATGATCTCTGTATTCTTTATCATTTTTCTATATTCTAGTTAGTAATAAATACTTAATCACAAAGCAAGCTCAAGATACTTTTGATTTCTCACATGGGCTAAATCCACAAATTTCCACCACAAACTTGGCGACGAGGATGGGATGGACGCGTGATCTGGACTCTGACGGACGGACAGGAGGCCATATAGTATAGGTGATTCCTCCCTGAGGGTGAGAAGCTGCCGTCCCGACGAGACCCGGATTACCGATCCATCCAGTTCAAGAAAAGAAACGAAGAACACGCGGTGAGAGATCAAAATTATTTTAGGGCAGACAGAGTCATGACAAAATGGTTTTAGGCCTATCTCACAACGAGCGTGTTGTAGGCAGACGTGTCTGGGTCACCTGTAGTATTTTCTCGAGTTGCATATCCTGTGTCTCCTGAAAATTCACAGGCCAACTTTGGATAAATGCAGTAGACTGAGTGGCCAGAGAAAGCAACGGTCACTGACTTGCCTTAGTTATACGTGTGGTATTTCTCCGGTTGTGCGCACCTTTATAGGCGCGTACACTCCTTGTGTACAGATACGGATATCTAAATGAGTAGTGTTCAGAGTAAAGGGGAGACGGGTGAAAACCATGAGACTAATATCCTGCCACCATTGTGTAAATTTATGTCAGAGCGTTATCCTGGCAGTTTGAATCAAATACAAAAATGGGTTGAATTGGGGTTCCCTTTAAAGGGGAGTTTTTGTGAGAATCAATTGGAACAGTTGGAATTGCAACTGAGGGAAAAGGAGAAGAACGATGCAGCTCAGCATGCAGGCCTGTCGGGAAGAAAGCAGAAAAAGAATGTGGTATTTAAGGCAGATTGGGAAGCTTTCAAGATGTGGAAGTATGAGTCGGAGAGAAGGGAGAGACAGAGGTTGGTAGCATTTAATTCTTTAAAGACTGAAGATCCTACAAAAAGTTTTGAAATGTGTACCCCTTCTAACCCAAAAACACTTTATCCTTGTTTTTATGAGTTCCTGAGGAGATTGGTGGACACGGATCTGGACTCCCCCCCTCCCCTCACTGCTACTCCAGCTCCAGCCTTCATGAGCTCGCAGTCTCCTCAGCAGGAAGCAGCAGAAGCAAACCTTCCTCGGTTTGACAACAGCCCACCAGGAGGGAAGCCAGATTCAACCTCCAACACCAGCCACATGACCTTTTCACCTACTGTGACCCGCCTGCAGGCTCAACAAAGGCGGGCCTTGCTCAGAGAAGGAAAAAAAACGTTGTTCGATCCTGCAGCTTCTTTTCCAGTGGAAGGGGCGCAAGGGCCGATGATGGTCTTCAGACCCTGGTCAGATACCGATGTGACCAAGGCAATGAGCCACGTCTGCAGTCCCAAGGACAATCTTGCTAAGTGGGAGATTGATCTTCAGCAATTTGTCACAAAATACCATCCTAGCATGTCAGAGCTGCGGCGTCTGATGTGCAGACTTCTGAAACATGACTACCACAAAGTTCAGAGTGTGTTCAACACCACAAGAATGGCTGCTCGCCTGGAAGATCCTGATCGTGAGCATGGCACGGATGTGGACATTAAAAGTGCTGTAGATGCTCTCATTGTGTTGGTAAAAGAAACTTTTCCTCTGAGACTGAACCTGTCCATCGTCACCTCTATGACACAAGGGCCACAAGAAACATGCAGCTCATTCCTGGCACGCCTGACGACAGCTTTTGACATCCACAGTGGCCTCAAGCGACCTGATCCAATGGGGGCACAGCCCCTGATGCCATATGAAGTCCATCTGAAAGAACATTTTATAGGCAGAATGAGACCTGAACTTAAACGGATGGTGAAAAGATCATGTGCAACCTGGAAAACGTGTGCTCTTGCAGACATCCTTCAGCACGCTGAACACGCTGAAGATGAGTTACACAAGAAAGGGGACAAACTAAAAGGTTTTGAAAAGGCTCAGTATGCAATGTTTACGTGCTTGCAGTGCCAACAATTTGCCCAAGGCCAACGTGGAAGAGGAAGAGGTTATGGAAGAGCTCGTGGCAGGGGCAGATCAGATCGGACTTACAGGAATTATGATCCAAACGTGTGTTACAACTGTGGACAGCAAGGACATTGGCGAGCAGAGTGTCCTGAGCACATGAGGATGAGACACATCACACGTCTGACTGAGGGAGGCAGAGGGAGGGGCGGACCCCAGAGACGGATCACCCCACCACGATGAGAAAGTAACACACCCTACACAAGCTCATAAACGAAACAAATAGCTAACACAACCACACACACACACACACACACACATCTTAGATTACAGGTCGAGTAACTAACTCATTTTTATATTTAGAAATTCCCATAATTGACATTGATGATTTCTTGCCATCCGGTAACGCTTGTAGTTGACTCAAGAGCATTTGGCATTGTGTTTGAGCTCAACATCAGATGGCATTTACAAAAAAAAAAGACTAAATTGCAATTATTTTAGATGTTCAACTACAAAAACCCTCCTGTATGTATATGGATGAAAACTACTAGCATACCTTGATGCATTAATTACTCATGACCGTGTACAAATTGCGTGTACACACACAGTAGAATATTACATGCATGAACATTACATTGCACATCCCATGTAAGCACAGGGCGAGATAGAAGGTATGTGGACGTATGGCATGACCAAAAGTTGGAGAAAGAGAGATTGTGGTTGAAGCATGTGTATTGGTCAGAGGAGGCTGCTGCAGTGTCTGTATCTCTCTCTCCTTCCCAAAGGAAAAAAAAAGGTGTTTCTTGATTCTACTCTATGTTTCATTGGCTAAACCATCTCACTGGGATACAGGATCTTGGTCCATGGTTGCAACAGCGTCTCGGCCTAAAGTTCAGACCGGGTGCAGAGGATCCTCATGAAGAGTATAGCGATAGTGGTAATGTAGATCGCACTACGTTGATCACACGAGTAAGTGTACACAGAACAGTAGAGCTCATTGAGGAATACACACAACACGCAGACTTGTATAGCCACCCAAACAAGAAGACATAAGTTGGTTTGTTTTTTGTTTTTTTTTCTTTTTTGGGCGTGGCTATAAATGGATAGGATGTCCAGTGGGTTACCACAGAAGTCAGGTGTATTCCACAGAAGCGCTTAGGAACACCTACGAAATGTATAACTCCCTGCAGGGTCGGCCCATCTAAATTATGTGGCTGATATGATGATTTGCAGCCCATCAAAGGAGCCTTGTAAAATTGATACAATTTCGCTACTTAAAGATTTGGCAGAGAACGGAAATAAGGCTTGCCTACGAAAAACTTAAATTTGCTCTAGAACAAGTGACTTATCTGGGACATGTGATCACAGCTGAGGGCAAAATCCCTCTCTCCCAAACGTATTGGGGCAATTCAATTGGTACCAAAAACTAAAAACCAACAAAAAAAAAAAACGAATGATGAGTTTTTTGGGGATGACTTCATACTGTAGACAGTGGATCCCTATTTATTCAGAAAGAGAGGCACCTCTCTCGTTCATGGTCCACGGTAAAGGCCTCAGCGCGCATGACAAACTGACTTGGACTACTGAAGCTGAAAAGGCTTTTCAGGACTTAAAGACTTCCTTATCACAGGCCCCGACTTTGGGCCTACCGAGACCCGACTTACCGCAGACTCAGTTCATAGACGAGAAGGACTGTTACATGACATCAGTTTGTGTCATCTTCATGGAGGGGAACTTAGGCCTGTTGCCTACTTCTCCTCAAAACTTGACCCTGTTGCTTCGGGTCTTCCTCTCTGTTTGCGAGCAGTGGCGGCAGCCGAGAGAGAGATTTTAGCATCATGTGACATTATGGGCTACTGTGATGTGACACTTATGGTCCCACATGCTGTCTCCCATATCTTACATGCCCAGAAGATTTCTCACCTCTCTGCTCAGAGATGGTTCAGGTGTCATACGACATTGTTAGAACTGCCTAACGTAATTGTCAAACGATGCGATGTCCTTAACCCAGCTACACTTCTTCTAACTGCAGATGATGGAGAGCCTCATGATTGTGTCGAAATCTTGCAGCAGACATGCATACCAAGGCCTGATCTGTTGGACACAGCTCTTCCCAATGCATCTTGAGCTGTTTGTGGATGGCTCTGCTTCTCGCTCACCCGAAACAGGCGGCGGCCAGGAAACAGGGGAGCGGATGCAGCGGCTAAGAAGGCAGCCTCACAGGGCTTCCTTTTCCCCTTCACTCAAATCCTTTCCACACCGACCGATCCCAGTCCTTATGCCGATCTTCCCACACTTCAGTCTCTTGCCGGTGCACAGGAGCATTCCCTGTGGAAACGATCTGGTGCCATTCTTGAGGGCGGAATCTGGACAGGGCCAGACAGTGGGCCTTGTTTGCCACATGCTCTCTTCCACATTTATGCTAAGCTGTCTCATGGAAGAGATCACGTGGGCAAAGGGGGAATGTGCACTGCTATAAATGAGCATGCTGATATATTGTGCTAACCTCTCCCCCTCACTCTCAGCACTGCACGGGCAGGTAAAAGCGGTACTTCCATCCCCGGCTACTGCAGTCCAGCACCACCTGAAACCAGGAGACTGGGTCCTCATTAAGGATCACCGGAGAAAGCACTGGAAGCAGAGACGCTACACAGGGCCCTTCCAAGTACTCCTGACCACGGAGACGGCAGTTAAGGTGAAAGGGAAAGCGACGTGGGTCCACGCCAGCCACTGCAAACGCATCCCGGATCCAGGAGACGAAGGAGCACCTCCATCTGGTTCCGGTTAAGGGGTTGCAGGGGGGAGAGCCCTCCCCCACTGCAGTGTTCCAAGACACCAACGAGCCCGGTAGAGATGGCAGAGACGGCAGAGACAGCAAGGACAGCAGCCACCCGGAGAAAAGCAATAAAAGACAGATCTCCAGCGCCAAAGGACACTTAGGAAGCATGGTTGGAGCCTGAGAATGAACATGTGCATATCACTGACGCTGGCCACATTTGTGCTGATTACCCTCACGATCAATGAACTACAACCTCCTTATGTGAACATCATGGATTCCAGTCTTCTCCACCTCTCCAATAGAGAATTTCAGGAAGGGAAAATTAGCTTCCACTGTCCAGCAAAACAATGCGACGAGACGAGTGTTTGCTCTACACAATCGAACATGATGCATAGGTTAAAATAGAAAGCCACGTAATTGAAGTTGTGTGTGTTCCCGGGGTAAGAAGAGATAGAGTATGTACTGTGTGGGTGCACGGAACATTTGATTTAGCAGATGCACCATTCTGGTGCAGTAAACCACGATCGTGTCAGTGAGACACAGCCTAAAACAGTACCACCTGAAATAATTTAAGAGGCCGTTAAACCACAAGCCATGACCTCCCGCAGGCCAGAACAGCCCCCACTAAAGCAACTTGGAGGCAAAGGTTGATCTCTTTCAAATGTCCAAAAGGGGGGGTGTGGAAAGGAGGGTTGCAAAGCTCACACGTTACGGCTGAGCACGCCGCACTCAGGTCACTGGTCAGTCCTGAACTCAGAGGACTTTAGGACTCAGTGTCAGACAAACGACACTTGCACAGTGACTCTAAGTCCTAAATATGACACAAGTTGGGAATACCCGTTCTGGTGCGCTCAACTTGCAGACTGTACGACGGAGACAGCCCACTTCACTCTGCTAGATTGGCAGTATGCGTGCAAAGTAAGCCTACAGTCAAGAGAACTTCCAACCCGTACACCACCGTACGGGCCTGACAATATTGCGTTGACTATTGTGAATGACCTTGCTAACGAAAGGAATGTCTAATTGTTGGATATGTCAGCATATGCCCACTTCATCTAGAGCACCTATGCTGGTTCCTGTTCCATTCACGGAAGCCGAGGGGTGGCCTGAGCTATCTCATCGATTTGTGAGTAATGATAAAGACGGTAATAATCAAGTGATGTTGCTTAGATTAACCTATTACAAAAGATATGTCTAACAGGGGTTACGATATCAAGTGCAAATGACTCTCATGGAGACCAATTGCACACCGGACAGTAAGGTGTTAAAAAAACCCGCATGTACTCTCATACCAAATACAGCATCTATTCGATTGGAGATGGGCATACAGGGCATCCCCTGGGCAAATGATTTTAAAGTCACACACTCAACCTGGAGTAGACATAATTGAGTAAACCTTAATCCCAACTAGACCTCAGAGTAGAGATTGTACCAAACCAGCACCTCCCATTCCGGTCCATCCCTTAACCAACGTCAGCTGCTGTATTAACTTCTGTGCTCTGGATGGATTTCATCTAGGTACGAGTGACTGTAGTTATGATATTATCAGCTTTACCACTAAATCCAAAGATCTCGCTTTACCGGAGCAGGTTTATTTAGTTTGTGGCAGCATTGCTTATAGCTGTGTTCCAGTCATAGGGAGCCTTCATAAAAAGTCAGATACTGGGAAATGCTTTTCAGCATACCTTGTACCCCTAATTAGACAGGCTGACTCCGAGGAACTTGCTCCATTCCACCTAAGGTTCAAGGATTTTGAGCATACTAATACCATCGTATGGCACCTACAGGAGCCAGGAGGAAAATAATGGCACTCTCAACAGTACTGGAAAGACACATGAATAAGACTTCAAAAGCACCTTCCGAAAATGCAAAAGGAAGTAAATGACATCAAACACATGGTATTTCAAAATAGAAGTGTTCTGGACCTCATTTTGGCCTCACAAGGCGGGGTATGCAAGGTAATTAACACTGAATGCTGCACTTACATCTCTGATGCAACATCATCAGTTTATGATGTGGTGGCAGACACAGAACAAGGCATTAAGGAGCTGCATGAAGACCACGGATGGAATCCTTTTGGGGAAATACAGGCACGAGTTGGATCACGGGGAACTTCTCTCTTCTAGAAACTGCTAACTAGGGGGCATCATTTTGTCTGTAATTATTATAACCCTAATTGTAACTGTTTTAAAGCTCTTTGTAAGGAAGGTTGTCAGTACTTATGTATCAGTTGAACACATGAGTATTACTACGCAACGTCTAGTTCAGAAATGGACTCCACCATATCTGGATAGCCTTGACAGGGACAACGAATGTGAATATTGTGTGTAACTGGACGATATTTTATGTGTGGGTGGTTTAAGTAAATGTTCTCATGTACTTTGAGTTAATGATGTATGTTCTACGATTTTTTATGTTTAATTTTTCATTCTTGATTTTGAATTGATCGTTTAACGTTTTCCTGATTTCTTAGTTGTCAAAGAATGACAAAAAGAGAGGGATGTCGGGGGAGAATTTGTTGAGGTGCATGTTGTGAGAGTCTCAAGAACTTGTATGTGACCTTTCTTGGGAAACTCGTGACCTGACCTAGTCTACGATGAAATCCATATGTGGCTTGGACAGACCATATCATGTTCTTCTATTTACCTTTCTCCTCTGTTTTCCTGTCTGTCAAAATGATTGATTTGGTCCCACTAAGAGGGTCGTGGAGGGTCCCGAAACAACATCTGGTTAGCATTCCTCGAACCTTCAGAGATGTATAAAAGCTCCTCGTCCCCCATAGAAACTTGGTCAGATCTTCCTGCTCCTTTTGGGAGAAGGAACTTTCTGCCCCTTTTCAGCTGAATTGTAGTCATTTGACTTCTGTCTGTGCTTACGGCTTGTGCTGATGATCTCTGTATTCTTTATCATTTTTCTATATTCTAGTTAGTAATAAATACTTAATCACAAAGCAAGCTCAAGATACTTTTGATTTCTCACATGGGCTAAATCCACAAATTTCCACCACAGCAAACAGTTCAGATTAGAGGCACAAGAATCCATATACCATGATTGAACATGAATTGAATTTTTGTAGTATTTATTGTTTTTAAATAAACTAGCTTAAAATGTAAACGGCCGTCATCCGTTTCAAGCCATTTCACTCAAATGGACGTCATAGAGACAAACAGATGCACATGAAACAATATTGGGACAATAAAGATCACGTCAGCTAACAGTCAGTGTGCATTTAACATATAACACACATGTAGGAATGAGGACTTCCCTCTCTCACACACACACACACACACACACACACACACACACACACACACACACACGCTTGCATGCTGGATACTGCAGAGGTGGAGAGAAACAGGCTTACCTTCTACAGGGAGGAAAATAATGGAGGAGGAAGGTAAAGAAAGAAAAAGAAAAACCAGGAGTTATACTATCCAGCAAAAAGTGGAGACAGAGTGTAAAGAGTGAATTTCTTTGGGAGAAGCTCTGCGTGGCACAGAGGGATGTGTGCATCGAGTGTGTGTCTCTCCAAAGCAAAAGTGATTGTCTGATGAAGGTGTGTGGGATCAAAGTGTTTGGGGGTTTAGGCTCTAAACAGGAAGCAAACAGAGTTCTGAGCTCATACCTTATTGGCCCAGGCATCTTCATCCCACGTGGTGAGCTGTAACACTCTGATGATCTCGTTGATTTCAGCGCTCATCTTTTCAAAGATAAACTTCCTGTTCCTCTCTGCATCCTCAACGCCGGCACCTCGACTGCTCTTGGTTGCGACAAAAATCTTTATCGCTGGGGACAAAATCATGAATACGTAGGATTACAGTTATACAGTTATATAAATATATACTCTCCATGTAACTCCACTCCATGTAAGAAAATCCCTCACTGCTCATTCGATGGTATTTTGTACATTTTTATACAAGTCACTTATCTGACGGTTCATCACTAACAAGCAACACGTAGTTGTGTTATGCATCTCTCACATAAAATATGGATTACAGTCCCTTTAAAAGGCGAAAGATCTGAGGTTGGCAGCCTTTTCATTAACGTGGCGGCAGCGAGCTGGCGTCTCACAGCCTACAGCTCTAACAGTCCTTGTTGAGTTTGCAAGACCAAACTATGCGTGAACATCTATTCGACATCTGTAATAGTGCGTCTCTTCTTTGCTGTTGCAGTGTAAAGTCTGAGAGTCGCTAGCAAGTAGTTGGTGGGCGGTGTGTGTGTGTGTGTGTGTGTGTGTGTGTGCAGTCAGTCTGGCATCTCCAGCAGCTAATGAATGTAATTATCAGTGTTGCCATGACAACGGTTGGATGCTCAGTGATCTGCAATGCACCCACCTGATACAAGAACCGGCAGCAGCTCTTTGACGGTGTTCATGGAGTTGACGAGCATCTGCCTGTGCTCTTGGTGCGTCAGCTCCTGCTGCCTCTCCTCAATCATCTTTGACATTTTAGTCATCCCTGATGAAAAGGAAAACACATGAGAAGTTATTTTCCTGTGAAAGGTTACCAAGGCCAAGTCTTGGAGAAGCAGGGAGAATGAAAAAAATTATTGATCCTGTGTTTGTTAGCGTGAGCATGACAGTGTTAAAAGCACTCGAAGCGGAAGCAGCTTCCTCCAGCGTTTTCACCGACTCAGTGAGTCAAATCAGAACCTATAGTTTTATTGACAGAAATTTTGAAGCAATGGTCAGAGATTTTGGTGTCTAGCAAAATGTGTTTTCAGGTCATTAGATTGATAGTAGTAAAAACTATTTCTGAGCTACATTATATTAAAGCTGTAAAAATCTTATTTTCATTATTATTATTCTTTTAATATAGATGTTGGTTAAAACATTTGATTCTGATTCTGACGGACAACATCTGTCACTCATCCCTCTCTCCCGTATATTTCAACCCCTTTGTTTTTGTACGATCTTTCAACGATATTTTGTTGACGCACAGTACCAGCCAGAAGTATGGACACATTTAGAAAAACAAGCGCTCCCGCTGACCTGGCCTCAGGTTCTTGGTGTAAGTGATAAGGTCCTCCATGGTCTCCACCACCTCAGCCACTGCCAGGTACTCCAGGATGCCTTTACACACACGAATGATCTTACGCACCTAAGACACAACACAGACACGGTTACAAGCAGGTAATGTATTCAGGGAAAAATGAATGGATGATGATGATTACATGTATTATGAGAACAGAATGCAATGTGTGCATGAGACGACAAGACAGTGTTGAAGTTAAACTGTTCTGTGTGTGTGTGTGTGTGTGTGTGTGTGTGTGTGTGTGTGTGTGTGTGTTTGTTTGAGTGTGGGTTTACAGTCTTGTGATGTACGTCTTGTGACTGTGACAAGTTGCATCGTGTTAAAAGTGAGGATATAGTGATGAGACATAGTGAGCAGTGTCACGTGGCAAATGTGATCTCACTTATCACACACAGACACCCAGACACACACACACACACACACACACACACACACACAACAAGCACGCACTACCAGCCTAATGCTAACCCTGACCATAACCTCAACTTACACCGAGCTTCACACCAAACGTAAACAACCATTCCCTCTAAAAATCTATGTCATTGTCCCCACAACATGGGTAATACACACACACACACACACACACACATAATGCTGGGCTGGTGTATGTACCATATCCTCACACACAAACACACATAGTGAGTCATGACAGAGGGAAGTCATTTGATCTCAGTGATTAGATCTGGCTTCATTTGAGACTCCATTAAAGACTTGTTCTAAGCTGGGTTCCTTCCTCCTCTGAGCAGCTATATAAAGCTTTATTTCGCTGAAAGATACCAAACGTCTGAAGTAAGAGTTGTTCTCAGGTCACACATGTTGTTACAAAGAGGGCGATGCACACACAGACACACACACACACACCTCTGCTTCATCAAAGGTGAGGAGCAGGTCAGATGTTCCAGATAGTATCCCTCTGGATCCATCGATCAGGTAATCTCGTGCAGGAACAGAGTATGGATCAGCCTTCAGCATCTGAGCTGCCTGGACGAGTTTAGAGCTTGAATTCTCCACCCTGAAAATACACGACGAGCAGCATAAATACATTTACGAATCATAGGAATTCATCACTGTAAATGAAATAGATCGGATCTCATGTCTAGAGAAGAAAGCCATCTGCCCGCTTCTTAAATAAGCTGCTCTTCTGGTAACCAGAGAGGGGTTTAACATTGGTGTGTTTGCAATAATGTAAACTGCGACCGGCGAATTTACATCTCGCGATTCCCGCCGCCAGAGTGCGGTGTTTATACTTTATACTTCTCAACGATCGAAGATTTTAAATATCAAAAAGAGAAAAGTTGACGCCGCAGAGAATCTAGCGTCGCAGCTGGCCGAAGAGGTGCACAGTTATCTGGCCTTTTCATCGGCTGTCGACGAAAGCACAGACAACGCGGATGCGGCGCAGCTGTCCATCTTCGTACGAGCCGCAATGACGGACCTCTCTCTCACGGAGGAACTCTTGGATGTAGTTGGGTTACGTGGGACGACCACGGGGAGGGACATTTTCGACGCGGTGGAGAAGTCCGTGAGTAAAAATAAATTACCCTGGGAAAAGTTGGTGCGGCTAACTACGGAAGCACCTGCACTGTGTGGAGGAAAAATAAAGGAGTAAATGTTAAAAAGTCACTGCCGCACACAACTGATTACCTATCATTGCATTATCCATTTAGACGCTCGGTGTGGGAAGGTAATGGAAATGGATGATATAATGGCCACGGTCACAAAAACAGTCAATCTTGCCCAACTGAATCAGAGGCCGCAGGGACGCAAACAAGTCGGCACTCAGAGCATTTGAACGTAATCTTCACCTACGTGAAGTCCCATCTGGATCCGGATAATCTCGCCCACTTCCCCGTTTGTCAGAGCATCTCAGGCTCCGGTGCGTTTCCTTGCGCTCGGCTGGCTCTAACAAAGTGAGCCGCTTCATATATTGATTAATTAATTAACATATCACAATTAGCATGTGTAACAATATTATTTTGTTATTGTTGAAGAAAATATATTTTATATAATATTTAGTTTATTAACAGAAAAGGTTGTTGCACTCTTTGTTCAAATTCATATTTCTGATTGAAACATTGTCAGTTGGAGACTATTCATGTTCTCTCCTACGAAACAATTTGGCTCGCAACTAAGACTGTGTTCTAGTTTTTGTCCCCTTGTGTGATTGAGATTGACGCCCGTGCCTCAGAGATTTAGCTTAACCTGAAGACGGATTTTAGGAGGACTTGAATAAAGCTACGTCCCTCGTCTCTCTGACCCCCCCGTTGGTCAGGGTATCCATGGCTGCCAGTTCATCTAAATTTAGGCTGGTTCACATTCCCGCACGCCCCTTTCTAAGCCCTGTGAGTGAGATTTATGGTGTAGGCTCCTATATGTGCGAGTGGGCCTGCGAGAGCAGTGAGTGGATCTGCTCCAGGCTCAGACCGCTTTTATTATAAAGAAAAATGAAAAACAATCCACAAAAAGGAATAGATTAGGAATATGAGCCAGAATAAAGCGAAAATTGATTATATTAAATGCACAGTAAAAGGCATACACATCCAAACAAATGCTACACACACACACACACACACACACACACACACAAGCCAACCCAGCCAGATGTCAAAGTTGCAGGATAGCTGAGTAGCAGCTCTCACAGTTCATGTCAGCTCTTTGGATGCAAGCTGGTGAACAACAAACAGCCTCTCAGCGGTCTGGATGCATGCAGCGGAAGGGGCCCCATAAGTGCCTCTTTGTTGCAGCTGGGAACGCTGCCACGTTTCGTGACGTTAAATAGTCCACTGTCTTCTGAAATAAAGTGGATCACTTCCATGATTTTGTCGCCGGGTGTCCCTGTGAGTGAGCTGTGGGAGCGAGAGGGACGGATGGGAGAAGGTTTTTCATGCGCACGTGTGGATTCAGGCCCTTACTTAATGAATGCAGGAGGCATGTCTCTCTTCATCACCTGGTCCTCGGTGGTTTGAACGGTCTCCTTGCCCACCTGCGACACACACACACACACACACACACACAAAGTGGAACTTTCATTTTAAGTATCATTAGCTACAAAAAGACAGTAAAAACTATTCAAGTGAGCACTATTAATAGTCTCGGGGTGGACGGGTGCGTATCAATTCACACCTATTTCAACCCCGCGTGCGTGTCATTTCTTTTTAAGCTTCGAGGAGAGTCAGCTCGGGCCGCGGCCGACTCGGATGTCTGTTATTCTACATGACGGCAAGTTGCAGGAAACACGTTAGTGCTGCTCCAGGTCTGCAGAGTCAACAAATAGAACTTTACATATATTTTCTTTCTAAAAACAACTCAAACTAAAAAGGTTTTGGAAGATTTTGTCACACAATGAATATTGTTACACCACAAATAGTTAATCAATGCGATACATATGAGCTAGTATGTTGCGTCAAAAAAGCACTAATTGTTATTGTGATGGTATAAAGAAACCGCTTAGTGGATTTCAACATGAACACCACATTTTCCATTTTAGAAATGACATAAATCACTTGCATGCAGAGTCAAAGTGGGAAACACACACACACACACACACACACACAACCATCTTCTCCAGATGTTCACATGTTGATGCAGGTGGCAGAGAAACCACATGTCTCACACAAGAACTGGGTCTCAAACATCCCACAACACAAGAGCAAGCACCCACACACGCAAACACACAACTACACGCACACATAAGTACACGCACGCACTAGAGATGCAATTACAGTGAGACGATCACATCAATCTCTTGCCGCTGCATTGAAAGAGAGTCAGTTAAAAGACTTTCTGGCTCCCGAGACTCGGTAGACAGTCATCACACAGCGCGTTCAAGCAACACACATTCCTCTACACAACACTGAACCACTTTGCCGTTTCAGTTATTTATGCTGCTGGAGATTATTCCAGTCAACAATAAAATAAATCAAGAAAATGAATTTAAACCAACGTTATAAGTGGTTATGGTCAATGAATCACAGGAATAGGAATTGTCATTATTTTTGTGTAACTAACAAATGCAACAGAAAATAACTAACAAATGCAACAGAAAATAACACATAAGTGTTTAGGCGTAAATTTGAACTACAGACCGGTAAGACTTGAATCAGTCATTCAACATCCAATTACGTCAGACAGCATGCAATGATATTACCGACAGAATGAACTTTAACACACAAATGGGAAACATGTTTATGATCATGTCTTCCTTACGAAACTAAAAGTATACTTCTGCATCCTACTACCGTTGTCAATTGAAGTCAAAATCCGAATTAATATTCACAAACACTGAAAATATGATACAAATATCCGAAGGGTTAAATATAGCTTTGGGAATTTCCTTGTTTAAAAAGTGCAGGACGTTTGCATCTCTAAACTCTGAGGAATGTGGCTCTTCAAGTAGAACGCATCCTGACGGAACTGCACGAACTCACAAAATCAATAACATCAGGTTTCCTGTTATAAGCAAAGCTTGTCAATCGATTATTCAATACATAATTAATGAGAAAGGAAGTGGTTTGCTGGATGCACGGACAGTGTGATTTGTGTGTTGTTGTACAACAGAAAGAGTCTGATGGCTTCAGTGCAAAACAGAGGGCTGTCAATCAAAGTTTACACAATACACAAGTTGGTTGTTGCCAGCCGACGAGGCTCTCGCTTCCATTATTTCCTGTCACCTCTCTTCTGTCTGTTGTTAAGTCAGGTAACAGTAATGTTAAGATATTAGACATTCAAAAGTAGAATAAAAATAACACACAGCTGGCCAATTACCTTTTGAAGTTGTTATAAAACACAAAGCAACATGAGTCATTAGTCATTCACTCTCATTTTAGCTCCATTTTGGTCTCCACAAAAGAAACATGGGAGGAAAATATCTACTTCTTAGGCTAAAAGTGGTCACCAGCTCGTCGGTAACTTCTGCTGTTTTGGGTTCAGTGTACAGCTGCCTGATTATATCAAAGCTGATGAGAACTTTAAAATGAGTTATTGTAATACCGACATAATGAGCAGAAAGATGCTAAAACACTGTGGAGCGGAGGGGAGCTTACAAGTTGGGTGATGCTTCTCTGAAAGTGACCATTTTCAAGTTGTTCGATCCATCATGCTTACAAAAATGTTGTAGTGGGCAGTTTCAAAGACCAAATTAATCGACATTCTGTCAATTAACAAACCAATTAATCAACTAACCATTGAACAGAATACATCGAACAATGGAGATTCTTCTGTAATATAATACAAGCCAGGAGTAGATTTCAGGAGAAGCAGATGAGAAGTGTGGACATTCAGCCTGAAACTAAGACTAATCCTGAGTCTGACCATTTTAAGAAGAGAGGGCTCAAGTAAATGGTTAGTGTGTGTGTGTGTGTGTGTTTGTCTCTCCATCCCTCCTCTTCCTATCTCAGTCTGCGTCCCGCTGTTCGACAGTTTCAGTGGACAATTTCACTCCTTGACTCTCTCTCTCTCTCTCTCTCTCCAGTGTGTGGTTACTTCACTCAACAGTGAATCTATTTATTCCTCCCCCCTCATCCCCCCACCCTCCCCTCCCAGACATACTCAGGATCCACGTTGACTCCTTCAGAAGCAGATACTTTGCGTAGAACACCGAAGTGACTCTCCGCGTGTCATCCGCGCGACTTGGGACAAGTTGAGCCATTCAACCAAACAGCATCCTTCAGACGATTAGTCGAATCAACGTCACCCCCACGCGCAACCTTCTGACAGATTGAGACGGACACCATCTTGCGTGTGTGTGTGTTTGTGTGTCTAAGTGCCTTAGTGACCTAGATTTTAAGTACCCCCCACAGCCAGCCCGACCTGGACGGGGTAATTGTATCAGTGCGCAGTAGGACTCCTGTGGTGCTGGTGTACTGTGTTATATCTTAGCTCAAACTGCGTAAGTCTACGAATGAATCAGATTTAAGTGTGTGTATGTTTCACTTTACGTGTGTCTTTTACGTCTAAATGTACCTACTCAGCAACCACCCAGTGCTTGACTTTAAAAGCCATTCTTGTCACCCACTTACTCTCTCTTGATGCTCACTCATCTATCAATGGACAACACAACTACTGTGTTTGCAGGCAATTAGCTGTGCTGCTACAGAGTGTCAGACGATAGGGAAAAGACAGGATTTGAGGGTGTCGTCTGCATGTTTCATCGCTCAATCCTGAAAAGCACTTCCTCGGTCCGACACCTCGCGGGGGGGACAGTGTCCTCAGCCCGCATCCCGTCCTGTAACCTCGCGTCTCCATCATCTGGAATCCAGCGAGGTGCCTGAAGCGGCTATTAGCCTCCTTCTGCTCTCTGTCTGGATGGATGAACGCGGGCGAGCGGAGAAAGAGAGAGCGATGGGGAGGGGGGCCTGGTAGCGGGGGGATGTGAAGGATCGTATCACGTGAAATGGGGATTTTTTATTAAGATACATCACAGAGTTTTAGTTTAAACGGATTTGCGCTTGTCATTATCAGTTAATGAGGTATTTGTCAAAATGATTATAAGTTGTCCTTGCACAGGGAAACCGAAGGATAACGTGTGAACTGTTGAAAACTTCACAACTAAGAATGAGCTTTATTCTTACTAAACTATTTCAAAAGGAACAAAACAATATCCAGACAATTTTTTTAAAGACCATCCAATCACATTGTTTCCATGTGATGCCCCAAACCACCGCAAATTACCCCAGATAACTGAATGGATCCCTCTGATTGAGACAAAAACATTTTTGTGCTTGGTTAAACTGGAACTTCTGGCGCTTTAAAATTCCCTTTAAAACGTCAAATTCAGTGTGCAGTGTGCAGTCAAAGATTTTGCAGGGCAAATTTTTAACAACGTCTCATGTAAATTATCGTTAGATGGCATGATTTGATTTTTTTTTCTTCCATGGACTATATTTCAAACACTGATGAAAACGAAGCTCGACTATTTAAGATATGAAGGATCTCCCCAAAATCTTAATGTTTGTCTTAGCAGTTTGGTCCTTTCCAGACAAGTAACCGTGGTCTCCTGCACTATTGTGGTGATGTGCTTCAAACAATACGCAGCGCAATAGAATACAACTACATAAAAGGTACGAGCAAAATAACCAGATGAGTACTGACGGCTGCTCACAGGTCTGCAACACTCTGATCAATTCTGCTTACCCTGAAGGACTAATTTAGGCTCAAATCAATATGGAATTAAATTACTTCAATTCTCAATAATTAAGGTGCAAATGATTGAGTATTTACCTCCGACTGCTGCTGATTTCTCTTGATTTAGTGAAGCCCAGTTTCGTCAGCATCAATAACAATGACCTGGACCAGCAGTAATGTTGCGGCCGTATTGATTTTTCCAGTCAGTGCTTACAGAGGAGACAACATTGTCTGTTTCTATACAAAATGACCATTTAGACTCCAGGTGGCAAAGACGAAACGAGTCCAAGGAGGCGAGGAGGGCGTATGGGGGTAAAGTGGGGGGCGAAAGAGAGAACAGGAGAGGTGTAGGAGTGAGTCTGATAAATTACCACGGATTGCTTTTATTTATGGTTGTTGTGATGAATTTAAAGCCACCGTTCGACAAACTATTTATTTTTTTACCATCTAATAATATTTAATGAGTGACATTTCCAATCCCCTTCATTTCTTCCACACCACAAACTTCATTGACCCCACCGGGCAGCAGATCACTTCCCAAACAGGGAAAAGTTTGACCCTTTGCAAAATTGGGAATAAAAAAAAAAAATCTAGCCTGCTGCTGGAGCTCATGAAAAAAGGGCGTCAGCTGTGTGTGAGGCAATTTTACCATTTTAATGCAAAAGATCCAGATAGGGCAGCAATAAATCTATCCGGTAGCAACACAGGTTACTGATGTCCTCCTGCTGCAACCATGTGCGCTACCACCCTATCAGGTGGTCACCAAAAAATCTCCATTTTTTGTGATGAAGTTGGGGTGATGGGCTAACTGCACCCACCTTGCCATGGAGGGGGCGGCTCTTGGCGATATTGAGGGACCGGTTCAAACTCGGGACTCACCCGCACGAGGTTGCTGACCGCCGCCTGCACAGCGGCCACGGGCACCGTCAGATCCGGGATGGCTTTGCCGTCCACCTCCCCCCTCTTCGTGCATGATGACCAAGTGGGAGATCTGCTGGGCCACCGGCTCCAGGATGCTCTCGATGGTCTTGGTGTGAAACACCGGCATCGTGAACGACTTTTACCGCAGAGAAGAAGAAAAAGGCGGCTGGTCGCTCCAGCACGGAAGATCCCCCTCCTCTCTCCTCTCTCCTCACCGACAGGAGGACAAATCCCGAGTTTTCAGTCCTCTCCCCCTCCTCCCCCTCCACTGTGCACGCCGTCTCCTCCGGTGGGCACCTCGGTAAATGCTGGACTCGAGCGGCCGGTGTCCTCTTGGTTGGGGGAGCGACCCAAATCGTGACAGAAGGAATCGCCGCCCTGCAGCCAATCACAGCCGAGGAGCGCAGCTGCCGAGCGGGTCGGTGTACTGACGCCCCCCCCCCCCCCCCCCCCCTCCAACCCCGCCAGCGGCACGCGCGCGCGCGCACGCACGGACGGGCACGTACGCGTGTGCACAGCAAGTGAAAGCGCTTCCCGAGCTACGTCATGCAACCAAGGGGTCCCCAAAAAGGAAACGGGTCGGGGGGAGAAGCAATTGCCAAGATGTGGTGGATCATATGCAGAGGAGGGGAGGTGGAGGGGGGCATCCAGAGCCAGAGAAAGGCTGTTGGGGGGGGGGTTTGGTTTGGAAGCTTCCCATCCATGACACCAACACTGGGGATGAAGTCAGGAGCTGCACCCTAATGGTAGAAGTAAACCCCGTGGCGTGTTCATGTTTTAATGAAGCTCCATACCGCCGTCTGACATGTGAGCCGCGTGCTCATTAAAAGGTGGGTCAGGAGTTCAGGTCCGCGGGCCTAAATGTGCGGGTCTAAATAAAGAGCGAGGATTCAACTCGCGGCTGAAGGAAGGAGTCGGATCCCCAGAAGGAGACGTTCAGGTCCTGAGCTTCACCCTCTTCACCCACTTCATCGCTCTGACCTGGAGAATCCCAGATGAATAGCTCACCCACTGGTGCAACACCTGAAAGGTAGCCCATGACAGACGTTTTGTGTGCGTGTTTGTGTGTTTACGGTTGCTTTTGTATTCTCTCTGCTCCTTAGATCTGAATCTGTATTTGGGAAACTGGAGAACCCCCCCCCCCCAAAAAACAGTGGTATTTATACCCCTGAAACCCTGAGACCAGAGATTCTCCAATGCCAAGCAACCCTTCTGAGTGTGTATTTGTCTGTGTGGGTGTGTGTGTGTGTGTCCCTAATGTGGGTGTGGACAAGTGGCTGCTATCCAAACCAGAGGGACAGGTCCACCTGGTTAGAATAGACCCCATCACTCCTCTCTGCCCTTTGTGTTTCCTCTCTTCTCCTCTCCTCCGCTGTCTCCTTTCTTTTCGTCTCCTCGTCCTCAGGAATTGTCCTTAAAGAGGAGTAAGGCTCATACTCGCAGCATCTCCACCCATATATGGGTGGAGGCAGAGTAGAGGAGCAATAAAGTAAACTGCTCACGGTGAGTAATTGAGGAGGAATAGGACCAACTGGGATTGGCTCCAGTAGCACTGCTGGGAACTATATCTGTATATGCGGACTTGTCCAAACAGACGTTGATAGAAAGCATTGCAGCAGGTTGCTTACTGGGGTTCTGAAGTGTGCGTTCAGTAATGACTTGATGGACCAGCTAGACTTTGGTTTGTCGAGCACAACAAAGATTGCTCAGACGACGACACGCTGCAGTTGTATATGCTTTTGCATTGATCGATTGTTTGTCACGATCGGAGCAGCGGTGCTTGGCGTGCTCGAGGCAGGTTTGCCTTTTCTGGGAGGGGTGTGAGAGGTGGAATTCAGTGCACGACTGACCATGTAAACACTCGCTGCTCCACACTGAGACTCCCCCGGGAGTCACGAGTTGTCTTACCAGAGGTGACGACACCGGCTCTCTCCTCGGAACCATGTTTAGCAGCACAACTCTCCTTTCGTACCAGGCCGCATGTGGATACGAGCAATAGTTTATCCTACAATAAGGGGAATTAAAGTGCAGTGTCCGACTCTTCCCTCATTACAGGTAATGTGCAGCCAGCATTTGTCAGCAAAGTCAGCGTTCACTGTGTTTTGTAACTGGCTGTGTTGGAAGAGGGGAATTCAGCAGTGGCAAACACAAGCTAGAAGTCAAGTCAGACAAGAAAAACGAGAGATTCCCTTCTCATGACTCACATGTATCTTCATTCATTTGCATCCCACACTGTACATCCCCGTCTGTAACAGGTGGAACAGGAGTGGATTGAGCCTTCAACTGTCTTATGACTTATGAAGGTACCGACTCAGCTTGGATGTCATTGTTGTTTGTTTTAAGATACCTGCGACTTTTAGTATGTTTGAGATCACTGAGCTGCCTGGATGTAGTTTTTTACTGAACAGTGCCCTCCAGTGTTGGACTTATGGACACTTTCACTCACGGACAAACTGAGCTGAATTAGACAACAAAGTACACACAAACTGTCTGAGTATCAACTCTGTTGTTTTGTAGCTCTACTGTCCTGCATTTCATTTAATAATTAATGGTATTTACTTCGTGATCACACATTTAAGTCTGCAGATGTTCTCCACATACAGTGTCAACACAGCAACATGTCTCCATGTGATGAAGAGTGTGCAAAACAGATAGAGACACATTTGGGCTTTTCAAATTAATGAAAATGGTAAATATGTAGCAGAAATATTTAATTTATTAGACAATAAATACATGACAGCGGAACCAGCCGTCTGCAAAAACAAATACCTATTACACCAAATTATACATATATAAATATATATTTTTCAAATGGCTTTTTAAAAAGTTTTACTCCCAGTAAGAAAAGTCCATATACACAAGTATCACACACTATATACAGTAAGATACGTTCAAAAAGTTACATGAAACCGTCAACATGCACCATTGCAATGGCCAGTAGCTTTAAAATCCTCCTCAGATCCTCCTCAGAAATACAGCTTTATTTTTGGGGATACATGAATCCTTTGGTGTATTTGGAGAGCCCGGTGCCGTCTTCAATCCACTTGTTGTAGTTGGTGACTCGTGTGTAGACGCCTGGCTTGTTCCTCTTGGCGCAGCCCTCACCCCAGCTCACTACCCCGAACAGAAACATCCGACCTGCCACCTCACACACCAGCGGACCACCAGAGTCCCCCTGTGAGAGGAGCATGAGGAAATCCAATCATATAGTGTATGTTGTTATGAAGGCTCATGTTGACACTGACTGTCTATAAAGAAAACAATGGCCTGACATTGGGACAGATGAGTGTGTTTTATTGGCCCATTGAGCCACCAGTACACCACAATATATTAAATTAAATAGGACAAATTCAGAACATAAATAACCCCAACCCAGGGGCCAATATAGAATCAAAAACCTTAGAACCTTGCACTGACATTCAGAGCAAGCATAGAGACGTTCATTCATACACTTTGCTCACCTTGCAGGCATCAGTGCTCCAGTCAGGGCTCCCAGCACAGAGCATGTTCTCAGTGATGAGATGTCCATAGTACGATTGACTTGCACAGTCAGTCTGCGGGAGCAGTTGCACCACGGCCTGCTTCATTATCTGCGAGTAATGCCCAACTGTTGCAGACGAAACAGCATCGGTAAGAATCAATGAAACATGTGGGAGATCAGTCATGGACCTGTGGGTTAGGGTCTCTTCAGTACATACAGAATCTCTCGTTGCCAAATCCTGCGATGCTGCATTGAAACCCTGCAGGAAGCTGCGTGTGAGATGGAGCAAGACACACTGTCCTTGCAGACGATGACCTCACCGCACATCCTCCATTACTGCTTTTGATCTTCAACAGTGCTGAAATGCAAAAAGAAACACAGCTATGAATTCCGCTCACAAAGCCCCATGTACAGCTCTTCACATTTCACACACACGCACACACACACAATACGAGTCTGCGTACCTATGTCATTGTCATAGTTGTCCAGATTGTATTTTTGGTGAATGATCACTTTTTCCACAGTGAATCTCTGCTCCTTGTCAGCGTCAGTGGCATTGATGGCACTCTTCCCCAGATACACAGACAGATGTCTGATAGTCGTGCTCTCACTGAACAAAAAAACAAACACATATATGTAAACATACACCTCTGCATGTGCAAGTCCTATTGCGTACAGAAGCAAGAGTCTGTTGTATTTCCTAAGTGCCTGTTTGGCCTCACCCATCCGAGAAGCAGTGTGCAGCTGTGAGAACCCAGCATGGTGCGATGAGAGAGCCCCCGCAGAGAAAACCGGTGCGCTGATGAAAGAGAGCAGCGACCCATGGGTGCGACTCTACGGGAGTGAAAGAGCCCCCCACAATCTTGTGCAACCTCTGCACAGACCTCTCACCACATGTGCGCTCTGCGGTGACACAGAAACAGACGAGCCAGTGAGCGAGGGGGAAGGAGTCACAAGATGACATTGAGGAAATAGTGTGTTTAACACATCTCACCTGTATCCACAGCCGACGGAGGTCTGCTTGTTGGCGTAGGACCTGCAGACGTACATCTGGGAATGTCGCAGAATTCTCTCACAATCCTCCTTCCTCTTCGGACTCGACACCACGGCATCAAGCTCTCGTCAGGGTTCCTGGCATTCAAGGTTAAAACGATGTTAAACACGTGTTACCCGTACGAAACATTTCTGGGCCCCAGATGAATGACTTCAGGTTTACCTGCAGTAACTGTGGTCGCCGAGGCCATTCGAAGCTCCTGAGTAGGTGAACATGTTCCAGTTGAGACATCTGCGTCCTGATGTCGACTCAGAAGCAAATCCCCTGTAACTGCTCCCGTCCCCAGACCAACACATCTCTGAGGATCACATTGAAAAAAGTTTTAATGTCTTCCAGCAGATGCAACCCATGCAAAATAGTACTGTAGATGTTCGCTTACCCCTGTTTGTGGTACGAGGTTTAAATGGCCGACTGTTTTTAGACCGTTTTCGAGAAAACGTCTGAAAAAAGTACAGACAAAGTCAGCGCAGACATTTCTATAAAAACACCCTGCATTGCTCAGCATGTATATTAAACTCGAAGTTACTTCCTTAAATTATTGCTTACCACATCAACGCTGAACGCTGCAAAGACGGCAACAATGACTAAAAGGTTCATCTTCACTTCTGGTTTTGCGTCTGCTGATTGCGGCTGTTTTTGTCTGAAGTTGGACAGGGAAAAAAAAAAGAATTACAGAAATGGTACAAAAGTAAGCAGGAAGGCCACATTCAAAGCTCCTGTGGCCTTATAAGGATGTGATTTTCATGCACATGGCAGGAAGGAAACGGTCGTGAGGTCAGAGCAGTGCTTTCTTTGTCTGGGTTCAAGCGTGCCCGGATCTCCTGTTCACACGGTTACATTTTTGTCAATTACATGTGGACAGTTATTGCAGTATAGAAATAGCGCTGGAGAGCAACAGATAGATAAACTCATGTGTGCTCCTTTCTTAAACACAGCCTCTATCTGAACAGTGAAACAAATTTGTTGATTACTAGCTGCATGTGCATTCCATCACATCACAGTAGTTGGGCAATGCGTGCGGTTCAAACTGATTTCAATATGTTTGTGTTCTTAAGGTTAATTTTGCATGACTAATGTCAAGAAACACTTAAACCTCACTTTATGCTGTACATCTTTCAGGTCTAATATCTCAAATACAATTCAGGATTTCTGATCGATTCATCGTGCAGACAGAAATGTAACAGACTTCTTCTACCTTTTGGTTCAGACTTGCGAATCCTGAAGAAGTTCTTCGTTATTTAATCCAGCTGAGGCGATGTCCTCTCTGTATCCTCTGATACGCACCTGTGTTACTGTTGTGAGTTACTCTGGTGCTGCTGTGCTGATCCTCCCCGCCTTCACTCCCATTTAAAAGCACTCCGGTCACTAGTGGGAGTGGTTTTGGAGACAAAATGAAAACATCACTGGGGCTCAATTGCTGATCGGCAAAGTCTTGACCAAAAGGAGTTGTCATGTGCCATGACACATAATGAACACCCCCTCTTTCCCTCTTATACCACAGCGAGGCTGGTCAAAAGAATATATCCAAAATTGGTCATGTGTGAAATGACAACTTTTGCAACCGTGGGTAGAACAGCGCATCTCGCTCAAAGGTGTGACAGGTTTCAGTTTCGAAACAATGACCTAAGTTGAATTTGTTAAAGACGTAACCCAATGCCTGACTGTGGGGGAAAAACCCATAACATAGTACAGACAAATTGTAGCACTTTAATTGTACTCATAATGGCTCTTATCTATTGCATTTTGTAAATCGGCTTATTTGATGAAATTGCACTTTTTTGTTTCTTGCTCTTCTGGGTTTGTATCCTTATGGTTGAAATGCACCAATTGAAAGTCGCTTTGGATAAAGGCGTCAGCTAAATGACATGTAATGTAACGTAATGTATGTACAGCGAGTCCTATAATATTGAAGTGAAGCAACTGAGACAAACGAGAGCTTGGAGTATTTATTGTTTGCTCAAAGAGAGTTAAATAGTCCTGCAGAGCGCATTCAGTGTGCATGAGAAAGCACCCGGAACCCATTATCCCCCGAGCTGAAGCAGCCCAGGACCACGAGGGGGGTTACGGCACAAGGACAGAGCGGTCAGCAATCTGCTCCCCCACTCATCCTCTCTCTGCTGTTTGAAGAAGAGTAGACGTACCAACGTGGACGGGTTCATCAACTTTTCTTTGGACTTTTTTGTGAATACTGTGAACTGTATTCAAAGTTCCCGTGCTCTTATATGGAGGTAATTTTAATACAAATGGCAGGAAGGAAACAACAATTGTGACCACTGAACAGACAAGTGATTTATTTGTCTGGATTCAAGTGTACCCATCTTCTGTTCACAGTGATACACTTTTGTCAATTCCATGTGTACATGTATTAGAGTAAATAGAAATAGTGCTACAGAGGTTTTAAATGCAGAGTGTTTACCTTCATTTTTTCTAAATCTACACTAATAACTAACTAATAATACCACCTCGTTCGTCATAAAAAAAAAAATTGTTTTGCATGGGGGATTTTTTGACTAAACTTCCCTCTCTTCCTCATGAAATACTCTGAAACTGGTGTTACTCACATTTCCTCTTCTTTGATGGTGACTATGGCTCAACGGGCCACCTTTGTGCGCGACCTTGTGCAGAGATCTTTGAATGCATTATGTCGCCATGTGTGGAACAACTGAATAAAAAACATTGATGAGTTTTTTTGACTCCAAAAGCCTGATGAATTTGTACTTGAAGCCCCACACTGGTGTTTTTACAAAAATAATAACTACTGTATGTTAGACAGAAATAACCAACCCAGGAAATGGATATTCGTGGTTGAGGCCAGTGCCGAACATCTCTGACCCAAACCATGTCAGTCATATTTAAAACCCCTCTTACTCCCGTGTCAATCTGACACTGGACGGCTTAGATCGCACGTGTTTTCAGCTTCTCTCTTCAACCATTAGATACCTGCCTGCTTCCTCTTTCCCCTGCACCAAGTAATTGTTGAATTCCGTTTAAATTAACTGGAAAACCGTAAAGCAAAACAGATCTGAGATGCAGCTATTGGGGACTGGTATTTTTAGTTGTTTCATTTTCACAATGCCTTTTGCTGCATATGAATATATGTGAATTCACCTGCACATCTAAACAATTGACAATACATAGATTTGACATTTATGAAACTTTTGGAGAAAGTAAGGTGGTGTCAATTTAAATTAATATCTAATACATTTCATGCATGGCTGAACATCTCCAAAATAAAGAACGGTAAAAAAAAGGTGATTGAATGTTTAATTGGATAACTGAAATCTCTTTTCTTCCATAACTGTGTTTCATAAACTAACACAACTAAACCCCAACTAGATCTATTGTAACTGTTGATAACATCACTGGTCCTCATTGAGTCAGACCGTATTCAAAGATTCTTTCATGATAGCTTACTATTACTACATTTCCAATGGTCTGTGAGCTCATTTCGTGTTCAAGAGGTTGATAAATAATGATCTCTTGGAAACTACCAAACCAAAAATATAAACATAAAAATGACTCATATTATTTATTTTAAGAAACAAACATTATTTAATCTGTCTTTAGTTGGGCTTGAAACAGTTTCTGTGAAAAAGATCGGCACATTTTGGAGATCTGACGTTAATTTTGTATTTTAAACATGTTGAACACCACAAACAAACAGAAGATCAATTTGGGATATTTGCAGAGAAACAAGTCATGGTTATCTTAAGGAAGACCATCGTTCCACCTACAATTATTTTTGCTTTTGATTACGTTATACGTTTACCCCCCTCACATTAAGCCCTCCGACTGTGACTACGTAAGTGATACGGTGGGATGTTCCTCCTTCACCTAGAGAAATAGATTGCATTGTACATTGCCTCTCTTGAAAAAAAATGTCCTCTGCTTTCTGATCACTTCTAAATGCAAATCACAAACTCCAATTATAATTTAAGAGTTCCTTTGTGTGTCCATTGGGTGTGTTTTAAAATTCCAGTATTGATCGTAATGTCTGAGCATCTGTGTAAATAAAGGACTATCTGTCACTTTACTGCAGTGGTTCTTTGGGCCCCAACAAAAATGGTCCATGCTGAATTTTTATTGAAATAACCACATTTTGTGACTTTAACTGTTAATGACAAGACGTAAGTGGACAAAACTAAACAGGGCTGTGTATTTTTTCACATTTTAATCCCCCCCACCAGAAAGTCGCGAGCCACAGTTTGAGAACCACTGCTTTACTGTAATGGAATGTCTGAAAATGAGCTTATGTCACCATCTAGCGGACAGTTTAAGAAATGGTCGTAGTTGTTTAAAAAAAGCATTCTTACTTGCTTGCAATGGACACAGTTGCTTTCAAACAAAAAACAGGCTTACTGGCTTATTAGCACCTTTTTGACTTACAATTCCACAGTATTCCACGTTGGCAGCTAGTTTTGTTTTGGACCTGCGAATCCTCGAACAAAAGAGAAACGGTGTAGAAAAACAAGTGTGCGTGCTGTGCGGACGCGCATGCGCAGGGATGACGTCATCGCCTCAGTCGAACACTTTCACTGCGCAGGCATCGAGCAGCTTTCCACTCAAAATTACAGTACCCACGATATAAACTCTATATTTCAGGCTTGTTTCACGGACTGCTGAGGGTACAGATATAGATATATTTATATATATATATATATACTTCTCCGTCTCAACCGCTTCCACACCGAATAAGAAAACGAGCCGTCAGCTACACGCTCATTAGCTAACTTTGGAGCAACAATGTTCTGACAATCCAAAGTGAGCCGACGGTTATCTGTGGACTCTGACCTCCCGGTGAGTTTACAATGTCTGCAGACTGGACTCCTGTATGCGACCTTTCGTGGGGTTATCGGACTGCCCCGGGGGCTATAATTGTACCGTTGGATATCCAATAACAATAACAGCCCCCCGAGGACAGCTAACTGTCTGTCAGGTCACTAACAACGCTGAGCAGCTAACGTTATAACTCACAATGTACTGAATGGCTCAATGCGTGAAACCACCTTTTAACACGTTGAGCAGAGTGGGAAATAGTTTACTAACATTTGTGATATTTTCTTATGACAAAAAAAATATATCATCAATACGTAAGAAATCGAGCCATATGTTTTAATTGCTTAAGTGGAATCATGGTGACGATCTACTGTGTGGTGCACAATGTTTCTGATGAAGTGAGGGATTGATTTGTTTTTGCTCTCTTTGCTGAGGCCTCCCATCATGGAGCGGACTCCACTCAGGCACAACCAGATGTGTGGCTCCTGGGAGATGAAGGAGAGACTCGGCACTGGGGGCTTTGGCCATGTCTACCTGTACCAGCACCTTGTAAGTTCTGCTCCCCCCAGACCCAGATGTGTCTTTGGCCCGGTTTCATTCCCCGTCTTGTGTTTGGAGCAGGAGTCAGGAGAGAAGATTGCGGTTAAACTTTGTCGCCTGGAGCTGAACTCCAAGAACAAAGACCGCTGGGGCAGAGAGATTCAGATCATGAAGAAGTGAGCTTAAATAATCCTCCACCACCTCCACCTCATGTTCAAAAACAAAGTTCGCCGGTGAACAAACGTCGCTGTGCACTGACTTTCTCTCTGTCACAGGCTGAATCACGGAAACGTTGTCCAGGCCAGAGAAATTCCAGAGGAGTTGCACTCCATTGCTTTAAATGACTTACCCCTGTTGGCCATGGAGTACTGCTCAAGAGGAGACCTACGCAAGGTACCAAGTGGGTATTTGATTGAGACCCCATACCCTTTGTATTTATTTTTGCAAACATTGCACTGTTAACCTTTTTACATCATTATTTAGGTTTTGAATAAACCAGAAAATTGTTGCGGGCTAAAGGAGAGTGAAGTCCTCTCGCTGCTCAGTGACATCGGTAATGGTTCCCTCTGCTTTTACTTTGACACAAACCATTGTTGTCACATATTGATACATTAATTTGTTTGTTTTTTTGTTTTTTACAAATGCAGGTTCTGGTATCCAATATCTTCATGAAAATAAGATCATTCACAGAGACCTAAAGCCAGAGAACATAGTGCTGCAGGAGATTGGTGGGAAGGTGAACTCTTTTCCTTTTTTACATTCATGCAGTCTGTGTAATCCTCCTTTAAATATATAATATGGTTTTCTGTGCCTTGCTCTCATAATGAAACGGTGTTTTCCTCCAGCTTATCCATAAAATAATAGATCTGGGTTATGCAAAAGACCTCGATCAGGGCAGTCTTTGCACATCCTTTGTGGGAACTCTCCAGTATCTGGTAAGAGTTGCATCAGCGCTATGCAAGCTATGTTTGTTGCAACAATCAAAACCTGTTCTACAAATCTATCTGTATGTGTGCCAGGCTCCAGAGCTGTTTGAGAGTAAACCCTACACTGTAACTGTGGACTACTGGAGCTTTGGGACTGTGATCTTTGAATGCACTTGTGGTTTTCGCCCCTTTTTACACCACATGCAGCCTGTACAATGGTGAGTCAACATAGCAGCAATGCATTTATTGTGTGCTTTTCAAAGAACCTGA